ATCTGACTTCATTCTTCACTTATTCTTCATTTCTTATTTGTAATCTGAACTTTCTATTTCAAGAGATATCGATTGTGTTCTTAAAGCATTTAATAAAGAGAGTTGATTCCTAAAGTTAAGCCATTATCTGAGAATCGAGTATTAAAAGCTTAACAATTGGTGCGTCGTGACGTGGCTCAACACATTCATACGCGCCTCCGCGTCATAAAGTCACCCACTTTATCAAATCTTTTTTCTGAGGGTTTCTTTTTGTTTTCTTCTTCAGTCTCCTCGCCTCCTTTTCTCTCTCTCACCTCAAAACAAACATCGATGGCAGACAAGCCGTTGCTCTCATTCGACCCATCGAACTGGGGGGGGACTTATTGTTGGTGTAGGAATTAGCACCAACGACATACCGGCCTAAACCAAGACGGAATCGAATTAAACCAATAAGTCGGGGAATCCCGGTTTATTGTCCAATTAATGCAAAGGGTGCTTCATTCCTAAAATGGAATAGACGACCTCGGATCATTAGGGTTTCGAAAACCCTAATCGAATATTTATGACAATATCTTATGAAAATCTAAGGAAAAGGAGCATTTATTGTAACCCTAAATCCCTTGTATAAATAGAGAAGATGTCTCTATTCTAGGGCATCGATCATTTAATAACAAAAACCCTAGTTCCTCACTTGTTCTTGAGCAAACCCTAAATCGTTCATTTCTAGGTCAAATCAATTCTTTTTAATCCGTTTCAATTCGAGTTCTTGAGAGATTGTTCAAAGTGAATTTATTCTCGTTTCCTTAATAAATTCATTGTGTGAACCCTTGGTTCAACAATATAGATGACCCTTGTTTCATTATATATATATATATAATCATAATAATATAAGAGTAAATAACAGATTCATTTTTGGTTCAGGTTCCTTACCATCTTCTCTGACTGTGGTTCCTGTCTCCTACCATTTCTCTCATCAGATCTGATCCTTAGTTCATCCAGTTTCAGTTCAGGGGTTTGTCTCTGAGAATCAAATGTAAGAGAAACGTTAGCTATGTTTTTCAACTATGTTTCATGTCCTAATTGACTACTTCTCTTGTGAAGTTGTGATTGTAAGGAGTAAGGACTACTCTAAGCAAAACCATAACGTCAAATAGAAATAAGGGTTCACAGTAAGAACATTATAAATTGTTTGGGGGAATACATACCTTTGTCTCCTCCATGGATCTCTCAACTTTTTTTTTGCACAGTGAGTTTTTTAGCCTTTTAAGCTTGATTTCTCTAGAAATATAGTCCAAAATGATTTAATATTTTTTTTTTGGAAAATAATGATTTAATTCTTTGTATTCAAACTTTTGGTCTCGGATAATAATAATAATAATTAACATAGCAATATTTGACTATGCATCTTTAAGTAAATAGGCATGTGAGTAATTCGTTCGTTGACTGGACGAACTCCAAATAAAGAAAGCTCAAAAGTTCACAATGATATATGGTATTCGACTTAATTATTAGTTATGATTTTAGCTCACAAGGATGTATGGTATTCGACTTTTTACAGAAATTTTAGAAGATACCCTAATAATATTCGATAGTTTGCAATTGATCAAATGTAATACTTGATATATATATTTATATATATATATAATTAAATACCCAAAGGGATTTTTTTTTTAATTTAAAGAGCGGAAAATCATACATCTTTTGAACTCAGTTTATACCGAATAAAGTAATGTCCTTTCAAGTAATGTTGAACCCTTTATGTTGTTTCTAAATGTATGCATTTTAATGAACTTGGAAGGAATGAAGCTTGAAACCAAGATTCTAGTCTATAGTACTTGAATGGTATTCGGCATTTTAGATGAAAAAGGTTTCCTTTAACAATAGTATCTCTAGATTGTTTATAATATATATATGGGATGCGTCCCCAAAATACATATACAAGCATACTTAATTTTTGAAAGAAAAGTATTTGCACCACTTGGTTTATTTCTTGGCGGGAAGAAGTTTATGGTTATAGAAGGTTTTTTTTTAATCTTTCGTTCAACATTAAGAAAATATAACAATTGGCTGAGTTCCAAAATACTTAAAATCAATTCTATATATTAGTGTCAGCTATCGAATACACCAATTCCACGTACTGGTTCTGCTTCAGAACTATTTCAAATTCACTCCAGCTTAGAGTTGTTATCAGTGAAGGCAAAGATGATAGCAAAGAGAAAGAAAGGTGTATGCAAATGCAACATCAATTTCACCTGCAAAACTCCTCGATAGAAAGCGATCGAATGTATTCAAAGATCTCAAAGAGTTTCTCATGTGATGGACCAAAATGAGATAGAGGGCGTTAGTGGTCTTTAATATAAAAGTCCAGTCTCAGTATCGTTCCATTATTCTAATCTGGCCCATGAAAGGCCCATACTCAAATGCCCGGGATTGTTTTTTGGATTCGTTATTCTTTGATGCATGTTCAATTGGAATATGGTTAATTGTATCTTTTGAGTTTTGATGATACTCAACTATTTTTTCTCGATTTTAGGTTTGATATTAATGTATGATTTACATATTATCACAATAACTGCTGATAGAGTTAAATAAAAAAAATGAATATTCATGGTTCACTCATCACAATTCTTGGTATATAGCACCAAAATTGCTAAATAGAAGAAAATATAATACAACAGATTTCTTCAAGGCTCTTTCTTCAAAATCTCTTCAGCAGATTTCTTATATTCTTCAATCAATTCTCTGACACAAAAAGATTTAAGAGGAAAATTATATCTAAAACCAAAAATTCAATCTGATCAAATAAAAAGATGTATATAGAATGTGTTTTTAACAAGTTATTGCTTACTTTCTTTGTTGAAGCAATTGCTCACTTTCTTCTAATTTTCCCTTTTGTCCATCAACATACTTACGGAAAAAAGAACATCCGTTAGCAAAAACCAAACAACTTTGTTATTTGTTCTGATCCAAATGCAAATATATAAGTTTTTATATCGTTTTGTTTAATGCTTTACCTCTTTATCATAAGATCCAAGGGATATTGAAATTGAACTCAAGAGCTGTTGACATTTGTCGAAATGGCTTTTTACTTCAGTCACCTACAATGCAATTCCACTAAGGCAAGTGCAATTCCACTAAGGCAATTTAACAAATAAATAAATAAACCCTAGAAATTCAAAGAGCTTTAAAGACTTAAATATTTGAAGTAGAGAAACAAAAAAAACAAACAAACCACAGCATCAGAATCTTGATCTCGTGTTCCAGTTTCAGTCGTTTCAGATAATTTTTCCACGGACTACGAATACAAGAGATATTATATCATATTCCAATGAGAAGATTTTAATTCATATTATATACTTTGGTTTTGTTTTTGGTTTTACCGGATAGAGATTGAAATGAGAAGCTAACGATTCCTGTTGTTTTGGAGTCTGCACAGATTGTTGTTCTTGCGGTGTATGGTGCATCATATCTCTGGTTGTTGATAATGAAACTACAAAATCAAACACAGTTTTGAGGTCAAAATTTTGAAATTATTTATCAAATGCCTTTTTTTAATAATAATCATCATTATGTAATGCCTTTTAAAAGTTTTGAAGGAAACAATGACATTAATAAAATCCAATTTTTTAAAAAACAATTTTATTGAAACCCTAAACCACGATGAGAGCCCCTCTTATAATCTTTGTGAGTACCACCTTCCACTTCACTTATAATCTTTGGCTACTACTTTTCGGAGTCGTGAACAATAAGTTACTTAGGGACAAATTTTGTTGTCCACATGATCCATATAATCACAATCCAACAAGCATGCATCACACATATAAATAATAGCCAAACAATATGCTTTCAAAGAAAGAAAAAAAAATCAAGCAAATAACATCAAACAACAATTAAGATACAACTGAAAATACAATCCTTTACTATATGCTTTGATGAGCCGCATCATAGCCACATGTACACTATGCCTCTTACGCCAACAAGCAATCATGCAATATACATGCATGTCATTCCTCAAACATCTCACTCTTCAATCCATTTATCTCAATCTATATCATATCCTAACTTTGTCAACTTATTACATTTCCACTTTTTAACAACCTAGCATCATTTCTAGGTTCTCACACAATCATCACATAGTCTTATGCTTAGCCAATCTAAACACATAATCTCATGTTTAACAATCTAACACATATATAGTCTCAAAACACACACATCATTTAGCTAAACTAAATCTATACCATACAAGCAAAAAAGAAGAAGGAAAACTATAGATATATAAGTCATGTCCTGATCACCTTAGTGATAATAAGTATGGATCCTAGGATTTCTACGACTAGCTAGTCTTTCTCCTTGACAACTCTTGACGCTTCCTCTCTCTCTCTTAACACGAAAAATCTCTCTCTCCTCTCTCTCCTCTCTCCCCAATCTGAAGCAGTTTCCTTTCCCTAGTTAAGATTTTGGTCACAACAGCAGTGGCAACGAAGACTACTTCTCTCAATTGGCTCTTTGGATATATAAACACTTCTTCCGTAGACTCATCACTTATATAGGGAAGAGATTAACTAGGGTTTTTGAAGAAATGTCTGATTTACCCTTAATTTTAATTGGTACTTGGACTTTATAAAATGGGCTTTAAGTTTTTTGATATTAAAGTTACTTTTTTCCTTGACTTAAAGTCTAATGATTAATTTATCTCATATTTTCTATGAGTACTCTATTCATATTTTTGCTCATCAATCTACGGTTATGGCTTAAAAATCATATTCATACAAAAATGTTAAACCAAAATATTAATACATATGAATTCATACTTGTGGAGAAGAGACATTTTATGAAAGTATCACATTCATAGGTCAGGACTAACCTTATCCTATTTGTGCATGAAATACTCAAAGTTGTTCCGAACTTACAATATATTTTAAATTTAATTAAAGACTAAATAAGACAAGCTCTTAATTATATAATTGTGACTACGTTCTTGTATCATTTTTTCTACAATGCCAAAAATAATTCTTTTTAAAATCAAAAGATAGTTTGTATGTTTCTATTTTTCAGCGGGAATTTGTTATTATTTTTAATTTTTCTAAAGTTGTTATATATTCTGCCTATGTTCCTATATGTATATTTAAGAGTTTTCAGAGCTTTTAAAAATTTAATGTTTAGCTATAGATACATTGTTTTTTTTTCTGTATTCAACAAAATGTCCATAATTCTAATCAATAGTAATTCGATCAATTCAAAATGTCCATCAGTATTTCATGAAAATTACAATTTCTTGTTATTATTTACTACACAAATACATTGAAAACCTTAAAAATATATCTTTGAGAAACGAAAAGAAAACCTAAAAACTATTTCTTTTAGGAACCGAAGAAGTATTTGGTCATTTGGATTCAAAAGTTATTTAAATTATATATTTTTCATAAAAAGTTTCATTATTCGTTTAATCAGAAATCTACATTGCATTTGAAAATTATCAGTTTTATTAAAATGAAACTTATAACTTTTCCACGTATGTCTGTCTATTTCTCTTAGTAAAAATTAGGGAACAAGAAAAATAAATATTCATTTCTACTTAACTGACATTCATATAATTTTGTAAAATTGAATCATAACCTAATGAGTCTTCCCAACATATCAGTTTCTTGCGTTCAAAGGAATCATCTGAAAGTTCTCTTTGGTGGTCTCGTAACTCTCTTTCCTCTTATACTCCATCTCCCTCGTTTCTTTTAAACCCGAGTTGCTTCGTATTCTGATGATCACGAGCATCTAAGTTTCGATTCTCTAGCATCTCCTGCGAACCGAAACAATATATCAAATGAGAAGTCGCAGTAAGAAAACGTATACTTAAGCTATCTTCTTCTTCTTTTTCTCAACTATGTTTCATCAATCAGGTTCTTGTTTCAGTGTTTTTACTTGTTGTCGCAGAGTTTCTTGAGCCTCTCTCCTCTGTCTCTGTTCCCGCACTTGACCCTCTCTCCTCTGCCGCATGATTCCCCTCATATGACTATTCTCTCTAACTTCTCCTCTTGATCTCTGCTCCTGTAGATTGTATTGAGGCTCTCTCCTCTGCCACTCAATCTGTTCCTACATATTCTCTTGAGCATCAAGGCAAAACACAAACAATGAACAAAGTCAGGTCTATTCAATCTTTTGTTGTTGTTAATTACCATCCTCCCTCGCTCGAAGCTCCACTCTGTATCATGGCCTTTTGGATCACTCACTCGGGAATCAGGAATAAATCCGGACTGAGGATGAGCAAGCAACTAGAAAATTAAATAAAGAAAGGTCACACTTTATATGACCATACTCTCTATGAGAAAAGCACAAAGGAGAAAACATGTTTTAGTTCAGTTATACCCTCTCCTCTGGCCTGAATCCTGAGTAGTCCATTTCATATCTCCTCTGAGCTCTCTCATCAAACCTCCATCTGGATTCATGACTGCCTCTCCAACCCTGAGGTCTCTCATCAAACCTCCATCTGGATTCATGACTGCCTCTCCAACCCTGAGCTCTTTCATCAAATCTCAGTCTGGAGTCACTCCCTCTCCTACCCGGAGATCTATCCTGAGAATCATAACCAAATGGTACACGTTAAATCAAAGAAAAGCATACTTACTCTGCAAGAAGTTAAATATGTTTACCCTCTCACGGTGCCAGAATCTTGACTCAGTTTCACGGCGTCTCCTCTGCATCTCCTCATCTCTCAGTCGTCTGTGGTACTGTTGCATCTCCTCGTCTCTCAGTCGTCTGTGGTACTGTTGCAGAGTTTCTCGCGTGTCTGCGTTAGAGTGTTCTTGTTTTACAATCGTTTCTTTAATGGATCTCGACTCTATTCCATGGATTCTCCTCTGCTTCTCAGCATCTTTCAGTCGTTCTTCTCGCAGATACTGTAGTACCTCTTGGTGCGACTCGCTGTAATAATAAACCCGACCTATTTCTTCATTCTCCTGACGTATTCTCGTCGAATCTGGTTCTTGATCACTTCTTCTCACAGGTTCCTTCTCATTATCTCGAGCGCCTGCCATTGAAGTTGAGGGTAAAGAGCTTGAACCTGTAATATTCTGTATACTATCAGTTCTCCCATCAGACCTTCTCCCTGAATCACTCAGCCCCATAACAGGAGTTGGTCCCTGAGAGTCAAAATTAAAGGAAACGTTAAATCTACTCTACACAAGAACCATAGCCATCTTTCTCGACTCAGAATTCACAAGAAACGTAAGGACTAATCTAAGTAAAACCGAAACGCCAACTCAAATCAGAAGTCACAATAAGGAGAACATCGTAGTATGGATCAGCAGAGTAAGTTGTTGTTTACCATCGTCTTTTCAATGGAACTCGACTCTGTTTCATGGCTTCTCCTCTGCTTCTCAGCATCTTTGAGTCTCTCTTCTCGCAGATACTGTAGTACCTCTTGGTGCGACTCGGAGTAATAATAAATCCGACCTGTTCGTTCATTTGTTCCTAATCCCAAGACTTCATTCTCCTGAGAAATTCGTATCGACTCTGGTTTCATCATAATAATCAACTGCAAAGAAGAGAGTAAGTACTAGTTTGGTTTCTTGATTACCTTTGGTTCTTCAGTCGATCTCGATTCTGTTTCATCGCTTCTTCTCTCATCTTCTTTCTGATTACCTCCAGCGTCTGCCATGACAGTTGAGAGTTAAGTTCTCGTATCGGTTTCTTTCTACAATCTTGTCTCTTATTTCGGATTTTGTTTCTCCCTGCTCGTCTTTTCGGAAAATCAAATCAAAGAACGAATGGTCTTCATATGTATAACTAATGACTCCTCGGTTTCAGTTATGCATATAAATAGATTTCTTGTGAGAAAAGGAAAATAAAATATATATGTAGGAATTAAACATACTCGTACGTACGTAGCAATCGTTCCGACTCACAAAGTAAATCATAATTATAAGATAGAAGATGAGTTCTATAACAGACATTAGAAATGTAAGAAGATGCGTTGTTTTTGGTCATTACAAACTACATATTTATGCTCACCCTTCTCGACAGGGAACAAGGAGGGTGTAAACTTATAAAAGTCTCTGTGTTGCTGCTATTGGACTATCATCTGGATTCCGTAGAAACTAGGAGTTTGACGCCATTGTATGTTACAAAAGCTTGTTTCTTGTAAGACAAGTTATCAAATCACAACACACTAACTAATAAGAACAAGTCAAGAATTAACAGAAATATGATAATAGATGAATGGAAGAAATATAATAAACCAAATATGTATTCCCTTTATTATAGAAATAGTAAATTTCATTGTAACATATTGTTCTTAGACGATCGAGATAGATATAGAACTGGACAAAGGAAAATAAATAGCTAGGGTTTCCCTGAATCCTGATGCTGACAAAGCTTGGTTTATATAACATCTTCAACTTATTGTAATAAAATTAGTATTAGGAGAGTATTAGTCGTCAACATCAACGTCAGAATTATATGGCTGGCGGGGCGGTCCATTGATAGAAGTCCCCTTGTGCTGTATTGCCGTTCACTTTCAGTCCTATAAGTTGTGTTGTATGAGGTATCACCACATCTCCCTAAATAAATCAACAAAAAAAAAAGTAAATTGGGATGAGAAAGTGAGTGAGTGATTGAGCCACAAAATAATAGTTGAAGTGATGAATTTTATTTATTTATTTTTGCTTACAGAAGCATCGATCATGTCCTTAAAAAGTGGAGGATTAGTCATCAGATTCTCAGCGATGTCGAAAATTCTCAGTGCTTCTCCATCATTATTAATCAACTCAGTCAAGTTTCTTCTCAGATCTTCATCCTACAACAACAACAATTAAATAAATAAAAAGATGATTTGCAACGCACACGCTTTAATAGATTTGTTATCTAGGAGAGCTAGTACAATTACCTTGGGAGAGCTGGAATCAAAACCGTTTTCAGAAATGGTATGAAAACCTCGAAGAACAATTTCAATAGGGAGATTTGTGTCATCTACAACAGACCTTTTCGAGACATAAACCATTGATTGAGAATTTGGGTTTATGTCTGCTACCACTAGCTGCAACTCCAACCCAAACAATGCAGCTTCCTTTTCGGACAAGTCAGCTGCAAACTCAAGCGGGTTCATTGTGGACTGAGAGAATAAGGAAAACAATATAGTATAAGAAAATAAAAAACATTTTATGTAGAAAACAGAGTAGATTAAATTATTATATAAGATACCTCTAAGAAACGAGGAACCAAGGTTGTGCTGTATTGTGAGACTGGCTCACTGCTATCGAAAACAAAAGCAAATCTGCCTTTTTTAAAACCAAACCATGAACCACCTCGTAGTACTGCTTTGTCTGCATCTACTCCGGTTACAATACTATCTCCCTTATTACGATTCGAGGCAACCAACGTTTCCCTTCCTCTTTGATTCCTCGCAATTGTCACCCCCTCTGCTTCCCTTTAGATCCACTCGTACAATAACAAAAAACAACAATCCGATCAGATTAATCAACGGTGCATATTAATGCAATGTTGATGTACGTATAAATTAAGACACAAGAAAGATTCGAATAAGTTTGACTTGCAAGAAACCGCTTTTGTCTCTGTTCATGAGGAACAAGAATCCGGTTCCTTTCCATTGTAATGCCACTGTCCCCATTCTTCTTTCTTTCCGAGATTTGTTTAACGCTTTTAACTATTTGGATCTTTCTCTTTTGCTCTCTGTGCTGTTCTTTGTATTTGATGTTTTGAGTTGTGACCCCATGCTTTGTTTTTATAGCCGAGAGAGATGATGATGAATGATCTCTCTTCTCTGCTTTTTTGCTTTACCACTTGTTCTTCCTCTTTTTTCTAACGTAACCACTCCACGCACTTGAGAGCTTGATTTATCCAATTTTGGATATAGCTTTTGCTGTTTTCAGTCACCATCATACTCTCTCCTCCATTGAGTAACCCATGAATCGTGTATCTGTGGTGTAGAAGCACAATGTGCTATAGTAAGTAAAAGGGATGATGCAGAGTTTCAACATTTCCAAAATTATTCCGCTTTTGCTCTCTAGCTTTTTTGCTCTTTGACATTGAATGATGGAGGAGAGTCATGTGTATGGTGGAATGATCAAGACTTATTTTTATTTCTTACTATACTAAGAATATGTACAATGAAATTTGTTTTTTACTACACTAAGAATATACAACAAGTGGTTTCTGGTAGTAAGAACTCAATTTATTCAAAACTACTCTTTGGTCTTAGCTTTGCTTTGGTGGTAGTTCGACACTTTAAGGAGGAGTCATATGTGCAACAATTTGGAATTTACTTATTTTTACTAATTTGAGATAAAGTGAAACAAAGACGTTAAAGAAAACACGATGGAGATGATGAGGTAGAAGTTAGGCCATTCTTTTGTTGTTAGTGTGATTTTATTTTATTTGTTGATTGACTTTATACATGTTTGAATTTAGAGATAGGAAAGAGGAACTAAACAATTCGTATAAGTCAGGACAGACCCAAAATAAAGAAAGCATGAGATGGTTTACTTGGTTGTAGTATCAATGAGTCCCCATAACCACAGTTACATAGGCGTTGGTCATCCGATTAACTCAACTGGGAACAATGAGGGCGTAATCAACAATTAAGTTTGAAATAATGTTAGAAAATCTGTAATTGAGATAAGCGATTAACAAAGAAATTTAATATCGAAATTTTCATTTTTCTGTATACCACTAAGAAAGTTAAAAACTCATGTACATTTGATACAAAGCCATTTCACCAATTCTGATACTTGAAAATGAAAACTAGATGTGCATCTTTTTACAGTAAAGATAAGATCAGAAAAACAATTAGAGGTCCTGTTCTCATATGACTTCCGACTTCCCTTTAAGTCTTCTCTTTTTTCCCTGCAAAGCTAGGCAAGTAAACCTGTGTATCTGTCATACAGTATACCGATTTTTAGCATCACGATCAAGAGTCTTTGCATCCTCCTGAAAAAACAAATTGGACAAGTCACAATTGCACAAAGAGTGTAGTTTAGGAGAACACAAAGATGTTGCAGAAATGATACATGAACTATAAATCCGATTGTGTCATTGTAACCAACAAGTTCCTTCCATTGCTTCCCAATGCTTAGCTGCAGCAAACGCACCAATAACATGTCAGTCCCAAAAAAAAGCCTAGTTAACTGAATCGATGAAACCCAATTGCTACAAGATCGAGCCAATGGTATGTATGTGTTTTTTTGTATGAACGTAAAAAGGATTAAATTATCTTGTCCTGTAGTCTCCTTATTAGTTTTTGGTTAAGAACTTGGGAAACTAAGGAAATCCACTCACTCAGTGTTATGTTTCCTCAAGAACAAAGTCTTTTGATTACCACCACAGAAATCTACACATTATAACAATCATGATTTACCTGAGCATCCTCATCTGCAGCGTTCTTTGTCCATAGAGAGATCCTGTCCCCTCTGGCTCTGAAGTTCAAAACTGCCCCACAAATCTCATCTCCGTGATCAAATTGCTCACCAACTAAAGCAAGTAGCTAAAACAAGGATACAAAAACATCACAAAATGGATCCAACAGGCAGTATGGCCAAGGGGAAAGCACATGAAAGTTACAAATACCGTGTTAAGCCAATTGGATTCTAGTGTAGCTTTAGGGAACATCATAGTCCATTTTCCTCCATTAGCACAGATAGGATCTTCCCATTTTGGTTCAATCTTATGTTTGAAGCAGTAAAGATCCGCCCCTGGAACCCACTTGGTTGGAGGATGGATGTTATTGTAAAGACTGCATCAAGAAGTTGACGAGTTTAAAACTCATCCATCACAGGGAAATATGTAATTTACCTTAACATAAAAATGCAGAAAAAGAACACACACAAAGATCAAACAAGCAGATAATCAATATTTCTGATGTATACTCCTAAGTAAAGACTACAAACTAGCTTATTAGATGGATACAATCAAGAGAGGCTGATCAATATTTCTGATGTTTGCTCACAGATGCAGTGTAAAGCATTCCCAATTAAAAAACTTGAGCAAATCCATGAAAGCAACGGTTCCACTCAATCAAAACTTGGTAAAGTTAAGATCAGTAACCATTAGACAAAAGAGATCCTAAGCAGAAATCACCTAATCCATTCAAATTCCCTCTAGCTTATAGAAAAAACCAATGAAATTAACACGAAAGGAATCGTTCTCACCTCCAGAACTCCTCAACAGAAGAGAATGTATACAAAGATCTCAAAGAGCTTCCCCATGTGACTTGATTCGACTTGGACGAAGGATTATCAAACCAAAATGTCCAAGAATTCTCGAACAAGTGCGACTTATGGATTACGGTGGTTGATTTCTTCGACGCGTCTTCATTTCTCTTTTTCTCCTTCGACAGACCTTCCTCGTCGCCGGAGATAGCCCCCTTTATCGCCGGAAAATGCTTCTCCTTAAGGCTAGAGTTCGTCGTGGTGTTAGGATCGATATTCTCTACGGCCAAAAGCGCCGATACTGAAGAATCTTCAAACACCATTTTAACTCTCTCTCGCTCGCTCGCTCAGTTAGTTACTTTTCCGTTCGCTTCTTCACTCCGTCGACTCCGTTTCCAATTACAGACGGAGTGAGAAGAGAGAGAGAGAGAGAGGTCTTTAATATAAAGCCCAGCCCCAGTATTGTTCCGTTATTATAAATTTGGCCCATCAAAGGCCCATACATAAATGCGCGGGGATTTTCTTATTGTCATTTATTTTTTTATATTTGGCCTATTTGTAAAAGTTAGGATTAATCGTATCTTTAGTGATACGCAACTCCAACTCTTTTTTTTCCCTCTCTCGATTTTTAGGTTTAATACAAAATGGTCAATCACAAAAACTCATAGGCCAAATATAAATGTAAATGGTTTACTGATTCTTTAGCACCAAAATTGCTGACAGAGCAAAAAAAAAAAAAAAATGAATACTCAAAACATCTTTAGGAGATAATACTGGAACTAGGGCTCTTTCTTCATAATCTCTTCAACAGATTTCTTATATTCCTCAATCAATGCCCTGACACAAAAGATTTAAGAAGACAATAATATAAGTAAGAGAAAAACCAATCAATCTGAATCAGATTATCTGATCAAATAAAAAGGTTTTTTAACAAGTTATTGCTTACTTTCTTTGTTGAAGCAATTGTTCATTTTCTTCTAATTTTTCCTTATGGTCATCAACATACTTGTGAAAACAAGAAAATCCGTTAGCAAAAACCAGACCAAACTCAAATCTAGCTAGATCCAAATGCAATGTCTGAAACTTTTTTTTGGTTAAATGAATTACCACATTAATGTGAGATCCTAGGGATTTTGAAATTGAATTCAAGAGCTGTTGACACTTGTCAAAATGGCTGTTCACTTCAGTCACCTGCAATTCAATTCCACACTTCAGACAATTCAATATCAAAGAAACCCTAGAGATCCTAACAGCTTTATAAAGACTTGGATATATTTAGGATAGAGAAGCAAAGAAAACAAACCAGGGCACCAGAGTTCTGATCTCGTGGTCCAGCTTCAATCGCATCTGCTAATTTTTCCACCGACTGCGAATTCAAGACATGAGTATAATTAGACACCAAGAAGAAGAAGAAATTGATTCGTCTACTTTGTTTTTGCTTTGTGTTTTTTTTTTTTTATTACCGGATAAAGATTAAAATGAGAAGCTAACGATGGTTGCTGCTGCGGAGTCTGCACAGGTTGTTGTTGCTGCGGTGTATGGTGTGGCGTCTTCATCTCTTGTTCTTGTTCTGGTTGATGAACCTGTAAATTCGAACACGATCATTGAGGAGGTCAATGTATATATAAGCACGTGAGCCTAAAGAGATAATAATAGACTCCTGTATTTACGGGATATTAGCATATCCTCAAGATATACAAACTCATTATAACTTATAAGTACATCGAAATAATAAGAGTTCACAGTAAGGACCAGAGTACAGTTAGTTATCCTGACTCTGTTTCATCCACTCTAGTAAAGAAGAGAATCAGTTCTTTCTTGCGGGTACGTACCTGCATATTGTCTTGTGCCTCTGATTCATCGTTGCTTTGTTGATGCAGATTGTGATGAGCTCTCTCTGTCACTTGCCTTTCAGTATATCTCTGTATCTGTTCTTGGGGATTGTCTTGCTCTCGTAATTCCTACGGTATTGGTTTGAATACTAATCAAGGACTCTAATCATAGAACAGAGAACAACAACAAAGTTAAGCTCTTTGTTTATACCTCTAAATTTTCGAATCTTTCTTTTGAACCACGCTCTTCGGAATCCAGAATAATTTTTGCCTGAGAGTGAATACTCATATAAGTAAACGGCAAAAACATTAATACAAAAAAAGAAAGAAGACAGTTTTGGCTTAGTTATACCCTCTTCTCTGGCCTGGATCCTGACTCAATTTCGTGAGTTCTTCTAGGCTAAGAATCAAAGTCAACCAAAACGTTCAGATCAAAACCAATATGGACCATGGAGAAGAGACATTAGATGGGAAACTACCTGATACACATCTGAACCTTCCATGTCCTCTAAGTGTCGATATACACAAACTGAGCCGAACCGACAATTACCTCTCCGAAAATGCTGCAACGAACCGCACACACAATCTTATCAGATACAAGACTAAACCAGGCAAGAGAGATTATTATTATATATTTCAGATTCTTATTATTTCTTAAATGAAGTTACGATACTATAATAAGTTTTGTGTTACTTTTTCTAGATCATCAGGTATGTGATATATGAGAGTATCCAAGAAAGTGTACCTTACAGATGGGCAAATCACTCCTCTCCGGATGATCCTATAAAAATGTTTGAAAACCAGAAGATAAATTGCAACTTAGACTCAGCCAAACATAGGTAACTTTCTATATTTCTCACCTTTAGAAGATGAGTAGGATGATTGTAACGACAACTTCTTCCATAGCCACACAGACCAGTGTCGAGGTAAAACTGACAGTCTTTTTCACCGGGACGAACTGGATACGCATCTCTCAGATTCATATTTTCTAAAAATCAGCAACATGAACAATTAAACTTGGATTAACATAAACCAAACCGGATCGGATCATATCATTGAACCTCTCAAGATTAGAGAAGCAACCTCTGTTTTCATCAGAAGATGGAATCGAACCGACCCTCTTACTAGCTCCCTCTCTTCGTTCTTCCTGAAGATTCTCCTGAGAAATTCGTATCAACTCTGTTTTCTTTTTTTCTTTCTTCAAAACAATCCACAGTAAAGAACAGAGCAAGTTCTTGTTCAGTTTCTTTTACCCTAATTTTCTCGTCAGGCCTCAAATCCGGAGCTCGTCCCTGAGAAATCTCAGTAAGAAGATCGTAAAATGAGATTAACAGTGTAAATTCTTGTTCAGTTTCTTTGTTTGTTTACCTTGGTCTCTTTCATGGATCCCGACTCTGTTTCATCGCTTCTTTTCTCAGCTTCTTGCATCTTCGAGCGTCTGCCATTAAAGTCGAGATTGAGTTGTGCTAGTATCACTTTCTTCAAAAATCCCTAAAATCTTCTCTTTACTTCTTTACTTTTGTTTCTCTATTATATATATAGATCAAAGAATGCTTTTGCTTCTTTAGTTTTCAGCGGGAAACTGTTAAGCCGTATCTTGTTGGTTTTTCATTTTTATCTTCAATATTTAATTATTTATTTCGTCTTAATTTTTATATTTATTTTATAGTTCGTTTTATCAAATTGAACTTGTAACATTTCCACGTATATCTTAGGGAACAAGAAATATAAATTTGACCATACAAGAATAATACTGATGCGTAAATCTCAATATGTTGAGAAATATTAATTTCTACTCAACTGACATCCATACAAATGTAAATGAAATTGTTTACTATGATAGTTTTCCAGAATTGAAACAACTAGAAAGCATAATCTAATTCTTCTTTCAACACATATCATCAGTTTCTTGCAATCCAAGAAATCATCTGAAAGTTCTCTTTGGTGTGCCTCTTCTTTTCTCCATCTACTTTTTGATTCTCTGGCATCTCCTGCAAATCGAAATAATATACATATATCAAACGAGAAGCCACAATGAGAAAACATAGGAAGCTTTTCATCTACAGTGAAGAAACATAATCAGGTCTTGTTTCTGTGTGTTTTAACCTGTGATCACTGTTATAGTGTTGTTGCATATTCTCTTGAGCCTCTCTCTTCTGCGCGTCTCTCATTTGCATGGCTCCCTTCGCTATTTTGATTAGACGACTAAGTTTTCTGCCTTCTCCTATTGATCTCTGCTCCTGAAGATTGTACTGAGCCTCTCTCATCTGCCTCTCAGTTTGTTCCTGCATATTCTTTTGAGCATCAACGCTGCGATTCTGTTGAAGAGAAACGTAAAACACAACATAAGAACAAAGTCAGGTCTAGTCCATTTTTTTTGTTTTTTTTAACTTTACCATCTCCTTTGTAGCATGGCGTCTTGGATCACGCATTCGGGGATCCGGAGTACTTCTCTGTATCTGTTCCTGCGGATTATCTCGCTCTCGGATTTCCTACGACATTTGTTTGAATACGAATCAAGGACTCTAATCATAGAACAGAACAACAACAAAGTCAGATATTTCTTTACTATATAGTACCCCTTCATCTATATCTTCGGATCTGTCTCTTGAATCACACTCTCTGGAATCTGGTGTAGTTTTTGCCTGAGAATAAATACTCATATGAGTAAACGGAAACAGTTGAAAACAAATGAGAATAAGACATTTTTAAGTTTAGTTACCTTCTTCTCTGGCCTGGATCCTGAGTACTCTGTTTCATATCTCCTCTGAGCTCTCGCATCCGTAGGACTAGCCTAAGAATCAAACTATTATATATGGAGAGATGGCTTCTCATCTTGGAGAATAGACAAGACAACAGATGAAACTTACCTGATGCATAGGTTCTGGACCATTCCTGTCGTTTATGTGTTGAAAGCCACAAACTGAACCGAGCTTACAATATCCTTTCATCAAATACTGCAACGAATCGCATATAAAGAAGTTGAACATAACAGAAAAGAGATGTAAAGACTCAAACCAGACAAGAGATTCATATATTCCAGATTCTTGTTAGCTCTTAGATGAAGTTACAAAACTTGACTCACCTTACAAATCGGCACAGTAGTCCTCACCTATAAAGAATGTTTGAAAGCAGTAAGCCAAGAGAAAAGTTTGCAAGTTAGACTCAGCCAAACATAGATAACTTCTTTATTTCTCACCTGTGGAATTTGAGTTGGATGATTGTAACGGCAACTTCTTCCGTTGCGACACGGGCAACACCGACGGCAAACTGTTGCAGTGCGTTTCAATAGTCTCCTCTGTGTTCTCTCATCAAATATCCATTGGGATTCACTATCTCTCGGTGGTGTCTTTTTTTGCAGAACCTCTCGCGTGTCTGTGTAAGAGTTTTGGTAATCACGAATCTGACCCGCTTCGTTTATCCTCAAAACCGAGTCTTCTTTGCCCTGAGAAATTCGAATTGACTCTCTGGTTTCATCATAATATTCCACTGTCAAGAACAGAATAAATTCTTCTTCAGTTTCGTTACCTTCTTCTCCGGCAAATATCTTGACACTGTACCATCAGTTCTCTCATAAGACATTCTCCCTAAATAACTAAGCCCCATTACAGGAGGTGGTCCCTGAGAAATCAAAATTAAAAGAAACTTTAAATCTACACATCAGCCGACGCAAGAACCATACTCATCTTTCTCGACTTTGTTTCATGGCGTCTTTAACTTCTCCTCAGAAGTCACAAGAAACGTAAGGACCAATCTAAGTAAAACCGAAAGACCGAATCAAATCAAAAGTTACAGTAAGAACATCGTAAGTTTGGATCAGCAGAGTAAGTTCTTGTCCAGTTTCTTGTTTACCATCGTTTTTTCAACGGAACTCGACTCCTTTTCATGGCCTCTCCTCTGCATTTCCACGTTTCTCGATCTCTCTTGTTGCAGAGACCATCGTTTTTTCAGTGGAACTAAACTCTGTTGCATCCGACCTATTCCGTTTGTTCCAAATCTCAAGTCTTCATTCTCCTGAGAAAGTACTTGCTTGGTTACATCATAATAATCCACTGCAACGGACAGAGTAAGTAAGTACTAGTTTGGTTTCTTGATTACCTTTGGTTCTTCTTTCTGATTATCTCGTGCGTCTGCCATGAAAGTTGAGAGTAAAGTTCTCCTATCCGTTTCTTCGACTTCTTTCTACAATCTTGTCTCTTATTCCGCTTTTTGTTTCTCACTGCTCTAGTCTTCTCTGAAAATCAAATCAAAGAATGGTTTTTATATGCATACGAAAGAAAATATATATTGCTTGCATCTTGATTTTTTATTGGCAGGATTCTACTTCCGGGCATTTTATGGAATGTAATATTTCATTCTTCAACAGCTATACTCTGTGATAGGGTTATAAGAGAAAATTAAAAACCAACAGCTATTCCAAAAAATACAGTATTTTCGAAAATATGTAATTGTGATAAATGATTAACGTAAGAAATCGATTTTTTCCCTTTTCTTTATACCACTAAAAAAAGTGAAATCATGTACATTGATACAAACCCGTTTCACCAATTCTCATAGTTGAAAATGAGAACTAAAATGTGCATCTTTTTACAGTAAAGATAGATCAGAAGCATCTAGAGGTTCTCTTAAGTCTTCTCCTTTTCCCTGCAAAGCCGGCAAGTGTATCTCATACAGTATATCGATTTTTAGCATCACGATCAAGAGTCTTTGCATCCTCCTGAAATAAACAAATTGGACAAGTCACAATTGCACAAAGAGTGTAGTTTAGGAGAACACAAAGATGTTGCAGAAATGATACATGAACTATAAATCCGATTGTGTCATTGTAACCAACAAGTTCCTTCCATTGCTTCCCAATGCTTAGCTGCAGCAAACGCACCAATAACATGTCAGTCCCAAAAAAAAGCCTAGTTAACTGAATCGATGAAACCCAATTGCTACAAGATCGAGCCAATGGTATGTATGTGTTTTTTTGTATGAACGTAACAATGATTAAATTATCTTGTCCTGTAGTCTCCTTATTAGTTTTTGGTTAAGAACTTGGGAAACTAAGGAAATCCACTAACTCAATGTTATGTTTCCTCAAGAACAAAGTCTTTTGATTACCACCACAGAAATCTACACATTATAAGAATCATGATTTACCTGAGCATCCTCATCTGCAGCGTTCTTTGTCCATAGAGAGATCCTGTCCCCTCTGGCTCTGAAGTTCAAAACTGCCCCACAAATCTCATCTCCGTGATCAAATTGCTCACCAACTAACGCAAGTAACTAAAACAAGGATACAAAAACATCACAAAATGGATCCAACAAGCAGTATGGTCAAGGGGAAAACTCCAGAAAGTTACAAATACCGTGTTAAGCCAATTGGATTCTAGTGTAGCTTTAGGGAACATCATAGTCCATTTTCCTCCATTAGCACAGATAGGATCTTCCCATTTTGGTTCAATCTTATGTTTGAAGCAGTAAAGATCCGCCCCTGGAACCCACTTGGTTGGAGGATGGATGTTATTGTAAAGACTGCAGCAAGAAGTTATCGAGTTTAAAACTCATCCATCACAGGGAAATAATTTACCTTAACATAAAAATGCAGGAAAAGAACACACACACACAAAGATGCAGTGTAAGCATTCCTAATACAAAACTTGAGCAAATCCATGAAAGCAACGGTTCGACTCAATCAAAACCATTACACAAAAGCAGAAATCACCTAATCCATTCAAATTCCCTCTAGCTTAGATTTACTCAAAAGAAAATACCAATGAAATTAACAATAACGAGAGCGATCTCACCTCCAGAACTCCTCAACAGAAGCGAATGTGTACAAAGATCTCAAAGAGCTTCCCCATGTTACTTGATTCGATTTCGACGAAGGAGTATCAAACCAAAATGTCCAAGAGTTCTCGAACAAGTGCGATTTCTGGATTACGGTGGTTGATTTCTTCGAGGCGAAGTAGTTTCCACTGGAGATGATCGTTTCCTCCTTCGACGGACCTTCATAGTCACCGGAGGAGATAGCCTTAATCGCCGGAACATACTTCTCCTTAAGGATAGGGTTCGTCGTGGTGTTAGGATCGATGTTCTCTACGGCCAAAATCACCGACACTGAAGAATCTTCAACCACCATTTTTCTCTCTCACTCGCTCGTTCGCTTGATCAGTTAGTTACTTTCCCGTTCGCTTTGCTCCGTCGAGTTCGTTCCCAGTTACAGACGGAGATGAGAGAGAGTGAGAGAGAGGGCTCTATAATATATAAAGCCTAGTCTTGGTCCATCAGGCCCATTACAGGTCCAAAACTAAAATGCGCGGGATTTAATAATAATTTTTTAATTTTGGAATAAAAAGAGCGACAAAAACAAAGAGAGACCTTTGGCTTGGACTCGCGTAACGGCAACAAGTCTCTCTCTTTTATAGATATCTGTGCGCTTTCGCTTTCTCCTAAGCTCTCTTTAAATCTGTCTCTCTCTCTTTCTCACTTATTAGGGTTTGCCAAACTGGATCTATTTGGATATTTACTCCCCCCATGGCTTCACTTCTTTCAAGCTCCTATGAGTTCTTTGGAAATGGTACGATTTGCTTTACTGGAGCTATTTTTATTCCGATTGTGTAATTTGGGTTCTGTTCTCAATTTTGTTGTGTTGCCTTGGGCTTTCCACTAATTCTCTGCTTTTGATGCTGGTCGTTTTATTTAAAATGTGGATTGTTAGGGTTTTAGCTTCGTAATTTCTGTAAAGTCTAGGTTTTTAGAATGTGAAATTGGGTTTGTGATTTTGCCCTCTTCTTTTGGTAGATTATCAATTCGGAAACCTGTTGTCTTGTTGATATGATTACTGCAAGAAGCTTGATTTTTGTGGTGCAATTCTAAAATTGGCATACTTTAATTTCAAACTCCCAATTGGCTTAGGTAACTTGGAATTCTGATGAAGTAATGCTTTGTCACAGCCTGTGTGGCTTAAATCTAAGGTCACTGTTATAAGGATTTTATATAAAGCATTGATCTTGTGGATCTAAAGGCTGGGACTATGAGTTTATAGGCCTCACGGTCACGGGGTTGTATTCTTTTGAGTGTGTATTTGTTTTGGTTTTGTTTTGTTCTTTAATAACATGCCTTGCATTCTTTTACCCTGATGTTGAATAGGTCATCAAACAGCTGAGATGTTGCAGAGACTTGATCCAAGGGTATTTACCTGGTTGGAACCGGTGAGTTGAGATGTTTTATCTCCCAGGTTGGGTTAGGGAATGAAGCCATTGGTCCGTGCTTGTAGGATAGATGTATAAAATATTTGATGTCTATCTTCTCTTCCGTTTGGAAAAAAATTGTTTGGATTCTTGATCTATAATTATTTCTGGTTCTAAGGCAAAGTTTTCCCGATAGAATTCTCATTTCTTGAATCATACACATCAGTTTTATTAAGATCTTGCTCTACAAAGAATTTGCTTTGCATACATAATACACCCTGAGGCAGTCAGATTAGGGTCTTAGTGTGGAAAACCACGACAATGAGATATCCTACAACATCCACGTAATCAAATTGAAAGCAATACATATGATCTCGAGATGTTTTTGACATTTTTTGAGTCATGGAAGGAATGCGCTTGTGCTGTCTCTAGGTGGATCATGACCTTGTGAGACATCTTGTGAATGAGCCTTACCTTGACCAAGCCAAGACGGCGTGAGACTAGATGGGAAAACTTTCTTTTTTGATTCAGGTTTCCATGCCTTCCTTTCACTGACAGCATCCGAGAAACTCCTGAGTTCGTTAAGTCGCTTCATCTTTTCCTTCTTCTGCTTCTTCTTTTGGAAATAGAGGAAGAATGAAGCCAACACTTTGGTGGCTTTCTTCCCAGATGATGATGATGAAGAAGAAGAAAAATCTTTCTGAAGTTTCAAATGCCGGTAATGGCGTCTGGGACAGCTCTTGGTGATTCTGATCAGGAGCTTCTTACAGCGCCGCATAATCGTTTGGTTAAGTGTAACTAGTGATGCCGTGGCTCTCATACTTGTGTGCTATATGATATGTTTGAAGCAAAAGCAAGTTCCGAGAGACGAAGAAAGAATCAGGGTATGTGATGCTCTCTGCGTCCCTCAGGTGGGTTCTCTTTTGTAGCCATGATTTTGGATTTTTGGCAGGTGGGTTTCACGTTTTTGAGTCTTGAAATAAGTTTGTGGTAAGCCATGATATGTGCTCTTCACAGAGGCTTTTGTCTCTCTCTACTACTGACGAAGTCATCCTACTTAAAAAGTGCTTACAATTCTTAATTGAATATATCATCTATATATTAGTAATTTAAACCATCAAACATAGGATATTCTATTTATACATAGTTTACAAATTGGACAATTTGTACTGTATTATTTAATTATTTTTATCGTTGGCCCCTAATGCATTGACTCGGATTTGAAGCCATTTTTGTATTATTAACAGCGGTAACAAAATAGTCAAAGCAGTAATTTATGTCCTACGCATTGGTAAGATAGTGAAACTCAATAAAAAAGAAAAGGATTTGTTAAGAGTCAAGTCAACAATTTTTACCAAAAAAAAAAAAGAGTCAAGTCAACAAAACCATATCAACGATACCAAACTTAGTATTGTATAATCAAATGTTTTTGTTGTGTTCATTGTATAATCCCATTCTCTAATGTGGAAATATATCTGGTGATCGTTGTTGAATAAGAAATAAATTTTAATTAAGGCAAGTTGAATTTTAAAAAATTTGAAAAAGGAGGAATTAATTATTAATAAATAAAAAAAGACTCCTTATCTCTTTCCTCTGTGGGAGATTCTGGTTTTGCCCAACATAGAGACAAAAAGGAAAACGCAGTCCACACACACACACACACCAACTCACACTGGAGAAGAAGACAAACTTTGAATTTTGAAGTGAGGGAACAGTTTCATTTCCGGGAGGACGACGGATTCGATTATTCCGATCGATCATGCCGTCCGGTGCGAAGAAGAGAAAGGCGTTGAAGAAGAAGAAGCAGCAAGAAGCGATTGGAGCTAGTACGAACAGTAAGGGTTTTAATGGCGATAATCTCCATGGTACATTTCATAGCTCACTCGCTTCGTTTTGGTTTTAAGATTTCGTTGTTGTTAGGTCGACAGATTTGTCTTCGATGTTGTGTTGAGTGATATTTAGTATAGGTTTCCGCAAGTTATCGCCTAGAATTTAACCATTTCATGGTTTGTCTATGGAGAGAGATCTGTTTGATTACTACGTGATAACTTTTGATTTTTTGGTTTGTATCACTTAAGTCTCATCTCACTGGTTCTTCATGATTGTAAGAAGACTATGTTGGACTGATGAAGTGTTGGATTGTTTTCTCATATCATTATTTTTCAGTAATTTTTTGGAAGAGAAAAAGTCTTATTCGTGTGCTTAGTTGTTTGATCATTAAATTTAACATTCATTTCAGGGCATAATGAAGATGGAAGCCAAGATGGGAGGGGAAGTGATAGCAGTTTGAGTTCCCCTGGTTCTCAAGGAAATGAAGAATTTGGGAAAAAAGATTCACCTGCTGCTCTATCGTCTGGGATGGTGAAAGGTGCTGCTAAAGAGATATCTGGAGATGCAACGGTTACTCAGGGACTTGGACCGAAAAATGGCAGTCCTATTGCGGCTGAAAGAGGAATGAATTACCCCAAAAGTACCGCCAAACATGTAGCTTCTGGTAATTCGGAAATCACTCCTGTCGTTGATTCTGTCAAACCTGTGGTTTCTCTTTCCAAAGCAGTGGCTTCTGAAAAGATAGAGCATGTTGATAAGACCTCAACACACTCAAGTTTGGTCAAAAAGAAGTCTGACGAAAACAAAGAGTATCATCCAACTCCGGGACTGGAAAATAATAATTGTAAGGTGCTTACTGTTCCAAGATCTTCTGCTGAAACAAGCAAAAAAGTAGAGACTGTAAGAAACTCTGAAGCTCCAGTATCCTCTGAGGGAAAGGTAGCATCTCTGTCCTCCTTTTTGCATCATATGCAATGTGTTTTCATCTCTTTTCAGTTGGCTGAATATTCTTGATGTTTGCAGCGTCCTTTGCTGCCTGGTCCACCAGTTGTCCGAAGGACTTCATGGCTAAGCTGCTGCGGTCTGTTTGATGCTATGACAGGATCTGATAGATAAACACAGGTTAGTCTTGGTTTATGATTCTTGGTACATATACTTTATCTGGTTGAGGCTCCTGATTACTAAGAACTCCCATGACCTACAATTTGTGATATTCTTCTGATGGTTTACTTTAATAAATCACTGAAACTACTTCACATTTATATTGTATAGTAAGATGGTTCATGGAGTTAGATTCTTGAATTGTGAGTGGCTCTTGAGTTGATTGTTTAGCTCAGACTTTCAATCAGTTTCTCCACTTTAAACCGTTTTCTGAGAGGTTTGTTCTTCTATAGTAGTTACTGAAACTGGTTAGAATCAATGTAGCTATCCAACGACACAACTCATGCTTGATCATTTGACAACTAGCAATTTCGTTTGAGCTACAACAAAATTATAGTCTTGCAAGGAATCTGAAATTTATGTTCGCATGCTGAATTGTATCTTGCACATCATTCTGTTCTTCGAAATTTTGATTGTGTTTTTATGTATTAAAAGAATTTCCCTCAAGTTTAGCTAACTGTTGATGTTGTTTCATTTTTCTTGCCACAAAATCTTGTCTAAATCGCAGTTAGCCTAAACCCATCTTTAAGCGTCAACTAGTAAAAGGATCAGATTCTTGTAGTTTTTTTATCCATTCTTCCTCAGGGATCAAATCCTTTTGTTGTTCTTGTATAGATATTTATCAACATTATCTATTTATTATGTTAAACCTATCTCATGAAGCTGTCCTCTCTGTATTGTGCTGCAGAAGAGCAGGGGATACATGAAGGTGAATGCGCTTGACAGCCAAAGCTTAAAGACAACCGAAAGAAACAGGATTTACGGTCCGTGCACTCTTCTATGTACATTATGTCTTTGATAGATGATAATGTGGGCGGCTTTTAGAAACATACAAACAAGACCAAACATCCTTGATAGGGTCAAATTTCGTTTTCTTTTAATTTGAAATACAGTCTTCTTTTGTTCATTATATGGATCTTAGATTTATAAGACTAAATATAGTTCTATTTTTCTGTCTACTATCTTCTTTCTGTAGTTCATTAGATATGTTTAGAGGTATGATCGAAATCAAAAGCCTCAAAGTTTGATTTTATTCCATAAACACAAAGCGACACACAAAACAAGCTCTGATCCTTTTGTACATAAAGAATGCATGAATTAATCTTAAGCTTCCTAAGAATTTAAAATCACACACACACAAACACAAATACTCGCACACATTCAATCACAAGTTTCGGATGATTGACAAGAACGGAAGCACAAAGCCCATGATTCCTTATGGTCTCCTCACACCGTGAACCGCGGCGATGTAAACAAGCTGAGTGACTGAGAGTATGATCAAGAACGCCTCCATGGTTCTCTACATAGAAGACGACATAAAAAAAGGGAGGGACATGAAGCCAATAATTTAGAGTTTTCCTAAACTGAGTCTATTAGATTCGAGAATAGAGAAAAGTCTCACCAGTTTAGCATTTCTCCCTTGAAGCTCGATTTCTTTCCATGCGAACCTGGAAAGAAAGAAGGAGTAGTCTTACCATCAATGTCTTTTAATATTAGGCGTTTGCTTGTGAAACAAGAGACGTTTCTAAATTTATTTATTTATTTATTTTTATTTTTTTTGACGTTTCTAAATTTATATTACCCCATGGCAAGGACTGTGAGGGTCCAGGCAATAGTTGCAGCAGTCGCTGCAGCCGGTAAGCTTCCCACGGTCCATGAACGAATGTGGCTAAGGCCCGAGATGGTAGAAGCCGCACCAACCACTCCCGCCAGCAATGCAAATATCACAAAAAATCCTGTGGCTGCGTTTCCCATCGGGAAATAAATTGGGGAGAAATGTGCTGGTAGATTTAAATTTGGGCCTGCTCAAATTTGTTCCCACAAGAACCCAAAATGTTAGGAAGTTCAAGAACAACAAGAACAAATAGTTTGTGCCAAAAGCATACAAATTCGAGAAACTGTAAGGTATCATAATCGATAACCAACCAATCATAGAGATGAATCTGAATTTTCAACCCTTACCGACTTCAAATCCATGGTCGATGGCTCGGTTCATGGCCCATCCTCCAATGCCTAGAACGATCACATACATGCAGAAGTTCAGCACCAGAAGTCCAGAGGCAACAGGTTTCATTTGCTCACCCGCCATTTCGCCTTTTGAAAAACTACGAAAGCCGGAGGATGAGAGAAGCAAGAAGAATGAGGAAAATTAAGTTTGTTCTTATCTGGAATGAGGCATAATGAAGCTACTTTATATACTAACTCGTATTGTTCTTTTCTTGTCAAGGCTGCTGGTAATACAAGAAAGGTTGATTAGAGAGTTGTAAAGTTCATAGCTTCAAGTTTAAGGCAGTTTTTATCAAGCCCAAGATTCTTGGCTTTGTTCTTTGTACTTGTAGAAAGTATTGTCCAATTTTCCAAGAGTTTTTTAAGATGTTCTTACAGAAGACAAAAGTTAGATTCTTTAGCAGTTTTATGTCTCCTTATTTTGCTTTTTATCCAGTTGGGACATGGTATTTATTCTTAAACAATTCTCAATGACTTTTAGTATCTTTTCTATTGTTCAAATCTAGTTTTCCTATTTTAAACAGTAGTGGTAACTTTTGTCTTGTATAATAGTATTGAATTATCTGAATCTTTACAAAAAAAAAAGAAGTAGAAAGAATATATCTTCTCTAAAGCAAATCTAAAACACAAACAATTGTTGAGTACTCTGTTCTTGTTGTTGCAAAGAACAATGTAAAGAGCATCTAGCACTAGAGATTGACATTAACAAAGCCTTTTCCGTATCTCTGTCCATTCTTCTTTCGACTAATTTGATTAGATACTCCAAGAAACCTGAATCGAATGGCAACGTGATTGGTCCTTCCGTGGAGAGGCCGAACTCTTCTTCAGATATCTTCAAGAGCTCTTGGAAAACAGAGTTGCTCAGGTAACTTATGGGAAAAGCAAAGCGTGTGCCATCTGTCGTGTAAACCACAAAACAGCCCTTCTCTGAAGCGGTTGAGCTAGTAGCAGTACTTGATCTCTGGAATGAGATCCTTTTCCTGTGTAGGGCTGCTCTCTGTTGCCATTTCTTGGCCAGCTTGATAAGCTTCTTAGTGTTCATCATTTTTTTCAAGAAAAAATTGTGTAGATCAGAAAGCACAAAGAGTTTGTCAATTGTGTTGTAGAACTCTTTGAATGCAAGTTTTGTTTGGTTGAAAAATCCCACAGGCTTGTTTCATTATATATAAGAAAACTAATTCAGACAGAAACACATGCCAGGTTTCTTGTCTGTGATCATGGGTCACAACTTAGCAATCAATCTTATTTCAAATCAACTTGTGGATTAAAACATATATGGTGAGAACTGAGAAGACATGACCATGTGGGTATGAATCTTATAATAAGGACGTTTATATATGTCAAAGATTTAGGTGATACAAATACATAATATTAAATTAAAACCTTTTGATCTTCCATTCCTGGGTTCCTAAAGGTCTCAACTTATTAATCAATTATGTCTGCAACTTATTCATGTGGGTATGAATACTATAATGAACATTTACATGACTAGAGTTAGGTACTAATACATTGCTGAAGAATGCAAGAGGCTGTTATTACAGCATATACATAATGAGAACTTATATATGCAAGAGAAGCCAAAAATACCAAACTCATGCATCTGTACAGCTTTGTTTCTTAGCATAAGGGGTCCTTAGTTGGTTAGTGGTCCATCGGCTATCATCAAACATGAGTCACACAAATAATAGATCAAGTACTTATTATTCAGGGGACAACAAATCTTCTTGTGAGATCAAGGACAACAAATCTGGTTAGAATTAATGATCAGTTAGATACAAAGAAAGGCATGTGCTGATGAAGTAAGGATGAAGAACATGTAGGTCCATAAATTTTCTGGCCAGGAGAAAAGACACCTATAATCAACAGTTTCTGCTAAAATTTAATATTTCCTTGAGATTCAAATGACATGTTCTTGGTGCAGTCTATGAGAAACTTGATGGAAGGCAATTCGTTTTTACGCTGCTGCAGCATTTTTCTTAAAAGATAGTATCATAGTAGATATTGTATGTCTTCAGAGGAGTAAATTTGTTTTAGTGGAAAATTGCTCAAAGATTGTTCTTAAGGACTTTAGAATGAAACTGTGGGAACATATGACATTGAAGTTAATTTAGATGAGAAGATCTAAAAAAGAGACAGTGAGAGAAACAAAAATAGTTGTTTGTATATTTCAAATGATCTGTCTAATCTAATAGTACAAAGAAATGTCTATACTCTGATTCTCTAAAATACAAGTAATTGTTGAGTAGTTCTAGAGTGTTGTTCTTGTTGTTGCAAAGAGCATCTAGAACTTGAGATTGACATTAACAAAGCCTTTTCTGTATCTCCATCCATTCTTCGTTGGATCAATTTGATGAGATACTCCAAGAAAACCGAATCAAACGGCAACGTGATTGGTCCACCTGCCGTGAGGCCGAACTCTTCCTCAGAGATTTTCAAGAGCTCTTGGAAAACAGAGTTGTTCAGGTAACTTATCGGAAAAGCAAAGCGGATTTCATCAACGGTGTAAACCACGAAACAGCCCTTCTCCACAGCAGTTGTTGAGCTGCTGGTAGTATCAGTTCTTGATCTCTGAAATGAGATTCTTTTCCTGTGGAGGGCTGCTCTCTGTTGCCATTTCTTGGCCATCTTGAGTAGTTTCTTAGCGTTGATCATCTTTTTTCTTTGGAAAGAGAGCAAAAAGATTTGTAAGTATAGAAGTCTCTGAATGAATGAAAGTTGTGATTGATGAAGAATGCTATAAGCTTGGTTGCATTATATAGAAAGGAGAAACTATTAAGAGTTTTTAGATATATTTAAGAGCAACCAAAGCAGACAGGAACACATGCTCATGTATAGTTCTTGTCCTAAAAGTAGCAATCAAATCATATTTTGCTAAATCAACTTGCGGATTAAACCATTTACAACATGGTGATAAGAAAACATGACCATGTGGGTGGTATATGAATCAATGTTAGAAAGACATTTCGAAGTTGAAAGAAAGATGTGGAGATCATGCGGGTCCTCAGTCCTCTCATGTTCTCAGAGATGACTGAGAGAAGCTAAAAAACATTAAACATTGAGAAATTTTGAATTAATGGTAAACCGAAATAAACCGAAGTGAACCGAAAACCCTATTAGCTACTACATCTTGAAATCAAACAGCCTCTATATAAATGAGGCCGTCGCTGACAACCTCAAAGAGTCAAAGTACAGAGAGAGACCTCGAGGGTCCTCCTCAACTCAACTTCGAATCATGTCTTGGTCTGGTTTAGGTCTTTTGTGTCAATCGTATCATATGTCTTCTTCTTCTATATAAACCCTCGATGCTCTGTGTAGTTATGTTATTGGTGAATTAGGTTGTTTGTCTCTGCAAGTGTTTCTTCGTTTAGCTTAGATTTGAGGAAAGTGATGATATGAAATTGTCGCCCCAGTCTTAATTTGCATCCATTACGATGGAATGTAACATGGTGATTGACTATTTTTGTCTGATTCTTCTCAAAACACTTTCTTTCTTGTTCTTAGAATCTAGTATAGTGCATATGATGAAATGGCATTAATGTTTTGTGACACCCAGTCTGATCTGCTTCGGCAGAGTGATTGATTTGCCATATTTTCTGATCCAAATTAATGTTTTCAATTTTATGAATTTGATTCAAAGTTTTGACCTTTTTAATAGAGGAATGAGGATATAATTCCATACGTCTGCAAATCAGAAATACAGTGTTGATACAATGACATGCACTACCATCTGACCTCTTCTGTATCCTGTCTTCTCGGCTGTTCTGTTTTGAGTCCTTTGTTTTCTGCAATCAATGATGAAATTATGTCAAAGTTCAATGATTATACAATGATTATCAAAATCACTAGATCACCATCTTTCGGCTGAGACTGCAAGTTTTCACTTTTCTATCTCGTTGTGTTGTTTTTGGGATTGCCTACGGTATCTGATGTCCAAATTTGAAAACATGTGTTTGGACATTTCGTTTTTCTTAGGCAGAAAGTGAAATCAGGCTTTGCGACACTGTTAGCTTCTTAAAACCATAAGCTACCTGTTACTTTAATACCTGTTTACATCTTACTTATCAACTTGGTTTTGTTTTGTTTTCCTGAGTCAGTCTTGTTTTATAATTCGTTTTGTTTTGTCTTCCTATATCAGTCTTGTTTTATAATGTTACTGTTACGTTCGTACGTATGCAGGTTATCTTTTCGCTTACATATATGGCGTGGAAGTTGATAACCTTCTGATAGTTAAACTTCTTCAATTGTTTGAAGAACACCTATTGTCATTTATTGAATTGTAAATGTAATACCAAGTCTTTATGACCCCAAATATAAATAAAGAAATTTGTCAATTTTGCATTTGAGCTGCTGCATAATCTTTAAGTAGCTAAATAATTGTTAATCGAATTTGAAGTCATGAAGACAAACAAGAGATGAAGTTACCACTGTATATCGTGATGGACAAATAAAGAGTTTTGTATTTCAGTGTTAACTAACTGCACGCATATTTACAAACATATTTGTAATGGTATCAAATACTCTAAAATACAAACAATTGCTGACTCCGTTCCTGTAGTTGCAACGAGCATTGTGAAGAACATCTAGCACTAGATATTGACACTAACAGAGCCTTTTCAGTGTCTCCATCGATTCGTCGTTGTACCAATTTGATGAGATACTCCAAGAAAACCGAATCGAATGGCAAGGTGATTGGTCCACCGGTTGGGAGTCCAAACTCTTCTTCAGATATCTTCAAGAGCTCTTGAAAAACAGAGTTGCTCAGGTAGCTTATCGGAAAAGCAAAGCGTTTATTATCTGCCGTGTAAACTACAAAACATCCTTTTTCTACAGCGGTTGAGCTGCTGGTAGTAGTGGACTTGTGAAATGAGATTCTTTTCCTGTGGAGAGCTGCTCTCTGTTGCCATTTCTTGGCCATCTTGATTAGCTTCTTGGTGTTCATCATTATTCTCTTGGAAAGCAAGAAAGATATATTACTTGAAAGTTGTGTTGAAGAAACCTTTGTATTATTGCAAGCTGTGTTTGATGAAGAATGCTATAAGCTGTGTTGTATTTATATATAGAAGGAGAAATTAATAGATTTAGACAGAATTGGTGACAAGCTATTAAGCACCTAACCAGACACAACACATGCTTATGTTTCTACTCTATCTCTATGTGATCATAACTCATAGGGGTCCTAAGTTGGTAATCAATCATGTCTCCAAATGGAACTTGTGGACTATATACAACTTCTTGCGAGAACTGAGTAGACATGAATCATGATCATGTGGGTATGAAATTCTATATGGACATTTTTTATGACAAGAATTAGGTACCAAGACTTTGATGAAGAATGCAAGAGGCTGTTGTTACATTTTATATAGATATATATATAATGAGTAGTTGAGAACTTGTCAAGCAGACAAGAAAACAAGTCTTGAAGACAAGAGCAGCCAAAAACTAAAACTCATGTTTGCTTAAGGGTCCCCATGTTGGTTAGTTGATCCATATAGCTACTTCAAATGTGGTATTATTAGATCAAGCAGGGAGCGACAAATCAGGCTTAAAATCAATGATCACAATTTATATTATGATCATAAATTATGTTGGTAAACACAAAATTATGTTAGCTAACACTAAACACAAAAATTATGATCATATATTATGTTGGTAACCAAAATTAATCTATCTAACAAACTTGTGGATTAAAACATCTGTTGAAAAGACATGACCATGTGGATGTGAGTATGAATTTTACACAGATACAAAGACATGTGCTGAGTGATTATGCAGAACTTGTAGACCCGTTGATGTGTCTCAGAAAAGTTAAAACCCAAAACTTGCAGAAACTTCAGTAATTGTTAATAGCTCGGTAAATTAGTGAAAACGTTTCATCAAGTTAATCTTTGTAAAATCATTGGAACTTTCATCTTGGTGGATATAGAGATAATTTAAGTAACTGTTGTCTATTTGACAGATTAATTTGTAAGTTCAAATCATAAGAACATCTCTTGTTCTTGTGCAGTCTTGGTGTGCCTTAATAGAGATTCATATCGACACTCGATGAATCATAGTGTATATACTTTTAGCAGCTAGATCATTTTTTTATATCTAAATGGCTTGAAGATTTCAGAGGTTTATATGAAACAGTCAGAACAATTGATTTTTGAAGTTAAAGGAAGTCTCCATTTAATTAGAAGTTGATTTTGCATTTTGCAACTTAAAAGAGAGACAAAAGAATAGTTTGTATTTCTGAACAGATCGATCTATCTAATCTACTATAAACTTTACAAAACACATGTATTTACTGAACTCTAAAATACAAGCATTTGTTGAGTAATAACACTACTTTGTTGTTCTTGTGGTTGCAAAGAGCATCTAGCACTTGAGATTGACATTAACAAAGCCTTTTCCGTATCTCCATCCATTCGTCTTTGGATCAGTTTTATGAGATACTCTAGAAAAGCCGAATCAAATGGCAATGTGATAGGTCCTTCCGTCGGGAGACCAAACTCTTCTTCTGATATTCTCAAGAGCTCTTGGACGATAGGGTTGCTCAGGTAACTTATTGGAAAAGCAAAGCGGATTTTATCTGCCGTGTAAACCACGAAACATCCCTTTTCTACAGCAGTTGAGCTACTAGTAGTAGCACTTGACCTCTGAAGTGAGATTCTTTTCCTGTTTAAGGCTGCTCTTTGTTGCCATTTCTTGGCCATCTTCATGAGCTTCTTTGCGTTTATCATCATTTTCTTGGAAAACCTTGAGGTTGGAAAGTAAGGTGGATAAAGAAAGAGAAAAGATCGGTGAGCTCTGTTTGTAGTGTTCTTTGAATGAAAGTTCTGGTTGGTGAAGACTACAATAAGCTTCTTTCATTATATAGAAGGGAAAACTATTAGATAGGCTTTGTGACAAGCTCCAGAGCAACCTCAACAGACACAGCACATGCTTATGTCTCCAGTCTATAAGGGTCCCAAGTTGGTAATCAATTATGTCTATCAACTTGTGGACTATACACCTTGTTGTGAAAAGACATGATCATGTGGGTATGAATACTAAATGAACATTTACATGTCAAGAGTTAGGTATTAAGGCGTTGATGAAGGATGCAAGAGGTATAGCTCATGCTTATGTACAACTTTGTTTGTATTGTAAGCACAAGGGTCCCAAGTTTATATGAATCTTATATATATATTTAGAAACAAATATATGTGATAGTGAATATAAAATACAGAACTTGTAGGCCCTTTGATGTTCTCAAAGAAGTTAAATCCCAAAACCTGCAAAACAATTCAGTAGATTCCCAATATTTACACAACATACGTCTAGAGAAGTTAAACCTGCAGAAATTGAAGTTTAATAGATTGAAGTTCAAAGTTTATTCATGTAGATTTCCATGGTTCTTTACCTTTTTCCATGAGAATCTTAAAACAAAGCTTTTGAATTTTTTATAGATTTAAAATCTTTGGGAATAAAACAATTCCAAGAAAACCTAGTTGAAAACAGATCAAGATAAAGATACAAACATTTCTATTGATATTATGTGCGAGTAGTAGTTTGGAATGAGATTCTTTTCCTCTTTAGGGCTGTTCTCTATTGCCACTTCTTGTCCAAAACAGATCAAGATACAAACCTGAATGTGAGAATATTTCTATTGATATTAAAAGATGATAGACATGCATAATGAATCACTTCTTTTGCAACTTATATGAGAATCTTTTCTATTGATGATATGATCAGAATAATTCAAGGCATTTTTGCCAATAATTTCTTTACAGCCTCACATGTTCAGTTACGCCTTATATTTCGACTATATATATGTCTCTTTCCTAAATTATCACAAGATTCACATACTTGTTGAGCTTTGACACTTGGTTTCCCTCTGATTAGTGCTCTCAGAAGATCCAACATTCTCTGTAATCTGAGAATCTTGCAGGGAGCTCTCAATGCTTTTTCCTTTTGTTGATCTCTGCTGCTTCTTTCTCCTTGATCTACCATTGAAGTCGCTTCTTGACAACAAACTGAATTTTTTCAAGCAGTCAATTTCAGCTTGCATGAATGTGTAGCCAAGCGGTTCCAGTTCGCTATAATATTTCAGATGATCGTCAAAGAAATCATCTGCAACCATCTGACAAAAGAAGACAGAAACAACACTACATGAGTACTAAACACAAATAACTTGCTGCACAAGAAATATCCAAGAACTATGTAATGATTTGAGATTTATATTTGCGTACTTGGTTTATAGCTAAGCGAGCAGCTATCCTCTTCCTTTCAATGTGTTCTCTTCGTTGGTCGATGTGCCTTTTCTCATGAATTTTATGTTGTGCCTTAGCTATCAAGTTTTTCAAATCAACCCTCTCATCAGGCGCCTTGGCCGAAATTGATTTCTCAGGTTTAGTAACCTTTGTTGTATTAGCCCTCGCATCCACCGGTTTAGTAACCTTTGTCTTTGTCTGTTGCTTTGACTCGGACACTGTTTTGTCAAGACTCGGTGGTGTCAACTTCCTAATAGATTTCGCCTGAAGAAGATTTAACAAAAAAGTCAAACAACGTAAGCAAATTAAAAATAAAAAACATTATTTACAAATCAATCTTTAATTTAGGAAACAAGAATAAACAATTGTTGAAACTAGGGTTTGACAAGACTGTGACATATATAGATACCTTAGTAGATGAGTCCACTTCGACGGTCTTCTTTTGTCTCTTCACAGGTGAATTATTGTCTTCGTCGGGAAGCTGGCGACGTTTCTTCGGAGCTGCCACATCGTCGCACGTCTCCTTGCCATGTCTTCCTCCGGCTCGACTCAAAACTCCTGGGTCGTCTACGTCTAGCTTAGGGTTTCTAGGTAACAACGAGTCGCCGTTTGAGAAATCGATTAAATTGTACCTCACACCGTTGCTTTTCAATCTCTGATCTTTTGGAAACGAATGCAAAGCGCTAGATGTCGTAGCAATCTCCATAGCCAAAAAGGAATAGATGATGATGATGATGAAACGAAAGAGATGGAAATTATCTGACACAAACCCTAAGAGAGAGTTACAGAGAAGCAAATTTGTTGAGTCTTTGTGACCAAGTTACTTCTATCACTAAGTTTATATAGTTTCTGTCTCCTGACCTCAGCAAGCGTTGGGCCGAAGCTACCCAATTTTAGTTGCGCCTTTTTTTTTTGGTGTTCATTTATTCCTAATTTTTTTTTTTCCAAATTAGAGTAGAATTAGACTTCACATGGATATTTTTTGTTTATTTTATTTTATTTTATTTTTGATGTTTGAATACATACGCTGATGAAATAATTTTTGCTTTATAAAATGGACCATTCAAATAGAAAAATATGAACCACAAATTTCTCAATCTATCTCACAGAAACAATATGATCATAAAACTGGGCCTAATGGGCCTTGTCATCACAAACTTTAGTGTTTGCCACAGTTAAAATGATGACGTTTCAAGTGCGAACTAGAAAATATGTCCTCGAGTCTTACATAGCTGCTATATGTCGGTGACCGACGCGGGTTTAGTTAGTGAATAAACAAAAACGTTTGCAAAATAATTAATTTTTTGGGTGTGAAATCAAAATCAGATCCAAATTTCTGGTAATTTAACACCGTAACTGTGGACAGCAACTAGTAGTAAGATTTTGCTCACTCCACCACTTGCTCTTGAGGTATATAAAAACTTGTCACATCTACTGGGATCATCGTTGTATCTTACTGTCTCTCGTTTCTTCTACTAGATCCCGATCTGGAACTTTCTTTACTCTGTCTCTCTGCTCACAAAGTTGCAATCTTTGGGGAGATCTGAGGCAACCCTTTTCTCCTCTGGTTAGTTCTTTTTTAGTATCTCTCGTTTTCTCTTTAGATGTTCTTGCTTCTTTTTGGGTATCTCTGCTAATGCAAGATTCGGAAATGATCCAAGAGCTTTTCTTGTTGTTAGTTTGACGTCTTACTGATGTATGCTCTTGATTTTTTGCTTAAAGTATTGTGCTTTGGGTTTGACTCATGTCTGATTTGGTCGTTTACGGTGTAAATCGAGTGAGATTTTTCTGACTTGGTTTAGATCTGCAATGTTTGGTTTTACATTTTCTATATTTAGTATCATATGGTTGGTCATCCCGTTTAAGCTCAGAAATTGGACTTAACTAGTCAAAAGAAACAAGCTCAAGTATGAGAGTAGTCATTAGTTGATTGTGACTACAATAGTTTGATATCAATTGTATACGAATCCAATAGTATTTGAGATCTTCCTTTATTCTCTTGTTAATAGTTTGAGCTGGTTAACAGTCTTTTAATACGGCAATTAAAAATCAAACCTTTTGGTAATCTTATTGGTCACTAATTTCATTGTATTCTCTTCGTGCAATTGGTTTGCAGGTGCATGTGACTAGGGGTCGAGCCGTGGGTTTAGGAACATGGCAATGGGGAAATATTCTCGTGTAGACGGGAAGAAGTCATCGGGATATGGCTTAACCATTACCATTGTTTTAATTGTTTCTCTATGTTTGGTTGGCGCCTGGATGTTCATGTCTTCATGGTCTGCCCCAACTGAGTCCATTGACTTCTCTGCAAGCGAGACTTCAAAAGATGTAGAAACTAGTACTAAGAGTGATTTCAAAAGTGAAGAAGTTGATCGAGGTTCCAAGACTTTTCCGGATGAAAAGAACGAGGAAACTGAGGTTGCGACTGAGAGTAATGAAGAGAAGACTGATCCTGAGAAATCTGGTGAAGACAACTCTGGTGAGAAAACGGAGTCAGTTGGGGAAAAAAAGGAATTTGATGACAAAAATGGTGATGGGGATAGAAAAGATGGAGAGGGTGAGAAAGATACGGAATCAGAAAGTGATGAATCCAAGCAAAAAGAGAAAACACAACTAGAAGAGAGCTCAGAAGAAAACAAATCCCAGGAGAGCAATGGAACCGAAGAGAATGCTGGTGAATCTGAAGAAAACACCGAGAAGAAGTCAGGAGGTGAAACTGAAGAGAGCACTGAGAAGAAGGATGTTTTCCCAGCTGGTGACCAGGCTGAAATCACAAAGGAGTCGAGCACTGGAAGTGGGGCTTGGTCAACCCAGTTGGTTGAATCTCAGAACGAGAAGAAAGCTCAAGTGTCTTCAATTAAATGGAAAGTCTGCAACGTGACAGCTGGACCAGACTACATTCCTTGCCTCGACAATTGGCAAGCTATCAGAAAGCTTCATTCGACAAAGCATTATGAGCATCGTGAGAGACATTGTCCCGAGGAAGCTCCACGCTGCCTTGTTTCTCTACCTGAAGGGTATAAGCGATCCATCAAGTGGCCTAAGAGCAGAGAAAAGGTAAGAATATTCGAATATACATATTAGAAAGACAAAAACCTGCTTGTGCTCATATATGTTTCTTTGTTAATGATATCTATTAATTATTCTGTTTTGTTCTGCCGCAGATCTGGTACACCAATATCCCTCACACCAAGCTTGCAGAAGTCAAGGGACACCAAAACTGGGTGAAAATGAGTGGTGAATACTTAACATTCCCTGGTGGAGGTACTCAGTTCAAAAACGGTGCTCTTCACTACATTGATTTCCTCCAAGAGGTACAACTTACTATTGATTGAGATTTCAATTAATGTTTACACAACTTTCATGTTTGACTATTGACGTTATTATTATATGTTCTTGCAGTCATATCCTGATATTGCGTGGGGAAATAGGACCCGTGTTATATTAGATGTTGGGTGTGGGGTTGCTAGCTTCGGGGGATATCTTTTTGACAGAGATGTCCTTGCTTTGTCATTTGCACCCAAAGACGAACACGAGGCACAGGTGCAATTTGCTCTGGAACGCGGTATTCCTGCAATGTCAAATGTTATGGGAACCAAGAGATTACCTTTTCCAGGATCTGTTTTCGACCTTATCCATTGTGCTCGTTGTAGAGTACCTTGGCATATCGAAGGTAAAAAGTCTCCCATATTGTAGTGTAAATTAGTCTTTCTTTTGCTCAATGAATAACTTGTTTTCGTCTGAACTGAAGGTGGTAAACTACTTTTGGAATTGAACCGTGCATTGAGGCCGGGTGGTTTCTTTGTCTGGTCAGCGACTCCAGTCTACAGGAAGACCGAGGAAGATGTAGGCATATGGAAAGGTTGGGAAATATGTTCGCTTTTGTTTGGCTATAAATAGGGCTTTCAAAAATAAATTTAACTAACTTGCGAGATGCTAATCTCTGTTTTGTAGCTATGTCGAAGCTAACAAAGGCAATGTGCTGGAAACTGATGACGATTAAGAAAGATGAGCTGAATGAAGTTGGTGCTGCCATTTACCAGAAGCCAATGTCAAATGAATGCTACAACGAAAGATCTCAAAATGAGCCACCTCTCTGCAAAGACTCCGATGATCAGAATGCCGCCTGGTAGTTTATCTATTTCCCTTCTGAGACCAATTGACACTTTACTAGTAACCCAGTGCAGTTCTGTTGCTTACATATTTGTTTGATACAGGAATGTTCCACTTGAGGCATGTATGCACAAGGTAACAGAAGATTCATCGAAACGCGGAGCAGTTTGGCCTGAAAGATGGCCTCAAAGAGTGGAGACCGTTCCTCAGTGGTTAGATTCTCAGGAAGGTGTATATGGAAAACCTGCACAAGAGGATTTCACAGCAGACCATGAACGCTGGAAGACTATTGTTTCAAAGTCATACCTTAACGGTATGGGAATTGATTGGTCTTATGTGAGAAATGTAATGGACATGAGAGCTGTCTATGGAGGGTAAGCAAAAGCTTATACAATCTTTCATCAAAACAAATTTAACTCTATTGATTAATTTCTAATGAAATCTTTCTCTTGTGGGTTTCAGTTTTGCTGCTGCATTGAAGGATCTGAAATTGTGGGTGATGAATGTAGTTCCTATCGACTCACCTGATACACTTCCAATTATATACGAACGTGGTTTATTCGGAATCTATCATGATTGGTGTGAATCATTTAGCACTTACCCTCGGACTTACGACCTTCTCCATGCTGATCATCTTTTCTCTTCACTGAAAAAGAGGTATATATATGTACATTATGCATCCTCTTTTTCTGTCCGATAAATAATTTGGGATTCCAAACTCTGATGCTATGTGTGAACGAAATCCCTTTAGGTGCAACTTGGTTGGGGTAATGGCTGAAGTAGACCGGATTCTTAGACCAGAAGGAACTTTTATAGTAAGGGATGACATGGAAACGATAGGAGAAATTGAGAAGATGGTGAAATCGATGAAATGGAATGTAAGAATGACACATTCGAAAGATGGAGAAGGATTGCTCTCTGTTCAGAAGTCATGGTGGCGTCCTGAAGAGGTCGAGACTATCCAATCAGCAATAGCTTGAGAGATCAAGGATACGAAGAAGAGTGGTTAAATATAGTTTTATGAGTAAGTTGTTTCTCTTACGATCCAATTGATTGTTTCTTACATGTATTAGTCGAATATTTGTATCTCTTTTTGCATTGAAGAAAGTTGTATACATTATACAAGACAATTGTCTCAAAAAGTGTAATCTTATAATCAGCTTTTGCATTGGTCCTTAGCACCCCATAAAATCCTACTACTAATTATTGCAGCAAGCACTTTCCTGTGTGTAAGATGTAAGATGCAACCTTTCTCTGTGTAGAGTTTCAGTAGCATAAACATCTTCAAATGCTTTTGACACAACTATCAAATTTTAACATGCATAATCTAACGGCTTCACATACCAATACAAGCTTTGCAGAATTCATCTCCATAATCCATTGAAACAAAAGACATGGACTCTATCTGGACACTAGCCTCTAACAATAAAAAGCATTACTCTTCGACATTGATTTGCTGCTTATCATTCGAAGGATTATCATAGAATCAATGATCATACATAAGGACTTTATACATCCAAACCGGATTTTTGTTTTTACAGCCTTGGCCTCCATACATTATGCATCACTTATTATGGATTCTCAAAGCTCCTTTAGTACACTTGCATTGATTATCGGATGGCTTTTACTTCGACATGTATGCCATGGCTCAAGCTTTACCCCAAAATGAGGTATACTTTTTACTTTCCTCAGGAAAAATCAGAGATACTGAAAGACAAGGGAAAAGAGACAATTGTAGACTTGCAGTGATAGTGGAATGGAAAAGAGACAATAATGTGTCAAAGGTTTTGAAACACTCTAGCTTGAGAGTAAAGGTCATTCAAAGAGAACACAAGTATCAGCCGAAACCAAGAATGTGTATCACATTTTGTTCAAAAATCATGTCTTGTTTATATTTCGGGTCAAAACAAAAGATTGGAGTAACTCTCGTTATCATATAATCATACAAGTCAGAATGTTAAATCACATAAGAATTCTGATACAAACTCCATCTAGTCTAATAAGCACTTGTGACTTTGATATTCCAGTAGTAAATCCCTTCAAAGCTCTTCCCTCTCTTACAAGAACTTGTCAATAAAACACGGATCAATAAGATAGTTGACATCCCCTTAAGGCATCATATGAACGACAGAGATGGTTCAAGAGATTATCCCCATGGAAGCAACTTCAATACCAAGAGAACCAAGTCAATAAAACCTACAACAAGAACAATGTAAAAGACGAGATGATACGAATAAAATCTAAGAATGGGTTAGGGTTAAAACCAGAGATTGATAAAAGATAGATGTAAACAGGTATAAAAGTAACAGGTAGCTTATGGTATAAGAAGCTAACAGTGTCGCAAAGCCTGATTTCACTTTCTGCCTAAGAAAAACGAAATGTCCAAACACATTTTTTCAACTTTGGACATCAGATACCGTAGGCATTCTCCCAAAAACAACACAACGAGATAGAAAAGTGAAAACTTGCAATCTCAGCCGAAAGATGGTGATCTAGTGATTTGATAATCATTGTATAATCATTGAACTTTGACATAATTTCATCATTGATTGCAGAAAACAAAGGACTCAAAACAGAACAACCGAGAAGACAGGATACAGAAGAGGTCAGATGGTAGTGCATGTCATTGTATCAACACTGTATTTCAGATTTGCAGACGTATGGAATTATATCCTCATTCCTCTATTAAAAAGGTCAAAACTTTGAATCAAATTTATAAAACTGAAAACACAGAAACAGAGAATTTGGATCAGAAAATATGGCAAATCACTCACTCTGCCGAAGCAGATCAGACTGGGTGTCACAAAACATTATTGCCATTTCATCATATCCACTAGACTAGATTCTAAGAACAAGAAAGAAAGTGTTTTGAGAAGAATCAGACAAAAATAGTCAATCACCATATTACATTCCATCGTAATGGATGCATTTTAAGACTGGGGCGACAATTTCATATCATCCCTTTCCTCAAATCTGAGCTAAACGAAGAAACACTTGCAGAGACAAACAACCTAATTCACCAATAACATAACTACACAGAGCATCGAGGGTTTATATAGAAGAAGAAGACATATGATACGATTGACACAAAAGACCTAAACCAGACCAAGACATGATTCGAAGTTGAGTTGAGGAGGACCCTCGAGGTCTCTCTCTGTACTTTGACTCTTTGAGGTTGTCAGCAGCGACGGCCTCATTTATATAGAGGCTGTTTGATTTCAAGATGTAGTAGCTAATAGGGTTTTCGGTTCACTTCGGTTTATTTCGGTTGTACTTTTAATTCAAACCGGTATTCCAAAAAATTTCAATTCATTTCATGAGAACATGAGTGGACGTATCCACATGTATGATCTCCACATCTTTTTTTCAGCTTCAAAATGTCTTTTGCAACATTGATTCATATACCACTCACAATCTCACATGTTCATGTTTCTTTTCATCATGTTGTAAATGGTTTAATCCACAAATTGATGTAGCAGATATGATTTGATTACTAATTACAAATAAATGGAATTGTAATACTATTGGACAAATAGGCACCCACTAGCACATGTCTTTAATCTTCATGTTTAAATTGAATTGTAATACCACTGTATAAGACTCGAACCCACATCCACATGGTCATGTCCTCTCAGGAGAGGTTTGTAATCCACAATTTGATGAGGAGACAAGACTACTTACTAACTTTGGACCCCTTATGATCACATACAACAAAGACAGACCTGGACGCATGTGTTCTCTTTGGTATGGTTGCTCTTAATAAACTTATCTTAACTCTTAATAGTTTCTCCTTATATATATAATCAAACAACCCCTATTGGATTCTTCATCAACCATAACTTGTATTCAGAGAGTTATAAACAACACAGCTTAATTACAAGTCTCTTTTCTCATTCCAATCTAAAAAGCTTTTCCTTGGAAATAATGATGAACACTAAGAAGCTCATGAAGATGGCCAAGAAATGGCAACAGAGAGCAGCCTTAAGCAGGAAAAGAATCTCATTTCAGAGATCAGTTTCTACTACCAGCAGCTCAACAACAGCTTCAGAGAAGGGTTGTTTTGTGGTTTACACATCTGATCAAATCCGCTTTGCGTTTCCAATAAGTTACCTGAGCAACTCTGTTTTCCAAGAGCTCTTGAAGATATCTGAAGAAGAGTTCGGCCTCTCCACGGAAGGACCAATAACCTTACCATTCGATTCAGTTTTCTTGAAGTATCTGATCAAACTGATTCAAAGACGAATGGATGGAGATACAGAAAAGGCTCTGTTAATGTCAATCTCTAGTGCAAGATGTTCTTCTTTACCAAGTTCTTTTCAACAACAAGAACAACTGCTTGTATTTTAGAGAATTACAGTGTATAGCAATTTCTTTGTTTGTAAAGATTCCACTGTATAAGATTAGACAGATTATGTTAGAAATACAAAACCATTTATTTATCTCTCTATTCAGCACTGTCTCATCAAAATCAACGTTTACTGTAAACAAAGACAAATGAGATACTTCGACATCACTTGTTTTGACTGTTTTACTCAAAACTGTTTTGCCCTTAAAACTTAAAAGACATATAAAGGATGCATTGACTAGAAGTAATACAAGACATGAGATGTTTGTATGATCTAAGCTTAACCTATGGAATTGTGAACTGTAGCAGGAATAGTTTATTCACTTTCTTTGTATCTCTTCATCTAAAAAATTTGTGACTCACATATGATTTAGCTGATAGACAGCTAACCAACCTGGGACCCTTATCATAACAAATAAAGATGTACAGAGTTTGGTATTTTTGGCTTCTCTTGTATGCATAACGTATCAGTACCTAAATCTTTTCGTATAAATGTCCATATAGGATTCATACCCACATGATCATGTCTTCTCACCATAAATTATATAGTCCACAAGTTGATATGGAGGCATAATTGATTACCAACTTGGGAGGCCCTTAGTGTTCACATAGAGTAGAGACATAAGCATGTGTTGTGTCTGGTTTGATTGCTCAGGAGCTTGTTAAAAAGCCTATCTAATAGTTTCTCCTTCTATATAATGAAACAAGCTTATGGTATTCTTCATCAACCAAAACATTCGTTTAAAGAGCTCTACAAACAGAACTTACAAACCTTCTCCTCCATTCTCACTTTCCGATCTAAATCTTTTGTTTAAAATGATGATGAACACAAAGAAGCTAATCAAGATGGCCAAGAAATGGCAACAAAGAGCAGACTTAAGCAGGAAACGAATCTCACTTCAGAGGTCAAGTGCTACTACTAGTAGCTCAACCGCTACAGAGAAGGGTTGTTTTGTGGTTTACACGGTGGATAAGATCCGCTTTGCTTTTCCAATAAGTTACCTGAGCAACTCTATTGTCCAAGAGCTCTTGAAAATATCTGAAGAAGAGTTCGGTCTCCCTACGGAAGGACCAATCACATTGCCATTTGATTCGGCTTTTCTGGAGTACCTAATCAAAATGATCCAACGAAGAATAGATGATGATACAGAAAAGGCTCTACTGTTGTCAATCTCTACTGCTAGATGCTATTTGCAACAACAACAAAGTAGAATTACTCAACAGTTGCTTGTATTCTAGAGTTTAGCAAAAAATTATGTGTTTTGTAAAGTTAATATAGACAGCGCATTTCAGAAATACAAACTATTCTTATTTTGTCTCTCTTTTAAGTTGTCTCTCATAAGTAAAATCAAAATCAAAATCAAAAGAAACTTCCTTTCAAAAGGTTAAAAAGAAAAACATATAACTTCAAAAGTCACATTTTGTGACAGTTTCATATAAATCTCAGAAATCTGGAAGCCAAAAGTTTCATTCACTATAATTACACTGAACATCCCACATGTAAAGCCACACAAGAAGAAGGACTGCCAATATTTTCAAAACATCGTTCTGCAGATTATGTTATAGAGCTCATCACCAAAAGCCAATATTTTCCTGCAGCCAGGCTTACAGGTTTGTTTAAGCTTAATAGTAAAGAGTTCACATTCTCACCCTCAGCGCTCTTAACGGAAGATATCATCAATTTGAAACGGTCTGCCTTTAAAATATAGATCAACTGAATCCTCTAAGGTTTAACACTTTTCTTCTTGTAATTGATTATTTACTGATGTGGAGAATCAATCTATTGTTTGGTTCTTTTTTTCTATAGGGTCTACACAATTATGCTGGAAGATTGAACACTATACTAAAACTTGTGAGAGATTATAAGCACAATATGAATTCAATATCCCTGGGACCTCATCGTTAATCTCATGAACCTCATGATCCAAAGAGAAAAATCAAAAGAACAATCCACAAGCACAATATGAATCTTCAGGTTCCTAAACATGAGGTTATACCCTACTTGAACAAGACCCTAATGTTCCTAAATGACTACTTGAGTGTATGCAGCTCATCCTCATGGTTATGGTGCGTCTTAGGCTAAGTTTTACCAAAGTCCAAAGATAAACTTTGTGTCTGTATGTATGTACTTGTTCTATTTTGATTGAAAATGTTAAGTTTAGTCTCTACAAAATTTCTGATGACATTTTTTTCCTGCAAAGTTTAAATTCATTGCTGTTGTTGAAACTTTTTCACTCTATGTAACAACTAAAATTTCTGCAGGTTTTAACTTCTCTGGCGAGAACATCAAAGGGCCTACAAGTTCTACATCCTTCATTCACTAGCACATGTCTATGTGTTTAAATTGAATTGTAATACTAATGTATAAGACTCATACCCACATCCACATGGTCATGTCTTTTCAGGAGAGGTTTTTTATCCACAATCTTATGAGCAGACAAGATTGGTTACTAACTTTGGACCCCTTATGATCATATACAACAAAGACAGGCACATGTATTCTGTGTGGTATGGCTGCTCTTAATTTTATCTAAACTCCTAAAGTTTCTCCTTTATATATAGTCTAACAAGCCTATACGATTCCTCATCATCCAAACTTGCATTCAAAGAGTTATACAGCACAGCTTGATTACAAGTCTCTTTTCTCATTCCAATCTAAAAAGCTTTTCCTTGGAAATAATGATGAACACTAAGAAGCTCATGAAGATGGCCAAGAAATGGCAACAAAGAGCAGCCTTAAGCAGGAAAAGAATCTCATTTCAGAGATCATTTTCTACTGCCAGCAGCTCAACAACCGCTGCTGAGAAGGGCTGTTTTGTGGTTTACACATCCGATAAAATCCGCTTTTCGTTTCCAATAAGTTACCTGAGCAACTCTGTTTTCCAAGAGCTCTTGAAGATATCTGAAGAAGAATTTGGCCTCTCCACCGGTGGACCAATCACCTTGCCATTCGATTCGGTTTTCTTGGAATATCTCATTAAATTGATACAACGACGAATAGATGGAGACACAGAAAAGGCTCTGTTAATGTCAATCTCTAGTGCAAGATGTTCTTTACAACAACAAGAACAGAGTAGTCAACATTTGCTTGTACTTTAAAGAATTAGAGTGTATCAATTTCTGTGTTTGTAAAGACTCTACTGTATTAGATTAGACAGATTAATACAGAAATACAAACTATTACTTATGTTACTCTTTTTGACTATCTCCAAAATCAACCTTCATTCTAAACAAATTAAAATGAGATAACTTTAACAACACTTGTTGTGACCGTTTAATCAAACTGTTATGCTCTGAAACAATCTGTCAAAAAAAAAAAAATGGTGCAGAAGCTAAAACTATCATTTATGTCAATTCACTATCCTTATGAATCACTTAAAAGTAATACAAGACTAGATAAGTACCAACGAATTATGTTTGTATGAACTAAGCTTAATCTATCTCAAAGGAAATGTGAAATTTTGTCAGGAATAGTTGATTCACTGTCTTTTTTAAAGGACCTACAAGCTATTCATCTTTGCCTCAGTACTACTCACTAGCACATGTCTTTCTTTGTATCTTTTTATTGCATCATCAATTCTAACCACATTTCTGTCTTTGATTTCAAAAAAAGACTTGTTGTCCCCTGAGTAATAAGTACTTGATCTATTATCTTTGTGACTCACATTTGATTTAGCTTATGGACCACCAACTACGGACCCTTACTGCTACGAAACAAAGCTGTACAGAAGGACGAATATAATTGGCATTTTTGGCTTCTCTTCTCTTGTGTGTGTAACCTATAAGATTCATTCCCACATGATCATGTCTTCTCATAATAAGTTGTTCAGTCCACACTCCACAAGTTGATTTGCTGACTTAATTGATTACCAACTTGGGACCCTTATGATCACATAGATTAGAAACATAAGCATGTGTTGTGTCTGTTTAGGTTGCTCAGAAAGCCTATCTAATCCCCCTAATAGCTTCTCCTTCTATATAATAATGAAAGAAGCCTTTGGTATACTTCATCAATCATAACTTTTATTCAGAGAACTCTACAAACAATTCTTTTCTCTTTCTTTATCCATATCTCTTTGAATCAAAATATTTTTCCAAGAAAATGATGATAAACGCTAAGAAGCTCTTGAAGATGGCCAAGAAATGGCAACAAAGAGCAGCCTTAAGCAGGAAAAGAATCTCATTTCAGAGGTCAAGGGCTTCTAACAATTTAACTGCTGTAGAAAAGGGATGTTTTGTGGTTTACACAGCCGATTTCATCCGCTTTGCTTTTCCAATAAGTTACCTAAGCAACTCTATTGTCCAAGAGCTCTTGAAGATATCAGAAGAAGAGTTTGGTCTCCCAACGGAAGGACCAATCACATTGCCATTTGATTCGGCTTTTCTAGAGTATCTCGTCAAACTGATCCAAAGACGAATGGATGGAGATACAGAAAAGGCTCTGTTGATGTCAATCTCAAGTGCTAGATGCTCTTTGCAACCACAAGAACTGCAAAGTAGTATTACTCAAAAACAACTGCTTGTATTTTAGAGTTTAAGTCTAGTTATATGTTTTTTCATAGTTTAAAGCAGATTAGATAGACAGATCATTTCAGAAATACAAATTTTTGCTTTGTCTCTCTTTTAAGTTGTCCTGTCTTATCAAAATACAAAATTAACTTCCGTTTAGATGGAGACTTTCATCTAACTTAAAATCACTTCTTTCAACAGTTTCCTGTAAATCTCTGAAATCTTCAAGTCATTCTGACAAAAAGTGATCTAGCTGCTAAAAGGTCATTCACTATAATTCATCGATAGTTCATATGACAAACAAGACTGAACAACAAACAAGACTGAACAAGAACAAGAGATGTTAATAAGTTATTTATAAAGGCGAAAAAAAAAAGCATGATAAGAGATAAAGAGCACAAAATGACATGCTCATTGCTTTCACCTAACTCCAATGAATCATCATATCTTCTTTCCCTTGTCTCTTGTCACTCTGAATCTGAATTTGAATAATTTGAATCCTCAAAGGATGGCTTGAGCAGTTCTGAATCGTTAACATGAAGATCTTCTACGTGGTTCACAACGGTGAGAACGCTACAAGGTTTCTTAAACGCTTCACCGAAACCTTGGATTTCAACACGTTGGAGAGTGTTCTGTTCGGGACTGAAGTAGAAAACATAAAACGGTTGTTTAGGTGTATACTTGCGCGTTGAAAACACAATTTCACCCGAAGCAGTCACTCCAGCAATGGAAACCTGGCGACGGAAAAATATACCATCAGTACTCCAGCAGTATGCATGTTTCGACCACTCCTGTTTCTCAACATCCTCCAGAACCCAAACATGCAGCTCATTATTGGCAACAGCGTTGAGATTTTCCTCCAAATAATCGTCGACATCCAACTCAAATGTAGCAGCCTCATAAAAGTCGAAATCATCCTCCCAAAACACCACAGCTAGTTTTCCTTTATAGTCTACCAATCGACAAAACCTTTCTACGCAAATAAAGCTGAATTTCTCAGACCTAACATCAAAGCAAACTACCACATAATCAGACAATCCTTCATGAGCATCATTATCACAATCAGATGTGTCACCTAAGTAATACAGAACGCCATTGATGCAAACCCCATCACTCTTAATCTCATGTCGAACTGAACAATCAATCTTTCTCCACTTCATATCTCCAGCTCCAAAAGTAAGAACACTATGATGACCAGGACCAGATGGATAAGCCATAAACAACGCCTTGTATTGCTTGTCAATCGGATCAAACCCGAAAAAACTATACGCCTTTCTGTAAGTATACTTTTTAGGTAAGACAGCATAATGTCCTGTGTTGGGGTTACAAATCACAGGTCTACCTTGGTATCGAGAACCATGGAAATAGATCAAGCCAGAGTTGTAGCCACATGAGAAATACTTTATGTTACTATAATAATCGATATCTATACTGGCTGGAGAAAACTTCTGCACATGAGACTCAGCGGATGCTACAAGAGTAGTCGACGACGTTGATTTCTCAAATGGATTCTCGAGCTGAGGCAAGGAGAAGAAGCTCCACATACCATACCCTTTGGCTTTACCTTTGTCGTTTCCGTTTTCCCCGATGGCGAACAAGAGGCGCGGCTTAGCTAAAGACTTGGCCATGAACAACTCCTTGAAATATGAGCTACTCAACGTTGATGCCCATAGCTTCGACACGCAATGAAACCTGGCGACTGAATTTGCAGGCAATCTCGACAAGATCTCCACCATGAAATCAATCGGTATGGAAGGTGATGAATTCATCATTTTCCGATCCAACGACAAAGGTGACATTTCCGAAACTTGTTAGGTTATCGAGGCGGAGCTGAAAGTTTTTGTGAGGATCAGAATCTGAGGCTGCGATGCTTTTAGTCCATTAAGTGAAACTACGTCGTTTACACAGAAAAAAATAATAATAAACGGGCTACCCATTTCCTTTTGATCAAACCTGCTAAGCCCGTTTAGGCCCATTATAACATCAGTTGTCGTTAACAAAAAAAAACATATCATCTCGTTAAACTTATTAATCATTTTTACAAATTAATCTAAAAAGTGTTTATCATGGAAAATGTTGCAGTCGCATCAAGTCAAATTTCACACACACTAACTAAATGCCTTATTATACATCAAACCATCTCTGGAACAAGAAAACTGTGAAAAGGCACAGATAGTATACAGACTGCATTAGAACATGCCCTTTGACCGATCTGATCTCAATAAAAATATGAGCTTTTTAGCAGGAATGTGAGAAGCCTACATGTTTCTCATTTTTTGGTTCATCTCACATGTGTTTCATTGTATTGATCTATATGATCATTGATTTTAACCAGATTTGAGGTTCCCTGCTTAGCTTGATCTAATATTTGTGTGACTCACATTTGAAGTAGCTAATGGATCGATCAACTAACCACCATGGGGACCCTTAAGCAAACATGAGTTTGGGTTTTTGGCTGCTCTTGTCTTCAAGACTTGTCTTGTCTGCTTGACAAGTTCTCAACTACTCATTATATATATATCTATATAATGTTACAACAGCCTCTTGCTGCATTATTCATCAAAGTCTTGGTACCTAATTCTTGTCATAAAAATGTCCATATAGAATTTTCATACACACATGTCATGTCTACTCAATTCTCACAAGAAGTTGTATATAGTCCACAAGTTCATTAGCAGACATGATTGACTAGCTACCAACTTAGGACCCCTATGAGTTATGATCACACTGAGTAGAAACATAAGCATGTGTTTGTGTCTGGTTAGGTGTTTGATAGCTTATCACCAATTCATTTCTAAATCTATTAATTTCTCCTTCTATATAAATACAACAAAGCTTATAGCATTTTTCATCAATCACAGCTTGCACTAATACAAAGGTTTCTTCAACACAACTTTCAAGTAATATATTTGTTTGCTCTCTTTCCAAGAACAAGATGATCAACACTAAGAAACTACTCAAGATGGCCAAGAAATGGCAACAGAGAGCAGCTCTCCACAGGAAAAGAATCTCATTTCACAAGTCCACAGCTACTACCAGCAGCTCAACCGCTGTGGAGAAGGGATGTTTTGTAGTTTACACGGCAGATAACAAACGCTTTGCTTTTCCGATAAGCTACCTGAGCAACTCTGTTTTTCAAGAGCTCTTGAAGATATCTGAAGAAGAGTTTGGACTCCCAACGGGTGGACCAATCACCTTGCCATTCGATTCGGTTTTCTTGGAGTATCTCATCAAATTGGTACAACGACGAATCGACGGAGACACTGAAAAGGCTCTGTTAGTGTCAATATCTAGTGCTAGATGTTCTTCACAATGCTCGTTGCAACTACAAGAACGGAGTCAGCAATTGTTAGTATTTTAGAGTATTTGATACCATTACAAAGCTATTTGTAAATATGCTAGCAGTTATTTTACACTGGAACACAAAACTCTTTACTGGTCCATCACAATATATAGTGGTAACTTCGCCTCTTGTTATGTATAAAGCTAGGTTTCTGTAGGTCTTCGTGACTTCAAATTCGATTAGCAATCATGAATTCAAATTCCACTTCAAATCAGCTAGATTACAATCTACTTCCAAAAAGCAATCATGAATTGAAATTCCATTACAAAGAAACTGGCAAGATTGCCTGCAAAGAAAACATTGAGGTTTCATTGTGTCCATGGTTTTATTTCAGCTTACATTCATAACGAATAGATACCAAAAGAAAATAGAGGCTTTGGCTATCAACTTCATGGTTAAATTATGGAGGTTAAATTATTTTGCTACTAAGAGATTATGCAGTAACTAAAATACAAAAATGAGAAATTTCTTTATTTATATTTGGGGTCATAAAGACTTGGTATTACAATTACAATTCAATAAATGACAGTAGGTGTTCTTCAAAAAATTGAAGAAGATCGAATTAGTAACCAGGATATCGACTTAAGAATCCTCTTCCACGCCAGAGATGCAAGCGAAACATAACCTGCATAAGTACGAACGTAACAGTAACACTATAAAACACGACAGATATAGGGAGACAAAAACCTAACCAGTTGATAAGTAGATGTAAACAGGTATAAAAGTAACAGGTAGCTTATGGTTATAAGAAGCTAACAGTGTCGCAAAGCCTGATTTCACTTTCTGCCTAAGAAAAACGAAATGTCCAAACACATTTTTTCAACTTTGGACATCAGATACCGTAGGCATTCTCCCAAAAACAACACAACGAGATAGAAAAGAGAAAACTTGCAATCTCAGCCGAAAGATGGTGATCTAGTGATTTGATAATCATTGTATAATCATTGAACTTTGACATAATTTCATCATTGATTGCAGAAAACAAAGGACTCAAAACAAAAACAAACAAGAAGACAGGATACAGAAGAGGTCAGATGGTAGTGCATGTCATTGTATCAACACTGTATTTCTGATTTGCAGACGTATGGAATTATATCCTCATTCCTCTAATAAAAATCAAAACTTTGAATCAAATTCATAAAACTGAAAACACAAAAAATAGTGAAAATGGATCAGCAAATATGGCAAATCAATCACTCTGCAAAAGCAGATCAGACTGGGTGTCACAAAACATTAATGCCATTTCATCATATCCACAAGACTAAATTAAAGAACAAGAAAGAGAGTGTTTTGAGAAGAATCAGACAAAAATAGTCAATCACCATATTACATTCCATCGTAATGGATGCAAATTAAGACTGGGGCGACAATTTCATATCATCACTTTCCTCAAAGGTTGTAAGAGAATCACAAAGATAAAACTAATCTGAGCTAACGAAGAAACATATAGACACAAACAACACCTAATTCACTAACAACTAGCTCATCATCGGAAGAAAAATCAAAACATTATCAGTGTTTATAAAATGCCGTCGTTGAATTTTTGGTTAAAGCTAGAGTTAGGGTTTTCCCTTTATATAGAAGCAGAAGACTGCTTAGGTTTTTAGGGTTTCTCTATTCAGCACCGCTTTACATATGGATCTCGGCCTATGTTTAACTTACATCTACGATACTATAGGCCCAATGTAAGGCCCATAATTCAGATGAAGACTGACACACCAATAGCAAAAGAGGCGATAAAGAAGGAACTTATGAAAACACAGAAGTGATGGTTGGTGATGCAATGCTCTGTGTTTACATGAAAAAAAATCAAAATCAAACACGAGAGCCTCAAAGATCATGGCTCAATGCAGTGCTCTGCTCCTCCAGAAGTGACTTCTGTATCATAATTTTTTCTTTGCTGCTCTCTCTCCCAAGGTATAGATTCCAAGGTTGCTCGTTTCTTTTCTGGTCCCCTTGTTTAAGCTAAGCTGTGTAAGTATTTCAGCTTAGCTCGTAGAAGAATGTATATGCAGTCCCAACAAATACATCCAAACTAAACTCTGCATACGTCAAATGGATGTTTGTGGCATTGTGTGTGTGTTGTTCTTACTAGGAAGGAAGTTAGGAAGTTTATCTATATATTTGAATCGGTCATGTGTACACAATTGATTCTGTAGATATATATATAATTGAATTAAGTTTGCAAAAGAACAAAGAGTGTGATATGGAATTTGATTCACAGCTTCTAATTTTGTCCTCTATTGGGGCCAACAACAAAACTGAAACCAACCTACGATGTAAAGTAATTTATTTAAGTACAAATGTATGATTGTAGTTTGCGTAATCATTTTAGAACCACAAGAAAAGAAAAGAAGAAAGGGAAACATGGAGGATAATAAGGATTTGTATTCTATGACGCAAAGCAAACGAGAAGGTCTTTTAACTTTACACTCGACGTCTTTCAGACAATGACTCTGTTTGTTTATACCAAACCAACCCCTCCCTCTCTTTTGTTTGTCTCTCATCAAACCAGAAATAATGTACGTTCTGTTGTACTAATACTATTTGTTAATTTCATTCACACTTGAGCTTAACTTGTACAATATATATATCTAGTCTTCAAGGATATTTCAATAGAATTGGTTCAACTAACTCTTTTAACCAAGCAACCAAAAAAAATATAATAAGGTACAATTCGAACCGAATCGAACACAACTAGTTAGGACACATCTACAAGTGACGCCCGTACGCAACTGTCATATATGAGATTCGTAAGTCAATGTCCTAATAATCTTTTCAAGAAATTCAATGATCTAAATTTCCAAATATGTAATTATATTTCCGGAGAAAAGTACAAATATTCCAAGTTTTATTTACGTCACACCGGAATTTATATATTTTAAACCATATAATATATAAACGACCATGTCAAAATTGGACTTCATAATATTTATGAATTCAGTCGATATTTTCTTATAACAAGATTGAATCAGTCAGTGCAGTTTACAATATGTTGTTCTTTTCTCCAAATAAAAACAACTCTTTATCACTTAACGTAAAAAACAGAAACTTCATTTTTATATAAATTTCTACTATACTATATAAATTAATTTAAAAACTAATTTGAGTCATTCAAAAGGTTACTGATGTTTATCTAATGAAGAGATTCATGGTAGCATTATGGCATATGCTTCAAGATTATCCTGACGTGGCTTCGCAATATCCTCTCTTTTTCTTAACATCACCCAAGCCGTAAAGCAATATCACTAGCAAAATTGTGGATCAGATTAATTATATATTAAAAAAAAAACTATAAGCCTATGATGTTAATTTAAGTGAGCCTATGATGTTAACCCCTTAATTATATAATCTTTTTGTATTCTGTACTATATAGTATACATTATAGCTCTAACGTGAAGAAATCAAACTAGCAATAAATAATTAAATTAAATTATTAAGGGGGTCCAGTTATATGAATGTAGTGTGGTGTATATATCTTTACCTATTTGTGATAAACTAGTCATTATGCTGACTCGGTGATATTAATTATTTCGTATTGAATCTCACTAATTCTCTATTTTACATTCTTTTAAAATAGATATATATATATATATATATGCTATGTCTATTTCCTCTTAACATGTTTTAAATTCATTAAACAACGTAACTATTCAAATCCGTGAATATTATTACATAGCATCACGTATCAACGTTTAAGTTTTGATATATTGATATCCGGAAGTAAGGATAATTGAAGCCAATTTACATAAGCATTATTTTCATATTATGTGGACGATGATGACTTGACATCACAATTGTTATGTTATGGGACTATAAAATATATGTAAAATATATAGAAAACAACATTATCCAAGTCACTTTTTATGAAAATCTTTTCGACTTTTCCGACCTCTCCGCGTATAATTTGTCATGTTATGATACGTTCGATGCTATAGTATATACTAAAACATGGATATATCCATTTCAATCATTGATTATAAGATATGGAAAAAATAATAAACTAGTGAGTAGGATAGTATGTTTTGAAATAAATTTCATCAAACCAACTACACATCTTAAAGATGTCGCATTACTTGGGTCAAATGTATAGTATAGGTCTATTTCGATACATGATTGGGTATGGTCCGTATGGCGTAAGATCAATGCCGAGTGATTCTAGTAATTAACTAGTACTTATTTGTATGTATTTTTACGTGAGATGTTACACTAAACTACATAAACTAGTTCGTCGTTGACTTACCCATCCGTTCGTTTATTCGACAACATGTATTGGTAATTTACTTTTGGATAATAACAATACTCAGTCAATTAAGCTAAAAGACATATACTTAGGTTCCGTTTCTATCCAACTTGGGGATATAAAATAATGTAAGAAGCTACGACGAATTTATGGGTATGATTGGAAACTTTCTAAAGCCATCATCAATTATATATAGTTTTAAAGGATGACCTCTTAATTGACATACTTACTATTCGTGTGAAACTTACAAAACATTATCATATTAACATTACCTTATATTTGCTCAAAACATAAACTCTCTAACTGTTAGTCTGTTAATTTACTTTTTCTTATTCTAATATGGATAAAAACTCTTTTGTAAAAAAACATGTAAACCTGAGAAAACAAAATACAGAAAAAAAACGAACATAGATGACAATTCCGTATGGATACATTGTACATGTCCAAAGAATCTGAAATATTTTAGTTGGTATATCCATTATTATCTCATTACATTAGTTAGATAATAAACGTGTATGGTAATAAAGAAAATGCATATTAGCATTACCAGTTAGATACGTTGACAACATAATAAGATAAACACTATTGTTTAGATAGGATTAAAATATGTTTATGGATAGAGTTACTTATTATTACTCCTATGTAAAAAGATGGATGATACAATAAAGAGAGATAAACACGGAAGTGTCAAAATCAAAGCATACTTGTAAAAATAAAAATGAAAAAGGATCGGACTCAAAATTGTATTTAAATTCAGTTAAGAAAAAAAAACCTCTCTTTCTTTAGTCCTTTAGACACATCAATCATTCTCACTACTTTCTCTCTGTTCTCTCTGATATTTTTTTATTTTATTTTTTTTATCTCTCACATTATTGTTTCTTCTCTCTCTCCCTCTCTCTTTCTATTAAACCCCAAAAAAATAATTAAAAGAGACAAGTCCAAATTTTCTTCTTACTTCATATTTTTTTTTTTTCTTTTTTGCTTGGGGGAGGTTTTATTTTTGTTTGGTTGGTAGAGATTCTCTCTTTTCTTCATCGTGGTTTGTATCGTGATCATCGTCTGTGTTGGTAACTGCACATTTTGAGGTATCAACTCTCTCTCTCCCTTTTTCAATTTCCCAATTCTTTTTCTTTTGAGGTACACAAACTTATTTTGATTTCTGGGTTTTTGATGTTTTTTTCTTTCTTGTAGTCAATCGATTGTGTTCTTTCTTTTTCAACTGAAATTTCCACACTTTGTTTCTGGGTTTCGTCTGTAAAGTCTAAACCCCTTCTTAAAGTGTTTCTTCTGAATTTTTTTTTTTGTTTTTGTCGGCGATTTCGATCATTAGTGTTTCTTAAAAGGTTTAAGCTTTTTGATGATCGGAGCATAGAACTAGCTAATTCGGTTAGTTTCGTTTGTTACCAAGCAACCTAGTTCTGTTTCTTTGATCTTTGGAGTTGTCCTCTCTTTTTTTTTTGTCTAATCATTTTAATTGCTCAACGATCTTCTTTTTCTTTTTTTAATTCTGATTTCCATAAATTTGCGACTTTTTAGTATTGGTTTAGTCAAATTGCTCAGCTTTCTTCAGCAGCAAAGAAGAAAAAAAATATTTATTTTCATGCCCCTTTTGTATGTAAAAGATTATTTTTGTTGGTTTAAGGTTTTGATTTCGTCCTTGGATCAATCTTACTTGCTTGCATGTTAATTTTCCTACACATGACCTAAGATTTCAAATGTGTTGTTCACTCTTATATCTTGATTAATAAAGCATATCTGATCTGTGAGACTTTAATGTATATGGTTCTAGTTTGAATAGGATTATTATAAAATGTGAGCTGATGGGTTTGTTTTTCTTAATTAAAATACGAAAAAGCAGATCAAAGAAAGAAGTTGCTTAATGGATATACCACACGAAGCAGAGGCTGGAGCTTGGGGGATTCTCCCTGGATTTGGTCGTCACCATCATCCTTCCACCGATGCTACTTTGTTCTCCAGTTCTTTACCTGTTCTTCCCCATGGAAAATGTAAAAACGAGATCCCTTCATCATTATTATATATACATATCTTCTTTCTCTCTTTTGCTTTATATGTTTGCTTTTTTGTTTGCAGTGCAATTGAGTGACAACAGATATGGTTTCTCACGGATTGATGATAGTGCTGTTTCTCGTCCTAACAAGTTTCAAGAAAGTGTTGATGACATTGAATCTCATTCTATTGGAAACCTGCTTCCTGATGAAGAAGATCTATTGACTGGGATGATGGATGAACTTGAACTGAGCGAGTTACCAGATGCTGATGATTTTGATCTTTTTGGTAGTGGAGGAGGAATGGAACTTGACACTGATTTTCGGGAAAACATGAGCATGAGTGGTCCTCCAAGATTGTCCCTTTCAAGTCTTGGTGGAAATGCAGTTCCGCAATTCAATATTCAAAATGGTGCCGGGACAGTTGCTGGTGAGCATCCTTACGGTGAACACCCCTCGAGAACTTTGTTTGTCCGGAATATTAACAGCAATGTAGAGGACTCTGAACTCACAGCTCTCTTTGAGGTATCTTCAACGAATATTGACCTGAAACTGTTGGATTTTTTATAACAAACTTACAGACACTGATGGGTGATGTTTTTTTCCTCCTCCTTTATGTGATGTGGCAGCAATACGGTGACATCAGAACGCTGTATACTACTTGTAAGCATAGGGGATTTGTCATGATATCTTATTATGACATCCGTTCTGCTCGAATGGCTATGCGGTCTTTACAGAATAAGCCATTAAGACGGAGAAAGTTGGATATTCACTTCTCAATTCCTAAGGTTTGCTAGTGGTTCTTTTTAATACTGTCAACAATTCTTGTAGCAGCTCTAATTTGCTTCTATTGTACCTGTTTCCTCTGTATCTGTAGGATAATCCATCTGAGAAAGATATGAATCAGGGGACATTGGTGGTTTTTAACTTGGATCCTTCAATTTCTAATGATGACTTGCATGGAATTTTTGGTGTACATGGCGAGATCAAAGAGGTGATAGATATCTTTCTTTTTATTTTTTCATGACAAACATAGTGTATTTGATATTGTTGAGCTGGTTTGAAAGAAAAAACATCCATTTTAAGTACTGTTTTTTCCTCCCAAAAAACAGATAAGGGAAACACCACATAAGAGGCATCACAAATTCGTTGAGTTTTATGATGTTCGAGGTGCTGAAGCAGCATTGAAGGCATTAAACAGGTGTGAGATTGCTGGAAAACGTATAAAGGTTGAACCTAGTCGCCCTGGAGGAGCTCGTCGAAGGTTTGCTTCTTTCTTATATCTGCCTCATACAATAGTTAATGCCATTATAATTTTTTTTTACCTCTGACCGTTATTTGATCTGCCAGCCTGATGTTGCAACTTAACCAAGACCTTGAACATGATGATTTGCATTACCTACCAATGATTGGTTCACCCATGGCAAACTCTCCTCCAAGTGAGTATATTTCTATATGCTTCCCTTTAAACGAAATTGTAAATTTTGACATCCTCAAAGGCTAAAACTGTTTGATTTGGTGGCAGGTAACTGGCTGCTGAATAGTCCTGTGGAGGGTAGTCCGCTTCAAAGTGTACTTAGTAGGTCACCCGTTTTCGGATTAAGTCCTACAAGGAACAGCCACTTGTCTGGTTTGGCGTCTGCTCTAAATTCACAAGGACCAAGCTCGAAGCTTGCACCCATTGGCAGGGCTCAAATGGGTAGCAACGTCTTCCAACAGTCATCGCATTTGTTCCAAGAGCCAAAGCTGGATAACAAGTACACAGGAAATCTCTCTCCTTCTGGTCCGTTACTCTCAAACGGAGGTGGAATTGAGACGTTGTCAGGTTCAGAGTTTCTCTGGGGAAGTCCTAACACACGCTCTGAACCTTCAAGTTCCTCGGTTTGGTCAACATCATCCACTGGGAATCCACTCTTCTCATCTCGGGTAGACAGGTCTGTTCCATTTCCACATCAGCATCAAAATCAAAGTCGTAACCATCATCACTTCCATGTTGGGTCTGCACCATCTGGTGTTCCTCTAGAAAAGCATTTTGGATTTGCCCCAGAGTCTTCAAAGGACCCTTTGTTCATGAACACTGTTGGTCTTCAAGGAATGAGTGGAATGGGTCTCAACGGTGGAAGTTTCCCGTCTAAAATGACAAATAATGGGATCCTTAACCCTGGAAGCATTGCCGAAAATGGTTTTTCAAGTTACAGAATGATGTCTTCACCGAGATTCAACCCCATGTTCTTAAGCAGCGGTCTAAACTCAGGACGGCTCTCCTCCGGCTTTGATGGTTTGTATGAAAATGGAAGGCCTCGTAGAGTTGAGAACAATTCAATGCAGGTTGAAAGCAGGAAACAGTTTCAACTTGATTTGGACAAAATTCTTAACGGAGAGGATTCTCGGACTACCTTGATGATTAAAAACATTCCAAATAAGTAAGCTTTTCTTTCTTTATTGTTACGTCTATGATACAGCCAGATTCCTGATCTGAGTGTCTTTCATGATGTTATTAACAGATACACCTCAAAGATGTTGTTAGCTGCGATTGATGAAAAGAACCAAGGAACTTACAACTTTCTCTATTTGCCCATTGATTTTAAGGTAAAGATTCATTAGTGATTCAAAGTTACGAGTTCAGTAACTGATACAACACACGGTAAGTAACTGTTTGGTTTGCAGAACAAATGCAATGTTGGCTACGCTTTCATCAATATGCTCTCTCCAGAACTCATCATTCCATTTTACGAGGTATCCTTCTCTCTCCAATTTCCTTTTAAGATATTGTTATCTTTAGTTAAGACCACTCAGAATAAAAACTAACAGAAATTTCCATTTTCGCAGGCATTTAACGGGAAGAAGTGGGAGAAGTTTAACAGTGAGAAAGTAGCTTCACTAGCATATGCTCGGATACAAGGAAAAACTGCCCTTATAGCCCATTTTCAGAACTCAAGCTTGATGAATGAAGATATGCGTTGTCGTCCAATTATCTTCGATACCCCTAACAATCCAGACTCTGTTGAACTGGTAAAAACATAACTCTTTTGGTCTGAAACAACTACAAATCCTGATGATCCCTAAGGAAGTTAATACTGCCTGCATTTTAGCTAGAGATGGATCTTTTGACTTCTTATTGGTTTAGTTTTTTTTTTTGTTTTGCTGTTTTATAGGCTGTTGATGAGGAAACTAAGAATGTGGATATCCTTGACTCTCTTAAGCTCGATGATGATGCCAGAGAGAGAAGCTGACACAAGAGTTAATTAAAGAAGACTCAAGTGTTGTGATATGGCTGTTTTGTTTCGAAGTACTAATTTTTAACCGTACATATTGGTGAAAGGCAGAGTTTAACTGATGCAGCACCCTGCAGAGTTTGTTTTCGATTTGCAGGTTTGAAATGCTGCCTGCAGCTGTGGGAGTACTTACTCTGTTTTTTTTCTTTTTTTTCTTTCTTCATGTGTTTTTTTTTTGCTTCCATGGAGTATATGTAAAAAAAAAACCATGAATACTCGGTTTTATGTGGGTATTATGTTGTAACTCTTGTTACTTTCTATTATATATAAGCTTTGGCAATTTGTACAGTAAGAAAAAGAGTACTCTCAAGTCTTATGTGTTTTTTCTTGATAGAAGTCTTTGTTTTCTTCACAAGTCATGATTCTTACAATAACATTAGAACTAGGTAATACACATTATTACAAGAGTAGAAACAACCACTTTCAGACTTTGCGAGACTGCAAAACCATTACACAAGTTGGATTCTTAGAAATTATTATAAACACAGTAGAAAGAAAGAACATTATTTGAAAGGCTGAAACTGAAGGTGTTATGTCGGCATCAAAAACTGGCTTGTAACTTTGATATTTGGCAAACAAAAACGAAACAAAAACAAAAAACAATATTTTCATATTTCTAATTATATTTTAAAATAGTTATCTTTTGATCGACATGAAATTTTGTCACGTTCCCATGAATAAGATAATGCTAAAGCTGGCTGACATGGAATCCAAAGTGGGGGTGGGATTTGCATATATGAGTTTGATTCCAACGGTGGAGATTCAAAGATTCCTTGATTGATTGTTAACGTCGGACTCTCGTTTTCCCAATCACGTGTAGTGGTATACTAAGGCTCCACTTCAAAAGCATTTGCCACGAAAAATCCACACGTCCCACTCCCACGTAACGCCTCATATATAATTGACACAACTGATTATTACTAATTTTAACAGAAAGTAGAACACAATCGTCTTACTACACAATACATTACGATACAATGATGGCGAGTCTCTGTCTCTCATCGTCCCGGATCGTTTCTCTCCACCACCAGAAACCTATTCTTTCTTTAAAAGTCCGGCCTTGTACATCGAATATCTCCGGCATAGGTCACGCTACTGGTGCTGTTTCCTTCAATCCGTTAAGGTGATTAATTTTATATATATATTAATCCACTAGAAACATATGATTTCAGATTCTCAAATTCTCAAACAGTATAGTTTTTGTGTGTTAGGTTATTGGCTGATCGTCATCGAACCAGAACCGCTTCGGTTTCGACTAGGGTTGAGAAACGGCGAAAGAGAGGGTCGAGTTTGGTGTGTTATGCTTCTCCCGTTTCTGTCTATAATCTACAATGGGTCTCTGCAATTTCTTGCATGTATGACCTCTCTCTCTCACACACAGACACTTCTACTGTGATTTTCTTAACACATGACATGATGATGTATGATGTATAAGTTACATTACATAGACGTGAATTGCCATGGTTGACTCTGTAGTTTCCTCTGTTTTCATAATGTCATCAGCACTATAACAATATAATAAATATACTGAATGGTGTTTTCTTTTTATAGTGCATTGATTCTTGCAAGGGGTACTGGTATCCATAAGTCCGTTGTTGTTCCACTATTCGCTCTACACGCACCATCCAGCATTGTCGCCTGGATTAAGTAAGATTTTACTATGGTGATTTGAATAACCAATGCTTGTTGCTTTCACAGCCATCTTGAAGCTGCTAACCTTAAACTTATTCATCTTATATTTTCTAGGGGAGAATATGGCGTCTGGGCAGCATTTTTGGCGCTTATTGTTCGACTCTTCTTCACTTTTCCAGGTTCTTATTCCTCTTTGAGTAGAGTTGGGTTACAGGCTATGTAATTTTAGTGTTGTGATATATAATTTTTATACAATGCTTTATTTATAGCTGAACTTGAGCTGCCATTTATTGCATTACTCCTGGTGATTGTTGCTCCACATCAAGTTATGAGCATAAGGTTAGAATCTTAGAATAATGTAATGTTATTGTCACTTGTGAATTGTGATCATCAAGGTTTTATATACTTATAGAGAGACTCGTTAATAATTTTTTTTATTTATATATATATACTTGCAGAGGGAGGCAAGAAGGTGCTATCATATCTTTAGCGATCTCTTGTTTTCTTGCTTTCCAGCATTTCTCAAAAGCAGGCAGCTTGGAGAAAGCATACGAGAAGAGTTCAGTTCTTGCAACTGTAGCCATTATTGGTCTCACTGTTGTATCACTTCTTTTCTTGTTATAACTTTTCTCCTTTACCGCACAAAAAGAACTCTCATATGTAAAAATCAGTGTAACAATGTGTATGAAGGGAAACAAATAATGTCATAATGATGCTTGTATTTGTTCTTTACAATTCTTTTTATAAAATTTTCGAAAAAAGAAATATATCAAAATAAAATCAAAATGAATCTGAAAAATTAAAACAATGCATAATTTGTCATGTTTTGTGTGAATTGGGATATTTTAAAGCTGACGTGGAATCCTACGTGGTTAGATTTGCATTGCGCCTTGAAGGCTGAAGCATATGTCGTGCAATATACACCGTCCACGTAACGATCATGGATTTATGCAAATGATACTAATTTAACGGAAAGAGTTCACTCCGTCATCTTCTCACCACCGTAACTAGTCTAAACAATTACATGGCGAGTCTCTGTCTCTCATCGTCCCGGATCGTCTCACTTCACCATCAGAAACCATTTCTCTCGCTTCAACTCCGGCCTCGTCCTTCAGCTCTCTCTGGTCTAGGTCACGCTACGAGTTCTCTTTGCTTCAATCCGCTGAGGTATAGTGACATGGAAACACGCGGTTTTTTCAAATTTCTCAATCTGTGGATTTCGATTGTTTCCGGGTCGTTTAAGTAAACGAGTGTATTCGTAGGTCATCGGCTGATCGTCGCCGAACCGCTACGGTGCTGACGAAAGTTGAGAAGCGGAGGAAGAGAGGATCGAGTGTGGTCTGTTATGCTGCTCCGATGTTGTCTGTTCATAATCTACAATGGATCTCCACAATTTCTTGCGTGTATGATCTCTCACTCTCATTAACTATGATATGCTGTTGGAAATATTCCGACGTGTGGATTCATTACAAGTTATAGCTCGATTCGGATTATAGCAGATGATTTCGGAAAAGAGAATTAAATGTGTGAATCAGTGACATTTATACAAACCTTGCTTACATGATTTTTGATACGTTTGAATGCCTTGGAATCGTGTGTGGAAGTAAATTGAGATTGATAATTCTTTTATTTCCACTGATTCATATTGTCAGCAGCATATGAGTTTAATCTCTGTGCTGAATGTTGTTTCTTCTTTCTAGCGCATTGATGTTTGCAAGGGGTACTGGTATCCATAAGTCCTTTGTTGTTCCACTATTCGCTCTACAAGCACCATTGGGCATTGTTTCCTGGATGAAGTAAGCTTTTTCATGGCTGGCTATATGATACATTGTCATTTACCAATGCTTGTGGATTTTGTTCCTTTCTTTTTTTTGTTTTGCTGGATGAGAGAACTTTTTATGCTCCTATAGAAATCTTGAAGCCCTTATACTTAAAATCCTGCATCTAATTTGCAGGGGTGAATATGGAATCTGGGCAGCATTTCTGGCGCTTCTTACTCGACTTTTCTTCTCGTTTCCAGGTTCGTATTCATCTTCAAGTAGGGTGGGTTATAGGGTGTTGAATTCTACTGTTGGATTTTTATGTTCAACTGCCATTTACTGGGAATGAAATTCATGCTAGTTTCCAACATCAAAGCCTCAAATTTCCATTATCAAGTTAAGCTGGCTGGATTCACGCCAGATCTTCAACTTGCAGAAGAATATGCATGCCTTTGTTTGTAATTCTTATAAAATTCCCTGTTTATAGGTGAACTTGAGCTGCCATTCATTGCATTACTCTTGGTGATTGTGGCACCATATCAAGTTATGAGCATAAGGTTAGAGTCTTACAAATGTAATGTCTTGTGATCAAGGTTTTCTTTTCTTTAGTCGGCCTTATTGAATTCATATACATGCAGAGGGAAACAAGAAGGGGCTATCCTTTCTTTAGCAATCTCTTGTTTTCTGGCTTTCCAGCATTTCTCACGAGCAGGCAGCTTGCAGAAAGCATTTGATCAAAATTCAGTTATTGCCACTGTAGCAATAATTGGTGTCGCAGTTGTATCGTTCCTTTTCTTGATATAACTATGCTCCTAACAAAAGGGCTCATCTGTAAAAAGCACTGTAACAATTTCTATGAAGAGACATAAAATAATGTGCTATATTTATTTGCTCAATTTCAATACTTAATGCAAACGTGCTTGCATATTTATCCTCTTTATCAGATGCTTGTATTTGGCACTACTTGCTGCTACTAGATTGATCTTTTAGTCATGTATGATTCCACAAGGAGCTGGATTAAAAACTAATACTTAAGATCATGACTTGGATAGAGCATATTAAGGATATTGTCATCCTTGTAGAAACTGTTTGGAAATGCTGCAGGTATCATGGAGCTTGTCTGTCAATGTCGGCGTGCCTACCTGATTTGGAACGTTGCTGGTAAAGTACTTGAAGTAGCTTTCACATTATTTTCTGTTATATCTTTCCATAATTAATTATGTCTGACATTGCTTTTGTATTTTTTAACCGTTCCCTAAGTATTTTATTTTCTACAACTGTGGAGAGATACATTATGCTGAATGTTTCTACAAGAATGTATATATCCTACGCCCTTTGATTTTGTAATATCTCCTACTAAATAAATATAATTTCAGTGATGAACTATAGCAATAGAACAGATGGTGAGAGTAAGGTCTTGGATTAAAATCTTCTTGCTGATGACAGCTGCTTTCTCGAACTCCGTATAACGTGAAGGTAGATATGGAAAACGCGCCTCATAATTCGCAGAGAATGATTGAAACCCTGACACTTTTTCCTTTTAAAGATAATTTTCCCTGAGCAGTGGCATTAGTATCCCGACTGCTGTAAATAATGAGAGAAGGCTATGTGACACAGGGGTTGCTGAACTTGGAAGCCCGGTTGGCTCTGCCACGCCGAATGGTGGTCCAGAACCAGTTATGCCTGTGTTTGGAGTAGTTATTGGGGGTGGGTATGTAGATGGTGGGGAATTAAAATCCGGTGGACTTAATTGACTTGGTGGGCTTGTGCTGCATGTGGCATAAACATCACTGTTATTTTGTCACTTTTTGGCAGGTTAAGGTGCTAATTTAGGATAGAGAATCATACCTGACTGTTCCTGATGATGATGAGAAGTGACAGCTTCCTTTACCTGGAGCAGTATAACAGCAGATATGAATACCAAGTCTCAGATTTATCTTTGGCGTAAAAGGTGAAAATTCTAGTTATCTAGCTCTTTGACACATTATAATCATTTGGTGGGATAGTATTCTTAGGTTCATGAACTAATTCAAGATACTCAAAACATCTATCAGTTGTGGAGGTTTCTAGTAGCTCACACATCCCATGGAGGTAGCAAAGACAACGGAAACATGGATGCTATGCAGGTAACTTAATTCTAGTTTCCTGTCTCTTATGATTAGACTCTTTGTAGAAGTGTGCATAAAAAAGTTCTAATATGTCTTACTTGGATCTGTGCTGGTGAGTTGTGCTGCCCCTCCAAAATTGCAGCTGTCAGAACCAGGATGCTTCTGGTAATAACTATTGAAAGCAAAGGAAGCATGATCACGAATGGTGTTAGGCTCGTAACAGGCTGCACCTTGTTGGATCTGGCCACAATCAGCTCCTCCATACCCACAAGCATAATCCAAAGCCACTTGTAATGATGTTGGCGAAGCATTTGCTTTCGCTATACAATACTGGCCACTACCACCACCACCACCACCACCACCTCCGCCAGTGTCTCCACCACCGCCACCACCAGTTGCACCACCACCTCCTGCACCGGTGTCACCTCCTCCTCCTCCACCAGGTGCACCACCACCATAACCGCCTCCTCCTCCACCTGCACCAGTGTCACCACCACCACCATAACCACCACCAACATCGCCACCACCACCTGGAGGGGAGGTGCCACCAAGTGGTGGGTAACCACCTGTTGGTGTAGTTCCATCAAGGGGTGGATACCCACCAGTTGGTGTAGTTGTTGGCGTAGTTGGACCTGGGAATGTTGAGGAAGGCGGTGATGGTTGGGTTATGGTTGGTGTGGTGGTGGTACCACCATCGGGAGCTGTAGGATTAACAACTGGTATATCACCTTGTCCTCCTCCCTGACCCTGAGCTATAACATGTAGAGCTGAAATCAATCATTACAAAAATCAGGTCAGTTCGTTGCATCCTTTTAGAACAAAAAATATTCAGAATCACAGGAAAAACAAACAAAGCTTATTCACTATTCTAATGTTATCAGACGCAGAGAGATTACGTGAAGTGATTAGAAGACATAGAAGCATGATGGAGAAACATCGAGAAGCTATACGGTGAGTCATTTTCTTTCCAGTTAAAGCTTTTGAGTTTTGAGAGAAAGAAGAGAGATAGTCTTCAGGTTCTTGGGATTTGATAGAGCTGAAAGAAAGAATTGGTAGCGAAGAAGTTCCCTCTCAGGTATAGATATATCTTATTATAAAGATGAAGAGAAAAGAGAATCATAGAATCTAAGATTTCTTGGGATGGGAGAGAGAAGGGATGCGAAGACATGTAGGAGAGAATATAAGAAAACTTGAGAAAGGAGAAACTAAGAAGCTAGAAGAATCGGCAAGCAAGAGAAAACACCATAAAGAGGAAAAGGTATTTACAGATAAACTTATAGTACATGAAAAATATATAAGAAGCTGCTCCTTTCTTGGTGGGAAACTTCAAATCTCATCGTCACCTTGAGTAACTAGTAAGATGAAACACAAGACAAGAGATGGCCGGTTCGTTATCTGACAAATGTAACTCGGAACTTCTTGTTATTTTTATTTGTATCAGTGGCAAGATTATGACATATGGAGGAGATTATACTTTTTAAAATCAACGCTAATACAATTTGGAGCATTTGAAGATTGTTTAGTTTTTAAAAGCTTTAGGAGAGGTCCTTTTTTAATCTGTTGTCGTACTAAATCGAACAACACAAAGTCCAAAGACTTGTAGGTAACTGAAAACAACGAAAAGCTAAAGTGTTTCCTATGAAAACATAAGGAATCTGCTTAGTAAGCCCAGTTGCGATTCCCTCTCTTTATGTGTTGTTGTCTCCTCCTTCTAAATAAGAGTTTCTTCTCCTTTCATTTGTTTCTTACCTTTTATGTCATACAAATCTTTTCTGATTATGTTTCTTTTATATATTTAGAAAGTTCATGTGCTTAACTTTGCCCAAAGTTACAAATCCAAACTAGTAGTAATCTTTCATAGGAAGCGATATAAAAATCCAAAACAATCGTCACTTTAACTCCTTCCTTATCATGTGTAACCATCATATATAGCTTTGTATTGTCGTTTCTTTTGGTTCTATATACAGATTTGTTCGATTTTTAATAATTGGGCTAATTGGTATCTGATATTTGGTATGTTGTGGTGCCCCTTGTCCGTGTGGACATACTTGCTTCTTTCGCGATACATGCATCCACCAAGCTAGGTTTTAAAAACAAATGAATCATTAGGGGCAAGAGACTCCAAAAGTTAAGACCGTGTACGGTTACTACGTATTTCAAATAAGATTATTGTAAGCCCAAAGGAGCATATTCAAATGAGAGAAAATGAGTTCAGACCACTTTGGTGCTGTCGTGTTTGGTTCGGTTTGATTATGAGACAGTCGGCTGGTTTAAACGAGAGAGCCGGTCCAGTAATTTTACAATTTTAAAAAAGGCAACCGGAAAAAAGAAAAAAAGGAAAAAGGAAAAGAAACAATTATTAGGTGAAAAAAAAAAAAGATCGATAGGGTTTCATTCTACAGATATATCGAGACTCCCCTTGTGCTTCCTTCTTCTTCTTCTTCTTCTTCGTCTTCGTCTTCTTTGTATTGTCGCGACTTAAGAGAGAAACCACAAAAGAAAAGTTTCGTTATTTCCTTTCAGATCTAAGAGAGTGAGAGAGAGAGGCAGCTTTTTCGGCTGATAGAGATGAGCAGCAAGGTCGGCGTCGTTGGCGGCGGCGGAAGTGCCGGAGCTAGGAAAGCCAATAACGGAATTCACGATATTCCGTCAGGGTCTAGAAAAATAGTACAAAGCTTGAAGGAAATTGTAAACGCTCCCGAGGCTGAGATCTATGCTATGCTTAAAGAGTGCAATATGGATCCTAACGAAGCCGTTAATCGCCTCCTCTCTCAAGGTTCCTCCTTTTTTCTTTTCCCCTCTACCTTGTTGTGTATGTGTGGGATTTGGATTGTGAAGATTTGTAGGGTTTTTAATGTATCCCGAGGAGGTTTTCTCGAAATTGACTGATTACTAAGGGTTTCTATTAGGGTTTGATTGGGGTTTTAATTCTGAATGGACCATGTCTCTCTGTTTTTGTTATTGTCCTTAAGTTGCTTCTCCTCTAATGGTTTTTGTGTTCCCCGTGCAAGTATCAAACTTTCTAGCTGAGGTTTGGTATCATCTTAGTGGGATTTTTTCGTAGATGTTGCTAATGGTTTGCTTTCATAGTTCCTGTGATCTTCAGTTTCCTGTTCAAGGCTTGTTTTTGTGGCATATGGCGTCTATTACTGATATTGATACTTGTTTTTTTTTCTCATTTCAGACCCATTTCACGAGGTCAAGAGCAAGAAAGAAAAGAAGAAAGAGGTGAGTCGATCCTGAAAACTTCCATTGTTATTGAAAATAGACCGAGGAAATACCTTTGGTGTTCAGTGTCGGCATTTTAAAATTCAAACTATTGGCATAATCTGTGTATTAGTACATACTTGGACTATGTGTGATACCATTCTGTTTCTAGTACACAATTAAGTCATTGACAGATCTACTGATATTGAAATATTGTCGCAGTGATGTTTTTATACCTATGGACTACTGAGGGCCTTTAAACTAGTCCTCATGTCGTACCTGACTCTAGATAGTTTGCTGGAACAATTTAAGCTAGTTATCATTTTTATTTACTGGTGTTTTGGTGATTTATAAAGTTTTTTCTTTCTATTCAGACGAGGGATGTACCGGATTACCGGCCTCGTGGTACTAATAGCACGTATAACCGTGGTGGTGCTAGAGGCGGTTCTGATCGTTATGCCGGACGAGGTAGATCTACCAATTACATCTCTACTGGTATAAACATGATCTCTAATTATACATAAGATTTATCTAGTTCTAACCATAGGAATCATGCTTATGTGCTTCTGTTGTTCAGATTCTGGAAACTTCCAGGGAAAATCTACAAACAAGAAAGAGAGTGGAACACAGGGTTACACAGCTCCCTGGTCTTCTGCTTCTGGAGTGGCGAACCACCATCAAACACAAAACAGGTTTTCTCTTGAGTGGCTTTCTTTCTTTTGGTAGTTTAATAGCAGTTGAAAGTATGAGTGGATTTTTTTGTTCTTCATATTGAATCAATCAGTTGACTTCATATTTTGCTTACTTAGTTACTGATTGTATGGCTAGGATCCGTTGTTTCACTGTTTTAGTTTATAAAAATCAACCTATAGAATCTTTCACGTACCATTACTGTTTTATTAACTAGAAGCAACAAGAAATTTTACATGCTGGTTTGCTGTTGCATGATGAGATCAGATAGAGTCATTTATTTTCAAGATCTTGTGTTACAGTAGCTTTTTCATTTTGGCTTTTTTCCTTGAATTATGTTTTGTACATGATTTCATTTGGGTCTCATGAATGCTGCTGTATCTTTTGCAGTGATTCTGTTGCTGCCGAAAATAAATCGTCATCTGTTACCTCGGGTGATGGAATATCATCATCACAGTTGGCTTCTGGACATCAAACTGCATGGTTTGGCGCTCCAGGCCAGAGGTCTATGGCTGATATTGTGAAGATGGGTATACCACAGAACAAGCCAGTGAAGCAAAATGTCAGTATGCGTTCTGAGATAAGTCATGAACATGAAATTAGTGCAAATCAGCAGGTCCCTGTTAGAGATGAATGGCCATCGATTGAGAAGCCACTGGCTCCTCGTACATCTGTATCAGTAGCACCAGCAGAATCAGAGGTATGCAATGGTCCAGCTGATTTCCAATCCGATAGAGGAGATCAACATCTGAAAGACCGGTTAGAAAATATACATTTAGCAGAAAATGACCCAGTCGAACATGTGCAAGCTGACTCTGTTCAAGAAGAAGACTCTGCAGTTTCATCCGAATTTGATGATCCTTATCAGACACAGAGCCATCGAGTAGAGCACCACAAAGGTAATATTTTGAATCCTTATAATATGTTTCCATCTAAAATCCATAACGTGGTTGAGTTCCCATTGCCTATCTCGGATATAAATTCTGGTGTTGTGTTTTTCTGGTTTTTGTTGATGGCCATATGTATTTTTTGGATTTTTGCTGTGAATGACAATATGTCTCTTCATCAATTAAGTCACAATGATTTCTTGTGTGTGCCATTAAGATCAATTTTTTTGTGTGTTTCATATTCGTTTGAGCTTCTATATATTGATCATGGGAATACAAATAGGCTTATTGTTCTGTTGGGGGTGATGAAAGATTCTTTGCTGTTTGCTGTCCTAAAACTTTACTTTTTCTTCTCAATCATCTTTTGGTGGTAGAGTGATACTCATTATTTAAATTTTAGATATATCAGAGAATCAAAAGCTTACGAGGATCTTTTGGTGTTCTTGATGGGTTTTTTATTCACCGTCTCAATATTACTTTTCAGATGACGATGATGTTTCGTCTCGTCCACTCAATTTTCAACAACTAACCATAGATAGTCATGATCAAGAAGCCTCACATGAAGAAGATAGACCTGCTGTTGTAATTCCGAACCATTTGCTAATCCATACAGAAGAATGCTCACAATTAAGTTTTGGAAGCTTTGGAGGTTTTGGATCTAGACCTTTGAGCAACAACGTTGAAGAGACTTCTGATGTAGCTCCACCAATCGAACATTCAGATGCAAGGTATTCCATTACTAATATTTGTCTAAAAAATAAAATTATGCGTTATTTTTATATATCCTACTTACCAACTGATCTTGCTTGTTTGCAGAAATACTGAGTACTATGGAGATGAACATCTTGAAGGTAAAGCCAATGAAAATATGGTCCAGGCACCTGCTACTGAAAATTATGATGATTCTTTAGAATCGAGGCGGGAGGTTTTGAAGCAAGAAATCTCTGAGGGCACTCAGGAGCACCAGTACACATTTTCCCAGTCTGAGCCAGGGTATGCGTATGAAAATGCTAAGCAGCAGCAGCAGCAGATGAATACTGCATATGATGCCTCACAGACAAATGCACAGAATCAGATGCAGAATCTTGCTTCGTTATCAAATATGATGGTAAGCTACCTGTGCATTGCATTTCATAGCGGAACCAAATTTCAAAGGTTTTGAAAATCCTAGTTATTTATTAAAGTTCTAAGAGAATCTCGTTTTGCTTTTTAATCAATGCATTCAAAGTTGTTCATATTTTTTCTGAAAGAGCTCTGAAGTGAGACCCATAAATTCTTGAATGTTAACATTGGTTTTGTTCGTTTTTGTCTCAGCAGGGATATACACACTCAGTTCCCAGCAACACTTTATTGGCACAAACAGTACAAAACGTGAGGGAACTTGAGTACCAGTTTTCACCTTTCTCAGCACAGTCTCTGCAGTCAAGAAATAGCAACAATGCTTCATCACTTGGTGGCCAAAGCATTTCCATGCCAGAGGTAAATAATCCCTTTCTCTTTGAGAAACACAGGCTGACAGATTTCTTTCTCTTAGCTTTTATTTTTCAGAGGTAGTAATGTTTACTTAGCCAAATGCGGTAGTTCCTTCATATTCGAAAACTGCTTTTCTTGATTCTGGATTTGGCTTTAACCTGCTTGTTTACTCAAAGTTAGATCTTGAGGAATTGATTCTTATATCACTAGTTTTCAGGGAAGAGTAGTGCGTTCTGTTTATACTAGAAGAGGGTTTGGTATGATTTTGATTTAAATTCTCTTACATTGCAGTCTCTTCGAGGCAGTGGAATTCCGGCAACGCAGCCAACGCAGCAAACTTTACCCGGTGCTAATATCGCTACTGGACCAGCTCTTCCTCAACAGCTTCCAATGCATCCCTACTCTCAACCCACATTGCCTCTAACGCACTATGCAAACATGATCAGTTATCCTATAATGCCTCAGAACTATCCATACATGCCATCTGCTTTCCAGCAAACATTTGGTAACAGCTCATACCACCAGCAACTATCTGCCTCACTGCTTCCGCAGTACAAAACCAATGTCTCTCCCGGTAATTTGCCTCAGTCTGCAACAGCGCCTGCCTCTGCTTATGGATTTGGAAACTCAACCAATGCTGGATCTGCTGGAAACTTCCCTCCTAACCAACAGTCTGCTCCTACGGGAACAACACTTGGTTATGAAGATGTTCTTAGTTCTCAGTATAAAGAGAGTAATCATTTGCTGGCACTTCAGCAGCAGCAACAACAGCAGGTACTTGCTCTTTGTGGTCGTTCCTTACCATTTTTCTTTTGGTTTGAGACATGAATCATTTTGATGACGTTCTTCCTCTTTTGATTTTAATTATTCAGAACGAAAACTCGGCGATGTGGCATCACGGTCATGGTTCCAGAACCATGTCAGGTGTCCCGGCTAACACGTACTACAACCTCCAAGCACAGCAGCAACTACACCAGCAACAACTACAACAACAACAACTACAACAACAACAACAGCAGACCCAGCAAGCAGCGGGAGGGTATCGCCAAGCGCAGCAGCAACAACACCATTATGGATCTCATGGGTACCCAAATTTCTATCAGTCCCAAACTGAAATGTCACTGGAGCGCCAGCAGCAAAACCCTAGGGATGGTGGTGGGTCTCAGGCAGGTCAACAGTCAAACCAAACCCAGCAGCTCTGGCAAAACTCGTACTAAAAAATAAAAGAAAGAGAGTGGTTTTTATTCAGCTTCTTTCGGTTATAGAGGATTGTGTGGCGAGTCTGAAGAGGAAAAAACATGGGTCTGTCTGTTTGGGAATGTAATTTATCATCATCTTTTGTCTCCTCTGTTAACTTAGGGAACACACAACTCTGAAATGTTGTTTGAATCTTAAAACTTTTTTTTTTTTTTTTAACTCTTGCCTCAGTACTTTTTCTGTCTACATGTTGTCTGAATCTTGAAGCTTCATCTAAATGTTGACTAAATGTTGTTTAAAATTCATCAGTAGCTTTGGTCTCACTCAACAAGCTGTTGAAGCTTGCTCTTCACTTCTTCTTTATGTGTGTTTCCCCACAGTATCTGGAGAAAGAAGATGGATTTTTGTTAGCTTAAAAAACAGATTTAGAACTTGGAAACCATCCAGCTGTATAAACATAATAAGTCAATGGAGGAATTGTGAACACGACAACGTCTGAATTGATCTAATCTATTATAGTTTTTCTTGGTAGCAAACATGTGGACTGACTGAGACTATGTGAGAGCGTCGAGTCGAGTCAAAATTTTGAATGTATCAATATTGTATATTACTAGTATTATCATATATGAAAGTATGAACGACTAAATTTGTTTGGTTCCGCAGATGACATGACAGCATTGAAATATCAAAGGTCGATTAAAAAAGCTATGTGACATTGAGTTATTATACATACAACTTAGTGAATGTAAGATGTGGCAGTACTAGTCTGAACCTCGACAGCCTTGGCCACAACGACTGTGTTAAACAACAGTCCAATCCAATTGGTAGACATCGGAAATGGAATCGTACTAAGGCGCACAAAAACCATTGCGGTCTCACACTCGCAATTTTATAACATTAGAGAAAGCAAAAATAAAAAAAATCTATCAAATTCAAACAAATCATTATGATTTCTTCACGTACCTCTCTCTCTCTCACTCATCCCCAAAGCTGGAGAATGATATTTTTGGTATATGAAAATTGAAAATGATTACGCATTTCTTAAAAATGTATATATATATATAGACTCGATAACTTTAAAAAAAAAAGCTCTAAAAATTCCCAAATTCTCAAAGTTCATTAGTAGTGAAAAATGTCAATCAACAGTTTATGAACATTATAAGTCCGTTGGAGGTTGTACAATTTTAATGTATGTAAGAAAATATATAAAAAAGAATTGTAATTAAAGAATGATATATAATCATTATCGTAGATTGTCGGGTGTTAATGCGCATACGCACATGATACATAACTCCAAAAAAAGACAAAATAAAAAACACAATAAGATCACATCCACTTCCAAAATAACAAAAACATAGATAGTGGACGACCTTATCTTTTACTCTTATCAATTTATAATCATAAACCTCCAGATTATATCATGAAATCCTCTTACACAAGTTCCATTTTTACGGATATTATAGTGTCTCTTCAATAATATTTTCACAAATCATCATCCTATCTTCATAGAGTCTTGAAATCTAAATGAAAAAAAAAATATATATACATATATATTTGTCTCAAATGTGAAACTTAGAAAAGTCTTTATATAGTTTTACAAGTTATTACAGTATAAACTACCTATTTTAAAACATGTATACATAGTTATGTATATATATATATATATTTCAAAAAAAAAATTATAGTGTTGATATCCTCCACATAGTTGAGCTAAACAAAAGAAATAGAAGAAGAAAATTTAAGTTGCCCCAACTCACCACTTCACTTAGAGATACTCTCTTTTCTCAACCTTTTGCAATGAATATTTTTTCTAACTCCAACTTTTTAATTCTATATTCTTCTATCAATTTCACAAGTGGGAGAGACCATTCCAAATCATACTTCAACTCTCACTACTTTATCTTTCTCTCTTTTCTTCTTTGTTATGTAATTATTCTTTTTGTTGAATGTTCTCTCCTTAAAGGGCTCACCATTTAGTCAAGTATCAATACTTTCAAGTCTTCTTACTTGCCATTCTCATGCGTAGGCTTTGTTTTTCTACCTTTGAATCTAAAGTATAATAATAGTCACCATTTTTAGTAACGATCACAATGCTGAGGTTTCATTCACAGCTTATACAAAAGAGAAGACTACACACTAAACTCTTTTTTGTTAAATCTTTTTCATAACCTGGACTGGAAGATACTTATACACATCATATCTTCTCTAACCATTATATATTACTTGTATTATACCTCCCAACCAATAAATGTATATAATATAGACAAACAGTGAAACAAAACACCACCACCAACCACAAAAAAAAAGAGTACCTCTTTAGATTTTTTTAACTTTTCACTAAACAATCATAGATCACAACACAGGTACTGAGATTGAGATTGAAATCGGCACAGAGACATCGTTTGTAAAACTACCGTCTCTATTGCCATTCGAATTCCCTACAAACCCGTATCCGCCTGACCGCATTGCTGCATTTTCCCGTCTCTGGAATACCCGAGCAAGCGATGCCGCTTTCCGTCTAGCCCGTTTTGTCCCGGTGAACAAAAGGGTTTGGAGTAATCCCGCAATCGCAGGTGCTCTCAACACTTTCTCCGCTACTGCAGCTCCACCGCTCTTACAGAGTTCGAGCAATGCAGCGACCGCGTTTTCTTTCCCTCTCGGCGTTCCACATCTCATCATTCCCATGAGCCCTGTCACAGCTGAATCCTCTTTTCCTATAGCCTCAGCACCGAGAGATTGTCTTACTAACAAAGCCAAAGCTCCTGCTGCTTCCTCTGCTACGCCTTCGTTCTTGAGAGCTCCAACGAGACTCGACACACCTCCTCCTTCAATCATCCTACTGCAGTTATCTGGATGTGTTGATAAGTTATACAACGCTGTAACCGCATCTTTCTTCCCTCTTGGTGTCCCGTTTTGAAGCAGCAACGCTAATGCCTCAACGCATTGATCAACAACTGCTATCCGCTTCTTATACTCGTGTACAGCAGAGAGACTGAACAACGTGGCTGCTGCGTTTTCTTGCGCTTCCACTGTGAGACCCGAAACTAAGACACTCACTATAGACTCCAAACAATCACCTTCCTCCATGATCCTACTCTTGTTCTTCTCATATATCGATAGATTCAGCATTGCGGTCACTGAATTCTCTTGCGCAATAGCGTTCTCGGATTTCAGAAGGCGGCACAAGTGCGGTATCGCACCTGCTTCCGCAATGTACGCACGGTTTTCTTTCCCGGTTTTCGCTAAAAGACGGATTTCCCGTGCCGCCACTGTCTGAGCTGCTTCAGACCCATCTGCTAGATACTTAATAAGAATCGATACAGTGGCTTTGTTCGCTTCAACCGCAGCTTTAGTCGGAAGAGCCGAAGCAAAAGACTCATTAGGAGAATCCGTAAACTCAGACTCATAAGATATACCACTCGCTGTACACCATTGCACAATCAAATTCTTCAAAGCTCGATTCGGAACAATCCTCGAATCCATGAGCATCTGCCCTGTTTTTGGACAAGTACAATGCCCTTCTTCAATCCACCTAGCTATAGAGCTCCGATCATAAGTCTGCCCTGTAGAAATGATCACAGGATCTGTCATCAAATCAAGAGAGATGGGACAAACAAAATCCTTTGGAACAGTTATAAACGTGTCCCCAATCTCCTGAGCAACGAACCCTTTTCGAGGTTTCTTGGGATTCTCAATCCACCACTCCAAACCATCTTCTTCAAACCCAAACAACAGAAACCTACAGTACCTTGTAATCGCCACAAACCCATTAATCACAGACCCCGTAGGCTCCAAATCACCATCGTGATTCACAATCTGTTCTTCCAAGAACTCGATTTCGGTTCTGCAACTCTTCGAATCCTTAATCCCCAATTTCTCAACAAAGAACAATCTCAGATCAACCGGATTCGGAATCTCACCGTTCTCGAACCCATCAAGAAACGAATAGAATGTTTCGCGCAACGACTCGTCGTTCTTGTCGATATACAATCTCGATTTCCTCGATTGTCTCTGCAACAACTCGATTTGCTCTCTAATGTCGTCGCTTAAACCGAGGTCGTTGGCAGGGATAACATCCAAAAGAGTCGAGATTTCTTGGTTCAAATCATGGAAATACCCAGAAATGGAAGGGTTTTGTAACAAGAGCCATAACTTACTAGATTGAGCGCAGTAATCGATGAGGATCTTGGAGCGATAGAGAAGAAGATAAAGCTCCTTCAAACAGAGCAACGCCGTCGATTCAGAAGAAGCTCTGTTTCTTCTTCTTGAGCCCCAATTCGAATCTGCGAGGAATTCGAACAGCACAACGAAGGTCTCGATCTTACGAATCAAAGAACGAGCGTTCTTGCGTTGAAACGAGAACCTCACGCCGCTGAAACACGAAACAACCTCCGTCGAAATGGAAGCTAGGGTTTGAACAAGAGCAACGCCGGAAAGGTCAACGGGGGCTAAAAAAGCTTCCAAAGACGGCGATCTCCTCCGTCGGAGAGATGAGAATATCGCCGCGGAGGCCATGTAATCCGGCGGGGTTTTCTCGTACACCCAGATCGAAAAATCCAAGCTTTATATACACAACGAAGAAGAAGAAGAAGAAAACAGAATCTAAAATGAAAACAAAAGATTCTTCTGCGAAGAAAAAAAGTCAGAGAAGAAGAAAAAGTGAAAAAGGGTTCAATGATACTTTCTGGGAAAGAGAGAAGGAAGAAGAAAGAGGAAGAAGAAGAAGAAGAAGAACGCGTAATCGTAATTGTGTAAATGTAATCGAAAGGCTCAGAATTTTTCTTTTCTCTGTGGGAAAGTTTTTGTTTTTTTTTTCCTCAGTAACAAAGTCAATACTGGAATGTAACGGATAGAATCTATCTTTTATTACCAGATTTGTCTCTCTTTCTCTTTGTCTTAATCTTATAATTTTAATTTTAAAATAAAAAATACGAGTATTATTAGTAGTGTATTTTAATTATTATTCATTTCACTCTAGTCCAACTAGTAATTAATGCTTTTTCTGCAAAATATTTATGAGTCTATCTCGTGGTTCGACGTATTTGTTTTTTGTATTATTGTGCGTATCGTTAGATTCGATGTGTTATGTGGTGTAAAATCATTACCCCTTGGTTTAGGTTTGTTTGACCAACCGATGATGAGGATTCAGATTCACCCTTAATTTCTAGGTCGGCAAACGTAACGACATGAAATCAAAATAAACACCATTTAATTCAGAGTTATGTATAATTCTCTCCTCACTGAATCGTGTTATAAACTTATACTAATAGGGAAATAAGGAATAGAAATTAATACTACTAACTATTGATAAGAAAGAGTCATGGATCTAATTCTATATAGGTCAATGATATATAGCATTTCATTGGTTGATGGCTTAATTTCGGTATCTGATTTTTGATCATCTTCTTCTACGTATATGAAATCAAATTTAGGCCTATATAAGTTTGGTGTTGACGAAAAGAAAACAAAAAAAATCAAATTTAGGCTGGCCAACAAGAGAAAACAAACATACAAATAAAAACAAATTCTCTAATTTATAAAAGACATTAACTCATATTATTCTTTTTATACATTTTGACAAGTATTGTATTCACGGATATTTTTCATATTTGCTACAAAACATTTTAGTCAATTTAATACGTACATAAAAATGTTTAAATTAATATATGAAATTTTTGATTCGACAAAATATGAAATAAAGAATAACAGTGTTAGGTACAATAAAATAAAATAAAATTATAGATGAAGTTATATTTTTGAAACGAAAAGTTTAGAATACACGTTTTTAGTTTGATTCTCTACTACTTTTGTGTCTGTTTTAGTTAACATACTAATATTTAACGCGCAATAACGTTTATACATCAACACAATTAGATCTATATAATTTGATATGTTCAATATTTTAATATCAATGATTTTAACGAAATTGATAGATAATGATATTAACGAAATTAATAAAATAATCTACGATACATGTTAATGATATTTTAAATTTCTATAAATGTCGTCACTAAACAAAACTTTTAAACCGACTACAAACCCATATATAAATATGATTATTAGATTAAATAGGTGTTTTATTATAACTTTTTTGTCAAAAAGAAAAATGGAGTTTGGTGTATACTATAAAATAGCTAAATATACATAGATGTCCTCCGTAACGTAAGTTAGAAGAACCCTATGCTACTGAAGCGTTGACTCTGGAAGAAGATTAAAAAGTGCTACGTGTCGCTGCAGCTTTGAAGGCGCGTGGAAAAATTCATAATACAAAAAGATTAAGAAAAATGTTTATAAGCTAAAGGAAGTTCACTTTCACTTTCTTTAACCAAGTTTGCGCTTGTATAATTACAGTTACAAATTTACAACTAGGGAATTCTTTTTATTTTTACATCAAAGAATCCATTTAAAATTTTTAAATCAAAACTCATCTTTAGTTCATCAAAATTTTAATTTAAACCTTGTTTTTTTTTTTGTATTTAGGTTCATAATGTTTTCATAATTCTGAAATTTGTAAAACAAAAAAAATCTTATGTTGTAATATATATGTTGTTAATTTCATTTTCTGTTTGTTCTTTGCGTTTACAATCTACAAAATGATTTTTTTTAACACACTAAATATTCTCAATATAATTTGTATATGTAAACAAAAGCCGGATTGTTTTTAAAAACATATATTATACAAAAACACATATTTGCAAATATGAATAATGTGATTAAGTTTGAAAACCACTATTATTTCAATTTATAAATTTTTTTATCAAATGGAAAATGAAAGAAAGTGGGGAAACTAGCAACGAATAAAGAATATGACCAAAAACAAAAAAAAAATACGTTAAGTTTTCTTTCGAGAAAAAACTGACTCCATTATTATGACTTATCAACCTTTAAAAACCTTACGTCTGAACAAACCTTAATAACATCACAACATGAAATTACAAAAGCGGCGACTGTGCACAACATGAGATTCACGTCATGTGATGTTATCCATTTTTTAATTTGCACATAATACTGAACTTAATTAATATGGCGAAATTGTTTCACATTGTGCTTAAGAGCGTGAAAACATGTGTTTGATTCCTATATTCTTAGAGATTTTAACACAATTAAAAATGGTATAGTTGGTTTTAAAATCATCGTGGAACAGTACAATCGGGTAGGTCGAACACGCACGGCAAAACAAAAATATCGAACCGACCACGGTGACTAACGTCGAAGGAGCATTTTACTAATGATGCCTTAGATTTCTTTGACTAATACTATATGTTTTATATTTACGTGTCCTACATTTCATGAGTCATGACGTTCATACATACATACATAATAGTATTTTTTTTTGTTTGGTTTAAGTGACGTTCATACATCATTTTCATGTTTGTCTAAGTCCATACCATTCACAAGAAAAAACTTTGAACGTTGAAGCAAGGCATTGAAATATCATTCTATATATTAATGAGTAATGACTATTGTGTATATAGATTTCAATGAGGGGGGACTAGCACAAAAATCCCAAATTCTATAAACAGGTTTAAAAACCAAATTTGGTTATAACATTGGGTAACTGATAGCTGATAAACAAAAAGGCCCATATCCATTACTATCAAGCTATGTAACCGGCCCATTTAACTAACCGAGCCATTCATTTCCAACTGTTTTTTTTTCTTTTTACACGTGGACAACACGAGGAATTGAAAATTAGTTAACGCCGCACCATTTCGCGTACCAAGCTGCCACGTCACTTTTTATTGACACATGGCTTATTTTTGTGCAATATAGACCCACCGAAAGCTGGCGCCTGCTACTTTACGGAAGGTGCGACGTACCAGATAACTCCACTTCTCCACTTTTGGTAATTGTATTTCACTAATTTAGGTTATAATCAGTAATTAAACGAATAATGGAGGACTAATTTGCAGTTTTAAGAAATAAAGTGAGCATACACACACGTTAGAGACCGTTCCAGATTGCCACGTCATCGTCTCCTCTGAACGAGTTCCTGCAAAAACCTGAAACGTGCAGCTTCTCGCTCTCCTCTCTCTCTCTTCTTCCTCTCTTTCTCTCTTGATTTGAAGAGAGAGTAATCGTTCGATTTCGATATCGTGTTTTTGGATTTTTTTTCTCGGAAAATTTTGGAATCGTTTTGAGTTTTGTGGTCAACCATGAATATCTTTCGATTTGCTGGTGATATGACTCACTTGATCAGTATTTTAATCCTTCTTCTCAAAATCTACGCGACAAAATCTTGCGCTGGTGAGTTCTCACTTTCCTGGAAATGTAATTGTAATTTGTTTTCATGACGAGCGAGCTCGTAGATGATTCAATCGCATTTGCTTTGACCGTTTGATTTCGCTTCCGTAGTTTCTAAATGCAGTCTTGTTTGGGTTATATGATCGATTTCGAGGTGAATCCGAGGTGAAATCTCAATTTTAGAAACTGAAACTAGAAAGGAGTTTCTAAACGAGAGAGATCTCACTCGCCTGAATTAGGTTTGATGGAAAAAATGCAGTAGAGGAATTTGATAGACGGAAGTAGAAAATGCTCGAAGATGATTAATGATTTTATCATACATTTGTAGCTCCTAACATTGTTTCCGTTGACTTTTGGGTTTTGTTGGCTAGGAATCTCTCTCAAGACTCAAGAGCTATATGCGCTTGTGTTCTTAGCTCGCTACTTGGATCTGTTTACGGATTACGTCTCTCTTTACAACAGCGTCATGAAGGTTGTCTTCGTTGCCAGCTCTTTGGCTATTGTTTGGTGTATGCGTAGGCATCCACTTGTGCGGAGGTCATACGATAAGGACCTGGACACATTTCGTCATCAATATGTTGTGTTAGCCTGTTTTGTTCTGGCACTTATCCTGAATGAGAAATTCACATTCCAAGAGGTATTTTCATTTGACTTTCATAGTTCTTTTGTATTTTTAGTTTGTAGAGAAAAGGAAAGCAAATACTTATCGGAAATATCTAGTATTAAGCATGTGGTTTTACAATGTGATTGTCTAGCTTGCTCTCATATGTTGTGCAATCTTCTTTTTGGTTCATTCGTTATACAACACGCTTAGATATAGCTGAACTCATACTGTTAATGCTAAATATTTTCTTAGACTCTATATGTGCTTGGTAAATGGTAATTATAATGGATATTGTCAGTTCTTTATCTTGAATCGTTTGGATTTGGTATTTATCTTGACTAGTGGTAGAATATATTATCATCTATATGTAAATGAATTGAATTCAACTCTTTTCACAACCGATTTAAGACTGGCTGTTATAGTTATATATGAAAACTTTGTTTTAGTTGGTGATAAAGCTTGTTTAAACGTTGTACCACCTATACAACCTCTCAAGGTTTTTTTGCTTCCATTAATGGAACCTGCTGTGTCCTAGTTACCTCTGTATGGTCCATAAGGTGCCCATGGATTAATGGCATCTGTGTCTTTCTGTGACTATGCTGGCCAAAGTGTTCTTTGATAATGTGTCATAGGAAACTTTAAAAACTCCGTATAAATAATTGTTTACCTTTACTACCTTCATATGTATTTTTCAAGTATATGGTCCTGGTAAAACTTTCACCTGTGTAACTGACTTCACTCAGAATTTGAGTGCATTTGTTAATTCTGTGAATTTGAAACCATTTCAGGTATTCTGGGCCTTTTCTATCTACTTGGAGGCAGTTGCTATCCTTCCCCAGTTGGTTCTGCTACAGAGAAGTGGAAATGTCGACAATTTGACTGGGCAATATGTTCTCTTTCTCGGGTACGTAATTCTTTTCAGATATATGCTACTTTACCCCACTGGTTTTAACTGGTTTATGTTTTGGAACTCAATGTTATTATAGCACGAGTACTACCTTTATGCGTTCTCTTTGGGTGTGTTTAGAATTTGTTTAGCCTATTGTTATACCGTGTCTTTCATAGCTCATGCACTTTTTAATTTGATCAATGAGAAACGCTCTCCAGTGCGGTACTTAAAAATCAGTGCATCTATCTCAGAAGTCTATAGTACATTGTTATTCCTTCTAATTTTTGAGCTGAACTAATTATAAAATTTTGTAAAAAGGAAGTTAGACTGGTTTGCCCTTGCTATGCATTTGGTTCTGATGCATACTTTATGTGCCGTACACAAAATCTCAAAGTGCAAACTTAAGGAATATTTAGTATGCACTCACATGGGCAATAAACTTGCAGGGCGTATCGTGGACTCTATATCATCAACTGGATCTATCGCTATTTCACAGAAGATCATTTCACTAGATGGATTTGTAATGTTTTCAACAAAGAAGCACTAATTAAGTTTTCACTACTTGTTTTTCCTCATTGCTAATCTTACAAATTTGCATTTTCCAGCTTGTGTATCCGGTCTTGTCCAAACAGCTCTCTACGCTGATTTCTTCTACTACTATTACATAAGGTAAAGTAGCTCCACCTGTCTGAACTTAAATCTTCTATATTGCTGATCATGTTACTGACACTTTGGATCCATTCTTATTTTGTTCTAGCTGGAAAACCAACACCAAACTTAAGCTTCCAGCTTGAACAGAACCCGACAAATTTTGAGACAGTATCACAATCAAGGAAGGCAGGAAGTTACAGCAATGTTGACATTAGAAAAGAGAGACACGGTTGATATTTGGATTCTCCCTGTTTTTAACAATATGCAAAATTGTTGTTTTGAAATGTGCCTTTTTAGTCTTTTAATGCACATTGTAGATTTCTCAACGATTTTAGACATTAAGAAGAGGCTTCGTTATATCAAAACTAGTCTTTATAGAAAGAGAGAAAAACACGCAAACTCTTTTACTTTCTTGCATGAATGTGTTTGTTCAAAACTGTAAGCTCCGATCAGAGCGAAGTTAACAATGTCTTAAAAGCCTAGTCTTCCTGATTGTGTTTCACTTTCTTGGTTCTCTTCTTGTGCTCTCTTGACTTCTTGCTTCTTAGCTCGTCTTTCTCTTCACCCTCAGGGACGTTTTCTCTACTGCGTTTCTCTTTCTTCGATTTCTTTGTTTTGACAGGAGCTTTCTCAGCCTCATCTTCATTCTCCTCATCGGCTTTATCCTCAAGGACTATTTCTCTACCGCGTTTTTCTTTCTTTGACTTCTTTCTTTTCACAGGAGTCTCCTCAATTTCCTCTTCTTCCTGGTCCATGATCTCCTCTGTTTCAGACTCCACCACCGTGTTTGCTACAGCTGTCTCTGCTTCAACCATAAAAACAAATCATCTTACAAACATACTAACGGAGGAAAACAGAAATAGATATGAATTGCCAACGGCAATAGAAAACAAACCTTCTCCAGTAAAGCCTGAGTCGAATACAAGACCTGTAAGATGCTGCTTCAAGAAAACCTGCAATAAAACAATGATAACTAAGTAGGATTCTACTTAACCAGAAAATACTTGTTGCATGTTGCAGAGTATACCGCAGAAACGAGCTGCCGTGTCTTAACATCATAAACTCGTAAATATCGGTCCAACCCTGAACAATTCAATAAAAACACATACAGACATGAGATCGTTAATCAATCCAGTAAACTAACGGAGATTGTCTTAGCGGCATAAGGAGGTGAGGTTGTGACAAGGAATCCTACCGCACGAAGCTATAACTGGATGCTCTGGATGTCTAACCACAGATCTTATGCTTCCAGAGCATTTTCCTAAAAAGCTTCCCAACAGCTTTCCTGCAACAGTGATGATTGATTAATTGTTTGATTCATAAAGCAACATAGTTTGTGATACATTTGCAGAGAGAATCAATGAACCTGTCCGTATATCAAAGGAAGCGAGGTCAGCAGAGGCATTTCCGACATAGATAGTATGACCATCTGGGTCTTCCGCGATTGCTGTAATGGCGGTCTCACGGAAATCAAAGGACAGGACTGGTCTACGCTGAGTAGAAATGTCATAAAGACGAACCTGTCTCCAGCACAGGCAAAATGTAAGTGATAAGGACAAGACTCAAACTGACAAAAGAAACTAGAGGTTTTAACCTGGTGAGACTTGGTGCCCGTAACAAATTTACGGTGATCTTCGTTGCTCAAGAATGTAGCACTAGTGAACCAGGTGGGTGTGAAGATTCCGAGATTGTCCTTAGGAGGCTGCACCAAACAGATAATTGATTGGAAGAGACGGTAAAGGCTTAGTTAGTTCATCAAAGAAACCGAGAGGCTTTGAATGAGATAAAGACGAGGAAGCAACTCACAGATTTGGCGCTCCAGATCTTAGTACATTGTTCAAGATCCCATATAGTGGCCTCAACCCGTCTCCTGTATCAGACATTATTCATTTCAGTATGGTGACAACCAAAAACGGGATATAACAAGATGATCCACAAATATAAGTAAACTGATTCAGTTCTTCACTACTAACCCTCCAAATAAGCTGAAGTTTTCGCTCCCATCCACTTTACCAACCAATATTTCACCAGAACCACATGCTTTCCAAGTTTTAATAGAAGCATCATCCGTGGAATCACTATGTGCATCTGGAAATTTAACTGATCTGAGGCTCACATCTCCCTTTTTTGTGCATGTAAGCAATGTGCAAGATCTAATAACACCAAGTTTTGTTGAGAACGTCAATGGAACATAACATACAAAACATAATTCACTGGAAATTTCAAAGAAACTGTTTCAGTGTTCAGGTACATACCTTTCTGCCTGCTCATCTATCTTTTTTCTGAATAAGTGCAGGGCAGAAATTTCGTTCTCCTCAGAGGAACAACCATCATCACCATATACAGAGTATGTAAAGTGAAGATCACCATTACAGGGATTAAGAATCTCAACCTATGGAACAATATAAGTGAACAAAATAATTGGATAAAATATTAGCTAGGCTATGGAGAGAAATATAGTACACAAATACACATAGCTTAAACTTAAAGAAAGGAAAGCTTACATTGCCATCTTTTCTTGCAACAGCCAAAAGCTACAATTGGAAGGACAAAAAAGAATTACTGACGATGAGTTTGCCATTTTGAAGCAAAAGCGAAAAAATGAAGAGGAAAACATGAGTTAAGAAGAAGCTCTCTTCAGTAAAATCAGATTTCACAATTTTAATTTTTACAAAGTAAGGCATGAAAACTCAAAATTTGCTAATTCATTCACCAAATCATACATGCTTCTACAGAAGTAATGATCAACTATAAGTCAGGAAAAAATAATATTCGTGAGCTACATAGTAGTAGTAAACTAGTAGTACCAGACAAGTAGGAGGACATTGTTGCAGACAAAATCATTACATACTACATCGATAAGTTCCCAATTGCTACTACTAACTGGCAAGCAAAACAATAAACTCAAACTACTAACTGTCTGAATTGAACAAGGAATACAATGGAAACCTCAAATTTGGCTCAGCATTACCATACTCCAGGACCAAGAATTAAAAATTCAAATCCTAGAAGCTAAATTAAAAATAAATAAAAAAGCTCATTTCAGCAGTAACTGAATACTAAGACACACCTAGCTTCAAGTATAGACATTAACATAAAAAAGAATGAAACTTTACCGGATTCCTTAAACGGTCATCAATGGAAGCCGCAAGAACGGTCCTGGATGCATTCATCTCTCCCCATGTGTTCACTACAGTCGGAGTCCCTCTCTCTTTACCACGAGCTTCAGTCACTGCATATCAAATTTATAAAATATATATATATATATATATTAGGAAAAAAATACTTCTATATAATTCCCCACCAAGTAAAACAGAGAGATAGAGAGATAGAGAGAGAAGTGGGCACCTTTGATTAATCCGAGAGAGTCAAAGGTTAAAGCACGAATCGGTGGGCAACCGAGATTCTCTGGAGGGATGACTCGAGGCATTTGATCGCCGCCGTAATTTACTCCGAGTTTCAGAGACACGACGACGGAGAAGAAGAAGAGAAACCCTTTTTAAAACCCTACGCTCCGTTTCTGGGATTCTTCTAAACCATGCGCAAAATTAATATCATTACTTTGAATTTCACGCGGTTTATCTTTTTCTGGTTTACCTGAACCGGGAGTTTTGTGTTCTGTAATTCTTGTACTTTTGAATTTTGATGCAATAATACCCATATTTTCCATTAGAAAATAATACATATACTGTATTAATAAAATAAATGTACGTTAAATACCTAACAATAACAATATTTATATTGTTAATTTTACTTTCTATTTGCAATAATACCCGTATTTTCCATTAGAAAATAATACATATACTAATAAATAAATAAAGTGTAGATCGGTTTTGGTTTGTCAACATGTCGGTGGGCTCATAAGATGATCGGTGGGCAACCGAGGAAGTGACATCATATCATATTATCATGTTACTTCAGGCACTGCTCATGTACGTAAACTTGCTTCAGTGTTTACAATTAAAATTATATGAGTTGAATTCCAAGTTCGAGGATTGGACAAATTCGAAATTGTCTTCTGTCACATTTGCACACAACAACAAAAATCCCAAGAATTTTAACAATTTCTTGATTCTTTTTTTTTTTTTTTGTCAAATTTCTTGATTCTTCTTGAACAACTATTAAAGAAATTTGGTGGTGTATTTAATTTGAAGAAACAAAATATATATAACACAATTTTTAACAACTAACGGAGAAAAAACATGTTGGTTAATCAATAAGCAAGTGTGTACCAAAATGATCTCTTTAACAGTCTATATTGAGTGGACACAGAAGAAGAGGAAAGCTACTTCTTAGGCTTTCAAATTTCTCAACTAGTCTCAGCAAAAATTTACCCTTTTTATACTGACTCTAATTAAACACTCAGAACCCAAAGAAGCCAAGCTCGCTGGCTTTTTCCTTCTCAAAGGTTTCGAAATACTGATATATGATTGTCACCGCCAGTAAGATTCCAGTCCCTGACCCAATCGCTCCCATGAAATCAGCCAAGACAGTCAGTGCACCGATGCACACTCCTCCAAATGCAGCTGCTGTTGGGATGTATCGGTTCAGCTCCTTCTGCAAGTTCGACTCTCTGTGTCCCGGCATCACCATTTGTTGTTCCTAATCCATTTTATAGAATTCCAAGCATATGTGAGTTTCAATGCCTGAAGAATGTTTAATTACTTTAGCATTGGACAACGGTTTTGTGAATACCTTGAGCTGCTTAGCTACATCTCTAGCAGAAGACCCTGAGACTTCAATCCAGGTCTTCGAGAATAGGGCACAAGCGGTGAGCATGAAGACGATATAGAACAGAGCATGGAATGGATGAGCAGCCATTTCGGCAAAACTGCAACATAGGAAAACAAATATTCAGAGAACTGGAAATGAAGTAATACTGTATTTATGGGACACACTAGTTGTGAATTACCTTGCTGGAGCTGTGATCAAGTATGCAAGACCACTAACTGGTATAGATTGTCCACTGTACTCTGATTCTTTCCACTGTCCCAATAGGTTTACGAAGAAATTTCCACTGAACTTCCTGTAGAGAAGCTGTTGACGAGGAAATGCAAATTGTCAACTTTATGTTCACAGCACTATAGTCCCTACCTTTAATGTAGAACGAAAAGTATACACAAGTACCTGAGAGATGAAGTAGAGGTTTGAGACGAGAGCAGATTGGAGAATGATTGGCATGTTGGAGGTGTAGAACAACTTGATCGGGTAAGAACCCTGCTGGCCACGAGCACTCTTTGACCTCACGGGCAACACAACACGGAAGCCTTGGAAGTAGATAACAATTAGGAAGATCAAGACTGTTGCAAGCAAGTTGGTGACATTTGGAAGGTTTTGCCGATAGAAAGCTTGTCTGAGCGCAGCAACCTTATTGGACTTAGTTATCAGCATATGGAACAAGGCAATCACAGCGCCTTCAAACTCAGCTCCACGACCAGTGTTGATTGTTGTGGGGCTAAATGCTTTCCAGATAATGCTTTCACTGTTGTCACCACAATCAACTCAAAAAGTTTAAGAATCCCTGTATCTAAAACTATCTTGCCTAAAAGACTAAAATTTTGATGTGAAGATGAGCTTTTTAACATACCAGATATTAGTTGCTATGAAAAGGGAGATCCCGGAGCCAAGACCATATCCCTTCTGAAGAAGCTCGTCAAGACAGATAACGATAATTCCGGCAAAGAAAAGCTGGAGGATGATCAAAATGGCATTTCCAACACCAAGCTGACCAACAGGACCATACATTCCAGAAAGAACATATGCAACAGCCTCACCAATAGCAATCAGAATCCCAAGAAGCTTCTGAGCACCATTCCTACAAACACACAACACAATGAATGTATCCATGAGACAAACAACTCTTGACACAAGCTCTCTCTCCTTCAAGAAAATTACCCCAAAAGGAAACAAAGACTTACAAGAGAGCACGATCCTCACGGACATTGTTGTCAACCTCAATAATCTTAGACCCAGCTAAGAGTTGCATCACAAGTCCAGAAGTGACAATAGGAGTAATACCGAGCTCCATAACGGTTCCACGGTTGGAAGCGAGAATGACACGCATCCAATAGAAAGGATCAGCACCGGTGGTAGAGTGAATACCATAGAGAGGAAGCTGACTGCAGACAAGGAAAATGAAGAGAGAGATGACAGTGTAGATCACTTTCTCTCTGAATGGAATCTTCCTATCAGCACTCTGCACCTCTGGAAGAAAAGCCAAGAATGGCCTCACCAAATGCAATACTCTAAACCCTCCTCCCATTTTGTAAAAACAGGTTACTTCAAGTTATCTGCAGAACCAAAAGTTTCAATTTTTTAATAATTTGAAACAAGAATGAACGAATTGAGAAATGCACAAAATCTAAAGAGATATCTCTACTCGTATCATCATGTGTTATTCAACAAAATCTGAAAAACAAAACCAAGACACTGTTCTGTTCTCGATCGCCTATCCACAAAACCCAGATCTACCACGAAATCACAGATCCGGATTGAGAAATTTGAAAAATGAGAGTAACACAGATCTACTAGAAACGAAATCACAACAAAACGGATTCAAAATCAAAGCTGGGACAAGAGGAGAATCATAAAAAGCTTTACCTCTTGCGAAGAAGAACAAAACGGATTCGAGTTTTGTTTTTTGGTTTGCTCCATTCTTCAGCTGAAGCTTTTTGTAAACACAAGTTACAAAAAAAACTACATGTCATCAAACCAATAAGACGGTCACACGTGGCAATATAGTTCATTCGGATTTGAGTATGACAACATGGCTATAAAAAAAAACCTCTTACCAAATTTATTATAAGCACATTGACTAGAGAGAGTTTGATTAATTTGCTTATATAACAAAATTTGCTCCAAGACCTGTTTTTTAAAAAAAAATCTTGTTAATTGAGATTTTTATTTTTATTTTTTGTAACTTTATCCGACTAATGTTAAATTTTAGTGTTATGTTAATTTTACTAATTTTATGTTCAATTTATCGAACTATACACAGATCTTGTAAACTACTTAAAACTCTTCTATTCATTAAGTGAACATAGCTTTATAACTTTTATTTTCTAATATTTTGTTGTATATAGCATTTAAATTCACTTAAAATGTTTGTTTTTACGAAAAATAAAAAAAAACAAGATGCCAAACTCAACCATTTGGGTTGTAGTGTGAATCAATTGGGCAAATTTGGCAATTTGGCTGAATGGTCAATTCTCTTAAGTAAATCCAAAATAGTAACTAGCTTACCATGAGAAACTCGTGCGCTGATTTATATATTTTGGCCAGTAGCCTTTTATTTTTTTGGTACATTTTGCTTAATCAACACAATGAACTTTGTCTTTTGATATGTCAATAGTTAGTTAATCTTATCCTAGTCGAATTCGGATTTCGAAATCACTAGCTCAAATGAAAGACATATTAACTCTAGATTGGATGGCAAAAAAAAAGTTTCAGTCTCTTTTATAGTTAAGAGACTCCAACATATTGCTGGAGCTACAACCTGAAAGTAATACACACAATAACAAAAAAAAAAAGTTGTTGACAGAGCAGCACATTCTCAGAGAGAACTCAACCAAGAAAGACTATTAACCAAAGAGACAAATTGAGTCAGCCCACTTTGGCTCTCACTAAAAAAAGATAAGGCCCAACACTTTGTTCGATTCTGTATATATATCTTCTTATCTATCTGGTGTGTGTGATTATGTTAAGTAGTATAATAGGACAATTTAAAGGCTTTAAAGTGATAAAAATGACAACAACAAAACAACAAGGGGAATAGTGAAAAGGAACACTTTAAAAATCCGCAGGTGACTTTGGGGGAAAAAGATATATAACAACAATGATTAGGTCTTCTCCGAAGCGCAACCTTAAACTTTTCTTGTAATGGCATTGTGAACACAAAAACACTTCCAACATCTAAACAAAAAAAAAAAAAACAGATGTAATGATGATTTTAGGTTACTTGTCTTCACGAGTTTTAAACAATTTTGGACCCACCCACTCACTAATCGATCTAATGTCTATCTTAGATAAACTAATATATCTTCACTTTATACTTATGTTTGTTTAGATGAAATTTTAAGTGTTTGTATAATAAGACTATAAGTATAGCTATGCAATTTCACACTATTAGGGCCATCCTTCGATCCCGGTGCTTTACTCAAACATGCTTATCTGAAATTTTTATGTGGACGGAACGAATCCTATACACCCGTTTAATCAAACCCTCTATTTTGTCAAAGCGACATCGATTGTTTCTTAAAGTTCAAGACGTAGTAATTGTCATACAGTATGGTAAGTAATCATAACACACACACACACACATACATATAACATATGTATATATCTCTATCTATAAATAAAATATACTCAATGATAATTGTGGAGTAAAGTACAATAGACACATCGACATTTTGGTGGAATCTGATTAAGAACAATGGGTTCTTTAATCAATTTTTTACCTTTCTAAATAAAAATTACTTCACATGTAACAAACAAACTATAGACAGTAAGCCCTATTTTAGAGACATATTTATAACAAAAAAAAACTACATATTTTAGAAACTTATTTTTTTTTTTTTTTTTGTCGTCTTTTAGAAACTTATTTATAAATGAAGACATATCTTTTATTTATTTTTAGTTCAATCTACATGTATTACTTTGTTTCTCTTTACAAAAACATCATTTGGAGCAAACAAGTAAAGCAGATAAGTAAAACACACAAAGAGAAGTATGACTGTATGAGTTTACACACACACTGACACACATGAGAAGCAAAGGAACGATAACTAAATGAAAGCTGAACTAAGTAGATCGATAGATATAAGATTATCCCCATTAGGAGGATGAAACCAAACTTGCTGTGAATCTGTTAACAACGTACGGATCAAAAAATGGCCGATCATTTATAATAAGTCACTTGGTGCAAATTTCGAGTTCCATTTTCTTTCCACAACTCATAAACCATCACAAGTTGGAGAATCTCATAATCATTGTTAGTAAAGAGAGTAAAGAGTTTAGGTAAGCGAGCAAAGGAAGAAGAGCTTACCCAATTGATAATGTCTTGAGAATCAATACTATATATATCATTCAACTTTATTAGTTTTAATTCTAGTGTTCTGCAATCTATAAACTCTTAACTAATATCCCAATTCACTAAATTCTTTATCTTTTTTTTTTAATCTAACCAAGAAAAATATAATAAGAATGTAGTCACTCACTTCAAAAAAAAAGGTACCTTATCTATAAGAAATATACTATATAAAAATAAAAACAAATGATCACCTTAGCATAAAACATATACACAGAAAAAGAAAAGTAATAGTAGTATATATAAATCAAAGACATAATTACGTATAATTGCTTATAATTAACCCCAGTAATCTCCGACAAAACCCTACCCGACCATAATTTTTAAATAAAATCCTTGTGAAAGAAGCTTACAGATGAAATGTTATTCAATTTAATAAGTCTCTTTACTATTCAACCACATATCTTAAAATCATTAATACAAAACATATAATTAATATTACACGAAAAAAAGAAAAAGAAAACAAAATACGATCATCCTTCTCCTTTTGCTTCTATCATCTTTCCCACGCTTTCACGCTTTGCTTATATTTATATATTTTCTTCTCTTTTTTATTTGAAATAATTCGTTTTCTCTTCTTTTTTGCTGTCAGAAGAAAGAAAGGAAAAAAAAAACTGAATCTCTCTGTTTTTTTTCTTCTTCATTCCCTCTCTCTCACACAACACAACACAACACAGCAATTTCAATGGAGACATTGAAGAGGAATCCATCAGTGAGAAGAAAAAGCAAGTTAGCGAGAACATTCCAGAAGGTATGCAACCTAAGAACAACCTCCACGAAGGTCTCCTCCACCAACAACGGTATCGGAATCTGTATGTTGAAGAAATCACACAATCCCAACTTCAACGACGAAGACGACGACGACGACGATGGAGGAGACTCTGTTTTCGATCTTAAGAGCACTTCAAGCAGCACCAGAAGCGGAGAGCTCAAGGTCCGAGAGCGTCGTCGAGCTGTTTTCGAAGCCGTCGTCGCGAAGATCTTCGCTAGCACGACTTCTATCAAAGCCGCTTACGCTGAGCTTCAGATGGCGCAGCGTCCGTACGACAACGACGCTATACAAGCGGCGGATACGGCGGTGGTCGAGGAGCTCAGAGCTTTGTCGGAGCTTAAACGGAGTTTTCTCAGGAAGGAGCTGAACCTGTCTCCGCAAGTCGCGATTATGTTGGCTGAGATCCAGGAGCAGCAGAGCTTGATGAGGACTTACGAAATCACGATTAAGAAACTCGAGTTCGAAGCTACGGAGAAGCAATTGAAGATCGATGAGTTGAAGACGAGTCTTGATGAGAACTCGGCGGTTAACAAATCGTTGGAGAAGAAACTCACGACGAGCGGATCGATTTCGATCTCCGTGTTTGATAGTATTCAAATTCGAAATTTGAATTTGAGTCAGTTCGTTCAGGTTCTAGGTTTCACGTTGAGATCCGTTAGAACCTTCGTGAAATTGATCGTGAAGGAGATGGAATCAGCTAACTGGGATCTCGACGCCGCCGCTTCCGCCGCTGTTTCGATTAACGTTAAAAACGCTTCCAACGTTTTCGCCAGGCCGAGCCACCGTTGTTTCGCGTTTGAGTCGTTCGTCTGTGGGAAAATGCTGGAGAATTTCGAATCTCCTGATAATAGTAATAACTTGTCGAGGCGTGAGGAGGAATTCGAAAACTTGAGATCCGTTCACCCGGTTCGGTACTTGACCCGGAACCCGGGTTCGTCTTTCGCTAAGTTCGTGGTTAACAAGTACTCGAGTGTTGTGCACGCGAAGATGGAGTGTTCGTTCTTCGGGAACTTGAACCAGAGGAAACTGGTAAACTCGGGCGGGTTTCCGGATTCGGGTTTTTTCGCGGCGTTTTGCGAAATGGCAAGACGGATCTGGCTTCTACACTGCTTGGCGTTTTCTCTAAGCGAAAACGTCACGGTGTTTCAGGTCAGAAGAGGTTGTAGATTCTCTCAGGTGTACATGGAGAGTGTGAAATCAGGCGACGAGTCACTCTTAACCTCGGGGGAGAATTCGGATATTCGGGTCGGGTTTACGGTTGTTCCGGGGTTTAAAATAGGCGAGAACGTTATACAAAGCCAGGTTTACTTGTCTCCTCCTCCTCCGTCTTCTTCATGAACCAAAAAAAACAAAAACGTGGTGGAATGTGACACGCGCCGGGGGAGAGAAAAAGAGCGGCGGCGCGTGGAAAAAGAGAAGGGTAGGGACATGATTCCTTGGGGGCAGCAAGACTGGCAAGTGGGACATGTTTTTAGAGAGGAATGTGATGGAGACAGAAAAATTGGCGCGAGGGACACAAATCATCATTGAGCCCAAACAAAAAAAAGAAATATAGTTTTAGTGAAAGGAAAATGATAATTTTTGTTTCTTTTTTTAAGTTTAGATTATAAAAAAAAAATACATTTAAAAAGTAGAATGGCATGGAAGAACAATAATATTCTGTGTTTTTTCTTTGGGGGATTATACAGCTGATGTAATATTTTTTATAATGTTTTTGTAGTTGGTTGGAACATGCTTGTAAATATTTTTCTAATTGATTTATGTATAAATAGGTTATGTTCGTCGTAGTTAGAAATATATTTAAAGCTATCTTATAATTATGACAAAATCAAAATCTAGTGGGAGTGACTTGAAAAATAAGATTAGAATCGGCTTTTTATTTGTAGTCAACCATTTCTGCTGGATTTTTATTGACTTGATCAGTTAGTTTTAGTTAACGTGAATGTTGTTAATCAAATAATTAATGCGAGTTTAACTTGAATGGTTATGGAATTATATGCGTGAGAGATTAAGAAGAAAAAAAAAGAAAACGTGTAGATACACATACATGAAAAAATAGGATTTGGGTTTGTTTGGGGGTAAAGAGAGGGAGAGAGTGAGACAGATGTGTGTGACGTAAATAAAGACAATCAATTCAAAATCTAGTGAAAGAGAGATAGAGACCAATGAGAGATTTCCACATACGGACCAAGATTATGAAGTCTACTTACTTTGTTAGGCAAACTATTCAATGCAGTTTTTTTTTGTATATAGACTATTAATTATTTAATTCCTCTCTTTTATTTAATACTCGTAGTAGATGTGTTGTTACGGGTTGGTCTGGCGTAAATTATTGTTAGTGATAAAAGAAAAAATAAATGAAAAGGAGACAATGTATATTTATAGATATCAATATTTTTTTTTCATTCAATACATATTTTAGTGATTATTTTGTGGACTTTTAGTTAGTTGGCAATTTGATCCAAATGAAAATGACTACTATGTGATGTTTTGAACAATCGACTCATCTTTCAAAGTGACTTAAGGGTCTAGTAGTAGAAAGCAAACCCAATCAAAATTGATGTTTTGTTTTGTGTGTGTGTGGAAGAAACTTGACGTTTTGGGAGGTGATTGTCATCGTTTCTACCAAGAAAATAAAGTGTCTCACAGCTTTGTGGAAGACCATTCAAAAGTTGACCATAAAATCGAAAGAGGTTTGGTTTTTGCAACCCTTTGGCACCAATAGACAGACATTTCAAATACTTTGTGGCCTGTATCAATTAACTTGTTGGACTTAACATTGAACGATTCAGTATTCTTGAACAGCTGCAAGTTGCAGCCTGCAACTAATGCATATGATTTGTCAAATTCTAGAACGTTTAAACTTTAAACCCACATGGAGTATACATAGTTGAACCAAAGAAGTAGAAAGGCCCATTAGGAAATAGCCCACTAATAAGCCCAGTTGTATTGTTGCGCCAAAAAGATTTGTATGGTGATAATGTTACACACACACACAAAAGGGTTAAGATAGTTCGTATCGTGTAACCAAGAGCTCAGAATTTTGGGTATATGGAATTTACAACTAGAATAATAAAAGACAAAGATTCAAAATTCGTATAGGAAGGAAGAATCTATTATCTACAGAATTGGCTAATATATAAGATTTAAGTTTTCCAAACGGTTAGTTACTTCAATTTAGTTCATAACGTGCTAATTATCATATATTATATAGCCACCAATCATATACTGTGTTGATTAGGTTTGTATACTTGTGAAAGAACTGTAGTGTACACTTAAGTTTTCCATATTTCTACAGTCGAAATCTATTTAAGATGACATCTCTAATTTTAATTCGAGTTTGAATAATTCCTCAAGAAAACTATACGAATCTCTCTAATCAATGAGCGGTGGCCTAGTGGCACCCAATTCAACGCTATACACCTTTCTACAAGTAACTTAACACCTTTTTCCCTTTTGAGTACGTATTATTATTATTGAAATCTCATCTAGATTTTACGTACCTATTATATTCGTGTTTTAGATTAGTGTTTTGCAAGTTTTATTCAAAATCTCATATAGTAATTATACTATACACTATTATATATGACACGAGCCTTGTTTTAATTAAAAGGATGGTTTAGATAAGTGTTTCAAAGTTTGACGAAAAAGAAGTGTTTGAATTTTTCCCATGTGGTTTTTCAACTTTTCACTATAGATTCAGTACCCAATAAAAATTTCTATTCGAATCTTCACCATCGACTTTAATCAAATATTATAACATAAATTGATTCTAACATTATATATATACACATATTGTTAATAACTAACTTATATGGTAATGTTTATAATACTCTCTGAACAAATTAGTTTATGTTCAAATGTTTCTATGATCTCTCAATATAATTTATGTTACCGACTACCGAGTCATCTCTGAACCCATTAGCTTCCAGGACCATGACTGCATATAAAATATCGACTGAACAAGAATATAATGGGATCACTAATATTTGCCAGTAAGATACAACTTGTTGATAAAATGAAGTACCAATAATTAATTACAATATATAAGATATTAAACAATAATCTTTTCGACCAATTTACATAAGTATAATTGTATAGTAACCTGAAAACAAACAAAAAATGTATTTTTTTCAAGAAAATAAAAACATTTGCAATATCCTAAAATAAATGTCTCTCTACTTCGTAGGGAATTTCGTATGTTAGAATAAATGAATGTACTAAATTGAGAAACCAAAAATGAAATATGAGTCTAGGTGGCCGACGACTATCAATGGCCAACGCCGGGACTAGGAACGGATTGGAGAAACCGTTCAACGGTGGAGAGATGCCGCGAGCGGAGTTTTCCGGCGAAGACTTCGGCGTGACCTCTTTTGCTCGGCGTCGAGGAGTTTGGGATTTTGCCCTTTGGCAGGGCGGTTAAAGTACTAGTTTTGGTCACGTGAGGCATGTGACTCTTCTCTTCCTCTCTCACCGTCAAGTTATCTTGTTTCTTCATCTCCAACAGCTTTCTTGAAGAGACCGGCGAAGGCAAGGCTGAGACGATGACGGCGATGACTACAAAGAGCCAGATGGTCGGAATTAGACGAACGGCCATGAAGAGTTTTTGATCGATCTTTAGGGATGGAAACTAAGCTTTTTGGTTTGGGAGAGAAAGAGACAGAGCTAGAGACAGAGAGAGATATGAATTCAATAAAATTCTAAAGACTCAAGGTTGCTTTGAAACAATGAAGTGTTACTTGTTTATATAATGAATAGATAGAGAAAGAAAGAGAGAGAGTTCCTATTATAGAATGTTGATAATAAATTGGTAGAATCACTATTTGTCTTTTTGGGGGTTTTTTTTTCTATTTAATTTTTCTTTTAAATAGAAGTCTAAAGTCATACTCTAACACATGCATGCATAGCAAATCAGTATAACCTGGTTAGAATTTTCAAACTATTGTCTTCTCTGAAATTTCATGAATACATATATAATTAGGTAAAAAAAAAATGAATTGACAAAGAAATTTCAAAGTTCCAAAAGTCATGTAATGCACAAACTTATGAAAGAAGAAGAAGAAACAAATTGATGAAAGAAGATTCGTGGCAGCTTCAGTTTGTACTAAGAAATATATAGTATGAATTATAAGTAATCAAAAAAGTCAAATAAAAAGTTATAGACAGCAGCCTGAAGTGGAAAAGGTGAAATTAGATTTCACATAAAGATAAAATATGAGTACCAAACAATTTGTTACGCTACAATGTGAAATGTATTTAATTTGCAAAGAGGCCAAAGTCAAAGATATCAAATAGCATTAAAAAACTAAAAGGAAAGAAGAGAATAAATAGACTTGAAAAGAAAGGGATTAGTGTCATAAAGGAGAATAATAGAGATATATAGGTTTATGTTTATGATGATCTTTGGTGAATCAAGTTGAGTCTTGTGTACGTAGTGAATCAAAATTAATTATATTTAATACAATCAGACTAATTTAATTACTAGTAAACGAAGGTTCGGTAGACAAATTAAATCTCTTGGGATATGGTATTAGATACGATGTAACACGTGGGCAGAGTTTGGTAAGTGATGAATTTGATGTTTTTTTCAAACATGAGAAGCCGCCGGCCACCATTTTCAACGGCGGTCATCACTCACGCCCACCGTCTAATGTTAGGTTCCCAAGTTTCACACTTTCTGGTTCATGTTGTTATCCCAATTAACTTGGAGTTTGTTTCCATTATTTTGTTGTATGTGCTATATTTAAGACCCTTATGGATTTTGTAACTTTATTAACTCTTTTCTAAATAACAGTATAACACCTTCAAAAAACAAAAATTGTTCATAAACTGAAAAAGTTATCAATCCTTAGATTGCTGACTAATATCTGATCATTGAACATTGGTTTAAGTCATAATTACTTTTGAAATCCATGCAACCTCCAATATATTATAATTGTTAATATTTTAATGATTTTTTCCATACCATGATCATAGGGAAATAAGGTTAAGATAGTGTTCAACCTCAAAGAATTTGACCGATTGAACGAAACTAGTGCTTTGAAAATATGAACGTCTAAAGTGCTTGGATGCTTGGTTTGAGTTGAACTTAAATAACCCTTGTTAAATAGGGGGATTTGGATAAATGTCATCAAGGCATAATATAAAATATTTTAAGAAATTTCGATTCTTTTTTCAAGAACTCACACAATTGTTTCAGAAACTAACGCAAAATTTCATGAGAAAATGTTTGTGGAACTCGTTAGCAAATAGTATATCTTTAAATGGCCAATTTTGTTTTTTTTTTCTCAAAAAAAATAGTAATATCTAAACCATAATAAGATAGTACTAGTAAATTACTTCTTGTCTTCTTTGATCAAAATCTATCTCGTGTAAACTATGCAAAGCGTGTTCACGACATTTATGAGGTTAACATAAAACTCATGGAGGCATATAGAAAAGTCAAAAGCATGGGCGGTAGTATTAGTAACACTCCAAAATGGACCTCCACGTTCCTTATTTCGCTATAAAAATGACCAATAATTGTCTTACCAACAAATAATATATAGTTTCTGCTATTCTATTTATGTCTATATGATAGATGATCGTATAAGCATGTTTACTGGTATAACAAGTATGGTCTCCCCCACTTTTCAATCACACACAAATCTATAATACTCTATTTCTTTGGTGAATGCATGTAACAATCTATGAAGTCCCGATACCGTTTAATGGGTAGTTTCTTAGGAAACAAAGTAGAAGAGAAAAAGAAGTGACAAAAAGAAGGAAGGAAAGGAAAAGAGTGGGTACGTAACTCATAAGGTCACATGGCCATGTCCTTGTGTTGCCGTCAACAGAGAAACATTGGCGTTCCGCGTTTTCTTGAACACGTCCGGTCCCATCCTCTCTCGTCTCTATGGTCTCTACCACTGATCTCTTTTATGTACACACATCTGAATCTGATGATATCTTTTGTATATTATAAATAAATGCATACACATACATTTGTTTTGCACATATTACAAATATGCATCCACACCATTCGGTGATGAATAGCTATTGCTTTGTAAAGTGAGTATATCATTTATAAATTATAACCCCACATTTAGAACATTTTTTCTTTGGTTTATATAATTTGTCTTCATTGATAATTTAGACTAGAAAGTATTTTTCTCAGGTTTTGACAAAGCAGGTAAACAGTGGAATTGACTTGTGAGACAATTATTCTTTGTTTTTATGATTTTTGTTTTTTCTCATTTTTATATATTTAGTGTTAAGTCGGAGAATTGAATATAAAGACTCCATGTTTCGTGTAAAGTCGTAGTAATTGACATGGAAACGAGTTCGATCTCTTTGTCAGGATTTGTGCCTTCGACTTGCAATTTTTAATAATATGAGAAACGACGTGTTTGCTCACGTTGTGTTGAGTTACAACCTATCACACACTCTGTTGGAAAGATATACATAAAATTTCTTTTTGTTCATATATATAAAAGATATAAATATTATCATATATATCGAGTTAAGCAAAACAAGTTATGGGCTTGCCGACAATAATAGCTTGGCAGATATTATAATTTATATAAGGTCTGATTAATATCGTATTCAATATGACTACACTGTATATAGCTTTCAAAAGAACTATGCCATGTTAAACATACATCATAAATTGGTTTTGCACTGTCTTCGAAAATGAATACACCTTTTTCAAATAATGAAAATAACGTAGCCGAACTTGGTCGCTAACTCGCAAAGCTATAAGAAATACACGAATGTGGAATACAAGAGTTGGCTGACACAAACTTTTTTCAACGACCAAGAACACGGAAGGGTCTCTTTCTCATTGTCAATTGCTGACTTACTCATTTTCAATTGCTGACTTACTCGTTATAACCTTTTTGTTTTCTCTTCCTTTCAGTGAGATTTAAAACAAATCGTACTATATAACATTGATCCAAACGTTTATAAAAATAGGAGCAGAAAGATTATAAATGTCTGTACAAAGCTACCATGTAACAATGCTTCAACCGGCCATGTATATATATTGAATTTGAATCTCATCAACCACACACAATTAACATATGATACTTCACAGTCTTAAGAAGATGATAAATGTATACTAGAGCAAAAAAATAATAATTGTATTATGCAAAAGAAATGGATTAAAAAAGAAAACATGAGTGGGGGTTTTGGTGAGCAAAATGGGGCCTGACATGTTGATCGATGTCAGTGGCTAAGGTATCTGACTTCGGACACACTATTTGTTTGTTCCCCAAAGTATTCGTTTTGTCCCAATATACTTTGCATTGTTCTTCTTCTCGTTAAGAAAAAAAAAATGAGTGTTGGTCGATGAAACAAAATGAGAAAGAACAAATGAACATGAAAAAAATAACACTGGTGTCTTTGATTTGATTACAAGAGAAATAGTTATTTTTTTCTTCTTCATATTATTCTATTGTCGCAACATTTGCTCGATTGGATTGATATACTTATGGTACGTGCATTTTCATTGAAGAGTAAACAAAATTCAATCTATCAAGTTGGTTGGGCCGAAAGATGAACATCTAATTATAACGATGGTGACATTGTTGAATGATTTTTGTAATTTAATGAAATGAATTTTAAGTAATTTTCAAGACTTTAATAAAGTTTTCTTTGGTGACCACTTGCGAGGAAAACAAATAAAAGTAATGAGTAATATCAAATTTATTTTTTATAGATTTTATTAATTAATGATTTGTCAAAATGAAAAACATGTGACACACATAAAAAGATGAACTACATAACAAAATGATTTTTTCTTCACCAAAATTGAGACGAATAAAAGACAAACATATACCAAAAAATCATTTTTATATACTTAAATAGTTCAAAGAAAGTCTTCAATGTTTTATTATATACTTGTGCTGTATAATATTTTTTACTTAAATTTAAATTAGCGACAGCTAAATAAAATTTAGAATGATTGTCAAGTGAAATTCATATTATTTCTTATAGTAATTCAAAATATGAATAGTATCATTGACACAAACTGGTAAAATATAAGAACTTAGAGCAACATTATAGGTAGGATCCTAATTTTTGATCTTAGCATTAATTTATTATTAATTTTTAAAAAGTAAAGCTTAAGATGTTATAATTTTGTTTTTGGTTTTGAGATGTGTTTATTGGTAGGATCTTAAGGTGGGTATCTTAGATTTTTTTTTAAAAATAAATAAATTTATAATTTGTAATTTTAGAAAATTTTATAATTATTGCAAATTTAGAATTTGAAAACATTATAACATTAAGTACAATAATTTTAATCTTGATTGCAAGAAAATTTTAAACAATTGGCTTTTTATACAATGTGTGATTCACAAAAATTTCCCTTTATATACTACAATGTGTGATTTTTTTGTTTTGTTTTTGTTTGAAGATGATGTCTAACATGCACACTTTCTTAATCTACCATCTAGCTGCTATTGTTGTCTGCCTCCGTCTTGAGTTTTAAGCTACGTAACACTACATAGCTTGATTTCCAAATCTGCAGATGAATCGCATAGCAAAATCCAAAACTGAAGTAGAATTCTCAAACGTGTACACTTTAAAGTATTCGTGATGGGATCAAGCATTGCTAAAAGGCCATAATGGGATCTTCTCATGTCAAATTGAAAACAAGATGATGAAAAAATAAGACACAAGAACATGAATCTGAAAGTCTTCGTGACTTGGCACATCTATAACAAACATAACTATTCTCCAGGGGACAAGTCTAAGATACTCTGCCCAGATCTCTTTGTACTTCTCTGCACATCTAACCTCGTCTCTTCGTTCTCTCCATATCAACAATATCAGAAGATATATTGGGTAGAAATATGGCACTGGAGAACTGATAATATACAAAAGACAGCATCATACAAACAGCTTTGGAAAAAATGAACTTGAAAGCTTTGGAACAGTTCAAATGGTTGTCTTAAAAGCAAGAGAGTCCTAGACATTTATCAAACAATTATATCAGGTTTAAGATGAACATTTTTAATCTTGTAGCCAAATTGGTGTTTCGGAATAACATTCTCAACGTTAAAATATTATGATATTGGTATTAGTTTATACATCACTTTCGTAGTTGTAAGATGAGCTCAAGCAGAAGAAGTTACCTTATTCCACAGGGCAAACTGAAGGAGAGAGCGAGCATCAAGTAGCCAAGGTAATTACAGTGCCCTTCAATTCCCCTGTAATATAAAAAAAAAAGCACCTATGTTATCGGAAACGTTTTGTTTGCGGAACTTTCACAACATGATGAACAATCAAAGACAGAAGGCGAAATCAAACAAAGAAACAAGAGAACGATAAAGAGATGATACAAATATCCTGAAGCCAGTAACTTTAGGAACTGTTAGTTCTACTTTGTTGTTGTGCAACAGCCACCAGCCCTGTCAATAAGAAAATTTATGTTTTGTTTGTGTTCAGGCTCACAGTTACATGCATGAATGCTAAAAGTGAAAGGACTCCACAAGAGATCTCCAAAGACTAAGATGAAGCCTAGTCTCTCTGCAATTATATCCCATCTGAAAATAGTACATTCCAAGCAATTGTAATAATGGAAATGATCATATTTGGTAAGGCAAATGTGTTTCCTCAACATCCATGAACTTACGTAGAGGTCATGTATTCTTCATGAAAAAAGTAGTCCAATATATATAGCTGCAATTAAAATCAGGAACAAAATGAATCATAATAAACTCACCACATTGTCCAATACCGATTGAGAATTTCCTCATGGAAGGGTGATGATCAAATTTCCATATATCACTGCAGAACTTGAACAACTCCCAAAGTGCTAAGCTTGCTAACAACCCCACCAAAAATCATCACTTTAAATTCCAAATCAATTTCAAGATTCATACTTTAACATAATCCAACAATATTGTCTAAACTCTAAAGGTTTAGCCTTTATCCAATTAGAGAGCTAAAATCAAGAGTATATGAATCCATACAGTGCACAAGCGAAGAAGACGATGCGGAGCACAGCGTAGTTCCTCGCGAATCGTTTGAGGAGGAAGCGGCGGCGGATGTGCGGTGATCGAGGAGCTCAAGGCAGCCGGAGTCTCGGAGCCAAGGCTCGAAAGCAGGATCGGAGGCGCTCAGAGAGAGAGGATTAGGGGAGAAAGCCATTGTTGTTGTCTGCCGGATTCAGCCGGATTCAGCCGGAATCAGAGGTATCGATTCAATCGGAATCGACATCTCTTCTTTCGCGAAAGATAAAAAGAGAAAGAGAGAGAAACAAAAAAAAAAAAAACAAAATGAGGAAAATGTTTTTTTTGCTTTATATATTATTCAGCTTACCCAATTAAATCTCGCCACGTGGACGCTTCTTACCCCATAAAATCGATCTTGCATAAGATCGATTCTTCCTAATATATGTGTATTTGTGATTTAATTAAATCACAAAAAAACCTTAAGATCTAGTAAGATCTGCCCTATAATGTTGGTCTTAGGAGCAACATTATATGGGGATCTAAGACCAACATTATTGAGAGATTCTTAATTAGGGTATCTTAGTTTAAATTTAGTATTAATTTTGAAAAAGTGAAGTTTAAGAGTTTTAGTTTAGTTTTGAGTTTTGATATGTGTTTATTGGTAGGATCTTAAATTGGGTATCTTAGGAAAAAAATATTAATATTTTTTTTTAAAAAAATATTTAATTTGTAATTTAAGAAAATCTTATAATAATTGTAAATTTAAAATGTGAAAACATACATAAGATAGAAACAATGATACAATAATTTTAAACTTGATTGGGGGAAAATTTATTCCAAAGATGCTCGACCAAATCGTTCTTCAATTGTTCATGCATATTTTGATCTCGAAGTCGAGTTCTAGCGGTCATCATATCGACGACATTTGAAGGCATATCTGTTTCATACGAGAAATCCACTCTTGTACTTCCTTCAGTTTCTGCTTGTTGGAATTCAGTGACATCGAACTGAGTATACATATCTCGTTCATCTTCTACTATCATATTGTGAAGTATTATGCATGCCCGCATAATATTTCCTATTCTTTCCTTATCCCAAATAAGAGCCGGATTTTTGACAATGGCAAATCGAGCTTGTAAAACTCCAAAAGCCCGCTCAACATCTTTACGGCAAGCTTCTTGTCGTTCAGCAAATAAAGAAGCTTTATCACCTTGTGGAAGTGGGATCGATTGGATAAATGTAGCCCATCTTGGATAAATTCCATCTGTCAGATAGTAACCCAAACTATACTGGGTTCCGTTGATTACATACTTGCATTTTGGTGCTCGTCCTTGTATGATATCATCAAAAACAGGAGATCGATCTAGAATATTGATATCATTTAAAGTACCTGGAGGTCCAAAAAATGCGTGCCATATCCAAAGATCTTGCGAAGCTACAGCCTCTAAAACGATCGTTGGTTTTCCCGAGGCTCGTGTATATTGACCTTTCCAAGCGGTTGGGCAATTCTTCCACTCCCAATGCATACAATCGATGCTTCCCATCATCCCGGGAAATCCTCTTATCTCTCCAATAATGAGGAGCCTTTGAAGATCTGCACGGGTTGGTTTTCTTAAGTACTCATCTCCAAAGCAAAAAATAATACCATCAACAAAATGTTGCATGCATTTCATGGAAGTGGTTTCACCAATCCGGAGATATTCGTCAACCGCATCAGCCGCATAACCATATGCAAGCATGCGAATTGCCGCTGTACACTTCTGTAATGGAGAGAATCCTAACCTTCCGGTCGCATCCCGTTTTTGTGGAAAGAAAGGAATTTCATTGTTTAGTCGATCCACGATACGCAAGAATAATTCCTTATTCATTCTAAAACGACGTCGGAATAAATTAGGCGGGAAGGTTGCATTATCTCCAAAATAATCGTTCCATAACCTTATGTGACCTTCTTCACGATGTCTTTCGATATGAACTCTTTTTTTTCTTGGTTTTCTGGGTCGTTGATCCTCCTCCAAAGAATTATCAAATTCTTCTTGAATTTGGTTATCAAATTCTTCTTGAAAAAGATTATCAAATTCTTCATTCAATACTTGTGAAAATTCATCATGAGAAGATGAAGCCATTTTGTATATAAATTACAAAATGAAAAGAATAATTTTGTGGTTTGGTAGATTTTTGGAGATTGAGGTTTTTCTTGGTTTGGTTTGAGATTGTTGTGTTGAGGTACGAAGGAGAGTGGGTTGGTGATTGTTGTGTTGAGGTACGAAGGAGAGTGGGTTGGTAATGGTTTAGTTTTGGTACGAAGGAGAGTGGGTTGGTAATGGTGTGAAGGAGAGTGGGTTGGTAATGGTTTAGTTTTCTGGTTTGAGGTTTGGTTTTGTGAACGATTGTGAAGAGAGTTGGTTGGTAATGGTTTAGTTTTGTGGTTTGAGGTTTGGTTTTGTGAAGGAGACTTGAGAGTAAAGGTTGTGATCGATTTGTAAAAACTAAAAATGACACAAAAGGAAGTGAATATAATGTTTGTGAAATACAAAGTGAATGAAATACAATTGTTGTCAAAGAGAAAGCGAATGCAATACAAAGAGATATTGAATGCGATGAGAAGTTCAAATGACTTGACAAATTTATATACAAACTTCAGACTTCTCTGTTGTGTCCGTGAAGAGAGTTGGTTGGTAATGATGAAACTGTGCCATGTATGTCCGTGAACGGGTGAAGTTTTCACTCTCCCCACCAACTTCAGACTTCTTTGTTTTCTTCTTCTTTGCCATAGTCACGTGAAGCTACAAAACAGAAAAGAGTGTCAATAAAGGAACTGAAATATGACCAATGTATCACACAAACATTGATTGATCATTGAATAAAGAAGCTTGTCCCTGACCACAATCATTCACGTGAACCATACTTTGATTAAAGAACAGACAATGATCATAACACAGACACTACCAAACTGAAATGATCATAACACAGACACTACCAAACTGAAACAAACATAACACAGACACTACTAATACTGATACTAACATAACACATACACTACCAAACTGAAACTAACATAACACAGACACTACCAAACTGCAACTAACATTAGACAACATTGTTCTCCACCAGAGATTCAAAAGAAACACAGACTAATTAGCTTTGTTTTAAGGTCTTCCTCTATCTGAGATAGAGGACCGGATTTAGCTAAAATAGTGTCTAGCAATTTCTTGTTTGAGATTTTATCATTGAACTCATGCTCTTGTTGCTTCAATGCAAAATCCTTTTCCTTTAGCTCCCACATCGTCTTCATCCTTTCCAATCTCTCCAAACCTCCTTCAGCAGTCACTGAACTAGTGACACTCTTCTTGGCACTAGCCTTGGCTGCAGCCTTGGCAGCCTTAACTCCTTGTGGTCTGGCTTGAGGAGCTTGTGATTCTCCTTGAGTTTGAGACTCTCCTTGAGCTTGAGAGTCTCCACCATCTTCAGAACATGGCATAGAGGATGAATCTAGCTTCCTTCTTTTGTTCTTCTCGTCTCCTTTAGAAGCTACCACTGAACACCACTTCTGATCGTATCTGAGTTCTCTCCATGCATGCTCCATGGTGAATTTTTTCTTGTAGTCACCCTCATAGATGAGGTGAGCTTTCTTTATCAAATCATCATCATTCATCCCACTACTATTCATACTTGTTGCAGCTTGGTAAGATCCTACGAATTTGGAAACTGACTCATTTATCTTGCACCACCTTTGTTTGAAATGATCAGCCTCTCTCTGCTTCAGACCAGCCACCTTGGGACTTGCAGCCACATAAGCTGCAATCCTCTTCCAGAAGGCTGCTCCCCTTTGTTCATTTCCAACAATGGCGTCCTTGCTGGTGTTGAGCCATGCCGAGATTAAAACTATGTCTTCTTTGCTTGTCCAAGCAATCCTCTTTCTTGGTGCAGCCTTAGCAGCCAGGTTTTGAGCTTGAGCCGTTGGCTGAGACCATTCACTGGTGAAGACAACTTCTTCACTTTCACCAAGTCTAATACTTGGTGATGGAGAGTCAAAAAAAGGTGGCGCCTGAGGATTATGGGATTCATTTTGACTAGTTAGAAGATCCATGAAGAAGAGATTGAAAAGGTTTTAAAGCTTGTTCTTTTACTGTCAAAGAGAAACAGATAGATTTAGGTGAAATGGTTTGTGTTAAGTGTAAACTATATACAGTTAGAGTTAGGTTAATGATTTACTGTTTTGTTACAGTTGTGGAGGTCATTAAAGTGTGCATTTATCACAAACAACAAGTACTACCCTATATGAAACAACAAGTACTTGCCTATACTATACAACTGTAAACACTACACAAACACTTGCATGCATTTATCATTTGTACTATCCTATCAGTTCAACTCAATTCTCACCTAAACTACTCAATTCGACTAAAACAGAGAACACTCTATCAAATTCATAAGACATAAACAAATATGTCAACATTACAAAGCTAAACATCTCAATTATACCATCCCTATAACCTAAAACCATTCAATTCACGATATTAGAACTTACCAGGATTGAACGCAAAGTTGCCATCCTCTGACTTAGCTGATCATCTTTCAACCTTCTATGTATCTTCTATGTATCATTTGTCTCATACAGCTCTCGTTCATCTCCTGGTATCAGACATCAAACAACAAAATCAATATCAACAATAAACCAAATAACAACAGAACCAACTCGGGATATATAAATGTCAAACCACTTTCATGTGATCACTTACAGGATGAATTCTCTGGCCTCCTCTGAAGTCTCTGCTACACTCTAAATCCTCATATGTAGCCGAGCAGATAACATACATACACCTCGCATGAAACACATAACAATCTATCAAATTCAAAAGACATACCCAAATATTTCTACATTTGACACACATACATATCAATTATACCATCCCTAATACCAAAAATTATTCAAATTCACGATACTATTAAGATCTAACAGACTAATTAACGAAAAATGAATCACACTAAACAATGCATACACTCGGGTTTATCCTGTTTCTCAAATAATTCATGCCTTACATTCATGCCACACACTCATCCACGTTTATAATTACCCTAATTGAAGATTTAAAAACAAATTACAAGTTTTCCCCAAATTTCGAAACCCTAATTTCACAATCGAAGAACCCTAATTTGTATAATCACTCAATCACTTCAATTAACACACACTCCAGATACGAAAACATACCTTCTATTGCCGATTTGTGCTCCCAAGCCTCTGATTTCTAACGCATGAACTTGAGCAAGATTCGATTGGAAACTTCTACCCGATCCCAATTCTTCTTCGTCAACGAGTTAAGAAACCCAACCCGCCGCACACCAAACCAATCTCTGGAGTTGATCAGCTACCGAGAACGACGTCCGGAGTTGATTCACTCCGGCAGATTCAACCGGAATGAGACGATCGGTTGAATCGTCGCCTTTCGCTTCTTCGGTCGCGAACGAGAGAGAGAGAGAGAGAGAGAGAGAGAGAGAGAGAGAGAGAGAAAAGGAAAGAAAGAAGAAAATAGAAAAATGGATTTTTCTTTTTTATATAATTATTCTCATACCCAGTAAAAAGACGCCACGTGGACGCTTCTTACAGATTAAAATCGATCTTATGCAAGATCGATTCTTCTGCTTATACACCTTCTTTTCATTTAATTTAATCATTAATACTCTAAGATCTAACCATAATTATGGTTAGATGTTGCCGATAATCTTGCTCTAACACCCCCTTTTCTTTAATGCAAGAACTTGTGCAAGATCTTTTCTTAAGGAAAAGGAGGTGTAAAAGATCCATATAATGATGACTTTAGAGCAACATTATAGGTACGATCTGAATTTTTGATTTTAACATTAATTTATTACTAATTTTAAAAAAGTAAAGCTTAAGAGTTATAATTTTGTTTTTGGTTTTGAAATGTGATTATTTGTAGGATATTAAGTTGGGTATCTTAGAAAAAAATAAAATTTTTAAATTAAATAAATTTATAATTTGTAATTTTAGAAAATTTTATAATTATTGTAAATTTAGAATTTGAAAACATACATAAAACATATATTTATTATAATAAAGAAAGAAAGAAAGAAAAATTGTTTGTTTGCATTATATATTTATTATAGTGAGAGAGAGAAAGAAAAAAAAATTTGATTTAAAAAAAAAATTGGCATCTCCAATTAAATCGCGCCACGTGGCGCTTTTTAGCCCAAAAGTTAGATCTTATGCAAGATCCATTCTTCCTATTGTTTTTGTTTTTATCATTTAATTAAATCACAAAATCTACTAAGATCTTCCCTATAATGTTGGTATTAGGAAGAAGAGTACATATCATTTAAAGTTTTACAAGTTCTTCTTGTTTATATGAACAGAAGCTAAAGTCGACAAGTTTTTGTAGTTTGAGGCCCAATACAACGAAATACATATGTAAAATTCATCTTAAAACCTATAACCATAAGACCAATATATGGCAGGGAACTAGGCCCATTGTATCTTTATAGCTGGTTAAAAACCATCGTAAAGCCTATACATTATTCAATGTACTCTTTGATATACTTCTGATCTCATCTTATTATCAATATAAAATTTCTAACAGCTTGAGAAAAGGGATAAAGATGGTTGATGCAGGGAAGGAAGCAATGTGTATAATGTGATCTATCTTTCTTAATTTATAAAGTAAACTCCAAATCCTAATTTTCGACTAACAAAGATAAAATTTATATAACATGCCGTGATTTATTCCAATAACGTTTTGTTTATGGTTAGCTAGTATGTACATATATGTTCATATACTCAAATAGTAAATATATTGGTTATTAAAAAGTAGATTTGTTTAAATATGGTTACTTATCACAGTATGTTATCTAGTGATTTATTATAGTGTTTGGTACCTCTACATTAAAAAAGATAACCTCTAGACTTAAATACATGATATTCCATAAAAAATTATGTTGGACTGCCGCAATTTTAAAATTTTAAAACTCTGAAAAGTCAGAACTACAGTTTGAACATAAATATAAAGAATGTGGTACGCAAACTTTAATAATACTAATTACAGAGAGTTTGGCAGGTCTAGTAACGTGAATCATAGCACAACTAATTAATTTCCTTTATTTAATTTATTTTTGTCGTAAAATTCGCATTATTATTAATTTTTTTAACATTCACGTACGTAAGCATGTACATGTACCACCAAATTATTCTTAAGTTACTGTTTTTGGAGATAAAAAGTATCGAAAATATGATTGTTTAGTATCTACTATGAGGTTTTTAATTAGCAATTTTTTTTTGTCGTTAGTAAATTTCTAGGATCTAATTAAATCCAGCAACTTAAAATGTCTACAACGAACTTTGATGCTAGCTAATCAGACAACAAACACTCCAGCGAACAAACTTAAGTGAACATAATAGAGTATCAGTATCAACCATTTGTTTCAATATATGAAAGTGTCTTAAAACTTTAATTAAACCATGGTTAATTTTTAAGTCTGTCTAATTATTTTGTTAAAACGAATGAAAAAAAACAATCTCTAAAATTTGATTTTGATTGGTTTCTCGTAAAAGCTTATTCTCTCAAATTTGATTTCTCTACTGAGTCACTGACAGTAATCTTTAGTTTTTGTCTACATTTGAAAGTACAATTAATCTTAGTAATTGCTCTTTTTAGAAAAAAGTATAAGAGAAGTACGTACAATAAAAGTTGCTTATAATATGACAAACGAACTCTCACTTCTCAACGTCCAACTCTCACTTGACAAATCAATGTAAATAAAAACAAAATACGATCAACATCGATTACATACACATAAAAATGACAGCTATTTTTATTTAGCTAACTACATTGCAATAATTCAAACCCTTTAATAAAGAAAGAAACCCCCCCCACCCCCCCCCCCGAAAAATTAAATAGAGTAGTAAAAAGTGAATACTCAAAGAGTAGAGAGTAGTAATTAAAAAAAAAGGAATTATAAAATCGAATCATACCCTCTTTTTTTTTTTTCAATTTCATAACAAAGTATATAGAGAGAGTCTTTTATATGATGATTTATTGATTACCGTTGAGAAGAAACTAAAATATTAAAAAAAAACGCCGTGCGTACAACGCTTCCCATGTGAGCGACAACAATACCCAATAACATACCACCACGTGTCAAAAGATCTCGACTTGTGACCCAACTACGCTACTCCGGTGACGAAACACCACCGAACACTCCGGCAACTCCCCGAGATCGGCGAACAAAGACTCATCCTCCTCTCCCATCGGAAAGAACACCGCCACGTCATCCGACGCAGCCGTGACAGCTGTCTTTTTCTCCGATGACGATGAGAATATCGGACTTTCAAGAATCGTCGAGGACGTCGTCTCCATCTCCGTAAACCACGCGAACTCGTCGACACATGACGGTGTTGTTTCAATCTCTCTTCCAAGAACCATAAACTTATCATCCTCCTCCTCAACCTCAACATCAACCTCCACCTCCGGCTCTACCTCAGGCTCTGGTTCGGGTTTGGCTTCGGGTTTTGGTTTAGGTCCGTTTCTTGAGGATGACGCGGCAGGCCAAGGATGGTTATGCTCAGAGGTGTAAGTGATGAGGATCATCGTTGGATCATCTCTGCTTCTCTCGACTTGCTTCCTGGCCGGACAACCTTTGGTGCTACTACATCGGTAATAACCTCTAGGGTAAGGAGATCCCTTAATGGGCTTTTGGCCGTACTTACGCCAAGCCCATGAATCTGACGGCGGAGTTGTGTCGCCTTTGTGCCGAGATCCTTCCATTTCTTTCATCGGTACGTTCACTACTCTTTTGTCTACGGATCTCCTGCTGTGAAGTAACAATTACATCAAACATATGAATATAATTTAAGTTTTCATGAAAATTCGGATAATAGATTAAGTGTCTATGTACCTTCTCTTAGGTGAATGAGAAGAGATGAGAGCTTTCATGTCGCTGAAGGTTGAAGAATTTGGTGACTCGGGTCCGGTTTCTTGACTGCTTTCATGATCATTGTAGCCTCTCGCCATCTGATCTAGACATCGCTTCATGTTTATATATATATGCTCTATATAAAGACTATATATATTTACAAGAAACTAAAGCGATCGAGAGAGGAAAGAAGGGTCGAATCAAGAATTGGATATTTAGTTGAACTTGATCATTAGTTTTTGGAAATATATGATCGAGTTGGGAGATGGAGAAAGAGGAGTAGAAGAAGTAGAGAGAAAGAGAAAATGGAGAGAAGGTGGAGAAGAAGAGGGGTTGTGTAAGAAAGAGGACGTGCGAGCATATGTCAATTTAATCTCTACTTGTTTTAAACTAATACTTTTATATCCTTATCATTTAAGAGAGGGACCTCGATTGATTACTATTTTAATAGATAATAATTTTGTCTATAAGGCGATGGTTACATATGATCACACCCTTTGTTTAACAATATACTAATAATTTTGTTGCGTGGTTTGAATAGATGGGGTTAGGTATTAATACTATACACTTGTTTTGTATTTTGTCTTTATCCTCCCTTGTTCATACCTCTTTATTTTCTTTTTTGCTATGTAATTAAATGATTGGAAAATGATTAGGTAATTTTATTGGGTGGTGTAGTGCGTGTGAACAAGGATTAAGTGGTTACATATGTAATCAAACTTTATCATTCGTTTAAAAGGTAGATCTAAAGTTTATTTTCTATCTTTTTCAAGAACTTTTCCATGCACATAAAGTATATTAGTGTCTCATCTATATGATACTCAGATTTAGGTCTTTCGTTAAGCATAGATTAACAGTATATATTTTAAAAAACAAAAGTTTTAATTGCCAGTTAATGAAATATGTGATGAACTAATGATGGTCATCTTATTCATCACATTTACCCATTTGACTGGGTTATATATCTTGATTTGTGAGCTAATAAATTTTAGATATAAAGTTTACGATTCTGAAATATCTTGTTTTGAGTATAAGCTATCACATTAGATTGCATGCATGTACAACTTTAACATGTATATTCCGAAAAGGGGAAATTATTGTTAAAAGAGTATCACTTATCTCATGCATATATGCATTACCACTTTATGGAAATCAATTGTTGGTCATCTTGTGATGGCCTATATTATATATATATGCAAATGTTGTACGTATATGTATAATTTTGTGCACAAAGCAATCCGAAACACTCTGAATAAGTTGCACTCTAAAGTACGAGCCGAAGCTACAAATAAAATAGTAAATTACATATCTTATGACCTTTTCCTCCACCAAAAGCAACATCATAATTAATCAGCTGATGACACCCATATATGTGTATAATATAGTTATCATGTTTTCGATTTAATAATAATAACAATGTTTGTTTCTAATCAAAGAGATAACTTTCTTTATTAGTGACGATTATCGGTTACCGATCAAAGCTTTTTTTTTTTTTTTTTTACCAAAAGGTTTGGGCCTTACCGATCAAAGTGCTTCATACCCTTTCTTCAACCTATGATTTTACTCTAATCTCAATTCAAGATAATAAAATTGGAATATACGGAATGTTACATCCACACGGTCAGTAGTACGTAGTACGTAAATGGAATATTTATTTGTCATGTACGAGATGATTTTTTTTTTTCTGGAAATGCTAGCATGTAGAATTTTACGTTAAGATTCGAACCTAACAAAATATAGCTATGCATACGTACGTATATTTTTGGTTTCCTTTGATTTATATATGTTCTTCTCCGAAAATGGAGAATAAACTCATGTAGTCATGCATGCTCTTAGAGGACCTGCAAGAATCTTTTGGTTACAAAAACATCATTACTATAGTAGACTAGTAGTACATGGTACTGAGAGATCAAAGCATGGTTTAGCCCTCTTTTACATGAATTTTTCCTTCTGGTACTAGTTTATTATATACTATTTAATAATGAAGCATTACAAAAGACCCGATTCCATCTACCTAAATATTTATCAAAAAAATATTTTGTTTATATATTTGGCGAAGAATCACCGTAATCTATATATATATATAAAGAAGAAAAGTACGAAATGATATTAAAATGTTTGCGTGTTGACTTGGCGTTTATTTGTTTTTTTGGTAAGATTGACTTGGCGTTTTATTGCCATCATTTTCAATTTTTCATGTCTTAAAAGACAAACAAAAGACAATTAAGCCTTATTGGCAATTTGCCATATAAATACGAATTTGCTAGAATACACTATAAAACAATGTCAATAACATATATATCATATATAAAACGTAGTGTCTACTTAGACAATTACTGATTTACTGTCTTTAAAATTTCAGAAACCAAGGCTGTGAGATCAATAGCGGATTCCATGCAAAGTCCGCAAGAAGATGATGATTTTACCATTGTTGTAAGAGTTATAGAAAGTGCATCCATATTTTGGTTAAATGATAATTTTGATAAGTATTAAAATATTAAACCTTTTCTCTGACCGCTTAGTAAGCTATTAAACGTATGTTATTTTTAAGTACCAAAAGTATGTTGAATTTTGATAAGTTATAGTCCTAAATTACAAACACAACAACTAGAGGCCAGATCAACTAATATAATAAGTGTCGACAAGCAAAAGTCTAATTTTGTAAATTTTGGATTGATTTTATCTTATCGTTTGGAATTTGGATTAATAAATTGAAATGTATTTGATGCGTGAAGCGATATGGCTGCAATGTAAATCAATTCAACTATATACTATAGCCACGATTTGGCAAAACTATATCATATCTCTATATTATTAGCTAAGTGTATTTTAATATGTTATTGGCGGCTAATATCATGGAATATTTTGCTATTAAAAATGGGACCAATAATTAGGCATCTCTGACTTTTCCTAAAACCTCGGCGTGGTTCTTGTACAACATGTCATAGTTTATTTATATGATTTCAATATATCTAGATATTTACTTGTCAATCTTTTTAAAAATTAATTCTATCATTATTCCAACGAACAATTCAAGATTAACATTTTTTTCATTTTTTAATTATCTTTCTTAAATACAGTATATCATTTGAGAAATATTTCTTCTAATTTGTCAAAACTATATATATTGGGTGTGATTGGTGAAAAATAGGAATAAAACGTACAAAAATGATAAATTGAAAAAATTCAAATAATGCCAAAATATACCGGTCTTTAAACAATAGATTTTATCAAAGCTTTACCTTTTAACATTAGTATGTTTTTACTTTGGATTTGGTTTGAACATAGGATAAAACGACTTTGTTTTGAAAATTTGTACTAAACCTGACATGATGAACTGGATAAATGGTACCATATATTTATTTCTTGTTCAAAGAATAGAGGCCGAACAATCCTTATACTCACTCTTAAATGTGTATACTAAAAAATTGGATTAGTGGTTGGCGATAAAAGAATAAAGTTAAAATGAAACTAATGTGTCATCGCAGGAGTATGACTTCAAAATGGAACATCGCTAAAAACATATGAAAGCATACCAAAGTCTACTTTGTAACAAACGAGATTTACTTCCTACGATAAATAAATTATGAAGTTTATGGTTTCAGAAACTCAATGGGATATACTTTTATTGTACCTTAAATCTTGAGTTCAAAATCTATTTCCCTATCAAAGAAGGACACATTTTGTTCTTATCAATTTTGTTAGTTTTTAAAAATTTAAAATCCTAAAAGTCATTTGAAATTAGATTATAACGATCCCACACATTTAACATTGTACCAAAAGACCCAATATTTTCAAACTCGCCTCGAATATTCCGAACCATGAGCACGTCACTGCATCTCATCTCACCAACTGGATAAAAAGTATAAACACACATTCTTGAGATTTTTTGTTTGTTTATATCCCTTTAGACTTTAGTTATTTATATTTTTATATATATCTAAATTTTACATTGGGGGTACTTTGCTTGACAAGAGCTTTAACAAGAGTTTGAGTCATATCATCCACACTCCACAGCTTGTCTTTGGATAGAGGTGCAACAATGGCCTCCATGGCAAATGAATCTAGGCATGATGCCCTTGCTTGAGCCACACTCAAACCCATTTCTTCAAATGCTTCTAGAATGTTCACAAGACTAAACTCTCCCTTTACACTTTTTATTTTTACTTGAAACCTTTCCCCAATCTTCTCTACCTTCACCTCCTGCAAAAGTTCACAAAAACGAAGAATACTTATTCCATATGCGTTGACTTTACCATATATAGTAATTTCCCAAGTATGGTGCAATGTGAACATCTCAACACCTCGTGCGGATTGATGTTTGAACTAAGAAGCCTATAAAGAAAGCTAACTAAGTCGAAAAAATATGGATCTACTTTGCTTTCTATATATGATCAAACTTAGATTTGGTATCTTTTATATTGATTCCAATTTAATTTGGTAGAAAAAAAAACTCCTCAATATTTCAAAGGAAAGCAACAGATTCTCAATTGGGCACAGGAAATGTTCTCAGCATATAAAATGTAATGTACATCGAAGAGCTTCTTCACCAATGATGAAAAGAATAAATGAAAGGTGGTAGGAGAAACCTGAAACTGATGTAAATGTTCTTTTTTGATAATCTTGAAACCTTCATGATCTCTCTGCAATGCTTTTATCTTGATTTTGAGCATGTCTATGTATAGAAGAGCCTCCTTAATCACCATGCTCTGTTCATGGTTACTCTGCATAACACACACAAATCATATAATATAGGCATGAGATCTAAGGAACGATAATAGTAGATTTAGCAAGGGGCATGAAGTTGTATATATGTTGTACATACAAGTTTAAAGTGGGTGAGATTTTTAAGAAAATGAGGTTTCCCTTGGACTGCCCTCTTCTTTTGTTCACTAGCCACCATCACTATTTCAATGTTTTGAACTCTTTGAGGAAACGATTATTATTGTTTGAACTTTAAAGAATATATCTCGGGATCTATATATACACACATTTTCTTGTCGTATAGTAGTAGTACCAAACATACATCTTGGTAATGAACTGGTAGCTTATTTAAACATCATAACCACATAATAGTAGATATTGTATAATTAAAAATTGTATGGTAGTTGAAGAAATATATATATTTTTATAATTTTCCTTACATTTGACGTGTGAAATTTTGATATTTAGTTAGTTTGTTTATTGAACAATTAGCAGTTGTGAAAGGTTACAAATACTATGGTCCAAAATGCACCGACTAGAGACTATTTTGGAGTTGAAAATTAAAGTTTGAGATTATATCTCTTATCTCTTTTCCACATGCATCGTCCCTCGCACTATATCAACAAATCCTCCAACTTTTTAAAATTTTGTTTTTAAAAAATCCTCCAATTTTATAAAATGATAACTAGTCGGATTAGTATTTAAAGTATACAATATACACGTACATTTTATTATTATAGAAATCAATGCATATTTGGGTTCTTGATCCAGTGATTAGTACCTAATTAAAGACCTAATACATGATTTTAGTAATTCGACACTCAACTGGAGAATTGATTGTAAACTGACATAACTGATTAAATTAGACCGATCTGAAAACTTTTTTCGGATTATAAAATCGTTAAAATAAGGAAAAATTGACGATCCAAGTGATTCAAGCTTATATGAAGTTGTTTCTTTTTTTGTGTGTTAAGAATTTGATTTTACGTTCAAATTCATAATTAGTAAATTAGCAACTATACAACTAAAATCATTTGGTTTTGGCTTAATTTCCGATTCTAGATAATTAAATTATTATAATCTAGATGATGGTAATTATATTATTCTGAAGACATTAATTTCTGTCTTACCAATAAAATTGGATATTCATTAAACCCTATAGTCAATTTTTCTTTTGGAATAAGTCGAGAGAATCATAATTTTAGCACGGGTTTAAAAACACTTGCTTGCACACATCACAATAAACGCGATAAATCAAAAAGATTTGTATATAATTTTGAACATAAAATATTTCCTTCATATTTTATAGAGAGAGTTTGAGCATATGCATCGATGAACGCGAAAGGAGAATAAAACAAAGGCAAAATTCCAGATGTCAGAGACAGATACCTATGTATTAGCCACAAAAATCTTACCGACACACATACACAGCATTTAGCAGCGTACGTACGTATTCATACCAAAAAAAATGTATATTATAAAAAGAGAAGATCTGTCGAGAGGGGAAGGAAGAGAGAGATCAAAAAGAGGAATCACGGGTTTGTATCTTTTACGTTTGTCTCGCTTCGAAAGGTACGTGAGAAAGACTGCAGACTAAGTGGGTATTGGTAAGCATGGGACTGCTCCTGTTGGCTCTTTCACATGCTTCGTTTACTACCATCTCCTCTGTTTTATTCTCCATCCTTATCTATCATATTATAAGCAAGCGTGACATGTATAGTAACGTCTACATTATCATTCAACAATTCATATATGTAATCATATTTAAAACCAAATGGTTATAGTTTAGTGTAACTGTTCGAAAATTCGGAAAATTTTGGGTATATGTGTGTTTGTGTATTTTAGTAATATCACTCAATCAGGCTTAAGTTAAAATCTAATCAACGTAGAGACAAAAGGAGAATCTTAAAACAAAATATGTCAAGTAGAGTTCAAGGTTATGAGCTCACAGTCTGCCTATTAAAGAGGATTAATTCTGATTTTGCTTTAGGAGATTTACACTCAATGCTCACGGATATGGAACCGAACTGAGTAGAAAAGAAAAGAACAAACGACCAACCCCAAAGCCGGATTGTAAAAGACGAAAAGATCTATATATCACGAGAGGTTTGGTGTAATCAACTAATCATATTGGAAATGTGGACAAATGGATATTGGATAGATATGATGAAAAGCGTTGAGTGTAAAGAGAAAGCTCAAGAGGTGACCAATAGACTAAACCCACTTTTTAGAAACAATACTAACGTTAAGATGGCAGTCTTGTCTCAATTCATCACTTGACATTTGTCTCTTTTTATGTTATCACACAGTTGATCTAGTTTCAGTCATTTGTTTGTACTCGGTTAACATTAATTGTGTTTGTTTTGTTGGTGTTTTACTTTGTGATAAATATTAACTAATCCACGAATACTCTAATATTTGTGATCATGATCCAAAATATTCCAATATCCAGGATGAAGAAGATGAATAAAAAGTATAAAAAATAAAAAATAAAAAAAATAATTAGATATATACTGGTTCAGAAAAAAACAAAAAGTGTTCATAGTTACATTTTATTTTTCTCGATATCCACGATTATGTATATCCGTGACTTTTAGATCTGATTTACAAAATACTTGAGACATAGAGAGTTTACCATACATAGAGAACTTACCATATCCACGTATATTTATAAACTCTCAAACAAAAGGACACCCTGATATGTGAAATAAACATCTAATAAATCACTACATATCAGAGAAAAGAAAAGCGTAATACTAACAAATATAAATATTACTCTTGATAAATATAAATGTTACTCGTCCAAAATATAATTTCTCATGAAGAAGTAGTGTGCTTTTTTTTTTTTTTTCCTGTTTTTATATTAATTCTAGTTTATTAAGTTCTCGGAAGCGACTATTTCCGAAAGAGAACCAGTTAGATACCAACAAATTTATATATAAAATTTTTGAAATCTTGCACTCTTACATATTTCGTAAGTTTATCGGCATGAATAATATCCACTCTTTGGATATATTGAAGAAGTAGTGTGTTTATATAATATCACAAACACGTATATTAAGGTGATCATCTACGAATATATAGTAAGGATCTCGGATATTAGTTTATTTCACAAAGAACACCAGTGTACGTACGTAAGGTGATCATCTATAAAAAGGAAAAATGCTGATAGAGAATTATAACGTAGTGCCTTCTCTTTCTTGTACTTCCTTATAGCCTCCCTCAAAATTCATTCGAATATCAGGTTCGTCAGTAAAGTATAGTTTTTGTTACTTCCTTATAAAATCGAAGTCGTTTGGTATTTTGGAGAAGCCAAATTCGAAGTTCTTATTAGAAATGTCGGTTCGGTTCGATCTATTAAACCGGTTTTTTCATGATTTGGTGTGCTGATGTAGTGGGTTTGGATTTTTCGTATAACACCGGCAAAAAATTCCAAAAGCATTTAAATATCAACGTGAACTGGTAAGGGACAACACCATACCAAACAACATTATTATTATAGATTTGGGTATTGATTAATAACATATATTTTTTTTATCTTTTCTTAGAAGACATTCCACAAGCACAAGAGCAATGGAAGATACATTTTCAAGAACAGAAACCCCTTTTACGAGCTGTGGATTAGGCTTGGCCAAAGTTGCAGCTCCCATCCACAGCCACTCGCCATTTTTATCTTTTCATAGTTCTTGGTTGCCAAATATCTGAGAGCAGAATTATAATGACCAATAGCAAGGTCTAAAATATCTGAGCACATCTCATAGGGACCCCTAGAATTTTCACTGCTTGTGCTATTGAGTGACTGGAACTGCTTCAGCATATCTGAGGTTTTTCGAGAATTATAATTGATCAAATATATAGTGAGACCAGAATGATCCAATGTTGTCATTTCAGCCGATAATTTCAGGAATTGAGAGCAAAATGATTTATTGATTCCTTTGTGTGTGCAGATGTCGTTGATTTCACCATTTGTAACTTTAATACTAAATCTTGCATACGATGAGACAACAAAGCAAAGTAAAGTTAGTCTAAGAACCAATAAACTTTTGTTTTTTACGTATCCAACCATTTTTTGTTTGTTTAACAAGCTAAGCCTTACCTTCCCCACACCTCCAAGCATGAACAATATCAACCAATATCCGCGCATGAAAACAGTAAAAACTTCTTCACATGAAACTTTTTTAGATATTGGTGCAGAAAAATTACCGGGCAAATCTCCTTTGGCAGAGAACTCACTACAAAGCAATGCATAAAGAGCTGCAAAGATCAAAGTAATGGTTTCCTGCCAATAGAGATCTTACCCTGTAATGCATTTCCACCTTTGATCCATCCTAACTTGTTCACAATTTTAGCTTGTAAATTTGATGTTTGTATTTATACAGTATTGGAAAAAAGCATATTCGGCGGTACAATGCTACTGCATAACTTTATAAAAAAAATGCTACAGCATAAGTGCATTGTAAATAATAAGACTGAGGATTTTATTCTGACAAGTGACAATGATCTCGTCTTCTCATTATTTCTAAGGAATAATCTTTCATACCACAAGTTTTATGGTCAGAAATATTCCTAAATAAAGTTTATGATCAGCCAACCATTTTTTCATTTTTTTACAGTATTCAATTCAATTCTTTACATCTTCCATGTGCGCACAACAAAGTAAAAAGATCGTACATATGTTATTTCATTGTACGAAATTCAATCTCTAAATTTAACATAAAGAGCCATTTTATAATAAAAAATAATGATCAAAACGAATGTATTACATTTGTATGTTCTAGACCTTGTGGATAACCGTACCATATGGTTTTTTATTTATGTATTACATGGTATTATATACATGTAAAGTCCCTTCGTCTTAATTTGACCCAATTATTCATCTAATTGGTTGACTTATAAGGGTTTCGACCATGTTTAAGTCCACTAATTGAGATGGTCGTGACTTTGACAAAATGTGTTTGAGACCACTTGCTTAAGAGAAGTGAAGAATCCTTAACGTGAAATTAGTTAAAAAGGTGTGGTGAATAATTAGTTGTATAAAAAGATTCTTGAAATGGAAGATCCGTGGGAATGTTCTTGTAATTTGATCAAGCTTCCACATGAAGACGCATAAAATGCAAAAGCTCGAAACTGCAACTTACTCTACAAAATTACAGTATTATATACATATATATGCCATTCAATAAAGTCAATCAACTTTAAAAAGTAGACCAAAAGTTCGAGTTTTGCAGTATATAAAAAGTAAAATTAAGTAGTCGACTTTATAAATATAGTCATTACTTTGGAGATCCTCTCTTTTAAGTTAATTTGTCTACAAAATAAAAATTTAAGTACATTATACTAAAAAAAACATATTTTCTATCTTATTCGATCTTGTACCACCTTTTCTTTTCTTTTTTGTAACACCTTTAAAGATTTTAGATTTTGCTTGTACATTGACATGCAAAGGCAAAAAGTTCTCAGCGTTAAGTAACGTTCAGCATATTCTTTAAGTATATCCAACAAAAAATCATATACTCATACAAATATCAATTGTAATTGTAACCATCGTCCGTTACGTTAAAGAATATTAAGTTTGTTAAAGATCGATTCACATTAGCAGTTCTAGAGGCCATGCCGCTATTTTATTTGATTGCTGTGTATGTAAGAAAGTTTAGTTTTTTTTTTTAATATATGACTCACTTGTAGAAAACGACTTTGAAAGCCAAATTAGCTATATTGGAACAAAATATTTCATTCGTTTAACATAACATTACAATTGACTCTTAACATTACTCATCGTTTCACGATAATACTGCACCGCTAGCCTCCAATTAGTATACTCGTTATTAACAAGATCAAACTTGTCACCAGAAAATTAACTGATATATGCGGTTTAACACAAATTTATACATGCATATAAAAGTAAATGATATTTAACTTAATTTGCACGAGTCCTCCTGCTAACCAAAACGAATTGTGGAGATGTAATATGACATTCATGCTGCATATGCACACAGTAAAATAAAATAAAATAAAAGACTTTGTTGTCACTAGCTAATTTGAGTGGTAAATAAAAGATTTGAGAAAATAAAGTGTAAACAAAACAAAACAATATGCGCTATCGTATTTTATGTTTTTTTTTATCATGAATGTTTTTTATTTATTTTAAAGAAAACATTTTCTTTGTATTTTAAAATTTAACGGCCTAACGGGTAAAAATAAAAAAAATAAAAGAAGAAGAAGAATATAGTCATTCGTCTGTAATTGTTGTTATGGTTGCTGGTCGATTTCATAAACTTAGAGACGTATTAGAAAGAATATATCGTAGCTAAATTTAATAGCTAGTGTGACGTATATAGCTAACCCATTTTACGAAAGAAAACTAAATGATGTATTTCGTACGTAAAGATTGTTTTCCTACACATTCCTGCTAATTTTTGTAGTGCTTCCAAAAAATATATATCATATCAATGTACCTAAAGTGAAGGAAGCTATAGCGTATAGGAAGCTCTCTCTCACTCTCTCAAAGTTCCGAGTTAGATACTCTTTGAAGAAAAATGAAAACGTAGGATGTTCCACCGAATATGCTAATATATGTATATAACACAAATGTGCATGACCCTATCCCTATATATAGTTTTGCTACGGCCTGAGAAAGTTAATTATTACTCAAAACAAAACAAAGAAAAATGAAAAAGGTACAGAAGGTCGATGGTTGTGAAAGAAAGGAAATAAAAAGATAATTAATGCATGGTTGGATTACAGGGCAAATACTCTATTGGCAGATAAGTTTTTGCTACATCTTATATCAATATGGGTGAAAAAGTGAAACCCTGTATTGAAAATGCCTAGCTGCCAAAGGAGATTTGCCCCGCGATTCATCCCATGCAAAACAAAACATCAATATAGATGTAACATCTCGCACGATCAGAAGACAAAGGTAAATAATAGTATGAGATCGTGCGTAACAAGCATTAATTAATATTGCATGCATTGATCATAAACTTTATTTCCAATGTAGTTTTATGATTTTTTTTTTTTGGGGTTTAATGTGATGAATTATATTAACAAAAACGACAACCATAGACTACCCACTTAGAATAAAATGATCCAAAATATAACACAAAAGACAGTCTTTTCACTTACAAACAAAATAAAGTGCTCTGTTTCTCATGGTACGATCCATATTGGCTCAAAGCAATGCTGCCATTGAGAAATGTTAGGTGAAAAATCCTTGCAAGAGGCAACTACATTGAAGTGAAAAATCACATTCGACGAAGCAAGTAATCGTGAGAATCACACGTGTAATTGTGTAAATATAACCGAAGAAGATAGCATCGGTTAGGGAAGCGATATACACATATATAGACGAGGTATTCTAATCTTTTTTTTTTTTTTTTTCATTTTCATTTTTCCTATATATTCTTCCTTCTGCTTTCTGAACAATTCTTGGATTCACCCCTAGGGGTGAATCCTTTTGTTCATCCCCTTCCCTTGTAACCAATAAGAACGATCCATGTCATATTACTTTAAATTTGACATATTTTTAATAAAAACTTAAAATTAATAAATAAAACAAATTAAGTAAATAAAACATTAAAAAGAGAGAAAGAGAGATTTGTTCCTGCTTTCTCAAAGATTTTTTATAATGAAATCATCTTTTGTAAACTACCTTTTTTGTATAAAATTTTAAACACATGGTTGAAAATTATGATGCTGACCTCGTATGCAAGCAAATTTTTAACACAAAAAGGTAGTTTTGTATTATATCAATCACTTTTAGTTCTAGTCGTTTCTCTCTAGTCTCTCTAGTTGACTAGAAGATCTCATTGGCTCTTCGACTACTAACACGGCGTACGTGTTTCTCCAGAGAGCGTGTGAATAAGGCGTCACCATTAATTAGCTAATTTGCACTAATGTCTTTTATTCTATATATCCGGGCCGGGTAATCTATTAAAACGCCTATGGCTACGTACTCTCATCTCCCCAGTTTCAAATTTGACTTCCCTACGTGTAAATGTGTAGTAATGTAAACAAGTCCTCAACTACTTATTTTTCTAATATTTGATTTCTTCTTTGACGAGTTAACGACATATAAAATAGTTTGAGACCCAAATAAAAAAAGAACGTGACACAAATTGAATTATGTGAATTTATAGTACAAGCACACGTAAGATACATGATACATGATACATCAATATCTATATATTTATGTTAGGTTTTTTAATTTTATCTATCTCTCTCACAATTACAAAAGATGGAAATTAGCGACACCTCAAAACATAATTCTAAACAACACAAAGATGCAAAAATCGAAGGAAATGTATGCAAGCCTTGGAAACGGATTGGTGAAGCATCGATAACCTCGAGAACTAGTAGAGGAGGATCACAGAGGAGCAAAAGAAGCGGAAGCACAAGAAGAATAGGTGACAATAGAGAGAGAGTGTCTGATTTAGAAGCTGAGGAGATAAAAGGTTTTATGGATTTAGGTTTTGTTTTTACAAAAGAAGACTTAAACTCGGAGTTGCCGAAGATTCTTCCAGGATTGCGGGCATTTCTCTGCCCAGAAGAACATCTTGAGAAAGAGCCGTCCGTGTTGCCGAGACCATATTTGTCGGAGGCATGGGACGTTTACGATGATAAATGTAGTAGACTAACAGAGAAAGATTCAACGGTTATAGATTTTAGAATGGCTAAGTTACGTGGTGAGAAGAACATGAAAGATAGCCTTAAATTGTGGGCTCGTTCTGTAGCTTCCAGTCTCAAATGAGACATAATCATATGTAATGTCTCTTTGTGTGTCAAATAGTTCACACTAATCTAAAGTACCAACCCTTTTTTTGTTTGTTCCAATCTTATATCAGAAAACGCTGTTGTGTGAAAAAAGACAATCATGCTTAATTAATTAACAGGTAAAAGTTAACGTAATGAACAACAAAAAGTTCATATTATTCAGACAACTTTAATCACATTTGGATGTAAACCGTAGATTCAGACAACTTTAATCACATTTGGATGTAAACCGTAGATTCAGACAACTTTTTTTTTTTTTGTGCATCCATCCATCCTTCATTGGCTAATCACCATATATACACAGAACAGATCAACCAAAGGATGAGCAACAAATTATCCCAAGATTTTGAGAACAAAGAAGTGTATAGTACAACTTTAGCCAAAAATTTACTTTATAAGATGTGTCTCACCTACAGAAATGGTCTTCAGTCTCACACCTCCAAGCATGAACATAAACCACTACAAGCAACCAAGAAAATGGACCGTTTCCGTATTTGCAGACTCTTTTTTTTTTTTTTTATGAATTCGCGTTAGATCAATCACATGTAATTATGTAACTACAATTTTAAATATTGGCGAAGAAGAATTACCGGGCAAATCTCCTTTGGCAGAGAACTCACTACGTACAAAGCAATGCATAAAAGACATGCAAAGATCAAAGTAATGGTTTCCTGCCAATAGAGATCTTGCCCTGTAATGCATTTTCACCTTTGATATATCTCATCTCTCCACAATTGTAACCTGGAAATTCGATGTTTGTATTTATACAATCCTAGAAACAAGCATATTCCATGGTACAATGCTACTGTATTGTAAATAAGACTGAAGTTTTATCCCGCGAATGATCCTCATGTCCGAACCATTTTTCTTCTCACAATTTTATAGTCAAACATCTCTAAAGTAAAAGCAGCCTACCACTTTTTCCTTGGTGTATTCGAATTCCTGGCATACCTTTTGTATGATGTATATATGCACACATAGAAATAAAACATGATAGGTGTAAGAGTTCGTTTCACAATACTCAATATTTAGTTTTTAACCCAATTAAAGAGTCGATGTACGTACCAATACGATGTGTATTACATAGCATGTGCTAGACCTTGTGTGTGAAACCATTGTTTATTTCGTCAGCTAGTAACTATGGATTTAGAAACATTTAAGTTCTATAATATGTATATATTACATATCTATTCTCAAAACCTTTTGTTCAATTAAAAAACTCAACTTAATTATTTTACTTATTTGGACGATTTGGAAGACTAATTGACATGGTTGTGAATTTTACAAATTAATGTATTTGAGAATAAATTAATGTATTTGAGAATTGAGATCACTTGTTTCAGGGTTCTATATAAAGAAATGGCGAAACTAAAGGAATGCACAATGTGGAATATAATAAGAGAACAAGGTGGTCAATAATAATTTCACCGAAAATAGAAATTGATTCTTGAAATGGTAGATCCGTGGGAATGTTCTTGTAGTTTCATTGCGTATGCACAAAATGTAGAAGCTCGAAACTGCAATTTAGTCTACAAATTAAATTCGCGATATTATACACACTTTAAAGTATATATGATGCCACTCGATAAAGTCAATCAACTTTGAAAAGGACCAAATTTGGAATCTTTTTTAAATATATAGAGTCATTACTTTGAAGATCCTATCATTTAACTTGTTTTTTTTTTTTCTTACAAAAAATAAAGTAAAAAGTACAACTTATAATAGAATGACATGCTTTGTATCCTATTCTTGTATCGGTTTTTAAGATTCTGATATTTCCACTGAACAATGACACAATATATAAAGTTCTCAGCGGTTGATACGTGTAGCACATTCTTCAGTATATCCAACTATACACCAAAGAACATATATACTCGTACATTTACCATTTGTAACAGTCGTCCATTACGTTAATAAATATATTTATTAAGCGTGACCGAATATATGTCCAACATCTTTTAGCTACTAAATGGCCATAAATCATAATGTTTTGAACGTTTCTCAAAAGAACATATATGATTGTTCCTTGTGGTTGCTAATCTGTCATATGTAAAGACAGTTAAGAACAACAAAAAATCGTACCTAAGATAATAGTGGCGTATTTACCACAGAGAAAAAGTTGCATATATATCATATATGTAGGATCGGCTTCAATACCTATACTTTTTATAGTTATTCCAATAAGAATATATAAAATGAGGTAAGCTCCAAGCCAGAGTTGGAGTTGGAGTTACGAGACAAGGATACGGCCCATTTTGACGTTGCCTTTTGGATACTGCATACATACATATGCTCTATGAAACATAGGATGTGCCTCCGAATATGCTAATATATAAGAAAAATATGCATGACATTTAAGTATTTAACCACACACTCCCTCTATATATATATATAGCTTTGCAATGGTCACAATTTAGTTATTACTCAAAATAAAATAGTAAGATGAAAAGAAGTGCTAGAGAAGTTCGATGGTTGTAAAAGAAACAAAATATTATATATGCATGGTCGGATTACAGGGCGAATACTCCATTGGCAGATAGTATACATCTTATATCATCTGTAGTATGAGTGCATAATTTTTTATGTATGAAAAATGCTTTACTGCCAAAGGAGATTTGCCCCGCAATTCATGCCATGCAAAGCAACTTCAAGCTTGCACGACCAGAAGACAAAGGTAAGGATATATATGAGGGCCAAAAAAAACAATGTAGGCATGTAGCCTTTTTAATTAGAAAAAATTAGATTAAGTATTGTTATTAGTATTATAAGATCTGGATTATCACATCATATCACAAATTAAGAATTTAAGAATGATCTTACTAAAAGCAATAGCATGCTAGCTCCTTGGAGGAAAAGTAATATACCATCAAATTTTATAACTACTATTAAATCCAAGGTCGACTGATCAATGGGCATTTGGGGGATGTCGTATGATGATGTAAATTTTTTGTTTTTTTTTTTTTTTGTTTTTTTTTTTTTTTAAACTTTCGTGCATGTGAATAATTGTTATCTTATGAAAAGTGTAATATTTCTGTATATATGACTCATACCGTTAAGAGTATTTTCTCAAAAATTGAGTAAGAACTCATTAGCTTCTTGACTCATTGACTTTACACAGCGTATCTCCTGAGACCGCGTGAGTAACGCGTATGACTCACGTGTTAGCCTGTAGTAGGTCCAGCTTCGAATATTGTTACTCTACTATACAAATCAGGGTGTATCAGTTTACTATTCCACCTAAAGTTTGACTTCCTCTACGTGCAAATTAAATAAACGTGTAATGTGAACATGACTTTGAGTTATATTGGGCAGTTACGATATTCATATAAAATAGTTTTGTACCCAAATGAAAAACGTGAAACGATAACGAACACACGTATAACTATTAACTATACGTGATACGTCCATACCTATTTATTTACAGTTACATACTATATATCTCTCTCTCTCTCACACACACACACAACACATATACAATCAATTACACACTAAGTTTCTGGAGCTTTCTTTTTTTTATTGGGGGATGGATGAAACATCGATAAGCTCCGATGATCTAACCTCGAAAACCAGAGGAGGCTCACGGGAGAGCACGGGAAGATCAAGAAGAAGAAGAGGGAGTGAGAAAAGAGATAGCGTGTCTGATTTAGAAGCCGAGGAGACAAAAGGGTTTATGGATTTAGGTTTTGTTTTCACCGAAGAAGACTTGAACTCGGAGTTACCGGAGATTCTTCCCGGGTTGCGGACATTTCTCTCCCGGGAAGAACAGAAAAGAACAGAGGAGTCGTCGGTTCGGAGACCATATTTGTCGGAGACTTGGGACTTTAACAGTGATAATTGGAGTGGTAGAACAGATGAAGAGTCAATGGTGATTGATTTTACAATGGCTAAGTCATGTGGTGAGAACAACATGAAGGAGAGTCTAAAATGGTGGGCTCGTTCTGTAGCTTCTAATCTCAAATAAAGAACCAATCTTGTTTACCATTATTTTATTATTTTATACCAGGGCTGTCAGTAATTAACATTATTAAATAACCTTTTCGAGTGGAAAATTGATAATAATCTTCTAACCGTATATTTTTTTTATTTAATTTACGAATTTATTTTCTTTACCTTTTCTATATTATGATATATTAGATTTGTGAGACTCAAAAAACTTTCTTACAATTTTATTTTTATCTCTCAAATGATATTTTTCTGTTGGTATCGCTGCATTTTAATACTAATGATCCTAGAGAGTCATAAGAATTCAATATTTATGAGTGACCATTTTTTACTCTTAACGTGCCCCATCTTTTGATTTATTTAAAAAACAAAGCTTTCAACGCAATTATGAAATGAACTTCTAGCTACTGCCCTTAAAAGAATATCAAAGATTGATGCCTTTTCCTTTTACAAAATCTAAGAAACTTTTTGAATACAAAACTCAACTATTTATATCATAATACATGTTTCATTCACCAACAAATCATTAGTCCCATAAAACTAATGAGACAACTCTACAGATTCAACCAAATTCAACATAACATTATAGGAACATCAGCAATACCTAAAGAAACATCAATGAGAAAGAATATGCTTCAATTTAAGAGAAAAAAGTTTTACAATGACAAATTATTGTCAATTAGATTTAAAAGAACATATATTTGGTGTTTTGGTGAGGCATCTACGTATGTGACTTTTCATAGGACAAAGATCAACATGAAGCAACTTCTTCTTCTTGTATGCTTCTGTTATATCAATCTTATGCTTTTATCAAAACATGAGCTATAAATTTAAGGGCGATCTTGCTGCAAATTACATTTCCCAAATCACAATATATATTAGAATCATATCCAATTGCATCTACAGATATATTTCAACTATAAATACCAACAAATATTGTTGTATCAAAACACCAACCTATAATTAATAATAATAAATAAATAAATAAAACACAACAATTTGAAACAATGATTTGTAACCGATTCTTGTAGAAATTTAGAAGTATAATTAAACAATAAAAATTTAGTGAAGTCACTAATCAAACAATAAAAAAGGGAGTAGAAAATTATAAGTTTAACGGCTTATCAAAATATAAAATAAAATGAGGAAGATGAAACAAAACAAACCAGATGATGTTTGAGTGTAAATCTATGGCCATGTTACTACATTTTATATGAGTTTTATACCTTTTTGAAGTTAAATTAATCAATTAATAATTTTGTTGCAAATACAGAAATCGATTCAGTGACAAGAAGAGAACAATGTTAAGAAGATATATGAAAGGTATCCACATAAAGCAAATCTCAAATCATTATTCTATTGAAATTTACAAAAAAGTAATAAGAGAAATAGGTTGATAGTCAAAATTAATTACCTAGATCAACACATCGAAGATATGATCAATGCATGTATAAGATGAAAAACCGACACCAAACAGAGGTTGGATAAGGAAATCAATAAATAAACCAGTCATATTTAAACGAAGATGGTTAATCAACGAAGACTAATAAATCGAAAAAAAAAATTCAGATTTTTTAAATCTCGGAGGTGTGAAACAATAGTCAGAGAAACATTACTCAGAGAAACAAAATCTATTTTCAAGATCCAGAGAAATCTATATATATAAACAAAGAGGTGTGAAAAAATAACAGGTGCGAAAATTTTAAGCTATGGGTACGACGAATAAACACAATTGTTGGGTATAAAACTTTGCAACTTTTGGGATTTATTAACAAATATAAACAGTTAGATGACATAACGGAAACAATCTAATCCATTAAAACGATGATCTCAGCAACCATAGAAAGTGGGTTTGAGCAACTAATTAACGAAGAGGTAATAACAATTAATACCTTTAGATGATAATGGCTAAGAAAATTTAAAGTCAAATAGAATTGGAAAAAACAAAATTTGAAGAAACAATTGTTTCAGGAAAATAACTTTGTAAATGAAATAAAGTAAAACAATCAATAGTTTTTTTAATAAAAACAAAGAGCTGTAGAATATTTATATATGGAACAAAAGGGTGTGACGGTGAAATATTGCATTGATTAAATTACAGGGGTTTTTATGAAAAGACACATCATTTTAAAAAGACACATTTAAAAAACACATCATTTTAAAAAGACACATTTTTAGCTTTTATATATTAAGAGATTAAACAGTAACGTTTAGATCAAATGAAAAACAATCTGAACCGTTATATTCAAAAGATGACATCAGCAGTAAACAAAAAGTGGGTTTGCTATTATATATAGATTACTATTGTCTTCTCTTGTGAATGTAAAAGCTTAAAATGAGTGAACTTGAGCAGAGTTGAAAACTCGACCATCATCTCCCATTGGATTTCTAAATCATATCACCAAGCTTCCTCTAAAATATAGTTTCCACACTCTGTAATAGACATGACATACGTACCTAACTTCTCGTTACACCTTCTTTCGAAAGAACCTTGATTTAATTCTACGCAATCAAGCAAAAAAGGGAGATTAAGAAAAAAGAAAAAAAAGCTCCGTTGCCGGGACTCGAACCCGGGTCTCTCGGGTGAGAGCCGAGTATCCTGACCAGCTAGACTACAACGGATTGTTGATTGTTTTGGTCATCTAACATTTTTATATAAACATTTAGATAACAAGTTTGCGTCACAAGTCATTCCAGATTTCCAAGGTCCATGTCTTATTTATCAAAGTTTTTTCAGTTAAAAACGTTAAATCATGCATTAATTCTTCATTACTTATATAAGAAACTGATGTATCACTTATTAAATACACATAAAATATACAGCATTATTTATTTAAAAACATGTAAAGGTAACAGTTTTTCTTCTTACTACTTTTAGATAGTTTATCAAAAATAAGCATGAAACTATTAATTTAATAAGAAAAAGGAATAAATTGGTTTTCTACAAAATTAGAGAAAATCATCATAATTATAAAAGAATACATTCACAAATTTTGAAACTAATTTAGTTGATGTAAATTACTTGAAAAATATGGATGTAAAAAACATGCATAAATATAATTATAATTATAGAAGGATGGTAATTTCTTGAGATTCCTGACAGATTTATATGATCTAGGTATTTTTATTTTAACACAGGCATAAATAAAAGATATAGAAGATTCTGGTTCGGTCATGGAGATCGGCAACAATCGACGAACGACAAAGCAGAAGAACAGAAGCTATCTCTTCTGGTGTGTAATTTGTTGCCAAGTACCTCTCTCCATACCCAAACTTCTTCTTTAAGGTTTTTATTTCGTGGCTATTCTCTTTTTTATTCAACCTTTTTTTTTGCCTTGCGTTTTACTCTTCCCATAGATTAAAAAAAACTGAGATTCCTCAACAACTATGTTAGCTTCACTTAGAATTAAATTGATCTGTCTGGATTTCTCCACACTTTTTTCCACCAATTGTTATATTTTATTGTTTGGCTCAATAAATCCTTAATTGGTTCCCTTACATCGAGAGAGCTCTTGATTAATTTTTGCATTTCCCTAATAGTATATGAGCTGAGAGAAGAGAGAGAGAGATCGTGTAGATTAATGGGGAAACAAGGAACACCAAGAAGTCCTCGACCTGAAACCGTAGATAAAGAAGAGAAATTTGGGAGGAGAAGTTTGGATTCTTTATCTGGAAATGATCTGTTACTTGGTAGAAGGATATATGGAAGTGAAGTTTCCAAGGCTCAAGGATCTAAACATGATGATCAAAGCAGTGGAAGTAGCAACAAGTTTAGTTACTCTTGGAAGAAGCAACATTCATGGCTTCGTAGGAACTTCAAGTCTATAGTTCTGATGATCTCAGTCACCGGTTTCATTTTCTGTATCGATTCAATCATGGTTTCGATCTTTCGTTCAGATAGTAGTGCCCCTGCTGTGCAAGACATTTCAAGGTTGAGCAATGTCACCCTGCATAAGGTTTGAAAAAACAATTTATCTTCTTTATACGTACAGGCTCCATTAATTGTTATTGCTTCTTATCGGGTTGTATTCCCTTTTGCGTGTTTTGTAAACAAAGAATGATGGAGCTCAAGATGCTTCCTCACCAGTGCAAATGTATAGCCGTCTTCTAAACTTAGCTTCGGTTTCTCTTGCAAAGGTTAGTGAAAATGTAAAATATTAGATTTGTTATATATGTGTTTGAATCTTTATTAATCTTGTTTTCCATTTGTGTTACAAGAATGAGTTCAAACCCGATGCACCAAATTTCCGGGAGGAACGATCTTCAAAGTCATCACAGTGGAAGCCTTGTGCTGATGATAACAAAGCAGCTGTGGCATTAGAGAGGTCTAGAGAATTAAACAATGGTTACGTCATGGTTAGTGCAAATGGTGGCCTTAATCAACAGCGTGTGGCTGTAAGTATATTACCAAACTAATAATTAGATTTTTGATTCATCAAGAAAGTATGTATATATGTAGTGATTGTGTTAGTTTCTTGCAGATCTGTAATGCTGTTGCAGTTGCTGCCTTGCTCAACGCGACACTTGTTCTTCCTCGGTTTCTTTACAGCAATGTATGGAAAGATCCTAGGTATCTCAAACTCATCAAGACTTCAAAACTCATATTAAGACTTTTCTTGCTGATTACTTGATTTTGAGTACATTGCAGCCAATTCGGTGATATATACCAAGAAGATAGTTTTATCGAGTATTTGAAAGATGAGGTGAATATAGTGAAGGATCTTCCTCAACATCTAAAATCTACTGATAACAAGAATCTTAGCTTGGTATGTTTTTGCATTCTCTCTTAATCTTCTCCAGTTTAATGTATTGGAGTTTGCAAAATCATAATGTCTGTTTATTTCTTCATAGGTTACTGACACAGAGCTTGTAAAAGAGGCAAAGCCAGTCGATTACATTGAGCACGTTCTTCCATTGTTAAAGAAGTATGGAATGGTCCATCTTTTTGGATACGGGAATCGCCTCGGATTTGATCCATTGCCTTTTGATGTTCAGGTACAGATATATAAGATGATGCACATAGTTAGAGTACTCAATTTGGTTCTTAGAAATGATATGTTTTCTTTCTTGGTTCTTAGAGATTACGATGTAAATGCAACTTTCACGCGCTGAAATTCGCGCCCAAGATTCAAGAAGCAGGATCTCTATTGGTGAAACGGATAAGAAGATTCAAAACATCGCATAGCAGATTGGGAGAAGCATTGTTTAATGAATCCAAGGCAAAAAATACTGTCAAAGGAGAAGAAAACCCATTAAAGTATCTCGCTTTACATTTAAGGTTTGAGGAAGACATGGTTGCTTACTCTCTCTGCGATTTTGGAGGAGGAGAAATCGAACGTAAAGAGCTTCAGGTATACCGAGAAGAGCATTTCCCTCTTCTACTCAAACGTTTGAAGAAATCCAAGTAAGAAACAATACAAAGAACAACTCTTCATTTTCCCTCTTCAATGTTCTTTTAACCGAATCAAGTTTTGTCTCTTATTTTTAAGGTCTGTTTCTCCGGAAGAGTTGAGAAAAACGGGTAAGTGTCCATTAACACCAGAGGAAGCAACTTTAGTTCTTGCTGGTCTTGGATTCAAAAGAGGAACATCTATATACTTGGCTGGTTCTCAAATCTATGGAGGCTCTTCTCGTATGCTACCTTTAACAAGACTATACCCGAATATCGTGACCAAAGAAACTCTCCTTACACCTCAAGAACTTGCGCCATTTAAGAACTTCTCTTCTCAGGTAAAAGTTTTAACAATCTCAAACTTACTTTTTCTCAACTTTCTCTGTTCTGCCCGAACTTATTCAATGTTTCGGGATCTGTTTTGCAGCTAGCTGCTCTGGATTTCATAGCTTGTGCAGCATCAGATGTGTTTGCTATGACTGATTCTGGGAGTCAACTATCTTCCTTAGTGTCTGGATTTAGAACATACTACGGGAATGGTCAGGCGCCAACATTGAGGCCTAACAAGAAGAGGCTTGCTGCAATCTTATCAGACAGCGAAACAATTAAGTGGAAGATCTTCGAAGATCGTGTGAGAAAAATGGTAGAAGAAGGTCAGAAGTTTCGTCTTAGACCTTACGGACGCAGCATTTATAGACAGCCGAGATGTCCCGAGTGTATGTGTAAATTTTGATCCTTGAAATTAAAACAATAGTGTTTGGTCTGAAATTTTCCGTTAGTACAAAAAAGAATGAAGGCACTGTATATCATTGGTTCTAAGTTTGTACTCGCTATGAAACATTGAACTAGAACCTCTATAGAATTTCTTGCTACAAGAATCACAACATATAACAGCATCGTCCTGGCTATGTCTTAACTTCTTCTCTCCAATTTCCTCTCGGAAGATCTCCGTCCTTCCACCTCTCGTCTCCGTTGTTGCCTGTATGGTTATATAAAAAGTTTTTTTACTTTGATTAACTATCAAATGATCAACTCGGACTCATCCACTGAGGAGAAGCTAAATATTCTATACATTTATGAATTAAACTATAGAAAGTACAACTTACGCAAAAGCTGCGTATCCAGAGCCAGCACTTGCAGCAGATACAAGAGATGCATTAGAGCGAGAATCCTGAGTCCCAGCTGCTAGAGGAGGATTCTTTACGTCCCCATCAACCTGATTATCATAAACACATAAATGAAATAAGCAAAGAACTAAGTACGCCGGAATCATCAGAGTCTCATTCTAGATATTTGATCTGATAACAAAGTCAAACCTTATCCCATTTGGATTTCTTGTTCGGTCTACCATCACGAGCAGCGATTTCAGTTGGTACAGAAGGCAATCCACTAGTAACTAAAGCTGGAATACCTGAAAAAAATTCCCAATTCCAAAAATCCATCAAATCTTGCAGAGTTGAAGCTGAGATATATACAACAAACCAAACTGATACCTACTTATTTATACACACCTGGAATGGGGATGTTAGGCTTTTGTGCAACAAAAACCGCCACAGGTTGAGCACCAGCAGAAACGAAGTCAAGCTTTTGGTTCTTCTTGCTTTCTTGCTCCTTCCTTTCTCTCTCGTGCCTCATGTCAACTTCTGTTATTAACACATAGCTAAGGATTATTATAAATCATGAAATATGCAGGACGAGGAATATGGTAAATAACTAGCGACCCTTGTCTCTATTTTACATGGTGAAATACTAAGTTATAATGAGTGCATAATACTGAACTGAGTATCAAAACTATAGCAAAAATATATCAAAGATGCTTCATACTGACACAAGAGACTTCAAGGAGAGGAACAATGGAAGAAATAGATTCAGCTTGCTCTTCTTAATCTTACTATAAAAGAGAACAAAAAAGGAAGAAGCTACTATAAAGTGGAGTTACCTATTGCATCGCAGAAGTCACTTGGGTCATATCCATTGGGGTCGAATACATCTTTACTGAAACAGGAACCTGTCTGATCAATGTCTTGGTAACTTACAGCATGTAATAGGAAGTCTGGATTCCTGTATTCCTTTCTATTCCGCACTTCTGCATTGAAACTCTTCCCCATCTTTTTAAGGCTCAGAAACTTATCTATTTTCCTCTGCAAACCCATACAAAAATATGTATCAGACCAAGTCACCTCAAGTTGAGGTCCTCAACGAATACACTAAAAACTTTTACTTATTGCCTACATTCATGTCTATAAACCTCATCAAGCAAAGATTCAGTATAAATTGCAGATCGTCCCAAAACTCAAAACCATCAACTTCAATTTCTAGACTAGAACAGTAAAGCACTAAAAGGAACTTACTAGCAGCTCCACAGAGATTTAATTGGATCACAAACTAATCAGCTTAGAGAAATGTTACTTCCAACTAAAAATACAAAGAGATACCAAATAACACACTAAAGAGTTCTTATAAAGCCATTTCAATATAATCCAAAAAACAATTGCAAATCGACCCAAACCCAAAAACATAAACCTAAACTTTCAAAATGAGAACAATGAATCATCATAAAAGAAACTTACTTGCAGCTCCTCGGAGCACTTCTCCCTCGGTGGAGGCGGAAGAAACTGATCCAATAACGTATCACTACTTTCCCCTGAAGCATCATCAGCTCTGTCACCATCAGACTCACCAATCATTCGATTACTCCAGTCACCTCTCGGTGATTCATCATTATCAAGTGAACGAGGCGTCGCATGAGCACTAGAAGCTCCACCACCATCTAACAACCCCGGCGTTCTAGAATCTTCTCCTCCTCTTCCTCTCTCTTCATCCATATAATTCGCTTCTTCTACCTGATCTTCTTCGATTCGTTTTCCACTCTCTTCCTGATTTCTCTGCTCCTCTTCTTCTTCCTCTTCCTCGGCGTCTTCCATATCTTCGTCATCCTCATCACTGTAAACAGATAGTAAAGCGATTCCTTCAGACTTCTTCGGAGCCATAGGAAGCTGTTCAGATCAATTCGAGACTATGGTTAACGGAATTCGAATCCCAATCGCAAGAACGGAGTATCAATTTGGGGGGGGGGGGGGGAAGAAGGGAACTTTTTAGGGTTCTCCAAAATTGTGTATAATCGAATTGCGACCCGAACTTAAGATCCACCAAATTAGAAACCCAGTTGGGCTGTTATGTATTTTAAAAACGACATAGTTTTATTGATTGGGATTTTATTTCAAATAACGATGATATAGTTTCCACAACGTCGTCGTTTTATATATTGGACCGCTTATTTATTACTAAAAGGCCCAATAAGTAAACTTTATTATGTGCAGTGCAATGAGTCCACTTTTTAGTACAGTATATCGTGAAATTTTTTGATATTCGATAAATGCAACATCATATTATAAAATTCTCAAGTGTACCCAATAAATATGAAATATTTATATATTGTTCGTTTAAAAATTGTAATTTATAAAAGAGTCGGTTTAAAGTTAGTAGTGACTTTTGCTTATGTGTTCTTCCTTGATAATGCTTATGGATAGGGTTAAATAAAGGACACTTCAAGTCTTCAAGGAGTGTGTATTCTTTTCCGCAAGTGTAAACATAAGCACTTTGAGATATTCAAATGATAGCAACAACTCACATATAATAAGCTAGCTAATCCACAAGACTTTGTTTGCGTAAGAGTTTATATAGAAAACATGATAACGAAGAACGATATATAAAAAGTAGAAAACTAAATTTGGATAATGTACTTGACGTCAATTCGTGACCACGTTGATTTGGTTATATATAACTTTGAAATAATATTATTACTAGAAAGAACTGAACTTGTGTTTGGATTTGGTCGGCGATGTGAAGTCCACGAACTTGTGTAAGCACCAACTCAGCAACACGTGTTACCCACAAATACCATTTCGTACATTTCTAATTCATACTGTTATTTTTAGGTTGTCACAACGAAAAGGTTATTTAAAATTTGTAGTTAGATGTGCGATAAGAATGGATAAGCCGAGCAAAAAAGGTAGGGATGTTGTTAAAATATCTATGATGGCTATTATGATCTGCTGATCTAATACCTTTTGGTACTGCTGATAAGCTCTCTCTATTATCGGACGTCATGCTCGAAACAATGGTTTCAAATCATCGTCAACTTGGATTTGCTAGTCGTCGACACCATTACTAGATTTAAATAACCGTTTTTGCTCGAGTTGCAAACATTCCAATATCTTATCAAGAAAACACGTCATTTGCGATTCCGAGTAATATCATAAAATGGTCGCAAAACACCTACTTCGTGACTACTTAACGACTATAACATATGATCGCTAAAAAATGGTCGCTAAATATATTGGTCCTAAAATAAAATCGCAAATTTACGACCATTTTATGACTGCAAAATGTAGTCGTTAATAAGCAACTTTTAATAATCAGACGTAATACTTCTTTCAGTTACAATACAGTCACAAATGAATGTTTAAATTTGCGACTAATTTAAGACTCAATATATACAGTCGGAAAGTAGTTTAGTATTGGAACCACTGTGCAACTAATTTGGTTGTATATTGAAATTGAAATAATCGCAACTTGATGATATTTTAGCATCCAAAAATCTTGTTTTATTGACCTAATTTGATTACTAATCTAAATAAATTATGAAATAAAACATTTAAAACCCAAATAATTAAGATAAATATCATCCTAATCATATATTAACAAAGAAACCATCTTCCTAATCATACAATAATCATCCTAATTGTTCATAAGTCATAACGAAAATGTACACCAAACGTTGACATAAAAACACATCGAAAGTTAAGCATATCATGTAAATAACTTCATTTTTAAGCTGAATAAACTTCATACTATATAATATAGCAAATCAATTTTTTAAACACTGTTGTCTTGGTGTATCGCGTGCTAATTAAGTTAGTTAACTCTTTATTTGAATATATATTGATGCTTTATTAGATATCTTATAGTACAAGAATTCATTATACACACGTGTAAATATGCTGGCAAATATAAAGACGGATTAGTGATAAAAAAAAAAAAAAAAAGAAACTCCCATAAATTATATTCAGACCATATCAAATTGTAGCAAAGCACATGTAATAAACTAATAATAATTCAAACCAAAAACCGTTATAAAACAGGACAAAAAATTAGGTAGGCCAAACATTAACAATAACAACCGTCCAAAAACAACCAAATCCTATTTTATAATTTTTTCATTCTGTTTCTTATTCGTCGTTTACACGTTCGGCCAACCAACCAAACAAGCAAGGAGGATAGGAGACTCAAACGGAAGAAACAAACTAACCAACCAAAACCCCAAATTAATAATACAAAACCCCAAACCAATCAAAACTTCTTTCTTTGGTCACGGATGGCTCAAGCCTTGGCTCATTTACCACCACTGGTGGTCATCACCACCGCCGTCCTAGAGCCCCCACCGCCACCACCACCGCAGCCAAAACCGTATGCTCTACGATACGTGGCGGATCTTCTTGGCCGGATCGGTATACAGGGAACAGACAAAGATGGTAACAGCAGCCCACAGAGTCCGAGGAGTCCTAGGAGCCCCAGAAACAACATCCTCATGGGGAAGTACGAGCTAGGGAAACTTCTCGGCCACGGAAGCTTTGCTAAGGTTTATTTAGCTCAAAACATAAAATCCGGAGATAAAGTCGCCATTAAAGTTATTGACAAGGAGAAGATCATGAAGAGCGGTTTGGTTGCTCATATTAAACGGGAAATCTCGATCCTCCGCCGTGTTCGTCACCCTTACATCGTTCACCTATTCGAGGTCATGGCGACGAAGACAAAGATTTACTTCGTGATGGAGTATGTCCGAGGCGGTGAGTTATTTAACGCGGTGGCTAAAGGTAGATTGCCGGAGGAAACGGCTCGAAGATATTTCCAGCAGCTGATCTCCTCTGTCTCGTTCTGCCATGGACGCGGTGTTTACCACCGTGACCTTAAGCCGGAGAATCTTCTTTTAGACGACAAAGGGAACCTTAAAGTCTCTGACTTTGGTCTCAGTGCGGTGGCAGAGCAGCTTAGACAGGACGGGCTCTGCCACACGTTTTGCGGGACTCCAGCCTATATTGCACCCGAGGTTTTGACTCGAAAAGGGTATGACGCAGCCAAAGCTGATGTTTGGTCTTGTGGAGTGATCTTGTTCGTGTTGATGGCTGGTCACATTCCTTTCTACGACAAGAACATAATGGTTATGTACAAAAAGATTTACAAAGGAGAGTTCCGGTGTCCTCGTTGGTTTTCATCTGATCTTGTTCGGTTGTTGACTCGGCTTCTTGATACGAATCCAGATACTCGGATTACTATACCCGAGATCATGAAGAACAGATGGTTCAAAAAAGGTTTCAAACATATCAAGTTCTATATTGAAGATGATAAATTGTGTAGGGAAGATGAAGATGAGGAGGAAGAGGCATCATCGTCTGGCCGGTCTTCGACAGTTTCAGAGAGCGATGCAGAGTTTGATGTGAAGCGTATGGGGATAGGGTCAATGCCAAGACCCGCGAGTTTAAACGCGTTTGACATTATATCTTTCTCTTCCGGGTTTGATCTGTCTGGTTTGTTTGAGGAAGAAGGAGGAGAAGGGACCAGGTTTATATCAGGAGCTCCTGTTTCAAAGATCATATCAAAGCTTGAAGAGATTGCAAAAGTGGTGAGCTTTACAGTGAGGAAGAAAGAATGGAGTCTGAGATTAGAAGGATGCAGAGAAGGAGCAAAAGGGCCTTTGACAATTGGGGCTGAGATATTTGAGCTGACTTCATCTCTAGTGGTGGTGGAGGTGAAGAAGAAAGGAGGAGACAGAGAAGAGTATGAAGAGTTTTGCAACAAGGAACTCAGACCGGAGCTGGAGAAACTAAAACACGGAGAAGTTGTAGTAGAAGAAGCATTGTATATGCCATCTGATAAGTGATAATTAATAGTAAGACAAATGGAAGGCTGAGAACAAGAATATACACTACATTCTTTTGTTACTATTGATTATTTATTCGTTATTCTTGTTCTATGTTTATGTAAAGTGTGTCTGTGTATATATAAGTGTGTAATGTGAGTGATAGGAAGGTGAGAGAAGAAAACAAGCAAAATTTGAGTGAGATATCATGCAATTTAGTTGATTTTTGCTGGTCATAGAGCCAATTTTGGTTGATTGCTCATAATATAGTTTGTATATATATGTAAAGCAAGAGATGAGCTTAATGGAAATTGTATCTCAGTCTCAGCCTTCCTTTAGTTAACTGTTTTCTTCATCCTGAGCTTTACTATTTGGCTAATTAGAGTTAGTACTCTTTGTGACATTTTTCATTAGATGCAGATTAAAACACCTCAATGAATAAAAACAAGTCAGTTAAGAAAGTGAAAATTCAAGAGTGTGATCATAAATTTAAGTTAGTAAGAGAAGCTTTTAATCTGAATCGGTTTAGAGCATTTTTACCAAGAACTCAGGTTCATCTATCAGGTAAACTCACAAATATTGAAGCTGCACATGTATATCAGTCAAGAGTGTATATTTCATAAGGTTCATAAACCAATCACACTAGTGCTAATAGAACTGAACCGTATGTATAAAGTATAAACCTGATGTCCAGGGGAAGCCATGTCTTAAGAGAAGCGTCAAGCCCAAGTTTTGGATTGATGAGACGTGTGAGCAATCAGTTCCTGCAATAGAATGAAGTACGTAAATACAAAATAAGGCTAGCTGATTCTTTCTTAAGCATATTCTATATGCGAAAATGAGAGATGCATACTTCAGAATACCGCATATGATCTCTGTGCATATAGGAAGTCTTAACAATAGTTTCCCACTTGGTAACATCTCTGTAGTTTTCTGTAAGATCCTGCTTTTGGAGGTTGAATGAATATCTACGTGAAGGGATCTGAGAGGCTACTGAAGGCAGATTATGACAAAGCCAAGATTCAGAAGGCTTTTTGGGAGATGGTGGTGCAAGAAGTGACCAATCTGAACCACTATTGATCTTTTCTAACTCATCTCCATTCACCATTTCACCACTTCTTCTGATACTTATATCTTCAAAAGCTTCAAGGTCAGGATTGCCGTCTTTTTTCTTTCTTGCCATGTCTGCTTCTTCTGGAAAGATCATGACATTTGAGTTACGCTGATCTTCAGTCATGGGATCATTCTCTGTGTCAACATATACTGTCTTCTCCAAGAGTGAGCTGGTGGAATCATTGCTTTTTTGGTAGAGTAACTCCTGAGACATGCTTATGTTTCTAGTATGCTTGCTCAGCCTGTTAGCTCGCAGGTTCTCGGTTTCCTTACGAGTCTCAGGGAAACCCACAGGGTGGAAAGGAGAACTGTTGCCTGTACTGCGGAAAGGTGACATACACCGAGTGTGTCTGTAAGGAGATGAAGACCTGTTTGCAGCAGAAAGCAAGTTTGATTCAGAGTTGAACTTCTTCCCAATGCTTTGATGAACCGGTGACTGAACTTTACCACTCAACTTGTGCTTAGAAACTGAATCAAGAGCCAGCTGGAAAAATGTAAAAGAGCTAAACGTCAGTGAGTTCCTAATAGTATCTATAAGGGACTAATAGGAGTTCAAAGGACAGGAGTGGAACCTTTTTTACAGTTTGGAATCGAGATTTAAGTTGAGAAACCTTGCTTGACTTCACTAGATCATGACTTGAGGATGTTACTGGAGAGTTGTGCTTGGCTTTTAAACCAGGTACTGTATTCAACATGCTTAGAGACTCTTTAAAGCACAATTGTGGCAACATCCCACAACCTCTCTTTGAAATATAGGCATACTCAGAAGCTACTTCCTCATCCACAATGCTTTCTTCATCATCAATGTCTTGGTGGTAATAATAAGATGGGACTATAGACTCGTCATCATACCTATTAGGAGTTTGTTGCTTCTCCCCCGGTACTAACTCTCTTACCTGTATCGTTGGCTCAGGCATAAAACTCGATGGTTTGCGATTGGAAGCATAATGAGACTGCTCCACAGTCATGGCTTTGGCAGCTGGTAAAAACCGACTCATCATGAAATCCCGAGATTGAGTATCCTCAGAAAGTTTTAGTGGTTTCTTGGCCTCAACACCACTATATCCACTCACACCACTTATGATGCTGTTGTTAAAAGAAAACGAGTCTTTTGGAGAAAGTGTATCACGAGCATCAGAAAACACATCATCTTCATCATCCTCTGGTTCTTCAACTTGTTTACCCTTTGAACTCTGCAGTCTTGTCATGTTTCCATCAATGGCTTTACCCGGTGGAAGACATGGTTTAAGGACTTCTTCTTCTTGGGTCAAGTCACAGACTTGTGGTCTCAAATCATTGCCCCTTAATCTCCCAGGAGCTTGCTCCCAAGTGAAAGGAACAGAGACAGGTTCAGTAAACTGATCTAAACCCATCATCTCAGGGACAAGAACTGAAACGGAAGGACTTTCACTTGTCTTGGAGTCATAATCAATGAAGTTATTACTCTTGTTCCTACGAACAGAGACGGCTGTTGTGTTCTGCATCCGCCTTGTTGAAAGAAGAGGAGCGTTAAAGTTCAGTTTCCTCTCCGTCATAGCAAGCAGTGTTCAGTTAAGTTCTTAGGATATGGCTCACAGACCAATGGAACTCATTGATATACACCAGTTTACTAGAACAGATCTGACAAAAAAAAAAAAAAAACCAAACATAACAATGTTCAGTAATCTTGAATTATGTCCAAACAAAAACCACAAAATGTGAAGAAGTTGGTGGAAACAAACAAACAAAAAAGATTTTTGTTTTGTTTTACTACTAGAAACTTCAATTTAATAAAATAAATATATTTACGCAACACCGCATAATAAATTTGAAAATCTAGCAATAATATCAAAAATTCAGTCTCCCCGTGACATCATCAATCATTATAAAGGATTTGCACAATTGAGTGAGAGTACTAGACACAATTAGGAATATTTAAACGATTGCATAATCGATGTAATTAAGCAGAGTAATAGTAGAATTATAATCAATCATCAACCAAATTCCAGGAAAACAAAAAGCCTAGAACTAGAAGCTACAAGGATTGAGAATAACGTTACCGGGAAGAAAAGCACAGAGATCGAAAGAAGCAAGAATAGAAAGTAAACTAACTTGCTAGGAAGAGAGACGCTTGAGAAAAAGGAGAGGAAGAGGCTTGAGAGTTAAAACTTAAAAAAGGAGACTGAAGACTTGAGTAAACGTAACAGAGAGAGAAGGGTAAGCTTTTTCTTTCTTTCTTTCTTTCTTTTTTTGTGTGAGTATTGGTGTGCCGTGAAGATGACGGAGAGAGAGAGGAAGATGAAGATGAAGTTTAGTCACGAGGTGATTGGTGCATTTGGACTCTTCTTCTTCTTCTTTCTTTCACTTAGCTCTTCCTTCTTCTTTACTTGTATTGGTCAAAGATCTTCTTTGCCTTTATATGCACATTTAATAGAGGGTGGCCAAGAGGGTATTTAACCACATTTAAACCGGAACAAACCAAAATTCAGACATTTCTTGTGACCGAGACCGACCTTATATAATTGAGCACTTATTAGTACCGTACCATATTGAACATAGTATTATATATAAAGGAATACATTTCTTTATAATACTCACTTCACTTGTTAATTTGCATTTTTCGTGGGAATGATTTTTAAGGATGTGGACCGACAGATTAGAGAATGATGGAAGCAAAGAATTTTTGGAGCAACCTCCTAAAATCAAATCATTTTCAATCATTTAAAGTTTTTATAATAAGGATCGGTTGGATAATTTAAGAATGATCACTCCTAATGAATATAAAACTTGGTTATTTCAATCAATATATATACCTTTACTTTGGACCAGAGAGTAGTCTTTTCTTTTTCCTCTTCTAATAAAAGTGTACACTTGTCTTCATAACTTCGGATAGCTTTGGATATTGTTACACAAGTAATTACATATATAAAGTTTTGACATTTGATATGCAAAATTTGTATATTTTTTCTAATAGTTATCTCTACTATAGAGAAAAAGAACCAACCAAAACAGTAACATTTTCATCACACGAGAGAGGTTAGTAAAGTTTTTGTTTTTGTGTGTGTGTGTGTTTAGTATAAAGGGATAAAACGATTGGCTAACTAAACAAACACTCGTAATCAGCAGAGGCTGCTTTCAAACACCGTTGCGACGTTGCCCCCCTCATTAACGTATTTGCATGCTAATAAGTGCCAAATGCCAATTATTGATTTTTAATTTTTTTTTTGTTTAGCCAACTATTGATTTTTTTTTTTGTTGCTATTACTAAATCTTAAAAAATAAAATCAAAAGTAAGTTAGACAAGATGAAATTAAGCTATTAGAAATTTAGTAACTATTTTTTTTTCTCTCTCTTTTATTAAGAGTGATTTTTCATTCATTTGTTTTAGATAACCCTATGACTATTCTCTTTCTCTATTTTTCTATCATTCTCTTAATTTCAGTTTTGTCCATTATCATATAATCCAATATAATCACTCAAAAATCAAATAGCCTAGACTAATTTCTTCAGACATAATAATTAAACACAGTAAAAGTCAAAAAGCTATTATCATCATGCAATGGAATCCCATACAGCAATTACTAATGAGAATTAAGGGTTGAATGTTTTTTGACAACTTGGTTTCGTTTTATATTTTACAACATTTTAGTCATATTGAACTATATAATACTTTTTTCTTACTTTTTTTTTTGGTTTAAAGAACTATAATACTTGTTGTAGTTTCTAGGTACGTACTTTAGATTTTTAAGTTTGAATCAAACAAATTATAGCACCAACCGGTGATGTCACATATGGATCCAAATATGTTTGATCATGTACTTATTTTTGTTTTTGATTTTGACAAAAGAAACAACTTTTATTTTGGTCAAATCTTATTGAACTTGAATATACGTTGTTACAGTTTTTTTGGTGCTTAGAACTTGAACAAGAGTGATTAGTTAGCAAGTAATAACAAATCATAACCACAAACCCCATCATGTCAATATCTATATCTAGATATGATGAGGATGTGGTTAGCATTTGTTATGCCATCCCAATAGATAATTATTATCTGTCATCCTTAAAACCACATCCCACTTTGTTTATAAATGCACCACTAATATTTTCAATGGACTGGATTTGACAACTTAACAATTATCCTAATAGAAACAAATTAATTTTAAAACTTGACCCAATTAAGGTCTCGAATATGCTATGCAACGAAGTCATATTTTTTTTACTTCCTACGATCCTCATATAGAAAAAATTGTTCACAGGTACAGAGAACAAAATCCAAGATAGCATTTTCAGATGTGAACCAAAAATTAACGAAATAAAACAAATAAAAGTGTCTTTTTAATTAAGCAGAGAGATAGGGAAACGAAGATTATAATAAGATCACTGAACCAAAAAAAGCTTTTAAGAAACGATTTAGTTCTGCTCTTGAGCTTCTGCTGCCTCCTTCTCTTCATTGGCTGCAGCCATTAGTTCATCAAACTTCTCAGACTTTCCAAGTGTGATCTCGATCTACAAAGTTTTAAAACCACAAATTTATCTCACAATGTAGCACTTCCAATTTCACAGGACAAAAAATCCATAGAATGAAGCTTCAAATCCCCACAGCCTAAGTAATTTCATGAATAAATTTGTGAAAGTTGAAATTGATATTCTTCAAAAAGATACCTTGGCTTTCTGCACAGGACGACCCCTTGAATCATCCTTGATATCCACAGTCGAGGTCATGATCTCTGTAAGACGAAGAAATTTCCAGATTAGCCAAACTTAGTCACTGAATCTTTCAAATATCATCTGTTAACACAAGCTCAATCAAAATTAAGAAGATCTTACTCTTTTCAACAGCAAAGCCATTGTTCTTCAATATCTCAGCGACAGTAACAACAGTAGCAATGGCTGCACATTACACAAATCAATGTTTTATGAGAAAAACACAGAACAAATCTCTTCCAATAAAGAAAGCTCAGATAAGATAAGACAAGGTCACATAGATTCTATCTCATGACAATAAAAGGAAACTGCTTTTCTAGAATCTTCGAATTTAATGAACTCAGTTACATTGGTTAAACCATACATTAAATCCTTGATTCACAAACAAGAATCATAAACAGAGAAGCCAGCATTACCCATTCCAAGAGCAGACAATTCGACATCAGTGTACTGCTGCATGTACCTCTGTTCCAAAAAACCAAACAATGTCAGTTAATCAACCTCAGGAGCAAAACAATGTTCATAAATCTAAGGAACAAACATTCATAAAAGAGCCACACAACAAACAGAGAGCAGTAGCAAAAACCCATTTACACAGTTTAAACTGTTACTATGAATAGAGATAAACTCATAAAAGTCTATACTTTACATGAACAATCACACTATCACACTAATTCCAAGACATAGAGACTCAGAACAGGAACAGCTCGAATACATAGATTTTAACCTAAATACGAATCAATCAACACTCTCATTCAAAAGGGTTTTTAAATTTACCTTGGCGAGATTGACGTAGAAGAACAATGGTTTCTTAGTGTTGGAAACCTGAATCCGATTCTTCTTCTGGGTATCAACGGCCAAGTTCATGTTGTTCACTCCTTCCGTGATCTCTTCCATTGAAAGCTAATTCGTAAATCAAAAACTTCTCTTTTCGAATTTAGATTTCTCTCTCACTGTGTGTCTCAGAAACGATGAAATTGAAGAGAAAGAGACGACGATGAAAGCTTCTCTCCCGTATGAACCAAACCCCCAGAAAACCCTAACTCGAATCCCCAACCGACGTCGTTTCGGCACAACCTCTAACTAATGGGCTAGTCTCCGGCCCAAACGGCCCGATTCAGAGAGTGACTGATTTTTTTTATTTTTTTTGTGTGTGTGAAAATAATTGGAAATTTTAATTCTGCGATGAGCAGAATCGGCGTTATCCGATCAGATCGTTGAATTGAATCTTCGAGAAGAACTCAAACTCAAACTCGCCGGAGAAGAAGAAGAAGAAGAAGCTATGCCGATGTTCAAAGCTCCGTTCAACGGCTACTCTGTGAAATTCAGTCCATTCTACGAGTCACGCCTCGCCGTCGCTACAGCTCAGAACTTCGGAATCCTCGGAAACGGCCGGATCCATGTACTCGAGCTCGCTCCTGGAGCTCCCGGAGTAACCGAATCCGTCGCTTACGATACTGCAGACGCTGTGTACGACGTCTGTTGGTCGGAGTCACATGACTCTGTACTCGTCGCCGCAATTGGTGACGGCTCAGTGAAGATTTACGACACAGCTCTTCCTCCTCCGTCTAATCCGATCCGATCATTTCAAGAGCACGGGCGTGAGGTTCACTCTGTGGATTACAATCCGACGCGGCGTGATTCGTTTCTCACTTCCTCGTGGGATGATACGGTGAAGCTTTGGGCTATGGATCGTCCCGCGAGTATCAGGACTTTTAAAGAACATGCCTATTGTGTTTATCAAGCAACTTGGAACCCTAAGCATGGTGATGTGTTTGCTTCTGCTTCTGGAGATTGTACTTTAAGGATTTGGGATGTTAGAGAACCTGGATCAACAATGATCATCCCTGCTCATGATTTTGAGTTATTGTCCTGTGATTGGAACAAGTATGATGATTGTATATTAGCTACTTCTTCAGTGGATAAGACGATTAAGGTTTGGGATGTTAGGAGTTACAGAGTTCCTTTGGCTGTGCTTAATGGCCATGGATATGCAGTGAAGAAGGTGAAGTTCTCGCCTCATCGGAGGAATTTGATAGCTTCTTGCTCGTATGATATGACTGTTTGTCTTTGGGATTACATGGTGGAAGATGCTCTGGTGGGTAGGTATGATCATCATACAGAGTTTGCTGTTGGGATAGATATGAGTGTTCTTGTTGAAGGTTTAATGGCGAGCACAGGTTGGGATGAGCTTGTTTACGTTTGGCAGCAAGGGATGGATCCAAGAGCGAGTTGATCATCATAAAGCTAAGTTTGTGATTGCAAAACACAGTTTTCCTCTTTATTTATTGTGGAATTGGTTTGGTTTTGTTCAACGAATGTAGTCGGAATAAAGTTGGGATCTTGCTTCTTAAAATGCAATGTAATTTATTAAAAATTTCGCATATGAACAAGCTTCTCTGTAGTGTATACATTAGCTTGCAACAGTAAGAGCTGATCTAATCACCTTCTTACTTCTCTTCTCGGGCGATATGGAGATATGGAGATATTGAAAACAGAGTTCAGATCTTGATCAGAGTAATGTAATTGTTAGCATGTTGCAAAACCAATTTGATATTGCAAGTGAAGAAAACTCCTCGTTTGGCTCTGAAAATGTGTAGTTATTATACTAATCTTTGAGTCTCTTCTACTAAAGCTCAACAAGCATAACACAGTCTGAAGATGGTTATAGATATTATGAAATTTGTGAATTATTGTTGCTTTACGTGAGTAGAAAAGACAATTGGGAGGTTAGTCAGGAGAACAGTCTGTGCTTTGGGTTTTGATTCTGGATCTTTGCATCTGCATTAGGATTCAAGCTTGCATTGTATCTACTATCTCTTAAGGCAACCTTTATAACATGTTTCTTTGAGCTGCTGTGTGTGTTTGAGCTAAATTTTTTGATTTTTCATGAACATCTTAACTGACCAGAAGATGCCATACCTACCATTGGTCCGTTCGGGTTCAATCCCCGTCATCAACGTTACTTGTTTCTATATGTTTTATGGGCACTTCTGAACTTTAAGAAACTTTGGTATCCATATTATCATATAGTAGTTTTGTAAGCTACTTTTAAAAAATGAGACAACACATGCACAAAGAAACATGTTAAAAAAGAAACATGTTAAAAAGAACAATAGTTAAAAATTGGTATCCATAGTATCACAGTAGTTTAGCAATAGCCTACAAAACTAAAAAGAACAACTTGCACAATAAAAGGGTTACTATCGTTGCAGATAAAAATCTTACGTAAAACACTTTCTATTCTATCAGCTCAAAAGTTAAGAAGTGAAAAAGAAGAAGTTCACACCACCAAACACCAAAATGTAAAAGAAAGAAGAATGAGAGAAAGTGAGAGAGGTCACAATGAGTCAATCACTTTCAAAAGGAAAGCAAACCCACATGATCTTGCTCCCGGATACATTGAAAACACACTTCTCTTATATTTGTATTATCCTCTTTTCTTTCTTCTTTATTAAAAACCATACAATTATATATACATATATATATATATATACATAGCGTACGTGTCCATCTAGATTCTATCATTTCAATCAAATAAGTTTTCTGAAAAATAGTCCATTATTTGTTAAGTTTTGTAGTTAAGTCTATATATGAGAGAGTTCGAGCGAAGTTAGTAAATAAAGATTTTGTACTTTTTGTGTGATATATATTCTTCGAAAAAAAGTAATGAACAACGAAAAAGGATGACCAAAGCAAGAGGATGATCTGAAATCCAAACAAGATGCGTGTATATATATATATATCATGATTCAGTGAAAAGTATCCAAACTGATAAATGTCATCTCCAAAGTTGAAACTATTTTCTTATTGGAATTGACTTTTGATGACACTTAACGACAACAAAACGAATAACAAAAGTTAACACCGATAAAGACAACAGGAAAAAGAAAGAAAAAAAAAAACACAAATTTGCTAGCATGATATAAGTTTGGTTCTAATAGTTGTTATGTGGGTTTGGAACCCGTACTAGTATAATTTACTTTTCTTTTATATAGTTTTTGTAAACTCTTCTATAATATAAAATCTGAATTGAGTAATAGTAATTAGCTCTAGATATATGTATATATCGACTATGTTGTGACTTGTGACTAATGTTTTAAAGTAATCTAGGCTTCTTAACTTAGTGAATTGTAGTAGGAAAGAGATGTGTGATATATGTGGTGATATGATATATGTATAATTTGAATGGAGAGCCCAATGATGATGCAACATGTGTCTACCCATAAGCACCCAGCCTAGCTAGATGAACGACAATGTCCTAAAACTCGAAATTAAATATATATAAAAGATAATGAAGAAGAAGAAGAAGAAGAAATAATTGAAAGCTTTATAGCGAAGAAGAGGGGTCCCCTGAAAATGCAAATAGAAGATGGATCCAAAAGGTAAAGTACTCAAATTTTTACATTATAACACACACATCGACATCGTTGGGTGCAATTATTCATTCCATCTCATTCTCATCTATCTCACAACCCCTCCTTTGTTCCCTCTCCCCACCATTCATATATGTATGCATTTATACTATATGTTAATGTGGCTTCCATCTTTTTTCTCCTTACCCTATTTGTTTGTTTATATTAAGGTATTACTCAAATGATCTTCTATACAAACATGATCTTCATTCGTATGGTTCATGTTCAAAGGAATGTTTTCCCCAACGAATATATATACCACAAGCTTTTCATTTTTATTTTGTTGGTCATATATCTATAGACATATAGTTTTTAGACTTCAAGACATAATTATATGGGCTCCTATCACAATCAAAAAGGACAACCCCACTTAGTTATATCACAATGATTATTTTATACGAGTCGCTATTTGTAGTTCCCTATACTGTTCTTATTGGTGCAACGTATTCATTCATTAAAAAAAATGAAAATTTTAAATCATCAATATGCTTTAAGGTAAAATGTTAGTTCAAAATCGAGCAATATATACCAAATAAAAAGAATAATCCAACATATATTCCTAAAACTTAGCCGCTGAAAAAGAGCAGAAAAAGAGCAACTAACCGATACCATAAAACTATATATTATACACACTCACACAAATAATATACATTATACAATAATAAAAAAGTTTACAAGACGACATCAAACTCTTAAAATAAAATAAAATAAAATAAATAAATAAACGCACCAAAAAGACATATGACTATAGTTAAATAATAAACACACATGGTCTAAATTTAGTGTTCTTCTTCAAGCTTCTCTCTTCAAGATCACTTAACCTTTTAACATCTCTCTCTCTCTCTTTTCAAGATAAGAAGAACCAAACTCTTTGAAGTTATTTATGTTCATTCACTAAACAAAAACAACAGCAAAGAGAATGAAGGAGACAATACGGTGTTGCATCGCATGCATTCTACCGTGTGGAGCTCTCGACGTGATCAGAATCGTTCATTCAAACGGACACGTGGAAGAGATCAGTGGCACCATCACGGCCAGCGAAGTCATGAAGGCTCACCCTAAGCACGTACTCAAGAAACCTTCTCCTCCACCGTCGTCCGATCACGACGAGGGTGACGTCATCTCAGCCACAAAGATCGTCGTCGTACCTCCCGAAGCTGAGCTCCAACGTGGCAAGATTTATTTCCTCATGCCCGCAGCTAAATCTGATAAAGGAAAGATCCACCGGGGGGATAAAACTAACGCAAACGCCGCGGCCGTCAAGAAGCGGTCACAGCATAATCGCCGTGAGGGTGGTGATGAGAAGAAAGTTAATAAAGATAAAAGCAACGAGACTGATTCGTTGAGCTCTGATCGGTACTTGACGGAGATATTATCGGAAAAAGTGGCGACGCAAAAAGATCGGAGGAAGGGACGCGCCGGCGTCTGGAGACCGCACTTAGAAAGCATATCGGAGATCATAAGTGAAGATTAACAAAACGTCGTCGTTTTTGTTTAATAGTTAACTTTTTTTTATCCACCATCATTTTCATTTTAAACAATCGTCAGATGTTCATTTCAATGAAAATATTCAAGAGACAAAAAAAAAAAAAAGATACTTACTTGGCATCAATTTCTTTAATCATTGTTTTAATTTTTCTTTCAAATCTACTTTTACCATTGTTAGTATATATGTTATGTATATATCTTTTAAAAAGGGTTATTTAATAATTAATAATAATTAAAAGTTGATTTTTAAGAAAATGTAATGACTCGTTCGGCCCACGATGTAATACAAAATGTAATTATTGGGGTAACAAATATGACACAGAAGGGAAACAAAAGATAGTGTATAATGGAAAAAAAAGAAAATCGTTATTTTGCTCTTAACGACTAACGATTATGGTATAGAAACGAAATAAAAAATGGGAGTTTTACATATCACTATATCAGATTGGAAAACTTGGAGGACAAGGCAGTTCCTCACTAATATTAGGATTTTCTAATTAGGGTTTCTGTATCATCATCACTGCTTCTCAGCCTCCGCTGCATCAAGAACCGTCGGACTGATTCTTTCGTAAGCAAGCCATAGGCCCATAGTTTGTTTTTCTTTCTTAAGCAAGCCATAGTAATTTTTTTTTTTTTTGGTTCTGACGTCTTATGTCTTTTACTACGATTGTTATTTATATGTTCTTTCTTTGTTCCGATGTCTTATGCAGAGGAAGTTGAGATTTTTCTCATCTTCAGCTCCGTTCCAGATTTTACAGGCTGTCTGACGTATTCTATTCGTTGCACCTATGACTTTATCTTATGGTTGGGTCGCTACGTTAGATGATCTCAACCCAAATGCATCTGGATCAAACCCTAAACAGATTCCACTACCTCCTCTTGTAAAGACTGAGTTGTCTACCCAAGAACTTAGCACCAACCACACAGTCTTCCTTAGAAGGAGCAGAAGACGACATTGCCACGTCCCATACAATGTCGGTTTGGTTCGTGGGCAGAGAAACAAATGAAGGCAGAGGAATCACCTTGGGGTTAGATTTGGAAGCAAAGGGTTGGTAAAGGTCGCTCATACATAACGAACGGTCATATTCGTGGAGAAAAGTCCTCATCCATGAGAACTACCAATCTGTCTTGAATTAACGAGCTCTTAAGGAAAGGTTTTATTGGGAACTGTACGTAAGGAACTCTTCCTTGGCCGGATAAAAAAGTAGACATTTATAATTTTGTGGAATTGCCACATTTATAATTCTTGGAACTATGCAGATTTTGTTAACATATCCAATGCAGAGTGGTTTATCCAAAGCTTTCAAGACTACTAATCCTCGGCAAGCACTTCGTACATGATGCTGGGAACTACGCTTATGAAAGATTTGCCGGATGGTAGCGAAATCATTATATCATATACTAAAATGCGTACTATTTGTATATCTGTATCTCACTCATTGGAACTTTGTATTCAACATGTTACCAACTCTCAACTATTTTATTAATTGACAAAAATACAAATTCCTACTCAAATAACTACAAATCTTGACGAAAACATTTTAATTGACATTGACATTCTCTCACTTTATCTTTCCATAAGCAAAATATTTTATTTATCTCTTTATTACAAAACCGAACATTTTATTCTGCAACCAAATTTAGAAATGATAATGTTTATAAATCGTGCGAACCAAAAACAAAATAAAATCCTTCATTTCACAAAACCCCCATCACGTAATTTACACACAAACCTCAAGGATAATTCAGTCTTTTTGATTCTCTGTGTAAACTTTTCACTGTTAAATGAAATTGGAAAGGAATGGCTTGTGATATTGGCAATGTCAATGTCTCTCTCTTCTCAGTCTTTGTCTCACCCTCCAAAAATTTCCCTCTCTGTTTTGAGCAGTTAAGCTGCCTCATCAATCTCACTCACCAAAAACCCATAAACAATCATTAATCTTCCCTCTCTTGTTTTCATCAAAACCCCCATTTCTCAATTTCTTCCACACCCTTTTGATTCTTTCTCCAGCTCTGTAACTCTGTCAATGCTCTAGACACAATTGTTTTCCTCAATGTGCCTTGATTTTTAGAGAAAAAATGCCACTTTCGAGGAATGTATACGGTATGAGCCAAACCGATGTGTATAGAAATGTCGATCGTGAAGACCCCAAGGCAGTTCTTAATGGTGTTGCAGTTACTGGAATTGTTGGGATCTTGCGTCAGCTTGGTGATCTCGCTGAGTAAGTATTGACTCAATCGAACCCTCAATCTCTGTTTTTTTTTTTTTTTGTCTAAAGAAATTTGGGTTTCTTTTTTGGTTTCTACTGTTGAATGATTCTTTGAGCTAATGGTGAAGTTAGAGATGAAAAAAAAATCATTACTTTGCATGAAAGTAATTGGCTTTACTGGTTTAAGGTATCTAATTTGCGGAAATAATTACAGAGAACTACAGATTGCATGACTCCTTTTTGAGATTTTCTTTTTTCAAGTTTTGTCAGTGAAGTTTATGTCTTAGGGTTTAGCAAAAAGGAAGAAGCTTTTTTTTCTCATTTTGTTGTTCTTTTTGCCTTCTCTTTTGGATGAAATTTAATGAATGTTTTGCTGTTTCCATCAATCACTCTCCATCTTTGGCTGTGTGGTCTTTCGTTCATTAGCCTAGTTTATGGTTGTGATTAACTCCTAATGTGGTGAATCCTTATGTCGGTTGTGATAGCAAGTAGCCAATTACTAGACAAGACCTTGCTGTATTGTCCAAAAAATATTTAGCTTAGTTTGGTTTGGAGTGGTCTCTGATTCAAAAGGGTCATCTTAGCACAAAGGAATAAACTTTCTTTAAGGATTGCTTGTTCTCTTGGTTCAGGTTTGCAGCTGAGATATTCCATGGCATACAGGAGGAAGTCATGGCTACAGCTTCAAGAAGCAATCAATTAAAGATTAGATTGCAGCATATAGAAGCTACAGTGTCTCCACTAGAAAAGGCGATGCTTGGACAAACAACTCACATACATTTTGCTTACACAGGAGGTGTTTTGTTTTGTTCTCTCTTGTCAATCTTCTTATTGTCTTGACCCAGGGTGTCTGATACTTGTTAGGTTTACACATTTAATATGTCAATTAAAAATGTCATCCACTTAGTTCACTGTAGGTCCAGTTCATATACTTTTTCACGTACCCTTATACTAATTTTCCGTCGTGAAGGCTAGTTTAGGATCTGGAATGATTGAGTTAGTTTATCTATAAATTCCTGCAAAACTTTAGAATAGATCAACTGAAAATTAAAAATGTCACTATTAGTTGTTTTTTTCCTATTCACAAATTTTTAATTGTATTGAAACCTCCGAAGTAATGGTTGGTGAGGGAAGTGGTCAGTGTTTGGTTTTACCTTTCTATCTTCTGAACTGATTGAGTTTTATGGCGTTTTCAGGTTTGGAGTGGCATCCTCGTATTCCAATTACGCAAAATCACTTAATTTACGACGACTTGCCTCACATTATTATGGAATCCTATGAAGAGTGCAAGGATCCCCCACGATTGCACTGGCTTGATAAGTATGCCTTAGACTAAAATATCATATCTGATATGTATGTACTGTACTATGTACTATATAATCCATCATGTTATACTGATTCTTGGCTTCATTTCCTCAGATTTGATATAAATGGTCCTGGTTCTTGCATGAAGCGGTATTCTGATCCTACTTATTTCAGAAGAGCATCAAGCAACCTGATTCAAGGAAACAAGAATGTACAGAAAGATAAAAAGCACTATAAAATGAAGGTGTGATTTCTCAGATTAAATTGTTCAACCTTGTTCTTTATAATCTCTTTTGCTTGACAATTTATTTATCTGCTTTTTGACATGGACAGAAGAAAAAACCTTCATCAAGGAGTCGAGATATGTCACGTTTAGCCTCCATTGCTAACCAGAATGCCAGGTAAAATATAGATTTTACTGCCATATATAAGGTATCGTGCATCTAAAGAATAATCAACTTAGACATGGAATTTACTCCAGGAAGACATTTACTTCTTTTAGCTTCAGTGGAAAAACCTCTTCTACCAAAACCACCTCAACCAGTGACATGGAAAAAAGATCTGATTTTCAAGATCATCATTCTCGCTCTTTTGAGTCCAGAAGTGGTTCAGGCTACATCGAATGCCTTTCAACCGCAACCTCTTCATTGAAGACTAAAGAAATACCGAAAGGGGAATTAGTTTCATCCAGTTTGATACCGGGCTCTTGCACTATAGCTTCAGTCCTTTCTGAATGTGAAACCGAAGATGCACATGATAATTTCCAGTTTAGCCCTTCACAAGGGCAAGCTGCTCGTGGCTCTTCTTGCGTTAGTTGGGATGAGAAAGTGGAGATAGTGGAATCTCTTGGTTTGCAGACAGATGAAGCTTGTGAAAAGATGGAGGCGAGCTCTGTTGTGGATGAACTAGAAGAGAAACCAAGCTACAGAGAAGGGACTGGTAGAGTTGATATTCGTTCTAAGGACCTTGAAAATGATGAATCAGAATTAGGACTTCAAAATCGTACTGGGATGGATGAGATAAGAGAGAAAAAAATTGGTCGGAATATTGTGGGGGAAAAACTGAGGGATACTGAACATGAGACTGAAAGCGAAGGGGAGTGTTTTGTTGATGCGCTTAATACTATTGAATTGGAATCTGAGAATGATCTAGGGCTCCAAACTAGGCAAGAAGTAGTGAGCAGTTCATGTGGTGTTGTAGCTGAGAGTTTGGAAAAGTCATTGTGTGATCAAGAAATAGAACAAAATTCCAACAGTGCCAAAGATTTTTGTAGAGCAGATGGGTATGTGGACTACGATTTTAAAGATGAAGAGAATGCATCATTGGCAAATGAATCTGATAAAATGAATCGTCAAGACCCACAAGTAGGGTTAGATATCAACCGCTTCCATCAAAATGATCTTTGTGCAAAGAAGGGTACACGTAACAATTCTGTTGGAGAAGATAGCATCACATTTACATTTGTGCCTGGTCTTGAGAACAGTTTAGTTGATTCATCGAACCCCTTGATCCATCATAGCTTACAGGAAAACCGAGAATCAGAAGCTGGAACTTCTAGTGATCTCGAAGCATTTAGAATATGGACTAATGGGGGTTTGTTGGGACTGAAGCCATCAAAACCTCCAGTCTTGGCTGTGCCAAGTTCTTTCAATCCAGATTGCAAGACCAAGGAAAGAACATCTGCTTCTGCAGAAGCTGAAAAAGATAAATCAGATGATCTAGATTCACATAGACATGTTCTCCAAAAATCAAGCTTAGCAATTCCAGGAACCCAAAATCAGACCTGTTCAGATGGCAAAGCCATGAATGTTGTAGACCAAAGAGAGTGCGACGAGACTTTTTCCGGAGTTATTGACAAGTTACTCACCAATGGTTTCCGCAGAAAGGATTCATTTACCCTTGATAAAAAGACTGTGCCAGCAACGATTCCAGAGAATGATGAAGTGAATACAGAGAAGAGGTTCAGTGACCAAGACTTTAATGAGAAAACCTTAATGGACTCGTTCAGAGACGAAGCTTCTATTGATTGGAGTACTTCTTCCCCGCCTCTTCAACACATGAAAATATCTCTCAGTCCCACTGACACCCTTCAGACTTCCAGACTGAAGCTGAAATTTTCAGATGGGGACAGCAACTATAATACGTTCTCTTCGTTTCAGTTGCTTCCAGAGGCTGCTACTTTCTTTTCTGATTCTAATTCAGACGATGAAACTTTTTGTAAATCCTCTCCTAACATGTCAGATACCGATTATCGTAGCGATAATCACTCCTTATCGAATTCCGAGCAGTGGGAAGAATCTAGTGACAGCCATGAAAGAAATGAGCACGAGCTATATGATTCTTTCCATGAGATTAGGCATGTTGACAACAATGCTGAAGGTTCTCCTCTAGAGATTAAATCAGAAAGTGGTAATATCTCTGTAAACCTCTCATACCTCCAAAATCCTGCTGATCCCTTACCACCGCCATTTCCACCTGTACAATGGATGGTTTCAAAGACACCTTCAGACAAAACTGAAGACAAAACACAATCCCTACAACTACAAGACGCTCTAAGGTTCGCCTTTGAGAAGCATATTTCATTGCCTACAGTCGACAAAGAACTGCCTAGCATGGTGACTTCTGCTCCTAAACCAGAAATTAAGGTACGGAGAAGTTTTGCACTCTTTTCTTCCTACTTTACTGCAGTGTGGATTAGTTCCATATATTCCAGAAATTCGTTTTTAGTATAGTTCAAATTACGAGTATTAACAAGCATATATTCTCAATTTCTCATAGGTCCATCTAAAGAATAATGTCAGGCAGGGGAAACAAAGTGCCAACGCAGAGGAGACCGAAACTGGAGACTTCTTACAACAAATCCGAACACAGGTGAGTGCAAATGATTCTTTTTGTGAAAAAGTTATATTCTGATTCTTGATTTGTTATATCATCTTTTGATTCATTCTTCATTTCTTTCAAATCATTAACAGCAATTCAACCTGAGACCTGTGGTCATGACAACGACGTCATCGGCAACCGGAACAACTGACCCTATCATAAACACTAAGATCAGCGCGATTTTGGAGAAAGCAAACTCAATACGCCAGGTTCATCCTCTCATTTCTGAATCTATATATATCCAAAGCAAATCTAATCTTTATTTCAGAAAGCTAAGTACTTTTTGTCCTAAATCCAACACAACATTATCTATCACTCACTCTCTCTTTTTCTTCTCAGGCTGTAGCTAGCAAAGATGGAGATGAAAGCGATACATGGAGCGATACATAAAATCCCTTTAGATTAAAGATTCCAATTCATCTTTGTAAGCTCTACTCTCTAACGACATAGATACAGAAAAGGGTTTAAGCTAGTCCTGCAAGCAATTTTTTTATTGTATCATATCTAATGTGTGGTGTGTACATGGTACGTAAATTTTGTCGTGTGTGATCTACTGATCTGTATCTTCAAAATAAGGAAGTTCTAGAAATAAAAATAAGAGTGAAAGCTATTATGCTCATTCACCTTGAGGAAAAAAACATTCTAGAACTTTGGTTTCAACCAAACGCTAATGATCAGATTACAAAGCAGTTAACACATCAAACACAAATGATATGATGATGTTACCTCTTCAACAGGATTAGGCAACTCATGTGTTACTGTCTTTTTAAAACTCTGATTCTGCCTATGCATGGTTGTAGGCAGTGTCAACGGCTATCCTGGTTATAGGTCAGTTTTTTTTGTGTAGTAGCATTACCACTAAATTCTACAAACAAGTTCAACATCTAATTAACTTACTATAGAGAGTAGCCTAGAACTTTTCTGTAAAGATCCTGGTACTTGGTAGACATTTAGTTAAGCGAGAGGAAGTGAGTTTTTGATAGTACCATCAAAGCAAGCCGACACAACATAGCAACATCGAATGACAAAACAAATTGGGGTGTCACGTTCACGTTTCCGGTTATTCGAGAAAATTTTCAAATTACGAATAAGAAGCATATGTTCTCATAGGTCCATCTAAAGAATATTGTCAGGGAGGAGGGTAAACATAGTAGTAAAGGAGACCAAAACTGGAGACTTCATGCATCAAAATCCGAACACAAGTCATTGTAATCAATTCTTTTCATGACCTGAAAAGTATAATTGGATTCTTGATGTGTTTTATCATCTTTAATTGCATTCTTGAATTCTTCCATAGAATAAACATGACATGAATTCAACTTGACACACAATGACATACCCTGCCACAGAAACTAAGTTCATCTCGATATATGAGATTTGCAAACTTTATACGTTAGTTGCATCTTCTAATAATCTCTCCTAATTCTATCCAAATATCTGATATTAATTACTCTATGCACGACAGACACCCTTAGCTTGCGGAAGGACAAAACCTAGAAAAGGGTTTGATCTTGTTCTGCAAGCAATTCTTAGTTTTTGTCGAATCTCTCATGTGTGTATTGTGTAGTTGATAAGTAGATTTTGTCGTACGTGATATATATCTTCACGAAACGAACCCAAAAAAAAAAAAAAAACTATTATGCTACTTTTATTTATTTATTTACGTAGTGGATAATAAAAGATAAATTTTTGTGTGAATATTACTGCACTATAAAAATATAAATTTCTATTAGGTCTATGAACTATATGGAAGAGCAACAGTTTTGTGTCAGCTGTGCTATCGATTCTGGAAGCAATCGCAGTTTTAAAAAGGTCGAAGAAGAAAATACTTTAAAAAAAAAAGTGAGTTGGCAAGTAGAAGAAGATAGAGAGAGATCTCAAAAACACTTGAGCCGTGAAGTTCGCTTATGTTGTGGTCCTTTAATTGTTTTCTTATATTTTTGCCACTTGAGAATCAAAACATTAATATAATAGAGATTATGTTCTTCTGTGAACTGTATTATTTTCTTAATGCCTGTCTTGCATTAATTAATATCCAATATTAAATCTTAGAAATTTGCTTGTGGACATGTGATGGGGAAATTTAACTAATTACAGTTTTGTTTTTGTGGAAAGAAAAAAAATTATCGCTTCATTTTGGGGTTGTTTCTTGGAGTATTACAAGTATGGGATGACAAAATTATAATATTTTCAACTGGATGATAGAAACATACAACATAATTGTGTCTAACACATCTTTTTTGTTGTTGTTGTTGAAAGTGCATGTTTAATGATTGATCAAGAACTTAGTATATCCTACGTTAGGTTTCTTGAGTTCAATCCAAACCTATGCAGCACACCAAAGTTTTAAAGAAAATGCATGTTCACATATATATAGAGAGACGGTTTACTAATCTATAAAAGTTCATAAGGCTCAAAGACTCAACAATAACCTTCACATGCCAATTCCCTACTTTGGACTGTGTTCATTTGTTCAACAATTTTTTTAAATAATTCTCATCAATTCTTTTGCTTTTCTTCTTTACGTTTGTAAACTCTAAATTAATCGAAAGTAAAAGATTTTTTTTCCAAAGCATGTACCCTCAAGGAAAGTGCCTCTTTTTTTTTCCCAACGACATTAAACACGTATAAAGTTTATATTTTCAATTCATCCCACTTTAGCTATAATGAAAATCCAACATTACTGACTTTGTCAATTTGTATGTTTTTTTTCTACCCTCTATAATATGGAACCATTTGTATTGCAAGTTTTAACTCACGGTTAGAAGAAACTTGTTGTTAAAAAAAAAATGCTTAGCGAAAAAAACTTGTTGTTAAATATGTTTTCCTCTTCAAAGCTAACGCACATATAACGTTTATAGAGCTAAATCTACATTTTATGCATGACCATGATGAAATCAAATTTGGTATTTTTGTACAACATATATATACGTTATACGAGTTCGAATTCGGATAGTGATAAACCTATGATATTAATATAAACTACTAGACTATATGTATGTATATAAATCTGAGCATAATCCAACAAGTTTGAATATAAATCGATAATTTATTCTTATATAAGATCAAATAAAGTACAAGTCATATCTCTATAATAGACATTAAAGAGAAAATATATATACACTTCCTTTATTCGTCTTAATTAATTTTAAATCACTTTATTAAAGATAGGATTAAAGAACAACCCCCATAAAAAAGATTTTGCTTTTCTTTGTAAAGAGTGCTTTTCATATAAAGTGAATTTTGCTAACCCAAAAGAAGCACATACTGAAAAGTTTAAGATTTGAAAGGAGAAAAAGAAAAAAATGGGCAACCAACAAAAGTTAGTCACCAAATCCATTGAAACCCTAAAGAAAAAAATAGCCTTAAGAAAAGATAATCCACCTTTACAAGGTACAACTAATTACATGTGTCTATATATAAACTGCCTTTGCTTTTTAAACGCATTATCTAGCAAATCTATCACGCAATGTGAAATATGTATTAGTACTCCATATTCGAACATGTGATCTCAATTCGAGGTTGAGAAAATCTATAAATAATAAGTTATTAAATTACACATTGCCACTACACAACACCGTATAAATTAATTACAGTATTTATAAACGTGTACGACATGATTATATAAAAACTGATCGACTAAATTGTAATACTTGCATGTATTACTAGAAAGTGTTGTATCACCTAGAAAACATACTTACTTAATCGATCTAGTAATACATGATACTTCCAATGATCTATGCATATGTAAATAGAAAACATACTTACTTAATCGTCTTTAATATTCGATTTGGCTGTAAACTTATATCCAGTCACCTTTAGAGGAATATCAGAATACAATTGTTTAAAATCAGAATATTATCTTTTTATATGCATACTTTGGAGAAATAGTTCAATGGGTGAAAATTCTTCTTCTACGTAAAAATATATACGCACATTTATATTCCCTTTTTTGTTATATGTCTAACAAATTGATCTTTTCATCTATATATTTTAACTAAAAAGTCGATCTCTTTTAAAAGTACTTTAAAAGTTGTTCTTTTGCGACTATAGTGTATAAAGTTTCCAATGAGAAAAAACATATAGTATAAAAAAGCACGAACTTGAGAAGAAGAAATTAAAGAGAAACATGAACATCGATTAGTGCTTTCTTTTTCCTTTTTCTTTTCCTCTCTTCTTTTTTGTTTTTTCTTTCCCTTTCTCTCATCTTTAACACTTGCTTTAGTGTTTAATAACGTACGTGAATTATGTTAATTTAAATAAAATAACTTAAAAGAAACATGCTTTGCTTAACTTTATGTGATTTTTTTTCCAAAGCAATATATATCCACTCAACCATTTCTACTACTAGTCGTTCAAGCAAAATTGCACTATCCATGGACCATGACTGACTGATAAGAAGAGATAGATGTTCCATGTTTCTTTAACATAATCTTGTTCAAGCTGCTAGAACTAGATTTGCATATGCATAAAGTTCAACTCAAAACTTATTCTCAATTAAATTTAACTTTCTTTTGTAATACAAATTGAAAGAAAGAAATAGAAAAAATGAAGAAAATGGAAGGATGACTTGGAAAAAAAGGATACAAAAGATGATGTGTGCCTTTGAATTGAAAGCTGATCTGCTCTAAGTCATTCAGGGCTGCTTATTCATCTCTTCTCCTTTTCTACGCAATACACCAAACGCTCTTTCTCTTTGGCGGCTTACTTTGTCCCAATCCTAAATCCTTCTCACTTATAAGTATAATATTTTCAGTTGCCTAGCTAAGTTTTCATGTATTCTTCTAAGTGTGTGTGTATTTTCCTAGTTTCTTATATTTTAACTATGCCTTGTTGAGATTTCATTCTAATCTTTTTGGCCTAAAGTCTAAACTTAAGACCTTACATTCTAATGTCATGTTGAACAATTGGGGTCGCACCCCTTACACTTGAGCGGTTAAGGAGAAGTGAGAGTTACCAACGCAACTTGCTCCCTCGACTCATATTTCCAAAATTTTCTAGTCATCAGCAAATGTTATAAGTCAACGACGAAAATAAGAAGAAATAGATGATGTTTATGCGAATTTAAAAGGGAATAATAGTAGTATATTACTATATTATATGGATAATATAATTAGGTTTTGAATGTGATATAATTATTTTGTTTATGTGACATAGCCTTCCAGTTCAGAAAATATTAAGAATTTGCCACTAAATAATGTACGTACCCCTTCCCAAAATCGCTGCTGGCACAAACACACATCAATTTAAAAAATTTAATAATAACTAAAAATATATTTTAAATCGATCATAGCTAAATAAAACAAATCATCTGGATAGCTTGTAAGTTAATTATAGTAGTTTTAGGCATTGTTTTCTTATTGTTATGCATACCTCAACTTGTTAATCATATTTTTAAAAAGCAAAGGGAGTAAACTAAAAAACAACATATAATTTACATAAATGTCAAGAAAATTCATATAAATAAACAAAAAGTGCTAAACATCACTATTCCAAAATACCTTTTTATAATAAAATATACGGAAAGGTTATGGAGTACTGTACTGAAATACACACATTTTGGTGACCCAAAAAAAAAAAAAGCAAAAGAATACAACACATTTTGACAGCTGATAATATACAAATATGGATCGATATAATGCAATAAGAAAGAAGTAAATGCGCCTAACATATTCTTTTCAAAATATATATGTTTTATATTCTCCCCTACTTATATATAACACTATTGCTTTTCTCTATCCTTTCCTACGAAAAAGATATATAATAATGTTTTCATACATAAATCTTTTCTTTTTAACAAAAAAAAAAAAAAAGATTGAAATCTTCTTCCTATAAACGTCTCTTCTCTCTTTCATCACTGCAAGAAACTTAATCACAACTCTCTCTTCTCTCTTCTCTCTTCTCTCTATCTCTTCTCATTATTAATGGCGACCCAACAAGATTCTCAAGGGATCAAACTCTTTGGCAAAACCATAACATTCACCGCCAACATCATGACACAGACGATTAAAAAAGAAGAGCAGTCACATCAAGAAGTGGTAGTAGTGCAGCCAGAGATACAAGCTACAGCCTCCGTTAGATCATCATCGTCGTCGGATCTGACGGCTGAGAAGCGTCCAGACAAGATCATACCATGTCCGAGATGCAAGAGCATGGAGACTAAGTTCTGTTACTTCAATAACTACAACGTTAACCAACCAAGACACTTTTGCAAAGGCTGTCAGCGTTACTGGACAGCCGGCGGAGCTCTCCGTAATGTTCCCGTCGGCGCTGGTCGTCGGAAATCCAAACCTCCCGGACGTGTCGGTGGGTTCGCTGAGCTTCTCGGAGCTGCGACTGGAGCTGTTGATCAGGTCGAGCTAGACGCTTTGTTGGTGGAAGAATGGAGAGCCGCCACGGCGTCTCACGGTGGTTTCCGGCATGAGTTTCCGGTGAAGAGACTCCGTTGCTACACGGATGGTCAATCTTGTTAATTTTCTTTGTTTTTGTTTTCCGGGTTCGGGTTTGGGTTTGGGTTTGGGTTTGGGTTTGGGTTTGGGTTTTTTCTTATAATTAACCCGTACAAAAAAAAAAAAAAAGAACGTGGTTAAATTTGCTTTGCTTTGATTACTGGATACGTACGTACAGGCTAGCAACTAAATTTAACTAGTTAATGTTAATTATAAATTAATTAGTAGGTTTTTTAATACTCTGCTTCTCTACTAAACAGCTGTCGCTTTTTTTTTTTCTTCTTTTAAATTAATTTCTCTTGTTTGAGATTTTTTTAGTTGTAAATTAAATTTGAAGCTCGTGGGATTTATATTTTTTCTTCTAAAAACAAAGACGGTGTCGTTGACCCTTAATTACGCTTTAAAAGTTGTTTTAGTTAGTATTATTATTGCTCAAACTCGTTAATCTACTTAAATTTATATATTTTGGTAGCAAATGGATCGTTTAAGTGTACGTAAAGTTAGTTAAAAGATTATGGACATTAGTCTAGTAAAGTATAACATTAAACCAAGAAACCTCATTTAATTGGGCATTAAAGTTTTCACTTTTCAGCTATAAAAACTGACAATCACACACAATAATGGGGAGACCTACAAAAACTAGAAATAAGGTTTTCACTGTGTTAATGAAGAAAAAAGATTGAAACATAAAATTGGGACAATCTAAATGCTGTTTGTACAGTTAGAAAGACCACTATAAGGATAATAAAACAAACGAAATCTTCATTAAGGTAGAATCATCAGGTGAATAGAAGCAAAGCACATAAAAAGAATACGACAGAAGAGACAACAAAATCAAGACTGTGTGCAAGTCATGTCCTCCTGAGTTGGGAAAAGAAAATTGTGGGTCCTGTGAATTGAGTTCTGGGTTGGTCAGAATTTTATAAATGCGTAGCTCATGAAACATCAATGAGATTGGGATGAGTTAAGAAGTAAAGGTTTTGGGAAAACGAGAACAAAAAAGTTGACTTCTGAGGCTAACATATTAAGAAACTGCAACTACCAAATGAAAACAAATCATACATTATAAGCACTAAAGAAAAGGTAAGAAACCATGAGATAATAAGATCATAAGCGAAACGCGCAATGGCAGCAATCCATACAGTTTAACTCTCTCCATTGAGAAGCCTCAGTTTCTTTGTGTCCCAACGATATCTAAAACCGAAAATAAAAAGGAGAAAGAAAGACCGATAGAATGAGATTTAGGCGACAAACTCACTCACTCAGGACATGATTTTTGCAGAGCGGACGTAAAGGCTGTCAACGACCTTCTCCATGTTTGCAATGGTGTCGAGAGTTGCCGAGTAGATCGCATCTGCTTTTGGATCTTCAAATATGATGAGGCATCCAGCTCCTTGATCCAATGTACCTGCAAATTTCTTGTCAAGGATCATCTGAGATAGCTTCTTCTCCACATGGTCGAGCGGCAATCCAATCAGTTCGGCAATGTGAGCTATCTCAACTCGTGAGAAAGGCTCAATCAAACGACAAAGATTTTGCTCCAGAAGGGTGTCATAGAGCGAAGAGAGATGCCTGTGGACAATTGGGTCATCTTCAAGCTGTGCTTTGTAGTCGTGGAGTGCGTTCTCAAACAATTTCAAGGACCTCTTTGAGTGGGCATCAGCGACTGCTTTCATGGCATCCAGGTCAGGGCCAACGTACTGGAGTCCAGCCTTTGAGGAGATTATTCCTGCAACATCATCAGCTTGGCTGACCATGATCTTGCACAGTAACATGTACTTCAAACTGAAAACAGCTCTTGGATCTCCGAGAGCGTTGAAGGACTCAAAGGCTTCAAAGAAGTAGCTGTATCCGGTTTTGTAGTCCTTCTCCTCAGCGTGAAGAATTCCACTCTGCAGATCTATGGTACCTTGCTGGGCTGGTGGGACATATATAGCGTTTGCAGCTGTCCTAGCTGCGGTGAGTGCAGCTTTTGCCTTTGGTAAGTTTCTCAATGAGAAGTGAAGTTTGCTCTCCAGCAAGTCTATGTCGACCAGAAGGAGCTTATCATCTAGTCTCCTGACTTCTTTTACCAAAGTACTCAACAGAGCCAAAGCTTCAACATACTCCTTGTTCTCCATCAAAAGAGCTGCAAGCCTAGCTTCTACTCGCTGCCTGAGGAAAGTACGCTTCTCAGCACGGGTCCATTCCACCATTTCTTTGCAAAGAGTGATCTGGAGATCAGTTGTTCCTGGTATCTTTGCCACAGCATCAATGATTCCTCTGACGATTTTTGCAGTTTTCGCCTTGGGGATTAGTGAAAAGAAAGGCCGCAACTTGGTCAACAGTTTCCGGAGATCCTCACCTCTCTTCTCTTCAGTCAGTCGATCACAGAGGTTTGTAATCGCTTGCTCCTTGATCCTTATAGCCTCCGGAGAAGAAGAAGGGTCTTCTAAAACCTGGTACAGTATCGAAATAGCCTCCGAGCTATTGGCTTCTTGAGCCAGAGAAATCGTCTCTGTGGTAGCAGGATACGTGACCATTGTGGGTTTTGTGCAAACTCAAATCCCTGCAACATTAAATCCACAGATGTGTTTATACAATGTTCAGATATATCTCTTATAAGACTTATTCCTACTCTTTAGATTCACATCATTACAAAAAATAAGCCGATATTGATAGAATAACAAGATAATAAGATCAAAGTTTCAATAAAGTATCACTGTAATTTACTCAGTTTCAGTATCCAATGATAAAGACAAGCCTAATGATCTACAAAGCTAAAACGAGGCAAAAATATAGCAACACAGGAACTAAATTACGAAGCTTATTATGAAACTACAACCTAAATGTTAAGTAGTAAAAATGAATCACAGAGCCATAGTTCAGAAATTTATTTACTAAACAATTCAGTTCGAATTCCTTGAATCATCTACTTTTAAGATCCATTCAATTACCTACCAGCTTCGTTCATAGTCGAGCTAACCCACGAATCAGATTATCTTCACTAAGGTAAACTAAATCGAACAAAGCTAAACCCTAAAACTATCGAGAAAGAAGGAACCAGATTTGATTTTGAAGAAATCGAAACACTACGCATACCAAAACCCAGAACTGATTAGATCTGATAAGCAGACCCAGAAGAAAAATCAAACAAATTTCGCAAGAACAAGACTTACCGATGAATCGGCAGAATCGTCGGGCGTGAGATTTTGGTAAAGCTTTCGACGACGGTATAGAGAGAGAGAGAGAGAGAGAAAGAGACTCGAGATATACGATATTTGGCTTGAAAGAAAAGATAAATGGACAGCTTTTTCGTAATTTTACAATTTTATGAAGGTTATTTTTGTCATTGTGTACCCAAAATTACAAAATTTGGCGTCATAAAATCAAGCGTTTCGATTCAGAGGTTGAAAACCAACACCCGTCGCCGCAAAAAATGCAAACGCAAACGCATGTTGCGAAAACTTGAGACATGGAAGCGCATGTTTTTCTATTCAGGCATAGTGTGGGCTAGAATAAAGGCCCAATATACCCAAACTTCTGATGTTTCGATTTTATTTTATTTTCAGAAATATATATCACTGCCAAAATTATTTGTTTGGAATTTATTTTTTTAAGTCTACGTCATCGTCATGCATGCATGTGTTTAATCGAAAAGTAATAAAAAGAGTTATTTTACCAAGAAGGTAAAAAAGTCAATATTGGAAGGTAATTAAATCATTCGTAAACACAAAGAACTCCCAAAAATAAAACAACAAAAAAAAAAATGTTGGAACACAAAAATATAAAATAAAATTAAAAAACACTGTTAAATGTTTTATATAATAACAAAAGGAGTTATCAAAAAATTAAAATTGTTGAGAGATGTATAATAAGGGGTAATGCATGTATATTATGTTAAAGCTTAGAAGGTGACGTCAGGGACGATGCCAAGCTCCTTGAAAGCTTGAGGACACTCAGCGAGAGGAGTCTTCCTCATGAACCCAAGTGGGTTAATGGTTCTAGTCTCGTTTGAGACAATGCCATCGTTGGCTGTGAGACTGATCCTTGCTGCGTTTCTTAGGAACTCTTGGTTGTTCACTTCGCCACACTCTGCGTCAGGTGACTGGAGGAGGACGATCTCGCACACTTCTTCCTCGTGGTCTCCCATTACTTCCATCTGGTAGTTTCCGGCTTTGTCGGTCACAGCTTCTTTGGTTAGTGTCACTGTCTGGTTCTCACGGCCCTTGCATTCAAGCTTTACCTTTGCCCCTGAAATACACTCAATAACGTAAGTTTTTTTTTCTAATCTTGATTGTGACACTAACCCTAAGACTTGTTATATGTTTTTATGTGTATTTCAGCTATACAAATAATAAGAAGTAATCATAAATTGCAATAACGTAATAAATACTATGACAACGTCTATGTCATTAAAATTGAAAAGTAGATACAAAATACAAAACCGTGAGTAACATGTTTGTTTTGTTTGAAAAAATTAGATTTTGTTTTTCTTCATATATCGCAATAGCTAGCGAACCAATATAATTTTTAACATTGTTACCAAGAAGTCTATGATTGAAATCATATTTGTTAATTTTTTCTACTTCATGATTCAAACCATTGAACCATACCAAATGGGATTAATTTTGTATAACCAATATACATTCCTATTGATTGTACTCTCATATGATCCATAAATGAAAATGATTAGAGAAAGTCCTTAATTACCTTCAAGGAATTTGCTGAGACGGGTGATGAATTGGACGCGGCATGTGTCGCAGTAGACGGATCCCTTGATGTGGAATCTGTCGAAGTCGTCGGCATCAGCCGCGGTGAAGTGAACGAGGGTGGTGAAACATAGGGCAGAGGCAAGGAAGACGATGAAGAATTTGGCCATTATGCCTTAATTCGTTTTCTTGTGTTTTTCACTTCGCTCTTCTCCTTCTCTTGGTTTTGAGAGTTTATTTGTAGAATTAGTTTTTTTTTTGATGAAAAAAATTGTAAGTTATGGTTGAAAGGAGACGGTATGATAGATCCAACCAAATATCTCCTTTTATAGAGAACAAATAGACTAAACAATAAAAAAAACACGTGATTCTATTTTTGGAAAGTCTTGTGTATTTTTGGTGTTAGTGTTCTTTAGTTTTGTACGGCTGTGTATTCCTTGAACCCGATCTTTTCTCATTACCATCTATTTTTTCTCACTAATTTCTTCTTAATGGATTCTGTTTAGGTCTTTTGTTTCTTGTATGAGGACGTTATCTCAAATGACAATTTATTAATATTGTTTATGTTTATACGTTCATTGGAGATTCAGTGGGCGGTGGAGGATCATCTACTAGACCCAAATGAAAGATTTACGTAGTATTCATTATGATTAATTTGAGCCGCGCATGAAAGTCATTAGCATAGTTATGTTTGCATAAAAGAATGAAACAAGTAAGAATATTCAACAAGTAAACATGTATAAGACTTAGTCTGTATGACGATTGACGATCCACTTGAAAAAAAAAACTGCAGGAATGTAAGAGTATAGGTTGTACATATAACTTTTTTCTTCAAGAAACCTTAATCTATAATAATACCTTTATGTGTTGTATTATCAGAAAGCTAATACAAGAAAATCATGTACAGATGAATTGAATTGTACTTCCTTTGATTTCGCCACCCAAAAAAATAATCAAGAACGTTTTCTTGATCTGTGCTGATCTCCCCAAACTGTAAAGTAAAAGAAAAACATGTATGGTTCAAATGTTGCGGCACACTCAACGTTAACCAAAAACACTCGGAAGCTCACAATTTATAAGCTGGCGGTAATAAACGTGGAGGACTCTTGCTGTTTTATGCTATCTGCAACATGTGCAACGACTCCAGCTCCTGCTTTGTAAAGTCTTTCACTTTTCACCTGAAATAAGAACAAAATATCTCTTATAGTCCATGTCCCAACGAACAAAGCTCCAAAGAGAAGATGTTGGAAGTTTACGTGAATGTTATTATGTGCTAAGTATGGCCAGAATGTAGAGTGGAAGCTGACATCAACTTTCTTCCACCCTAATGTCTGCAGACCGCGGATCATTTCCTCTGCCAAAATTAGTATAAATTGTTAATTTGTTGCTGATTTAAAAGAATTAGTCAAATGTTTGAGATTAAAAAACAGTTTTTTCCTTACCTTCCACGATTTCATGATACTCAAGTGTGTTCTGAGGACTAGGCGAGCTTTGTGCAGCCTCCTTCGCTTTAGCAGCTTCTGGAGGGAAATGGGCTCCGTCTGATGAAACAGGTGGACAGTATTCTACATCAACAACATGCTTGTATCCATCCAGAGACCGGCGTGGAGGCTGCGTGTAATAGGAAAACAGGGGAAAGTATATCTTTCAGTTTCAGTCTTGACAGCTAATTAGTCCTCAAACTAGCATTTGACAGGTTACAAGCCACAACAGCTTCTTGCACAAAGAGAATACCTACCAATCTTCTCTAAGCTATTTGAGATAAATGAACTACTAAACAAATTTGGTGAATCTCTACAGACAATTGTTTCATTTCTTAGATTCTTCACAGTACAATATGTCAGCTGTTTATTGGTATGCAAATGCCAAGTTTTGTGGTCCTGCCAAAGATCTTCTACTCAGAGAGAATTTGTTTTACCCAGGAATCCCTGTGCTACTGAGCTAGAGTGGACAGAACAAGGGTCTCAATAAGTGAGGTGATTTTTTCCTCCATGATACCTCATTATACCAAAATAAGGATCAATTCACCAACATTAACATTTCAAAGCGAGGAGACTATTAATACTGATGTGTCCCATTTTCTAGCCAGTGTACTACAAGTTCCGGAGTTGAGATCAAGTAATGTCGAAGGAACTGGAAAACAAATGGAGTAATATTATACAGAATTGAATTATTGCTTCAGATCAAAGTAAATGTACCTTGACAAGTTCGGTTTCTCTCCTTATGGAAGATGTACGCCAACCAACCATGTCTTGTTGATGTCAATGGAAACAGTTAGGAAAAAAAATGCAGAAAAAACTAGGGATCATGACTCAAAACGTTAAACATCAACAGAAATGCAGAGGATACGATCATAAGATACATTTGCATATATGATGCGGCTTCGAAATGCCCCCAGAGACGATCTGCCAGACAAAGAAATGCATTAGGATTTCAAATAAGTAGTTAAGGGGGGTAATGATGAAAATTGCTATCAGCATTACTCACAAAAATTTCAGATCATGACTATCAGATGCCATCCTCAAAAGAAGAGGTGGTTTATCAGCTTTACCATCAGTGAGAAACAACTGGCTACCAGTCCGACCAACAAAAAACGGAGCTATTGGTGCAGCAAGTTTTTCTAGAATAGGAACTCCCAACAGGAAAGGCAGCTGAAAAGCAAGTCCAGAGAAAAAGAAGAGAAAATGAGATGGAATTTCCAGGACTTATCAGTTAATAGCTCTAGGAACCAAAAAAAACAACAACAATTGCCAGATAGTTTTGTTGAAAAGTTTGATATCTGTCTGAAGACAAGTAGGAAGTATTTGAAATGGCCACCAACTTCTTTCTTAACTAAGTACACGCCACATCTACGTACATGTACAACGAGATATACATTAAACTCTCTGATTGCAGTTATGTTACAAGAAGAAGAAGAGAACCTGCTTCCTGCCTCTCACTCCTAGATGAGGTGTTGCCAAGGTGATGAAATTAATCGGTTCGAGCCCAGCAATCCTACCTCGCAGAAGAGTTCCAGATTTAGAGACAGTGCCATCAATGGCTTGTGAAATTGCCGCTGAGTAAAGAACAGCAACAGCATGTCTAGCGAATAAGCCACCGAGGGAGTGGGCCAAAAAGGAAATCTTTTTTAAGCTCTTGCTCTTTTGGACAACTTGTCTAACCTATTCCTCTCTCACATCCAGAATGGAAGAGATATCAGCTGATATACTGAAGGTTAAGGACTAAAATTCCCAGAGCCATACAAGAAGTGGAAATGGCATTGTAGGAATATAAAATCTCACCTCTTCTGCTAGTCGTTTTCCAGCTCCATCAACCCCGCCAAATGTTTTAGTGAAGGTATTAGAAGAGCTTGCTGTGCATGTTCAGGGGATAAAGAGTAAATTAAAATGCATTATGCGTGATCCTCTCATGGCATAAAAGAGCATGAGTAAAATAATAAAATACCATACTAAAGAGCAGTAAGAAAAACGAGCTATGGAGCCTCTTGCTGATAAAGAGGAAATAAGAGTTTGAAGTATTTCTATTTGGTGCCCACACATGCATTCAAAAAGCTAAGTTACCATTCCGTTCACAAAAACTCTTCCTTAAATATTCCAACAACTGCACAACTAACAGAGGATAACAAGCTGAAACCAGATGAGTATACCATATATCAAGAATCTTCTTCCAAGTCGTCTTTTCATCTCAGCTTCTACGTAGAGCCAGTCGCTGGGACTGCAAGTAACGATATCTTATTAACTTTCGAGTCTACAGATCATACAATCCGGAAACCATGTAGCAGAATGATATACAAAAAGTCCAAATTCTGCAAGTTTCTATCCCAACCTAAAACCAAGATGCAAACTCAGAACCACGAACTAATCATACCTAGCCAAAATACCATGAACAAGAACAAGAAGATGATCAGGTTCACTTTTCTCATCATTGTCCCCTTTCGAAAGGGAAAAATTCCGTTGGGCTGTGGCACTCATTGCCTGAACCCTGAGTCCCTGTTGGTTCCAGCTTCTGCTTGACCCTGCTTGTGAAGAGAAATCAAACAAAAAGAATACAAATGAGCTCAAATACGAAAAGAAGAACAGAACCCTTTCTTTCACCAAATAATATCATACAATATCACCATTTCAACTTGGCTTTCCACAATCATCTACCATCTTTGCACCCAAATTAAACTTCTCACTACTTTAAATTACACAATACTACACTGAACCATTCAATCAAACGATATATCCTAAACTACATCTTTGATCGAAAAATCCTCAGCTCTAAAAATTTGCAGAACACAACGCCGGATTAAGAAACCATCAATTCCAATTATAAGATTACACAGAGTAAGAAAGACAAATGAATCGAAGCCAAATTACCAAAATCGAATTCCAAAATATCAGAATAACCACAGGAGCACGAGGAGGATGACGACGGCGAAGAAGAAACTGAAACAACGCCGGAAAGAAACTGCCGCGGTCGGCGAGAGCTAGTCTTAGAGAAACCACCACCACCACGATCCGGTAAGTATCTACAAGGAGGTTGAATCCAAGAAGCCGTAGACATATCGATGATACTGGAGAGAGCTTGAGCTTTATATAGAGAGAGAGATAAAGTCAAAAATCAGAGAAAGATCCTTGAATCACGGTTTCCTCACAGAGAGAGAGAGAGAGTGACGTCAGACTCCAGAATCAAACATGGCTCACTACGTTATCTTCATCACAGAGACCCATGCCTGCCTACTACTCTCTATCTCTTTAATCTTCAATTCTGCCAAAATACTATTCAATCATTCATCATCCTGACCTTGCCAGTTTTTTTCTTTTTTTTTTCTTCTGAGAATTTTTTTATTTTTATTTCACTTTGTTACGTTGTATAAATAATAATAATTCTGGGTGTTGTTAAGCGACTCAAGCACATAGAATATATATATTTTTTTTCCCTACCAAAAAAAATATAGAATATTTTTTATATTAAGAAGAAAACGAAAGATGTAATTTTATATATTCAAAAAGAAAAAGTTAAAAAGAATCGGACCAGGTTCTTCTTCTTTCATCTACCCAAGCACAGCAATACTCCAAAATTGTGGTGATTTTAGGCAGTTTATACTGTATAATAATAAAAGATATATTATAGATAAAAAAAATATAAATGATCTATTAAAAAAAATTGCAAACAAAAATTCGACAAAACATTTATTATTATTATTTTTTGTTGACGTCAACCATTTATATCAAACAATAGATAAACGTTTATAACCATGACTATGAAAATAAAATTTATAAACTTAAATTGATGTAGTTGGAAATTGAAAAAAAAAAACATTCAGAGAATTCATGTGATCCTAGACCGTTTTTTAGAATTTACAAGTGGAATTGTAAACATATTTACTGTTACTTTGATTTTTGGTCAAGTTTATTATGGAATATAATGAAATGAGCATATTACAGTTTGTTAAGATCAAGCTTTAAGTTACAATTATAAACAAGACTACATATAATTAATGTATGATCACTACACTTCAATATAAAATCATCTTACCGAATTAGTTACATTACAGATGCCTTGATGAGGCAGCTCCACATATCTACGAATCCTGATGTAACCCTTTTCTCCCCAAGTCTCACCCCAAGAGTTCTTAGTCAACCAGTAGTTCATCCCATTGCTAGTCCCATATCCAACGAACGTCACTGCATGATTTACATCGTGCTGATGACAGTCTCGTGCAGGGTACGCATACACTCCCTCTTTGTAATTCCCAAAACCGACCGTCCTCGTGTCAATGTACACCGAGACGGGCTGTCTTGCTACGGCCTCGAGCAACGCACGCTTGTTGTTGCTTGGAACCTGTTGGAACCCTTTGATCTGTGTGCCTGGCGCGGGTCTTATGTTGGAACGACAGCTCCCATTTTTCGTTTGGTAAGGGTATTCTGCTTGTGAAGCAATGCCGTGGCTTCTGACTATGTATTCGAAAGCGTCAGGCGACCGTCCCGCCGTGCAACCACCGTTACGTTAGTCGCAATCTATAAGTTGTTGTTCCGACAGTGATATAAGTTTTTTGCCGATAATCTTTGTTAAACCTTCCACCGCTGCAATCGCTGAGAAAGCCCAACAACTTCCTGCCCATGTGTACAGATATATCGGTTACATCATTTTATTATGAAACAAGTTATCTGGTAACTATAAACCTAGCATGATAACCCTAACGTGGGGAATTGTATGTGGAATAATAACCCTAACAAATTTATGTGCATGTATTGACCTAGTGTTTATAATATATAATCATTGTAAGCTTACCAAATGCTCCTTGATTTTTAACAGGTGTTACAGCTCCTTCAGTTCTCCAGTCTTTGCTCTTATTGTCGACATAACTATTGTTCCAATTCTTAGATAACATCGTTTCATTAACCAGCTGTTTGGATAGTGAAGCTAAGTTAATGCTTCCGAGGCCGGTGTGGGTGGCAAAGAACTCTTCTTCTGTCAAATCTGTGAACTCGTTGACGCCAAGTTTGTAGCTTTGGTTCCCCATATTATTGAAGTTCTCAATGAATCTCAAGTTTTTCTTGAACACTTCAAGCCTCCTTTGTTTCTCGATATCATCTTTGTAAACTCCAGAAAACTGAGGTAATCAACAAAGGATGGCTCGTGCAAAGTGATACGAGATGTAGCTTGAGAGTCCCTTATATTCATGGAAATAGTGATTAGAACCACCAACACAGACATTACTATTTACTAACGACGCCATTTTGGTTTTTGTGAATAAAATAAAGAGTTTGTGTTGTAATATAATGGAGAGAAAGAATATTTTATAGGGTGAGGAATGAGAGTTGTGATGTTGGAAGCAAATGGAAGTTGATGACTTTTAATTGCTTCATGATTTTTGGAGGAACAAGTTTATCCATTCTAATTTCTTTCAGCAAGATAACTTTCTAATTCTTTGTATTTTCATCACAATATCATTATCTAAATAAAAATTGATAAGATCTATATATATTTGTTCCTCCAGTAGTTTGCAAACACATTTGTTTATATACTAGCAACTTTAGAGCATCTCCATTGGTTAAAACAACTTGAGACTAAATCTATGATAATACTTTAAAAATATAGTTTAGTTTTTTATTTAAATCTCGAGATAAGGTCTGCCAAAAAAAGTTTAATATGAAAGTTCATTTTAAATCTCTATACTTTCAAGTCAACAATAAATTGAATACTTTGAAGTTTTAAATTGTAGCTAGCTACTTAATTTAAACCAGCAAGTTAAAATAGATTATACTATATACCTTAAGAGGAAGACTTTTCACCCCCAAATAAGACAAGGGAGAAAGAAATCCAATACTAGAAAACTATATAATTACTGAATTTATGATCATTTACTTTAATTTTTTTGTTTAAATCAAAAAACTTGTGATAACTTTTATTTATCAATAATTCTGATTTTAAACTGAGTAGCATGCTGGCTTTTATTAACTATGAAAGATCCGGTTGCATGTTTATATACAATGGTGCATAGCCAAAACCAAATAAAACCGAACTTAAGTTGTTCCATTCACCCACCGACGTCCCACGTAGTTGTTCAAATGTGAAAATCGATCACATGATGCTGCAGAAGTGAGGGTTTTCCTCACTGAACATAGAACCAGAGCTCTCGTCGATAAGACCCGAATAAGGCCGTTCTTGATAGTATCCATGCTCGTGTCCGTGGTAGCCATGCTTGTGGTAGTTGTAGGAACTCACTTTCTCACCGTTCTCCGACATGTTGATTCTTTTGCGAAACTTCTTCTTGAAATACCTGTCGTGATATCCATTAGTTTCGGGGTTGTAAGGGCACGACCATAAGCATACATCTCTCCTCGTAACATTCCTTGCAACCTTCAGAACTTTCATCTCCTCTGCCGAACCAGTCACCGTTACTCTCTGCTGCTTCATGTCTATCTGAACATCACGGACTCCTGTTCCATCCAAGACTTGTTAAATTATCAGGTTTCTTGGGTTTCAAGAAAACTAGTTTAGGATTTTAAAACTCATATATTTACTAGTTAATCACCCTTAATCTTTTCAAGAGCTTTCTTAACTTTGGTCTCGCAACCAGGACAATCCATTGGCACTTCCATTTCCACTACCTGTGTACACATCATACACATTCAATAAAAGTATATACGAGTATTCCTGAAAACTGATAATAGAGGAAGTTACTCACCGTCGTCATCTTTACGGTATAGCGCAAAGAGACCTTATAAATTAGACTTAACAGTTTGGTCGATGGATGACTAGAGGATAAGCGCAAACACACACATATATATATATATGAATCACACCAAGTCAAGAACTTAATCGAGAAGATCTTTAAAAGTCCACGAAATAATATTTATATATTTTGTTGCTTATACAGAAATATCTTGCGAAATTACATGGAACCTACCTTGAAGTCAAAAGCTTATGTGACCGCCTGTTTTACACTGCAAGCAAGCTATAAATCTATTAGTTACATATTTTCATACAGAATATGACAAGATTTTTTTTACATTGCCTCATAATACGACATTTGGCACTCTATATATGTGACATGTGTCATTTTTGTTAAATTTAAATTTTACATTTTAAAATTATTTTGTTTCACTCTATTTTGTTTGTGAGTTATATGTTATATATATAGTTTGCTTAAAAGAAAAGTACCATTATTACAAAATATATTTTCTCTTAAAAAAAATTCGAATCAAAAGTAAAGTATCAAAAAAATCAATTTCTTAAGAGCAATTCATAGTTGTTGTCATATACATATTGTCATGAAGGAGAAGAGATTGAGGAGAGGGGATTATTCTCGAAGATGTGACTGTTTTTGATGATGTAAAAACATTCTTTACCGCTGATATTGATTAAACACCATGGACCTGATTGTATCATTTTTTTTAATACCACCTATATGAGACTAAGAAGAAAAAAAAAACCATGAAGTAGCAGTTTAATGTCTTGGAGAAACCAATTATATTACATTAAACAGCTTAAGAATATTTCACCGCAATGCTTACAAGAAAATGGACTTAGCAAAGCTTCATGATTTATACTCCTGCATATATAGAAACCGCACAAAAAGACAAAATAAGCTCGGCAAGATCCTTAAATAAAGAGAGAAATAACTAGAAGCATAACAAGCAATCCTGGTGATAATACAAGACCATAACCATAACTTAAAAGAGTTGTAAACTTGTCTAGTAGATAGTAATGCAATGATCTCAATGCGTGCGTATGTTGCGGCGCGCATGAGAGACGTCCCAAACTTGCAAATGGGAAAGGTACGCCGCCAATTACAAGTTCAATGTTTATAAATTCGAGTCTCCCACTATATAAATTATAAATTAAAGAAGTAGACTCGTGCTACTATAGACTTAGGTTTCTATATACTTAGCTCCAGATTTACATACTCTTTATCAGATCATGTCATATCTAAATACTATTTATAAAATTATCTTACGTTTTAAGTTAGCGGAAACCAATATATATATATATATATCAAATCTTTGCGCATTCAAATTCTAATTAGTGTAGTTACAACATTACATATTTTTTCTTCCTCAAATAGATTATTTATATTGATGTAAAAGAGTCAATACAAAGTTGATTCTGAAGCCAAACAGGCTGAGAAATAGAATTTGCGTAAAAATTACAATCAATAAAACCATATTAGCTAGACTATGAGCAGCACCATTAGAAGTTCTTTTAACAAAACAGAAAATAATAGAAGAGAATTTCGCAGCCCAGAAATGTATGTCTCGAATTAAACTAATAATAATATGATCAGTTGATTGACCATTAACAACATTATGTATTTTAATCAGTCATATTTATTAACAAAACATCTTGAAAGACTTTCTCTTGTTTTTTTATAAGCCGAAAACAAATAAGTTTTCAATACTTTTTAAGTCATATATAGCCAGATTTTTTTTACGTCATAACTACAAAATTTTGTAACATTCTTCCGTGCAATAATCTACAATAACAAATTCTACCAGTCACCCCATTTCTACTCTTAAATGTGGTGTTAGCTGAAAAAACTAATAACCGTTTAAGCCTAATGACAATAGTTGTCTCCTTTTTTCTTTTCTTTTTTTGAAAAAAATATTTTTTTGAAAAACTCAGTTTTTTTTATTTTTTTTTTATTTTTTTTTGTCGGCAATATTCGTTTTATAACGAAAGCCCTGAAAAGGGCATATTACAAGTACATGATTCAAAGCCTTTTTAGAGCCCAATTTTAAAACCCAAATACATAAAGATGACACGTAAGAGACACGTGTTTGATACAAAACAAAAGGGTTCATGTGTCTGCGGCAAGGATTCGTCGGAACACCATCTGTTGTTCACCACCGCCAAATCTTTGAATCGCCGTCGAGATTGAGCCAACGGCTGTCTTGACCACTAGATGAAGGCTTCATGTCACGTACTTGGAACATCTTTCTACAGATTTCACCACCGCAAATCTAACTGGATCTCGTCGCTTCCGCTTTTATAATTGAAAACTTTTTCAGATTTTCTTCATCTCAACCCAAACTCAAAGAAAGAGGCTTCGCCCATGACCTTAACCAAGGTCACTTCGCATAACGGCGAAGATATTACGGCGAAGATATTATTCTAACTTTTGAGAAGAGTTAAGTCGACGGTAGAACCCAACTGAGAGCAAGCGGAATTTAATCTGCAAGCCTGTAGAAAGAGAAGAAAACAAAAGCAAAAAAACACAATCCGATCTTAGCCCAAAAACGAATCAAGTTAAGTCAGAAATTATTGAAATCCAACTTAGTGGAAAGTAAATCCGATCCAAGTCGGAAAGTATATATACAACAAAAAAACCAGTTAAAACCGGAAGATGATTCCGGTTAACCGGAAATCTTCTTCTCTCTCTGAAAAATGAGTCTGTGTTAAGAGAGAGAAGTTTTTTTTGAAAAAAAAAAAACTCAGATTATTTCATACATTTTGCTACAAAAAGACCCAAAAAAACAACATTATCTCTTTTTTATTGTTTTCCTGAAATACGTAAAGATGGTCGATTCTGGTAAGTTAAGATCAGACGCATACAAAGAGGATATTGGCTAAAATATAATACTATATTTGGATGAACCCATGCTTCATTGCTCCTCCATTCCGATAATCACAAGAATATATAAATTCTATTTGTAAATATGATAGGATTATAAACTAAGTTCTCGAAATATATATATATGAAATATTTTTATCTTCATAGAATAAAGTATATATAGTATCCAACCGTATTTGTACTATAGCCAAAAGTCCAATATAAGAAAGAAAAAAAATAATAATAAAAAAACCGAGCAGAACAAAGAAACAAAATGATGAAAATTAACTACCACGATGCAGAGATCAGCATTTTCGTCCAATATGGTTTGCGATGAGTTCTTTTTTTTTCCTTGTTTTAGTTCACGGTCGTTTTTAATTTATATATTTTGTGAAAACACAAAATCCATTAATTTGGGGAATTTGTTTTTTTTTTTCTTTTTTTCAACAAGTTATTGGGAGATATACGAACTAAAAGTTCTTGTTTTTATTAGATAGTTGGAAATAACTTTATAGAATTAGTTCTACAAGGACGATGTAACTATTTTTGCTTCGATTTCATTGATAATCGATCAATACGATACTTTAAACATAAATTATATATCCTACTTGTTCACAAGTTTTGGAGATTAGTCTGAATTTCATAATCCGAAATCTCTCCATTACTAAAACCAGAAGAAGGTCAATACATATTGGATAAGATGATCATTTTGCTATATTTTAAGAAAACCGATTTATTTATTGAGAAAAAGGTTCAAGCTAAAAACAGTTAAAATATTGCTGATCATTCACGTCTATACGTATTTTGGACTTTCTTTTTTTTTGATCTTGTTCATACTAAATGGACATAAAAAAAGAAACTTTAACAAGTGGAATAAAAAGGTACTCCATTTCTCAATTCAGTTAGAAAGTGGAAAACATCGATTAAAATTCTCTTAAGTGGAACTTCTAATAATTATATTCACAGCACACAATTCTTTATATATTATATTTACGTATGTTATTATTTGATTGGACGAATTTTATCCGTCTAATTAACCTACAACTGTATCGCATTGTAGTTTTTAGTTTTTTTTTTTTTTACATCCCCTTGTTTCTTATGTTTTAATTTTATTACCATTCCATATAGTTGTTGTTTTTTTCTGATAAAACCATATATGATTATTTTGATATGTATATATTAACGTGAAGATATATAATTTGCATTAGATAATTTTGATATATGTAACGTGAAGAATTGAAGATGTATATTTTCCATCTCGTCAATCAAGCATTATCCTTATAAGACAATTTGCATGCAGAAAAGAAAAATATAATTAAAAAGGTGTTAAAAGGTCTAGTGGCCATCGATCTCCCATTTAGCTATCATTTTTGGCAGAGAGAAGTTAGCACTGAATTAGGCTTGGTCATGTTTCTTTAAGACAAAAAAAGAGAGACATAATTATAAAGATTAATACATGCAGTTGTAGTATTGAACGAATCCATTGTAATTAAGTAGTTGCAATGAGAATTTTGGGGTCGAATGAATTTAATATCCTAAAACTCACCACGACCGAGAAACTTTCAAAAATACATTTGATTGGACCATGATTGCATTCGAACGCAAATGCTAATACTACCCTAAACACTAGGGTTACTAGTAAATATAGCTAGATATTATCTCTTAGTTTTATATGAAATCGTAACATTAGTTGCAATATATGTGCATATAAAGATGGGAAAGCTGTTCCTCCAAGTATCACGGCGCAAGTAATGTAAACTATAGCATCACCATTATAGGAGTCAACTTGCAATTTGCTCTCATTTTTCAGTTAGTCCATAACCAACTCCGAAACTTTTCTTTATAAATACCCTTTCTCCTCATCCTCACTTCTTCATCACAACACAATACAAACCCTTTAGATAAAACAAATACGTTTTCATACTTCGTAGTGTGCAAACGTGATTCTTTCATCTATAACAAAATGGCATCGATATTATTCATGTTTCTGACTCTAACTATTCTTTCCATGAGTCTAAAACTCTCTCAAGCCACATCTCGTAGTGTCACCTTCCACGAGCCAATCCTTGCTGACCACCACCAGCAATGGATGACTCAGTTCTCTCGAGTGTATAGCAACGAGCTCGAGAAACAAATGAGATTCAACGTGTTCAAGAAAAACTTGGAATTCATTGAGAAATTTAATAAGAAAGGTGATAGAACCTACAAGCTTGGTGTCAACGAGTTTGCTGATTGGACCAAAGAGGAGTTCATTGCTACCCACACCGGTCTGAAAGGCTTTAATGGGATTCCAACTTCTGACTTTATCGATGAAATGATACCGTCTTGGAATTGGAATGTAAGTGATGTTGCCCGTGAGACCAAAGATTGGAGATACGAAGGAGCTGTAACACCGGTTAAATACCAAGGCCAATGTGGTACGTAAGCTTGCTAGAGTTATACGATTATACTCCAAATATAATTTTGATTATATACGGAGACCAAACTGTGTAATAAACTGCATGCATCATTCTGCATAAAAAAACTTAAACCCCAAGGTAGGGTTACTGTTAGGTTTAAGTACTAAAAAGATTCGTTAATTATCGAAAATAACTAATCAACAATAATGTACAGGATGTTGTTGGGCGTTTTCATCCGTCGCAGCAGTGGAAGGTTTGACAAAGATCGTCGGAGGCAACCTAGTATCACTGTCTGAACAACAACTTCTAGATTGCGACAAGGGTGACAACGGTTGCAACGGTGGAATAATGTCAGACGCTTTCAGCTATATGATTAAAAACCGAGGCATTGCCTCAGAGGCATCATACCCTTACCAAGCGACAGAAGGGAGATGCCGGCTCAATGCAAAACCCTCCGCATGGATCAGAGGGTTCCAGACCGTTCCAAGCAACAACGAGCGGGCATTGCTAGAGGCCGTATCAAGACAGCCAGTCTCAGTGTCCATTGACGCGGATGGTCCCGGTTTCATGCACTACTCAGGAGGAGTGTACGACGAGCCATACTGTGGGACCAGCGTGAACCATGCAGTGACGTTCGTTGGATACGGAACGAGCCCGGAGGGGATCAAGTACTGGCTGGCTAAGAACTCTTGGGGTGAGACTTGGGGAGAGAATGGTTACATTAGGATCCGTAGAGATGTGGCGTGGCCTCAAGGCATGTGTGGTGTGGCTCAGTATGCTTTTTATCCAGTTGCGTAACTAAGCAGCTTTATGAATCATTATATCAATTAAAGTCCTATTATTTTTTAAAAATTTAACCAGCAAAAAATGGTGATCTTGCCATATAAAATATGGTTTACGAATTTGTTTAGATCATGGTCTACATCGCAAAGCTTGACCAATACACTGTATACGTGTATATAATGTTCCATAATATTACATATATAATATATATATATATATTATATAATATAGTTGTTGTAACTTGTAAGAAATGTAAAAGGGATATTAAAATTTATCATCGTTTGAATTATTACAGTATATTGCCTCACCATTTAAAAAAAGTCTAATTTAACATGTGAGAACTTTTTTTTTTCCGTAATTCAATACACCCCTAAATATTTGTGTTATTTTTTACATATTCACCCTAGAAATGAGATTTTACTGCCTAAAATGAATTGTATGTGCTGTCTGACCCAAATTATTATTAAATATATTTAGTCAATTATTGTACAATATATTTGACTAAAATCTATCATTTTCTATATATATAATTATGGTAGATTCTTTAAAATATATAATTTCAAAGCTGCCATATACTTTACAAATAATATATATGGTACATATATAATCTTTCAGCATTTATGGCAAACTTTAAATAAATTTTGTTTAAGCCTATATATATATATATATATATATATATATATATATATATATATGAATCTCATGTAAGTTCTCAAACATTTGGGGTTTTGAAACAAACAAAAAATGGTTGTATTCATCAAAAACAATTTCTTATTGGTTCTCATACTAATTTTACATTCTTTTGTTGTGTCATCGTATGCAAGATTTAGTACGAAGGTTACGGAAAGTGAAATCAGCAATATCTGCTCACATAAAGGAACCAATGCATCATTTTGCGTTGAGTTCCTAAGATCATCCACTGAAGTTGCAACATTGGATCATTCTAGCCTCACCAATTTTTTGATCAATTATAATTTTCAAAAAACCTCAGTTATGCTGACGCAATTCCAATCACTCATAAACAGCACAAGCGATCGCAGTTCTAAGGGTTCCTATGAGGCCTGTTCAGAAATTTTTGACCTTGCTATTGGTCGTTTTGATTCGGCTCTCAAATATTTGTCAACCAAGGACTATAACAATGACTTCTTAATGAACGATGTTAGTAGTACAATTACAATGGCTAAGGATTGTGGATGGGAGCTGTCAAGCGTCGTCAAGCTTAATCCACAGGTTTCGAAAGCGGTTTCTATTGTCGAGAATGTATCTTCTATTGTTCTTGTCCTTTTGGAATGTTTTCTAAGAACAGACAAAACGTTGTGTTATTAATCAATACCCAAATCTATAATAAAATAATAATAATAATGTTGTTTGGTATGGTGTTGTCAATTTCCACTTTATTGGAATGTTATTTGGTATACTACATAGCATTTTACATTTCTGTGCTTCGTGGAATACAAGAAACAAATATTGAAGTGGTCAAAGTTGCGAGAGAGCCAATTTATTTATGGATTATTCCCTTATAAGTAGTATTGAAGTGGTCAAAGCTGTGAGAGCTAATTGAATTGTTTTTATTAAACCTTTTTAAGTATTCAATTTATTTATGGATTATTCCCTTAAAAGCCATCGCCAGTCAAAGCCAATTGTTTATATTAAATTGTGATTTTATATATTAATTGATTCACGACGATGGAGATCAAATCTCTAAAGACATATGATTCGTTCATCAGAAACGTAAATATAATTAAGGTTGCTACTATATATGTAGATAAATAGATCTTCAATTCAATTCATTCTAGAAAATGAAACTGTGATGATATATACGTTCGTAGTAACAAACTAACAATAGATTAACACCAAACCCAAGAAAAAAAAGTAACAATAGATTTATATGCATGTAATGAACGAATGGAAATTAAAAAGTTGTCTTGATACAAACAAAAGAATGGATAAAGTTAGTTAAGTATTGAAGGTATTACTAGTTAAATCTCATTCTCATTAATTAATGTAAAGTATACAATTGTGGGTTTATATACAAAGACCTGAGACCTAAACCAAAGCCAATAACCAATTCTACTCTAATTCAATTCTTCGGTTTATACTGGTTTATACAAAATACCAGTGTACAAAGACTCTTATACATATATACACTAATATGCCCCCTCAAGATGGGACGAAGATACTTCGAAGACCCATCTTGCCAAAATGCTGATGGAATGGTGCAGGGTAGAGAGCTTTTGTAAACGGATCAGCAAGCTGCAAAGTAGTATCAACATGAAGTAATTGAAACAAACCTGCAACTAACCTTTCACGGATGCTGTGACAGTCATTCTCAATGTGTTTTGTCCTCTCGTGGAAGACAGCATTGTTTGCAATATGAATGGCTGCAGTACTATCACAGAAGAGTAGAGTAGGCTTGGAGAGAGGGATCTTCAATTCTTTGAAGAAGTTTGTGATCTAAACCAGTTCATCAGTTGACTTGGAGAGACTTCTATATTCAGCTTCAGCAGAACTTTTAGAGACCACTTGCTGTTTCTTAGATTTCCAGGAAAGGAGTGAGGTACCAAGAAACAAGCAAAAACCAGAGGTTGATCGCCTAGTGTCTTTACAAGAAGAATAAGAAGCATCTGCAAACATTTGTAATTGTAATTCTGATTGAGAGGAATAAAAGAGACCTTGACCAATGGTGCCCTTGAAGGATCTTGTAGGCAGCTTGTTGATGTGCAACTCGAGGAGCCTGAGAGTACTGACTAAGTTTGTTGACAGCAAATGTGATGTCAGGCCTTGTGATTTGCAGGTACATCAAGCGCCCAATGAGACGACGATATGATTCAGCATCAACCAAGTCACCACCCTTATCTTTTGCAAAGGTAACATGCGGGTCCATGGGAATGTTGGAAGGCTTACAGCCAAGGAGACCTGTGTCAGCAAGTAGATCAAGAGCATACTTACGCTGACAAATGTGAATACCTTCAGAAGATCTGGCTATTTCCCATCCAAGAAAATATTTCAGTGGACCAAGATCCCGCAGTTTGAAGAAGGAATGAAGTTGTGACTTGAGAAGATCCACCTCTGAATCATTGTTACTAGAGATTATGATATCATCAACATAAACTAACACACATAAGAAAAGAGTGTCAGTTATTTTGAGAAAGCATGTGTGATCAGCATTAGACTGAGTGAATCCCAAAGACAATAATGTTGATGAAAACTTCAGGAACCATTGCCTAGAGGCTTGTTTGAGGCCATAGAGAGACTTCTCTAACTTACACACTGCATTAGGTGGTAAACTAACTCCTTTTCTGTCAGCATAGCCAGGAGGAAGTTGCATATAGATTTCTTCATCTAAATCACCGTTCAGGAAAGCATTAGATATGTCAAGTTGTGTAAGAGAGAATCCATGAATGGCAGATAAAGCAAGAATAAGCTTGACAGATGTCAACTTCACAACTGGAGAGAAGGTTTCATTATAATCAATCCCTGCTTTTTGGGTATAACCTTTTGCGACCAGCCTTGCTTTATATCTTTCAACAGTACCATCAGAGTTAAACTTAACCTTGAAAACCCATTTGCAACCAATAGGAGTTTTATCGGGTGGAAGAGTGCAAATGGTCCAAGTAGCAGTCTCTTCCAAAGCATCCACTTCATCATCCATGGCTCCACACCAAACCAGAATTTCCTTTGCCTCAGCATAGGTTGAGGGTTCTTTTACTTTGTCAATGGCAACCAAGAAAGAAAGATAAAGAGGGTGAATCTGATCATATGAAAGAAACTGAGATATTTCATGAATGGTTGAAGACCCTACTGAATGACAGTAGTAGTCTTGAAGATAAGCAGGCTGTTTGGTCTTCTTGTGAGATGTTTGAACAGAAGGTTCAAGGACATTTATAGGATCAACAGAAGGTTGAATCTCTACAGAAGATGATGATGTAGAAGCACCAGCATCAAGATTATTGGGAACCACAGGAAGAGATGGAATCTGATCAGGAAAAAGAATGTGTATATCCTGTGAAGTATCAGTTCCAAGAAAAGGAAAGAGCTCCTCATGAAACACCACATGTCGAGAAAGAATGATGGTGTTTGATTCAATATCAAGTAACTTGTAACCTTTGTATCCACTAGGATAACCAAGAAAGGCACAGGCACGAGCTCTAGGGTCAAATTTATGTCTGTTTTTGGGTGAAGTTGAGGCATAACAAAGACATCCAAAGACTTTAAGTTGAGAATAGTCAGGAATAGTTTTTGTTAGAACCTCAAATGGACTTTTGTCTTTCAGAATAGGAGCATGAGTGCGATTAATAAGATGAACTGCAGTAAGAATGCAGTCACCCCAGTAAGGAAAAGGAATCTGAGATTGAAAGAAGAGAGAACGAGCAACATTTTAAATGTGCTGATGTTTCCTTTCAACAACAGAGTTTTGCTGTGGGGTTTCAGGACAAGAGTGATATGGCAAAATACCCTTAGATTGATAAAAAGAAGTGAAATTGAGTTCTGGAGCATTGTCTGATCTAACCCCTTTAACCTTAGTTTCAAACTGAGTTTCTACCATGTTAATGAATTGAGGAAAGACTTGCAAAACATCAGATTTGTTCCTAAGGAGATAAACCCAGGTGGCTCTAGAAAAATCATCAACAATAGTTAAGAAATACCTAAAACCATCATGAGTAGGGATTAAAAAAGGACCCCAACTGTCAATATGAACCAAGTCAAAAGGATTTGAACAAATTTTATTTTTAGAAACAAAAGGAAGATGTTTCTGTTTGGCCAAATGGCAGACCTTACAATGGAAATTTGTATCTATTTTTGCTTTTTCTAATGACAATATGGATTGCATTGGTTGAAGTTTAGACATAGAAGGATGACCTAAACGGCTATGCCAAAGTTCAGGACTAGAAACAGTGGCAGCAACAACAGAAAGAGAATTACCTGGACAGGTTAAAGACTCTATATCCAAGAAGTAGAGATTAGCAACTTGTTTTCCCTTTCCAATCATTAATCCCCGAGTAGGATCCTGTATAGAACAAGAAATGTCATCAAACCAGACACGACAACCCATACTCTTGGTTAGACAACTGACACTTAAGAGGTTAAATTTGAATTGAGGGATGTACAGAACATCGTGAAGGACCAAAGTGCTACCCAAATGTATTGTACCTATCCCAACAATATGAATTGGTTTAAAGGAAAGGAAAGAAGATTTCTCATGAGAGATATGATTTGTAGCTCCTGAATCGATAACCCAAGCAGAAATGGCAGGAATATTGCCATGAAGAGAACAGACATAGGGTCTATCAATGCTGGTAAAAGAACAAAGGATAGAAGGTGAAATTGTACCAGACATTGGACCAATGGTTGAGGAAGAAGGGACAGAGGAAACTGAGACAGAGTGAACTTCTGGTGTGGGAGTGAAGCTTGGAGGTTGAAGCTTACTGGTAAGGAAGGACATGAGTTGTTGAATTTGAGTAGCAGACAGTTCACCAACAGGATCAGAAGATACTGGTGATCCATCATCAAGAGCAACATTAGCAACAACAGCTTTGTCTGATCGTTGATTCGGTTTAAAGCTTGTTGGATATCCATGTTTCTTCCAGCATTTGTCAACCACATGACCAGCTTTCCCACAGAAGGTGCATTGAGGTCGATTCCCTTTCTGGTGACTTGAAGAAGACTGCTGAGAAGTATTATACCCCTGAGACTGTGATACCTGGAAGGCAGCAGAGTTGAGGTCGCTGGTGACAGGAACCTTAACTGTCTTCTGGTTATCATCTTGGTCAAGGAGATTATAAATCTCAGAAAGAGATGGAAGAGTCTTCTTCATGAGGATATGACTTCTGATATTGTCATATGACTCATTCAACCCCATTAAGAAGTCAATAACACGATTAGTCTCTTTCTCTGCAAGAAGATCCTCAACAGTGTGTGGAGTAGTTTGAATGTTGGATAGTTCTTCCCACAGAGTTTGAGTCTGAGTGTGGTAAGAAGATAAATCCAAACTACCTTGCTAAAGAGAGTGAAGCTGATGACGAAGCTTGTACAGGCGAGGAAGATTTGATTTGTGAAAGCGAGTGCGAAGATCCTTCCAAATATCAGAGGAATGCTTGATATACAGAATGCTGGAGTAGATCTTCTTAAAGACGCTATTCAACAACCAAGATTTCACCATAGAATTGCAACGACACCAGATCTTGAAATACGGATCATATTCATCCGGTTTTGCAATAGAACCATCAAGAAATCCAAGTTTATTCTTAGCTTCAAGACTCGTAACCATAGCAACATACCAAACATTGTAATTGTTACCATCAAGAGGTTCCGAGACTAAGACTAAACCAGGATGATCCGAGCTATGCAAATGAAAGGGAGAATGAATATTATCCGGCGAGTCTGATACCTCAAAAGGATCATGAGACGGAGAAGAGAGAGATCAGCGAGCTGAAGCACGATCCGGATGAGCAGAAGCACGATTCACCGTTCCCGAAGCCATTTGAGACGAGTTACGAACAGATTTCTCGCCATGACCACGAAGTGACACAGCAGTGCCGGATTCAGGTGAATCGGGAGCTAGAGTACGAAACGTCGACTTGCAATTGCGTTTTCCCATTGACGACTTAAACAGCTTTGAAGAGATGAAATCGGAGCTGAATAAGATGAGGAGAACGAGAGCAAGAGGCGAATCAAAGAAGAAGAAGCTCAAAACAATGAGATCGGAAGAAAATTCCGACGAGATTCCGATGAGATTTCGATGAGAAGCGGAAGAGAGTTTGTTACGAATCGAAATGCTCTGATACCATATTACTAGTTAAATCTCATTCTCATTAATTAATGTAAAGTATACAATTGTGGGTTTATATACAAAGACCTGAGGCCTAAACCAAAGCCAATAACCAATTCTACTCTAATTCTATTCTTCGGTTTATACTGGTTTATACAAAATACCAGTGTACAAAGACTCTTATACATATATACACTAATAGAAGGTGATGAGAGATTCGTGTATTGAACGAATTTATTTCACTATCATAATCATAATCATAATCTTTAGAGTACTGCATATAGAAGATTTCCTAAACTATAATGGAAAAAAATATATAAAAAAAAAATATCTTCAAAAGGTAAATAGAATATATTCTCATTAAATTTTATGACCTTCTTTGGTCCAATTTGATATATTTCCATAAGAAGATCATGAAGCAAAGTAATGCAAACTAATAACATCACCACAATATATAGAGCCAACTTGCTTTCGCTTCCATCGTAGCAACTCATTCCTCAATCTATAAAATACCCTTACTTCTCCCATTCTCACTTCTTCACCCACCACAATTCAACACAACTAAACCCCCTTAACATATCACTCGAAATTCATGTTTTTAGTGTAAACGTGGTTCTTTTTTTCTTCTTCTTCATATTATTCTATTTATAATATTCACCAAAACCAAAATATGGTCTCAATGGTGTTTATGTTCGTGGTACTAATCATGTTTTCGATGGATATAAGAATCTCTCAAGCTACATCTCGTATCACTTTGCATGAGCCGTCCATTGTTGATTACCACCAGCAATGGATGCTTCAATTCTCTCGAGTTTACAAGGATGACTTCGAGAAACAAAGGAGGCTTGAAGTGTTTAACAAAAACTTGAAATTCATTGAAGACTTCAATAATATGGGGAACCAAAGCTACAAACTTGGTGTCAACGAGTTCACGGATTTGACCGAAGAGGAGTTCCTTGCCACCCACAGCGGTCTAAGGGACGTTAATGTAACTTCACCATCTGAAGTTGTTAATGAGACGATGTCATCTTGGTATTGGAACGCTAGTGAAATCGTCAGCATAAGCAAAGACTGGAGAACGGAAGGAGCTGTGACACCAGTTAAATCTCAAGGAGGATGTGGTAAGTATAAGCTTGTCGTAATTGTGATTATATTATATACACTCGCTACACGCATTACATTCCACATTCAAATCTTGATCCCCAAGTTAGGGTTTATAGTAACCAAAATATTTGGGCACGCATGCAGGAGGTTGTTGGGCGTTCGCAGCGATTGCAGCGGTGGAAGGTGCGACAAAGATTGCCGGAAGAAACCTCATATCACTGTCCGAACAGCAGCTTCTAGATTGCGCCAATAACCATGGTTGCAAGGGAGGAACAATGATAGAAGCTTACAACTACATAATAAAAAACCGAGGCATTGCTTCAGAAAAAGTATACCCTTACCGTGTGAAAGAGGGCCAGTGCCGGTTCATTAGACCCGCCACACAAATCAGAGGGTTCCGAAACGTTCCATTCAACAGCGAACGTGCGTTACTCCAAGCCGTATCAAGACAGCCTGTATCAGTGGGCATTAGCGACAGGGGCGCAGGTTTCTTTCAATACAAAGGGGGAGTGTACAACCCGCCGGACTGTGGGATCAACGTGAATCATGCAGTGACGCTCGTTGGGTATGGGACGAGCCGTGACGGGATCAAGTACTGGTTGGTTAAGAACTCTTGGGGTAGGAGTTGGGGAGAGTATGGTTACATGAGGATTCGTAGAGATGTTCAGTGGCCTCAAGGCATGTGTGGTTTAGCTCAGTATGCATCTTATCCGCTTGCATAACTGATTTGGTTTAGATTATTTATGTTGACGTTATAATAATTCATAGATTATGTGATGTTTGAATCATCTACTATTCCAAATGTTACGTGAAGATAAACAAAAAGAAGAAAATTATAATATTTAGTATTCGGTTGTTTAATTAGTATGTTTTCGTTCACGCAAGTATCTTTCTAATATAAATGTGACAATGTCCATGTTAGGACTAGGACAAGATTCACCGTTGCCTTTATGTGATGATTGGGTCATTGATCATCACCATAGTCAGATTCACACGGACGTGTCTAAACCGCAGCTGAGCTCTCGTTTATACTATAATAAAGCAGTGCATATATAATTATATGTTTTTTCAAATATTAGCATATGAACATAGACAATATAATCAAAACGCGAAAACTAGTTTCCAACTGTTATTGAAAAAACCGTTTATTTACAGAAAGCGATTCCCAAGGAAAAGTTTGATGGCGGTGTCGGGATCCCCAACATTCTGTTTGGATTTTGATCACTTTTGGATAAATCTGTTTTGGTAGTTTTTTCTCTTCATTCGATGGGAATGTGTTATGTCATGTAAAGTTATGTTGTGACCGAGACTTTCCTTCGAATGGAGAGTTTGGGTACGCGTTGCGCTGTCACTGATAAGATTGGGTTTTGTTTAAAAGGCTTTTAGACATTGAGTTGTAGAAATAAAAAGATAAAGAGGCCTTTTATAGGCCCATTTTGGAAAGAAAGAGGAGAGTTTTTAACTTTGTCCCACATCGTTTAGGCAGAGAGAGGATGGTGGTGAAGTATCCCTATAAAATAGAAAGAGCTGTGAACGTTATTAGGTATGATCCTTCAGGCAAGTTGAAGGGGAAATGATGTATGGTAAAAACTCGCTAAATTGCGAGATGAGCGTTCCACCCAAAGCCTGTTACGACTATTGGGCGCTCTCCTTTTTTACACAATCTGATCCCTCCCTTCTCTTTCCCACCAATAAGGATCTTTTTTTTCTTTGTTTAGTTTTTGTTTTTCTTTCTAAAACCTAGTTATTTAAATAAATTTACTTTAAATAATCCTATTAAAATTTAGTTCAAGGTTAAGTAACTTTTAAGTTGCTTGACATTAAAACCCAAAACAAAATTTTATATGTAGGTAGAATAAGTAAAAATTAAAATGATTGTATCTAGCGTAACGTGTGTGTGGATTTGGGAGACTCTACGGTTCAGCTGTGATGGATTCCATGAACATTGACTTACTTATAACAAAATCAAGAATGCATAAAAGAGCTAAACACAGAAAAGAGCTCATAAAATCTGATCAAATCATGTTTCTCATTGTATCTTCAGGCAAACAAAAAAAAATATCAAACAAGATTACAGATAGAGAACACTCAAGCCCGTTTGCCACTGCTAGGGTTGGACTTGGGACAGAGGTTCCAACGTCCCTTGGCACGTCGGCGCTTAATGGTTGCTCTACCACTAGTGGTCCTCATCCTCCTACGGAAACCATGAGTCCTAGCCAGAGATTTTCTTGATCTGCTTCTCTTTGTTTGACACAGAGCAGCTTTTCCAGCTCTCACCACAAGGCCTCTTCGTCTCTGACCATTCAGTCCACTAGTTTGACCGCTGAGATCGAACGCGATGGACAAACCTGAAAAGACAACAACACCATTTAGATACATGTGACATTGTAGGTTCGGTAGTATATGAAGCTGGTAATTATGGAACCGGTAAACTCCATCACTAGATTCACCAAAGAACCACAACAATACTAGAGACTCTATTAATTAGAGGATATCCTAAACTCTCGACACACTACCCAGAGAACCAAGACCTAGACAAATCCGAAATGATCCTAATGCATTCTCCTAGGTACCCTTTTAATCCTCGAGCTATCACGTAACCATAAGTTCTGTTGCTGCTGAACTGGCAAAGCTTATATAATTCACTGCTCAACCCATAGGCTTGTTACAATGGTCCTACAAATAGACTTTATAACAAAGTTATGATCAAGGGAGCAGTTAAAGTCCATGTGACACTTTTGAAGCAGCTTGTGTACAAAATCTATAAGCATTGAACCTAAGTAATCGCCTTGAGCTAGAAGAGAGACAAAGAAAGTGGATAGAACTAAGTTGGATCTCAAAGAGTTCAACAAATAAAACAAACACGCCAATAGCTTGAGGTATACTGTGTATAATAAGCTAAATGCCAACATTATTGTACTGAAAAACAAACAACATTTACTTGCGGCTACAACTACATGAGCTAAGATATGGATCTCAGAAACTTAACTGATCAGATATTGAGGCTTAACTTGCTAAATTAAATGTCTTCACTTGTTATTATTATGAACTTATCAGGAGATTCCCATAAAAAAAATGGCTCCCCTCACTCCCTAATCGAATTCACCATGACAACAGCTATGTTATACAATTCCCAAAATTCTCGAATTTATAAGCTCGAAAAGTAGGCTAGAGCCAAACCCATACGCAAACAGCGATAATCCACCACATCCAAACAAGACAGGAGAAGTAGAAATTCAAAATTGGCGAGAAAATATGATACAACATTACGAAAACAACAGAAGCAGCTAAACACAAACAATACTTGGAACCAATTTGAAGAATATTTACCAGAAAATGGTGACGCTAGGGAGAGAGGTGAAGAGAGAAACGAGCAGTGGAGAAGCTGCGAAGAAGCGGAAGAGCTGAGAGCACACTGACTCCGTCTCGAACCATTACGCAGAGTGAGCGAAGCGGAAGGAACACCAATTTTGCCATTGGAAGCAGGATTCCATAGACGCGACGAAGCCGAAGCTACAACGGAAGTGGATAAGGAAGCCATTCAAGTTCCCACTTCTTCTTATCTCCAAAAACCCAATTCTCTTTTTTTTTCTCCGCAACCTTTTTACATAGTGTAGAGACTTCATCCCCTACGGGCGATACCACCGTAAACAGAACTCATGGAGTGGATACTTCAGCCCAATAAGCCCATAAAGCCCAACAACTGTTCTCTATTGTCAACTTACATAAGTCAAAAACAAATGTCATAGCCGATGGCATCGACCGGGAATGGGATCACACCGGTCGTCACATAGGAAAAGCAGATTACAAATGTTAAACGGATTAAGACCGGCCGGATCATAAATCAGGTTAAGCCCCAGATGTTGAACCAGATGGAGTAGAAGCATTGTATGCGGTTCTGTGATCAAATTTTGCTATCATATATAAATGTTCCAAACAAGCACTCTATATAACAGGGAGCGAGAAGAACCACAAAATGTTGTAATCTAAGGATATTTCTACAACTTGTCATCAACATTCATCAAGGGGCATTTTTTTTTTGGGTTTACAAAACTATGTATGTCATGAGTCTCTCTATCTTTTGAACATCTTGGACCACATGTAGAGGATAAAGAAGAGGAGGAGCGCAAAAAGAACCACGTGCATGATGTGGTTGTTGCCGCTACGGATTATGCTCAAGTTCAGTTTCCTTATGTTGTTCTTCACCCCAGCTTGCGCTCTGATCAATGTCATTTGCTGTCACAAAAGAAAAAACACCATTCAGACTTCATGTTTCAGACAACAACAGTTTCATGTATAACAGCACTTAATATTCATGTTTCTGCAGTCTCACACAACCAAACCTAGTTGTTAGTCATTATCTTCTTTTGGATGTTCTTTAGGTGAGAAAAGAAAAACTAGACCGAACGTAAAGCGTTAAACACCATATTCTCTTTCACAATGATAAGCTGACACCATTTCCTGCTTCATTCACCTAATTAGGGGAGGTGGAAGATATCTATTCGGTTATTCCTACCCACAAGAGGTCAGGCCAGATTCTGCCTATGAGTCTGAACTAAATCTAAACTATGCATTTCACAAGATTCATCGGTTTGTAACCTACTGTGGAATTTATCTAACATGGGTTCGGATTATCCTATAGTTTCCCAAACAATGAATACAACAATTTGAAACAAGTTAAAGGAACCCATATTCGCATATTTTATATAATCAGTGATTCCCTTACAACGTAAAGAACAAGTGCATGTTGCTGCTGTTCGGATATGTTTATAATAAATACATAAAAAAAACTTAAGCGACAATCAACAACATACCAGTTCATCTAAGAAGTCCCTCTGAAACTTCGCTTCTGACCCAATTTCTTGAGCAATCTGCATCAAAATAAAGGATCAATGAAATAACCAAAATCATGAGGAACAAGTTATGTTTAAGGTAAACACATCATGAATTGTAGAGAATGTCGACGGATCCCTTCAACAAGCAAAGACAATTTTAATAAAAGATATTAGATAAGTAGAGTTTCATTTGATAAGTCCTCTAATTAACAACAAACTCACTGATGAGTAAAAATATACATTATCGTAGTATATACCCTGAACCAAAAACACATATCCAAAGATATTACCAAAATTGCAGCCATTGCCAAGACCAAAAAAGCAGTATTAGAAACAGAGTCGTTTGGGATTGCCTAACACAGACATTTACCTCATCCCTAATCAACTAGCCATTGCCATAAGCCATCAGAACTACAAAACACACGATAAAAATTGGGATATTGAGGGTTTCTCTTACATTTTTCAACTGTCTGACTTGGCCATGGAGACCACTGATCTCGTCATCAAGATCAGAGTGCATAGGATCAATCCTCAGCTGGATTTCCTCTGAACCAGCAGCATTTCTAGTGCTAAGCCCTTCCCTGCGACCAAATTACAAATCTAGAAACCTTAAATAATCCATTATATAAATAAAAATCAATTTCAAAAAAAATAAAAGAGAGACTGATAAATAGAACAATACCCGGATCTATACGGAGCAGCGCCGCCGTATAGAGAACCACCGGCACCGCCTCTGTGAGGATTAGACGCCATCGACGCGAAATCTGAGAGGGAATTTTTTTAAAAAAATACCTAAATTCGAAATCTGCTGAGGTTAAAAGAATCGAAATCGAGATCGAGAAATCGCAAATCGAAAGAACAGAAGAACAATTTTGAAAAATCAGAGGAAAAATTCGAGAAACGAAAAGTGTAAATCCGACGATCGATGAAACGAAGCTGGCGGGTTCTCTTCGGTTCAATGATAAAGGACTCAATATACACGCGGCGCTGTAATATTGGTTAGTCTTCGTCATATTATTTTAGTTTTGTAATTGTCATTTTGTTTATGGGCTTTTTAAGATGGGCTGATCCAAACCTACGAGGCCACAGGTGACTAAACATTAGCGATATCGATATTAGCAAAATTGTATCACTAAACTAGCAAAACAAAACATATTATCATAGAAAACTAGAATATTCAGTTTTGGTTTTACAAAGTTCCATACCTTTAGTTTTGATAGCATATTCATGGTTACATGTTGACATGAAATAATTTGATATCTACGACAAAAACAGTGAATTTTTGTAAAGGTAATTAATTGTACATTTATTAATTAACAAAAATCTTAGAAACGGACAGTTTAATTTCAAAGATTCGTATTTTATTTTCGGTTTATATCTATATAAGGTCTGAATTTTCTAACTAATATAGTGAGCATCTGTCCTTCATACACTTATCTAACAAGTAACAATTGGTTTTGTCTTGTACCCATCATACTAGTCTTGAGTCTCTTGTCCTATCTACTTTTGATTTCGTCTGACATTATAAGTATATTATTTATTCATACGGTCCATGTTGCATTGGACAAAACTATCTATTAGTCATATTCAAACATATGTGACCAGTGACCTTCCACCATCGTATTTTACGTGCGTCGTGTCTTTTTTAGTTTCTTGAAAGCAGAATTACATGTACCCCATATTATTAGCTATAGTAGTAAGAAACAATTTATTACCAAAACTGGTTCAATGATATGTGTTTTCCTTTTTACAATATAAACTTATGGTTATGGCTGTCAGTGCGAGGAAAGACACCTTATGGTATTGTGAAGATGAAACCGTGCTGTTCAAACTATGACTAAGCACAGACAAAACTCTTTGCTATACTCAAGATCTAACCACAGTTGGAGTAGTCTAAACCATGGTTAGATATGCTTTTGGGACCACACAGAGAAGAAACGGATACATTGCGAGAGTGATGTTTTGCAGGTTGTCTTCTAGTGATTACAAAAGAGGAAGGGAGTTTTGTTGTTGTCTGCAGAAGCGTCAGAGGCTAGCTGGTTTGGCTGCGAGTGACAAGGCAGGCTGCTTTAGGTCAGAACACGAGGTATCATGTGTGTTACTATAAAAGGAACATTAAGGAGAGGTCGCTGTTGTTAAGGTTGATGCGACAGAGAGAGAGTTAGAGAAAACTTGTATTGGCATAAACTTGTTCTTGTTTTCTCTTTGGTTTTGGGTTCTTACGAAGTGTGCTCTAAGTGCTAGTGAAGGGCATTAGAGTGGATCACTTGTAGTTCCTGTTATTGTATTCTCTGTGAGTATCTAGTGGATTCCGAGCACCGACTCGGCCCAGACGTAGCTACCCTTTTGGGAGTGAACTGGGTAAACAAACTTGCTTGTGTGTGCTCTGTTTTTCTTTCTCACCTGCAAGTCCTCTGTTTCTCTCAAATCTCTTTCTCTCTCAGTTCCGCTTCTCTGTTCTTGGTTTGTTGTGGCTCTTCTCACAAGGAAAGTCGAAACCTTTGTGGTTAGAAAGCTCAACAGGTACGAATATATTAAATATATTTGAACTAGATGAAGTAAACAGTAAACAGAAACAAAAGAATCGGCAAGAATAGAGGTAGAGAAGTTCGATGGTCGTGGAGATTACACCATGTGGAAAGAGAAACTCTTGGCTCACCTAGGTGTCACCACTAAGCAACAAAGACGTACTACATTAGCATATGTTGATGTATTGTAAGTTGGTTAATAAAGCCCACCACTACCTCACAAAATCACAACTTGGTTGACTTTTCGTTCTTGTATTCGATTTGCCATCATTATTATCTCCCAAGTTTTAGTCCACTGACTCCGTCGTATATAAAATCCAAAACTATCAAATTATACGACAAACGAACACTACAATACTTTTCAACTCTTCTAATTTAGTTGGACTGCAAAAAAGAAACATATTCATGAACCATTATGTATATATGACCGTACCGTACTACGTTAACGAAAAAATATCGAAAACTCTATAGATTTATTTTCAGTATAATCATTAATCTTGAAACATCAGTAAATGGATGGATAACTACCCAATCTCATACAAACAAATTTGTGCTCGTTTTTGTGTATTTCTGATTCCTAATTATCATCACTAAGTTAGATGTCGTCCATATATAGATAAATATTATATAGTTGTTAATCTATTAATTGTGAAGTGGATGGTTAAATAATTGACACTTGAAGGAAAGAAGAACTGCGGAACAAAGCATGTTCCATATTTGTTAATTGATACACTCTACAAGTCACACTTAGAATAGCATAATTATCTTATATGATATACAACTTGATAATTATAAAATCATTGTCTAAAGAAAGACATATCTTATCTAAATGACCAGTATGTACATTTAACACAGCAGCCAATATGGAATGACAAGTAATCTCTATTACGTGATTATCCTTTTATAACAATATGATTTATTCATGTTCTTTTGATAAGTTTTATACATGCATTGTGCTTTCTTTATATAATTTACATTAAAACAAGACAACTAACATTTTCCGTTGTCACATCCAGTTGCAGTTGTTGTGCCAATTGCATAAATCAGTTAGCATCATCATATATTTTGGGTGATCAAAATCAGAAGTTGAAATCTTAACTAATTTTTCGAGTATGTATTCAGTATTTCACTATACACAGTATTAAAGTTTCGTAGTGGCTCAGAAAAAGTATGTCTAATGACAATATAATGGATCCAACAATTACAATACAACGAGCATGAACAAAAGTTTTGTTGAATCCACCACCTTCACATCTCCACTGAAATATCTAACTCCAAACCACATAATAAAATCTTATAAACACAACAAAAAGAAAAAACCAATCACTTCATCCAATTTTATGGCTTGTGTTAACATATAAGAAAAGTAAGAAAAGACAAAGAAAGAAAGCTAAGAAGACGTGAATTGGTCGATCCAATTATATTGTAATTTCCAAATACAAAAAAATATAAATAGATGTATTAGTGGATACGGAACTTGGGTAAGCACTACCTAGAAGCAACGTTGGCCACCAAACAAAAGCCACTCATTGGAACAACGTGTGTGGAACCCGATTTACGAGCCTCATGGGACCCTAACGGCCCATCTATTTCATATGTATTTTTAGTTGACCAATATGGTTCACACCCGTATGGTATACCACTCGGATGGAGATGTGTGTGTGTGTGTTCGTATTTGTCAACATGCATATTCATGTTAATCAAATTTATTCTAATTAAATAGTTAGGTTACCTAAATGTATGAAGTACCAAAAACTACAAAAAAAAAAATAAAAAAAAAAAAATAAATCGTAAGAGCGAGCTAGATCTATCACTATGTGCAAGAAAATGTTAGATTTCTATGGTTTATAAAATACTATTTTCTTTTCGATTAATAAACTATAGAAGACAAATCTTCAACTATAACAAGATAAGATAACATTGTTTTTTTTTATAGAATCAGTTGTTAGTTAAGGATTCTCTATTGGTTTAAATTAAAACTAGCAATAGAATAACCATTTTTAAGCTGTTAAAACATAATGGGGTTATTTGACGATCATTTCATGAGAGCCTCGGATTATTTAACATGGTTAACCCTCTAAAATATGCATAAATATTAAGTCATTATATCTTGTGATCTTTCACCACTTTATCATACTGATAAGTTAATCAATAACCACACAAATCCTTCAATTTTTTTATAACAAAACCCTATGGTTAGCCGTTCAGGACAACAAGTTCGAATCGAAGATTACAATATGTAACCACATGATTTAACCGAACCGGCCTATCTATATTAAGACCACATAGTTGCTTTTGTCTGTTATATAAACTAGAAAAGTCTCACGAGAGCCGCCGTCCGTGACACAGAGAGACAAACAATAATACGAAACTCTTAATTCTTATAAATCTTTTTCGAGAACTAAATATTCCCAAGTACTTTGCAACAATTAACGTAGACAAAATAGATAAAATTATCCAAATTCCCTACGTGTCGACTTTTGCAAACACACTTCCTCTGAAGGTTCCTTCACAATCTCTCGTTCAAATATCGACAACGACTTTTTTAACTTGTGGCATCCCCAAAGATTACTTTAAAAAAAAAAAAAAAACTCCTTGACCAACCATACAAAAATGATATTTTACTCATGATTTTACAACGGAATAAGTTTTAAAGCATATCACTGAACTTAATGTAGTAACATGAAAACACCAATTGTTAGAATGTCATTTACTATCTCAATTTTAGTTGCTTAAAAATGTATAATAAAAATTTTGTCATATAAAAGCAAGTCCTAAATTTTAGAAATAAAAAAATCCAAAATCCTAGTGAAAATATCATAAAATAGCTAGGAAATCAAAGTTGAAAACATTGCTTGAAGATGACAGTCGAAATGATTCGGCAATATATAATAATATGATTGTTAGCAGGGGAAATGATTGGTTGCCTTGATATAATTCTTATGTTTGCTTGACAGCAAAAAAATGATTTGGTCTTTAAAAACAAAAAAGAATAGAAAACATATTATTGTATATGATGATTGATGAACTCAAGAAACATAGACTGTTATTAGAACAAAATCAATACAAGATATCATATGACTGATTAATACTAATATTTACTCAATCACCTCCTAATTAAATAATAAAATCTTCTATTATCCGGTCGATTCTAACAAGTATGTATCATTTTTTTTTTATGTCTATATCATCGATTGCATGGTAAAGATGATTTCTACACGTAACAGTATAGTAAAGATTATTTTACGGTATAATATTAATAAGGTAATTTATTTTGTTTATGCGAAATCTCATGCAATATTTTCTGCATGATTCGCTATACACTAAACTAAACTAAACACTGTGTTATAAGAATCCTTAAATAATAAAAGAAAAAAAACGAAGAAACATCCAACTAATATTACCTGTCTTTGTACTGTCTCAAATCTTGTATTATCAATTTTAATGTTTTTGCGACACAAAATAAAATAAAGTATAGTCTGATCTCTCACACAGAGCAGATGGCGTAAGAGCATGTGAAGTTTGATGAAAAATGATTAAGTTGTTCCCGTGACCTGCAGACCAAACGGAATGTCCACGGTCCATATATATAACCTTTTTCATCGTTCGTGGAACCTAATTGCCCCAAGTAAACCTAAATAATACTCTACTCTTTTTTAGTCAAATATGTACTTTGTTTTCTCGTCAGAGATTTATAGATTTATATAGAAAACTTTGTTTCAGCAATTTATGGAAGAATAATTATATGAAATTGACTTCATATCCGACTTTGAAGGATTTGGGAGATAAAACCATATGAATTGCCTGAAAAACTATTTTCATCTAGTGAGTCTAAATATACACAGATTAACATGAACTGACTTTATAATAGTAGCATGTCTAAGTTTAACTTGGTCAAATATTTTTAATTTTATTTTTGGTTGGTATGAAACTTGGCAAAGTTTGACATCATAACTATGATTAGGCCTCAATTTTACATGATTGGGCAATTACATCATCTACTATATCTTAATTTCTAGAAACCAGTTAATAACTGAACTCAGTTATATATTTGCGACATAAAGTCTCAAATGAACCATCTACCAACTATGTAGATGGTTCAGTTATATATGGTAGAAAATGTATTAAAATCTTTTGACAACTAAGACTTTAGTTTAAATTTATTTATTCCAACAAGAAAATATACTTAGTCTTAAAATGTGACAAGTAAACAGTGATTTGACTGTTATTAACCAAGACCGTTCATGATCATTCACGTAATGCTAAGAAAACAATGTTAAATTGCTGGGGTTTGGTTTTCTAATAATCTTTAAAATTGTTGGAATTTTATAGAAAACTTACAGAAACATCATTTTCAAACAAAAAAAAAAGAAGAAAAAAACACTTACAGAAACAAGTTGTTTAAAAAGATATGTGATGATAGAATATGTATATTTGAGATTCCCTAGGAAGACAAAGCCTGCACCACTTTCCACTCATGAGTCTTTCTTTCCCATATCCTTCCATGATCTTTCTCTCTGCCATAGACATACCATACCATACACATGTATTGGCATAGTGTACAACAACAATACTACACTAACACTACCCAACATACGTGTTTTCTTCATGTGACTTGTGAACCCACGACGGTGAAAACTCACATTTGTCTTCTACTCTATAAAAAGTGATTCTTCTTCTGTCTTTTTTTAAAACAATTGAACCAAAAAGTTTGACATGAACTGTCGATCTCTGCTGATTATAAAATGCACTGTCGTTACCGACTTTTTATCAGATCCGGATTATCTTTTTGTTCATTATCATCAGTAGGCTAAATCAAATTAGCATTTGTTTAAGTTGGTAATTAGTATTAGAAGATGTACATTTTTAGTTACATGATTAGTCTTTTGATTTAATATTGCCAAACATATATACATTGTATGTACCTAATTAGCTTATATTAATTACTCTGCATTCGTATCATATTAAGTAACACTTGTTGCTCTGATTCAAGACTAAAACTAATCACTGAGATGGACCTAACACCTTTCGGATGTGAATTTAATGTCATTTCTCTACAAAAATGGAATTGATTTTGTTGCTAAGCAAGACACAAACTAAGAAATGCAAGTTTGTGAAGCTTTCTTCTAGCTACTAACCTATTTTCTCATCCAACAAAAAGTACATTATAAACTTACGCAAAACCATGCAATCAGATTGAGTAATCCAATCTTGATGCATAATATTAATCGCAAAAAAGGTTGCATAATTTTTTTAAATATATTCATAACTAATAAGGCTAAAGATCTTAACAATTAGTTAATCTACGTCCTTAGCATTAGGAGCCGAGCAAACTCGGGTTTCATAATTGTCTACATTAAAATATAAATATTTAAATAAGCACATTAAGAAAAATATTTGCACAATTTCTTTTAATCATAATAGTATAAATATGTATATGCACATATTATATACATACACACAAATGTGTATAAAAGCTTGAACCCATTAACAAGCTTCATCACAAAAACCCAAAACCTTCGATAGTAGTACTTATTTTTTTTTTAAAGAAAAGAAGATGGGTTCTAAACTCATCTCTCTCCTTCTTCTCTTTCTTCCACTTCTAACAGTCACAATCTTGTCGGGAGCCGAGCAGGCCTTAGCTTCGGACAAGACAGTACTCCTCGTTAACGGCCACAACAGCACGGCGGGTTCCGGCGACGGTGGGATGTCGTCACTGAGAGGGAAGAAGCAGAGAGGAGCATCAGGATGTAACTTGTTCCAAGGCCGATGGGTGTTCGATGCTTCTTACCCTTTCTACGATTCGTCAACGTGTCCTTTCATCGACGGCGAGTTTGACTGTCTCAAGTTCGGCCGACCAGACAAACAGTTCCTTAAGTACTCTTGGCAACCTGAGTCTTGCACCATACCAAGGTTTCTTTACTTATAAACTTCACTAGCTCTCTATGTTTTTTGTATAACTCAAAACATATTTTAAACTAAGCAGTAAAATTGAGAAAAAAACACCACAAAAAAATTTGATTTGAGGATATTTCGAAAAACTCACGATCTTTGCATGATTTAGCACACAATTTTTAAAATTTTAAATATATTTTTCCTATATATATATACACATTAAAAACTGTATAATAATTAGTTACTAGAAGTTGGTGACTTGATATTATGTACTTTGATTAAAGAAACGTGGCTTGGAAGAGCATTTCAGTTTATATTATTTTTTATGACAAATAAAAAAGAGAGTGTTTATATTACTATTCTAATAAAAAGTAATTAAGTGGATTCATCAGTGATATCAAGAATAGTTAAAAAAAGAGATATACCATCATCAACTTGTGTTAAAACATAAATTAATAATACGAAAAAATGCATGATGATGACTAATAATTGTTTTTAAATTAATTACGTTAAAAATAAAAGGTTCGACGGAGCGGCGTTTCTAAGGAAATACAGAGGGAAGCGAGTGATGTTCGTGGGAGACTCACTGAGTCTGAACATGTGGGAATCGTTGGGCTGTATGATCCATGCGTCGGTACCAAACGCCAAGACCACTTTTACCAAGCGTACCCCACTCTCTACTCTCACTTTCCAGGTCTCTCATCTCTCTTTCTTTCTTAATTCTTTTTTTTTTATAATAATATGTGTTCTTTGGATACAAACAAAACTCTAATTATCAATCCTCACGATGACTAGTTGTCATTAACGAAAACTTGAATTTGGCTGTCATGTTGAATGGGTTTATTAAGCTTGTCACGGACTTGTATAATATAATGCTTCTTCATTTAGAAAAGTATTGCAAGAAAAAAAGCTGTTTCCATGGTGCTACTAATAATAATGCTTATTAAAAACATATGGTTGTTGGTGATCGCATCCACTTGCTTATGCTTAATAATATCTTTTTTGAAACTTTATTGGAATTATTTGATTCTTCAGCTAACTATTCTTGATTATGAATAAAGTGACACTACTTACGGGAGTGTTATTATCAAAGTATATAGAAGATTCCATAGAGCCATATTAGAATTATCTTTGGATTGATATGTTTTTCTTCATCACTCGAAAGCTATTTTTATCTTTACCAGATTTGTGCAAAGTTCTTTCTCATTTCATCATTTACGAAATTGAAAACAAATATGACATGACTTGTCTATTTCACTTGATATGGAAGAAAGCTATGGACCTCCAAACTCTTTTTTTTTTTTTTTTTTCTATATATATATATATATATATATATTTTTAAAAAAAAATCGTACACTATTTTCTGAAATTTTGTCTCTTATTTTATTTGTAGTATTAATTTTAATAATTCGAAAATGTTTTACCAGAAATAACAATGGAAACAAATTAAACAGAACATAATACGTAAAGGAAGTACACCAACAACTCCAAAAGTCCAACTTGTTCTTTCTTGTTCCCTTCTGTCTACTTTTTACTACTATTCTTATTGTTATGTGAAGCCTTTTTCTATTCATTTAATAACACTATGCTTTATAATGGAAATAGATGTGTTTTGAATAGTCTATATAAAAATCTTGAATCTGGTTTGCTTATTATTGTTATATATGAAAAATACAGGATTATGGAGTGACGTTATACCTATATAGAACACCGTACATAGTCGATATAGCAAAAGAGAGAGTAGGGCGTGTGCTTAACCTTGGTGCCATTGACGGAGGTGCGAGTGCTTGGAAAAACATGGACGTTCTTGTTTTCAACTCTTGGCATTGGTGGACTCATAAAGGCCAATCTCAAGGGTCCGTTACCATAATATATTAACAACATATCTCATCTAAATCCATTACTTTATAAAACTCAATGTTGAATCTCTTTTGTTGTTGTTATTTGAATTTAGGTGGGACTATATTCGAGATGGGTCGTCTTTGGTGCGAGACATGAACCGTCTTGATGCTTTTTATAAAGGACTTAGCACTTGGGCTCGCTGGGTTGATCAAAACGTCGATACAACTAAAACTCGAGTTTTCTTCCAAGGCATTTCTCCCACTCATTATGAGTAAGTCCATTAAAGTTACAACTTTATGTCACATTAGTTTCTATGCGGTTTGAGAAAATAGCTTTCAAAAACTAATGTGTTTTCCTTGTGGGTGACAGGGGAAGGGAATGGAACGAGCCAAGGAAGAGTTGTAGTGGGCAAATGCAACCGTTGGGTGGATCAAGTTACCCAAGTGGCCAACCTCCATCTGCAGGAGTTGTGTCCAAAGTGTTGGGTTCGATGAGAAAGCCTGTGTTCTTGCTTGATATCACCACTTTGTCTCAACTAAGAAAAGATGCTCATCCATCTTCTTACGGTGGCGATGGAGGAACAGATTGCAGCCATTGGTGTCTCCCTGGGTTGCCTGATACTTGGAACCAACTTCTCTACGCAGCGCTTACGATGTGAAGTGTTAAAAAGAAATTTAATCTACTATAAAGAAAGTGCAAAAGGCAAACACCTTAATTCTGTAAATTACATTCTTAGAGGTGCAAAAGAATCTGACAGTTTTAAGTGAAGTGAAAACTAGTCCTACTACAAGCATAAAGAAGATGGAGGATTGTAAAGTGCCTGTTTTTACTATTATTTTCGTGTGAGAGAAACAAACTAATAAAATCTTAAATCATCTAGTGAATTGAATTGTGTGATGCAATAGAAACAAATTAATAACAAAACATGTTCTGTAATTTGGTAGCTTCTTTACTTCAGTTTTGATTTAACATCAAAGACGACCATGGCTTCTACTATTACCAAAAAGAACTTGACCTTGAAGAACCCTAGATTAACACACTTGATTGATTCCACTAAGATCCGTTCTGATTGGGGGGAAAACATTAAAATCACCTTAAAATTTGAATCCTTTTTGCAAGAGGATTTGCACGCAGCTCATCTTTTCAAGCTTTTTCTCTTCTTCTTCTTCTCCTTCTGTGTTCCTCGAATTCATAACTATGGCTTTCACAACATCTCTCAATGGAATCTTAAGTTTCTTTCCCAACCTCTCATCATCGCTACGACCACTCTGCTTCTCCGCCGCGACCTCAACTGTCGGATCTGCCGCATCATCCTCTACATCGACGGTCTCCGCGCTTTCCTCCTGAGAGACGAATCGAATCGCTTGACTCTCCACTGCAACCTCAACGTTATCCGTCTCTGAATCGTCGGACGCACCGTGAGATGGGATACCGTCGTTTAGCTGTGGTGGCGAGACTCTGACTTCGACGGAGGGATCGGAATCTGGAAGTGGTTGACCTGGTACGGCATAGCCACATCGCTGTAGATAAACCTCCTGAGACGCAGTTACATGGCACTGATCGAAGATCGAACTAATCTTCTTATTATTCCCTTTCATTCTCTCTGCAACTTTGTTTTTTCTTGGTTTCATATATGTAAAGGAGCTATCGAACTTTGTAGCTTTAAAGGAGGGAAAATTTCCCGCTCATTTTACAGTGAACGCATCAAACGCGATTATTCATTGAAAAGTCAAGAGTGTGTTACATTTTCTCATAAACCATAACTGAAATTGAGATCTTGATGCAAAGCCTAGTTTACAAGCAAAGCCAAATTGGTTCTGACATGGAAATATACAACTCAAAGTGACTGCAATGTTCTCGTCTCGACTTGGCTCGGGGTCAAACACACAAGAAAGAAGAGACTAGTAGCCAATGTAGACGGCCACATTCACTATGTAGCAATCTTCGTTTTTATCACCCATTTCTTCAACTAGAACGCCGCTCGAGCAAATCAGTCCTCCATCCACCACTTCCACATTAACAATCTTCCCACTTCAAAGACAAAAAGCATCAACGGTTAAACAATAAAACGATTGTGGAAACACGTTGAAGACAAATCCAAACTGCAAGATTGAGTAACGCAAGAAAAAATATCTGATGATAGATGTTAGTTATCAAGTACTACTATATTAGATAGTATGGTGGCTCTATCTGAAATGTTTTGAAATGAATCTCAATCCAACTTCAAACTTACAAAACATAATTGTAACTTCCAAAACATAATCTCAATCCAGTACACAGCAAAATCTCAACTCCAATTTTCCTCAACAGTTACTTGTTACAAAGAACTCAAAATTGAAAAGCCAACAACTTTGTATAGAAACTCTATGGTAGAGGTTACTTGAGGAACTTACTATGGGAAGATAGACTTAACCTTCTCAAGATCAAGTTGCTGATGAAGAGAACGAGGCACTCCAAGCTTAATCTGCAACTTCATTTCTCCAAATGAAACTCCAGGAATCGAACCTTCAACAACAACAACATTCAAAATCACACTCTCAAGTCAGATAAAAGCCAACCTCTCTACAAAGAACCAAACCAGATTCATAAGGAGGAGAGAGTGCTTGGTACCTCTCCTAAAAGCAGGAATCGAATTAGAAGAAATTGCATTCTTACAAGCCTTCATCGCCGCAGATGTCACGTCTTGCCTGTTTCGATTATTCCAAAGATTCAAAATCTCACAAGAAGCTAAATTTTTTGAGAGCAGAGAAAAACTGAGAAAATTTGACCGTACCCGTGCTGATCATAACCTACACCCATCTCAACGAACAATAGCTTCATCGTGTTGTTGGGAACACCGCCGGAAACTGTCTCCTCCTTCGTCTCCATAGCGCTTCTCGCGGTGACTTTGATCGAGCGTGAGATCGGAGATGACTGGTGGACAGAGAACTGCTTACTACAGGAAGAGAGAGAAAATGGCCGCGACAACAACGGCGACGGAGATTGACGGAGACGTAGATTGGGGGAGATAAGAATCGAACCAGAAATCAACATTGAACTAGTAATTGATTGTTTGGTTTGTTAATCTATCTAATAAAAAGTTTGGGACAAATTTGAAATAAACGAGAAATAAGGGTGTCGTGTTTCACAACTCAAATTCGAAATCTAAACGACATCGTTTTGTATGTAAAGGGCATAAAACTCGCTCTTTTCTACTCTTCTTCGAGCTAAAATCAAAAAGGGGGGAGAGAGCAATAAACCCAGAAACCCTTGAGCAACCCTGCAGAGAGAACAATATCAAACCTTGTACACTCTTCCAGAATCGCCATGTACGGTCTCATCTTCTTCTCATTCTTCATCTTCGTCTCATACTTCAGCTTTATCCCGAAGCTTTATTCACTATTTTGTGTACAGTACAGAGGCGTGAATACATGTGTGTAAATTCTGTTCTCTACAAATCAAACTATGTATATGCTATACTCACCTGCTTTGATTTTTTCTCCGTCGCAGCTTCTTATCCAACTCTCGGAAATGTCAGAACAGTATCCCGACGATTCTAAGTATATCGAGAAGCTTTATGAGTTTGATGAGCGCTTGAGCGAGTCTACTGACAAGTCTCAGGTTCTCCTCTATTTTACTTAGGGTTTCGTTTTTTCCCCCTGGATTTGAAATTAATCGCTTATGTTTGATTTAGTTGTTCATTGTGTTCCTTAGTCGTCTCTGGATTGAGAATGGTGTGATTGTTTTTTTTGCTTCGGATTTGTGTATAGTCGGTTTGAAAATGGATGTTGGTATGATTGTTTTTCTGGCTCTTCTTAGTCGTACTTGGTTTGTTTCTTGTGTTTGAAAGTGTTTGGATCGTTTTCTCATGGTTTGCAGAATGTTCAAGACTATGAAGGGATTATCGAGTTGTCTAAGACGAACATCAAGACTAAGCAGCTTGGAGCGCAGCTCATCCCACGCTACTTCAAGTTCTTCACTAGTCTCGCAACAGAAGCCTTTGATGCGTATATGGATATAATCGACGAAGTGGAAATTGGGGTATGTCTTCTTCTTACAGTTCTGCAGAATTCTCGTTTTTCTGCTTGTGATAGTTCTTTTGTATATAGAAGTATCATTTTCTTCTTATTTGTAGGTACGAGTTCAAGCTATCCGTGGGCTTCCATTGTTCTGCAAGGATACACCTGAGTTTATATCTAAGATAATTGATGTTCTTGTACAATGTCTAAATACTGGTAATTTCGGAGATTTGTGTTATTTAAACCTTCATCTGCCTAATCTGTTTTCAACATCTGACCCTGAGTAATATGATCCAAATAGATGAATTAGTGGAGCGTGATGCTGTGCACAAGGCTTTTATGTCATTATTTCGGCAGGATACAAAGGGTAATTTGATTTTCTCCATTCATCTTCATGGTCCGCAGATGAAAATTTTCATCTTACATCCGCAATGCTACATTGAAAAAATTAGTAATTTTTTTCTTTCGGTCTTATGGTTGATATTTTGCTATCGGTAGTGTTACTCTGTCCATCTTATAAAGCATGAAACTAAGTGTATAAATTATATAAAGCAGTGCGGATTGTGACATGTTCAAAATCTAAGATATATGGTATGTTGGTATTGATGGTAATTGTTTACAGAGCTTCTTCTTATGTTTTATAATTTTTACCTTTTTGGTGTAGCATCTTTGACTGCATTGTTTAAGCATACCGAGGCCAGTCTTAGTACTGATGAGCAAATCCGTGAAAAGGTCTTGCACTTTCTCAGAGATAAGGTCAGAGTCTTTTCTACATTTTTTTTCCGTGTTGGAGGTTCAACTATATGTTAGCTCGACTTAAAGATATGCATATCTCTGAAGTTAGCACTATTTTCGCTTGCCAATATAAAAGTGAAGCAGCCATATATAGATTGCGAATAATCTCTTAGTTCTATTGCTAAGACCTATGAACGTTATAGATAGTTTGTTTATCAGAGAGAAATATATATGATAGAGAAGATGTAAACTGAACATTTTCTGATAATGCAAGGAAATTCTTTGGAAAGGTTTTGTATATATTATCCTATTGTAATTGATCTTATATTTCCATGTAGGTGTTCCCTCTTAAAGTAGAACTGTTTAAGCCTCAACAGGAAATGGAAAGACATGTAACCGATTTAATCAAAAAGGTTAGAATATATCTTTGGCACATGAAGTTTATCTTTGTTCTATATATCTGGCATTTTTTATTTTAATTGTGTTTTATAATAATTTTATTATGTTTTTGGATGTTTCCAGAGCCTAGGGGATGTGACTGGAGAAGAATTCAATATGTTTATGGATTTCTTGACAAGTTTGAGTATATTTGGAGGGAAAGCTCCTCAAGAAAGAATGCAAGAACTTGTAGAGATTGTTGAAGGACAGGCCGATTTGGATTCACAGTTTAATGTGAGTTTTTCATGTTACATTCTCTTGTGATGAACATAAGTTTTTTGCTTTAATACAATGACAGTAAATCTGTAATGATTATTCCTGTAAGAGTTCAATGATTTTTTAGTTGCACAAGTAGTTGTCCTTGTCTGGGAATGAGTCTGCTAGTCGTTTGCATGTTTGTGAGACTAAACGATTCTTGTCCTAGCATAGACTTCACCCTATCTCGACAAAAAGCTTATAAATGATATATAATCTTTACATGTGCAACTCTTGGATTTGTTAGTCATTGTTGTTTATCTTACGTGTATGTTTCTGTGAGGTCTCATTGGTAGTATGTGAGAAAGTTGCCTCAAATTTTCATGAAGTCAGGATTGTCTTGAAGTATATTATACTGCCCAGTCTAGAAAGGAACATAGGGAAGGGTCAACAGTTGTCTTGATGAAAATCTAGCTGAGTTATAAAATTTGGTAGTACCTGTGTTAGTTAGCATGGGAAATAGCTAATATAATTTTACATTAGTAAATATTTTAACCCTAGTATTGTGATAGTAAAGGTTGGAAGTATAAACTTCTGAAGGTTTTTTGTTTAGATGATTTCATTATTGTGCCACAGAACTACTACTGATGTCCAAATATTATTTTTCCAGGTTTCAGATACAGATCATATTGACAGATTTATATCATGCCTGCAAACGGCTCTTCCATTCTTTGTGGTATGGAATTGCTGCACATTGCTGAACAGCAGTTGGAAATTTTATAGTGGAGATGCTTTGAACTATGAATCATACTAACTTCGTCCTCTTCTGAACAGAGAGGTGCTCCAAGTAGCAAGTTTCTTAACTACTTGAACGTGAATATCATGCCTGCTTTTGACAAGGTATTGTAATTTTATTACCTTTTCGTTTATGTGTTCGACTGTAGAATTTTGTGTGCATGATCTCTTGACTCTTGAGTTCTCTTAGGCATATTAAGAATAGACTAGTTAACGACATTGAGGGCATGAAGTCAAATCTGAATTACTCTCAACTCGCATGTAAATTTGTTCATACATAATATTCTCACTTCTCTATCTTTTTCCTTCATTTGGTAAAATTCATTATTTGTCAGCATAATATTTACCAAATCCTTTTTTACTAGCTGCCAGAGGAGAGAAAGCTTAATTTGCTCAGAGCCCTTGCTGAAATGTCACCATACACAACAGCTCAGGTAGCACGTCAGATGCTTCCCTCAATAGTTCAGCTCTTAAAGGTACCTCCTTAACACAGAAATTATCTTGTCTACTCTTCACATCTTTTCTAGATAATATATTAATTATTAGCTGTTATCATTTTCTGGTGTAAATTCTATGAGAGTCTCTAGTTTTGAATATAAACACTATTTACTCTTATGTATTTGTTTTCAGAAATACATGCCTGCCAGGAAAACTGGGGAAGAAATGAACTTCACATATGTTGAGTGCCTATTATACGTGCTTCATCACTTGGCGCACAAGGTTGTTGAACTATCTCTTGTTGTTTGGCCAGGTCTCTTTTTCTTCCTTCTTATTAATGTGTGTTCCGTTGTATATAATATATAGGCTCCAAATGCAACAAACAGCTTGTGCGGGTACAAGATAGTGACTGGACAGCCATCAGATAGACTTGGGGAGGACTTTTCGGAGTATTACAAGGAATTCACTGAGAGGTATTATGAATTACAGTAGTATGACATTCAGTTTTCTTGTAAGAAACAGTTTCTTGGGATTTTCAATTTTGTTTCAATGTACTGTTTTTATTAATAAAAATGGATGTTACAGATTGACCAGTGTTGAGGATCTAACCAAGGTAACAATGAAGAAACTAACTCAAGGGATGTCTGAGCACAACAAAGCCATGTCAGGTGCTAAGACAGACGAAGAGAAGTCAATCGTGGTAAGAAGGCTAAATTCTCACTCCTTTATCCATTCCATGATCCATCTCGTCGTTTTTTCCTGGCTTAATTGCAACCAAGGCTGTTTTCAGAAAACGAAGAAGCAGAATACAACAACTGGACTCAGGACGTGCAATAACATATTGGCAATGACAAAGGTGAAAAGCAGAGCCATTTCTTCCTCTTTTTTTGTCCTTTTTCTCTAGGTAACCTATAAATCTGATAAATAGATTAAGCGTGTTATGCAAATTTAACATTAGCGTCCTCTTATGCTACAGGCATTGCATGCAAAAGTGCCTTCCTTTATTGGAGACGTCAGTATTACCCTTTCGTGGAAAGAAGCCACGAAGCCGTTAGCCTCAACGACACCAACTGGGTACAAACCAAACTTACCGCACTTTCAATCTTCTTTTGGTCTTATCAACTTAGTGTTTATGCAAGTTTCTTTTCTTGTTTTCCAAATGTGGAAAAACTTGATGTGTTGTACGTCTCATTTGGCTACTACAGAGGAAAACGGCCTGCAAATGGAGCCGGTAACAACGTGGGTGCAAAGAAAGCACGTGTGCAGAGTCATCAGGTTGTGAACAATGCATCTGAAGGAAAGTCATACGGTGGTAATGGTAAAGGCAGCCAGAGAGGTCGAGGCCAGGGAAGACGCGGTGGTGGTGGCGGCCGTGGCCGTGGAAGAAGAGGCTACTGGTAACTTTCTCTCGAAGGGTTTCTCTATAACACTCCTTTTTTCTTCCCCGGTTCTTGTATAACAGACTCTGTTAGAACAGAGTATTTTTGTCCGTACAGATTTTGGCTTATTATTAAGGTTCTAACATTCGACAAACAAATTAAAACTTTTTGGAATCTGTTTGATATTTGCTGTTCATGACTAGGCATTGTTTTCATTATTATTAATGTAACGGTCTTTTAAAATTCTAATGCTACAAAGTCAAATATCAATCACGTTAAATTTCTAATAAGAAAATATTAGATGTATTCCCTATTATGCTTAAATCAATTAAATAGTTTTTTTTTTTTTTTTTTTGTAAATCTCCATGTTATATGTATTCGACGATGAGAGTCATTGTCAATGCACACATACTTCCTCTCTCTCGCACTCAGTTTCAATCCAATGGCACAACTAGTTCTGTTTCTGACTTCTCTCTTTCTAGCCTCGATCATTGGTCTGAACTGTCGTGTTCTCGTCCCTGCAGAGTCTGAGAAAAACCCGATATTGATGGTCTCTTATGGTTTTGACAATCAACAAGAGATTATCAGTCTTGAACCTCCCAAGATTAACGAATCTCTAACCAGAGAAGCTTGTGTACACCTATACGGATTCCTTCCTTGTGCAGAAAACGTCATTGGCTATGCATTTCAAGTCTTCTCCTTCGGGTCATTGCTGATTGTTGGCGATTACTTTTTGTCCAAGGGAAGAGCAGAACTCTTAGATATCTTTGAGGTCGGTTTATATGGTGGTATCATCTTCCCTCTTCTTAAAATCTTCCCTATAATTGCCCTTACGCTTGGTAAGTCTCACTATTTAAGCTTTTTCAACATTCTTGAATCCTTGATTTGTGTATCAAAGTTTCTTTATTTGATATTGGTTTTTGCTTCTTCAGTAACTGGACTATCTACAAGCCCGGAAGTTGCTCAGTCAATGATTGTTGATTTCGTTGGGGCAACGGTTGGATCATCGGTCTTTGCTCTGACAATTCAGTGGGGTGCTTGTATCATTTTTGGTACTACGGGGGTTTTGGACACTGGTGGTGATCAACTGGTGCAAAAGGAAAAGGTAAATATTCCAAGTTTGTTAAAAAGTTCCAAAACTTAACAAACAATCTTAAATGATCTCATGGTCTGATGAAACTGGTCTGTAAAAACCTCTTACAGAATCCAACGAAGTCAAGGCCAGGGCTGTTAAAGAGACTTCTTGGTTGGTAACATAATTGTGAATATATTTCTTTTGTAGTTTCTGCAGATTTATGACCTTCTTCCGATTATTTTTCAATCTTCAGAATCAAGGGTGGAAACAGATTCAAGAACCAAGAAAGGCGCACGGATCATGCTTCTCACATTAATACCTTTCCTCATTGTGCAACTTTCAGAGCTATTCAACTCGCGATCTTGGAGACACAATATGGTTCTAATGACGCTGATAGTTTCCAGTTCCGCAACTCTTTTGCTCTTGGCTCTTTTGGTATACATGATATATATAGAACTCTAGAGCCATATCTTATTAAGCTCAAGATCTTGAGTTTAATCTTTGAAATTTATTAATCTCTGCAGCTTTTAGATACAAGTGGACAAAAGAACAGCTTGGATAAAGCGAGGTTTGAGCTCATGTCTGAAGTTAAAAAGAAATTGCAGAGATATTCGCTTAAACGCATTCTGAAAGATGGGAAACTCACTAGGGAAAGCTTGAAAAAGTAAACCAATGATTGATTTTTTCTTTTGCTATGTTTCTTGCTTTCTTTAATAGCAAACTAACAGACTTTAATCTGCAGTTTATTCGATAAATTTGATAAGGATAATGATGGGAAGATGGCAATCTCTGAACTAAATGAATTTACTTTGGAGTTTGGAAAACTGGGGAAACTAAAGTGTGATATGAATGCGCTTGCGAAAACTGTGCTCAAAGAGTTTGATAAAGATGACGATGGTATGGTAAACGAGGAAGAATTCGCTAAGGGAATCACTAAATGGCTGAATGAAAGAAAGACCGGTTTGGTACCTTGCGCTGTAAGTTAACAAAAGAAGAAAGTTCTTTTTGTTCCATTTCTCTTACAGTTCCCGGTTTTTAACTTTCAAGAGACTGAAAATGCTGTGTAGGCCGCAGCTGTTGCTCCGAGTCTGAAGGTGGAAGAGCAGAAGAAAAGTGTTGGTTATACATTGATAGCAACAGTTAAAGTCATCACAGGAATCTTAATTGTTGTGTTTCTTGCAAAGCCTTTCATGATGAACATATCTCTCTTGTCTGCATCAGCAGGAATCCCTTCTTTTGATGTCGCTTTTGCTGTGATTCCATTGTCTAGAAACCTTAAGAACGCTTTGTCTCTTCACTTCTGCGTCAAAAAAGAAAAGCAAGAAGCAGCATCTCTCACATTTTCACAGGTACACATCATAATTCAATCTTGTCTTTTAGAAAATATTTCTTCTTGCTGCTGAATCTTGACTTTTTTTGGACTCAGATCTACAGGGATGTTACATTGAACAATCTGATGGGAATGTCCATCATCTTAGCGATCGTGTACGCGAAAGGATTGACATGGAATTGCTCAACAGAAGTTCTCATAGTTGTGTTCTTCGGTCTGATAGTGGGCGTACCAGCATCTATTACTTCGACTTATCCCTTATGGGCAAGCTTTGTAGCATTTGGTTTTTATATCATCCCTTTTATTCTCATTGCTCACCGCTATTCCTAGGACTCTGCCTCTGGAGTGAACTTGTCTTTTTTTGTTTTTTTTCCTTCATTCTTGCTTTGCTTCATAAAGCATTACAATGTAAAGGAAAAATGTACTGAGAAAACAAAATCTTTAAACATCAATACACGGGTATCTTTCCACGCAAGTAAGTCACTCTAGTACGGTCATTGTTCTACTTAGCATATAGTATTTGCATTTCTAAGACATGTCTAGTTCCATAAGACCATAACCCTGATAAACCAGAAGTGGTCTTGGTTTCTACATTGATGTTTAAGGTTCAAAGTTGTATACTGAAGATTGTTGGTTATTCACAAGTTGAACTAGGAAATTATAAGTTTGTTGAAACGATCTTAACTTAATACTAGTCAACAGTCATTTATAGCACAATATTAATAATTACATACAAATCATTATAATTCGAGAGGTGTCATTCACGTTCTTTTAAGAACAGAGTCAATAATTCTTGATTTTTTATAACATTAACCTAAGTTCCATCAATTTAATAAGCCACTAGAAGTCTTTCTTAATTCAATTAATATGTTAAAAAAAAACCTCGAGGATCTTTACAATATGATCATAAGTCTATATAATAATCACCTCCTAATAATATTTTTTAAATCTGACTTAATAATTGCTGAAGTCAGGTTTTAAAATATATATTAACTTCAGCTTCATTAATATTATCAACTAGGCATGGACTTAAATGTCTTATTAGCCTTTTTTTTTGTTTGGACAGAAAATGTCTTCACTATTCAATATATATATTTCTATCATATATGTTCAAAAACCTCGAGGGTCTTTACATAATGATAAGCATATACAATAATAATAACATGCTAATAATAATTAGGGAGGTGTACCTTTCCCGATTTTTTAATTAGAAATAATTGTTGAAGTCAAGTTTTAATTACGCTTAGCTTCATCAATTTTATCAACCTTAAAAAAAAAAGTCCTTCTTTAGATCTTCAAAACAAAAAAAGTCTTTATGTATTCTATATTTCTATCATTATGTTCAAAAACCACGAGGGGCTTTACATTATAATAATCACAACTCACAAGCTAATAATATGAAGAGAGGTGTATTATTCATTTCACGTTCTTTGAAAACCACACTCAATAATTTTTAGAGATAAGTTTATAAACCTTAGTTTATTCTCTATTACGACAAAATCTCTCGAAAGATCACTTGCCATAACATTGTTTCCGTGTGTGTATATATGCGCGTAAAAAGAGAAGGATCCGACCAAACTACTCACCAAAAACTCTGTTTTTAAGATTACTTTCATGGCACGTCTTGCTCTGTTTCTGTGTTTTCTCCCTCTATTAGCTTTGATCTCTGGAGTGAACTGTCGTGCTTTAAGTTCTGTGTCTGAGGATAATAATAACTCGATCTTGGTCTCCGATGGAGTCCAAGACAGATCCAGTAACGAGTTTCTCAGTCTTGATCCGCCAAATCTAGTTTCCGATAATGCTTGTGTTCATGTATACGGGTTTCTGCCATGTGCAGACAATATGAAAGGTTACATCTTCCAAGTTTTCTCGTTTGGTTGTCTGTTGATAATCGGTGAATACTTTTTGTCTAAAGGAAGGTCTAAGCTCTTTGTCATCTTCGAGGTTGGTTTCTTTGGCGGTATCATCTTCCCTCTTCTTACAATGTTCCCAAGAATCGCCCTTATTCTCTGTAAGTCATCTCTGCTTCTTCTAGATAAATAGTCTAGACATATTTGAGTATTGCTAAAGATCTTACCATCATGTCTCTTTTGGGTTTGGTCTCAGCGACTGGACTAATGGGAAGCCGCGAAATGGCAAACTCGATGGTGGGTAATAACGTTGCAGTTACTGTGGGATACAGTGTCTTTGCTTTGACAATGCAATGGGGAGCTTGTGTTGTCTTTGGCTTGCCTGCTTTGGCATCAGATTCGCCCACAAGTGACGAAGAAGTCCAGATTACAACTTCTGTAAGATCATCTTCTTCTTCTTCTTCTTCGTCTCTTTTTGAGTGTATTGTATCATGAAGTGATTTTTATAAGTTGATGCCAGGGAACAAAGAGTCCAAGGCGAAAATTTATCAGGAACAAACTATTTAAGGATCTTGCTGGTGAGTTTAAATCTCTTACAGATTTTTTTCATAATATAATTCTTTCTTTTTCAAGAATCTTAAGCACGAGCCTATATATTGTCTTCTGTGCGGTATGTATGCAGGAGCTAGCGTAAGAGCAGATCCTAAGAACAGGAAAGCTGCAGGGATTATGCTCTTGACTTTATTCCCCTTCGTCTTGGTCACCTTTTCAGAGACATTTCACTCAAAATCTTGGGATGACTCTATCATTTTGATTACACTCATAGTCTCTGGTTCTGCAAGTGTTCTCTTCTTTGTTTATTTGGTATGATGCACCTCAAAATAATGATGTAAAGCTTCAAGATTCGTATCTTTTTTGCCTACTCTTTAACCTTTTTTTTTTTTTTTTGGGTCAAAATTGACAGTACTTTGATAAAGTGGACCAAGTTAAGAGCTTAGACAACGCGAGGTTTGAGCTTATGTCAGAAGTTCATAAGCACTTGCAGAATTTTGCACCTCAAAGCCTTATAAGAGACAAACAACTAAGTAAAGAGAGCTTGAAAAGGTTTGATATCCAATTTTTTTTCATTGTTATTTGCTATTTAATGCAACAAATTGTTTGATTTTGTTCTGTTTCTTAATTCTTACTGGCTATTGTTATGCAGTTTGTTTGAAAAGATCGATGTCAACAGAGACGGAAAGATTCAAGTTTCAGAGTTAAAAGATCTGACTGTGGAGTTTGGGGTGTTGGGGAGAATGAAGTGTGACGTACATGAGCTTACCACTACATTGCTCGCTGATTTCGACAGTGATAGAGATGGTGAGATAGATGAGACTGAATTCGAGAAAGGGATTGAAAAATGGCTGAAACAATACAAGTTCACCGCGGATAGCGCCGAGCCACAAAGAGAGTACCAAGCTGTAAGTACATAACACTCTTATCAATTCATTTTTACATGTTTGATCAGATTATGAAATCAAGAAAGCACTTGTTAGTTGCAGGAGGATGATAGAGTTTTGAAGATGGAAATACTAAATGAATGTGTCTTTACTAAGTTGCTGACAAAGAGAACCTTGAAAGCTGTCACTGAAGTCATTATAGGGATTCTGATTGTCAGCTTTCTTGCAATGCCTTTCATGATGAATATCGAACTTTTATCGGTATCGGCTGGAGTTCCTTCCTTCTATGTTGTCTTTGCGGTGATCCCTTTGGCAAGAAACCTAAAGAACGCTTTGTCTGCTCACTTCTGTCGCAAGAAAGACCAAGCGAGAATCACATCAGATAAATTCTTTGAGGTTAGTAATTTTACTGAACCTCCACTAATTAACTTGTAATGATATTATCTGCATGGCTTTGTCAGAGCATATAAGTAAATGAGTTTTGTGGTTTTTTGTTTGTTTGTAGATCTACAGAGATGTTACATTGAACAATCTGCTGGGGATTACAATTATATTGGCGATTGTGTACACGAGAGGATTGAGTTGGGATTACTCAACAGAAGTTCTCATTATTGTGATTGTTGGCCTCATAATAGGAGTACCAGCTTATGTGAGATCAACGTATCCGTTTTGGATATGTGTCTTGGCTTTTGCTCTCTACTTCTTCTCTCTTGTCCTAATCTATCTTCATGTCAACTCTCTCTAGAGAAGTGAACCTTTTCCAAGAGTTATTTTCTCTCACGATTCCATAGTTTCCCCTATTTCGATCCCAATCGGCCGATGTATTTCCAATGTTTTGTCTGCGTTGTATGTTTACACGCTGTTTGGTGCGTAATCAGATGAATATAAAGTGTTGTTATGTCCGTTTAGCATTTTTAAAAATTTGTTTTCTTCACTTTTTAATTTTCACCATTTTAGCATTGCATCGATATCATGCGTTCTTGTTCCTTTGGTCTTCAGGCGGTGAGCCTATATATATATTATCTTATTTATAAAAAAAAAAAAAACCAGAGCTCGAAGGATGGACAAAAAGGAGGGAGAAGAGTCTTCTAAAGACTGTTCTTTTTGTGCAAGTAAATCTGATATATATGGTCCTTCTTCTAAACAAGTACATATATATTTTTTTGATGATTTGGTTAAATGAAATTTAAATTTTGTGAAAAAGACACAACAATACTACTTATATCATATATATGTAGTATCTTAAAACTCTAGACATTAATTACTTTCCATTTGTGTACGAATTTTAACCGGTAATATACGGTGCTATATAAATGGAAAGTAATTAATGTCTAGAGTTTCAATAAAAAGTCCAATGATTCCACTTAGGTTTTCTTTTTATTATTCTAAATCGATTTCAGGAGGAGGTTGGAGTCTTGAAGGTGGAACAAGCAAAAGAAAGCCTTTTTGCTAAGTTTTTCTCAAAGAAAACTTTGAGAGCTTCCACTGAAGTCATTGTAGGAATCATGATTGTCATGTTTTTTGCAAGACCATTCATGATGAACATAGAGATTTTGTCGGTATCAGCTGGAGTTCCATCCTTCTATGTCGTCTTTGCAGTGATCCCATTGGTTAGAAACTTAAATCATGCTTTGTCTGCTCACTTCTATCGCAAGAAAGACAAGGCCATAATTACATCAGATACATTCTCTGAGGTTGGTTTTGCTCAAACTCCATTAATGAAACTTACAACTCAACAGATTATGAGTTATTCATCTTTTGCTTTTGTTTTTATAGATATATAGTGATGTTACAATGAACAACCTGCTTGGAATTTCATGTATACTGGCTATCGTATACGCCAGAGAACTGACTTGGGATTATTCTACTGAAGTTCTCATTATTGTGATCGTTGGATTTCTAATAGGCATACCGGCTTACGTGAGAACGACTTACCCGTTTTGGATATGTTTATTGGCCTTCTGCTCTTTACTTTGTCTCTCTTCTCTTGATTTATCTTCATTTCTCAAGTCTCTAGATAAGGTTACAAATTCAAGTGCTAAGTCCATTTATTACAATCTCTTACAATTTTAATTACTTGTTCATGTGCTAAGTCAATTTATTATACGTTTAACATTTGGATATTGTAAAATAGTTTGCTTTTTTGAAGTTAAGCATGACTCATAATTATCCTGTCTTTGGATTATTAATCTGAATTAACGTATATATATATAATATTTATGTATACTTTTATGATTTTTTTAAAAATATATATTTTCTCCTAGAACTCATCTCTATAAAAAAATTGTTATGTTGTCTTTTCAAACTATATAATCGTGTAGTATACTTTCGTAAATAGCCAAAATCTTCTTTAAATTTTGGATTCTTTAAATATATAGCATTTTCATTTTGATGATAGTCTTATAGGCTTGTTAATATACAACAATTAAGATCATTAATCATAAATTTAAATTAATGTATATCATATGAAGTGGATATATCTATAGTATTTGTAGTCAAAAAGTTTTTCTAAATATTATAACATTCAAAAGACAATTTTTTAAATCATATCCAAAAACATACCTCTATAAACTAATAATAATATTTTCATATTATAAAATAATAAATTAAACATTACTATATATTAAAAAATATCATAGTCCCAACATTTTTTTTTTTAACACTGAAATACTTTATTAAGCAAAAGAAACTAAATCGTTATACAAAGCAGATGAAATTCCAAAGGGAGGAGAGGTAAACATATTAAACATAGAATTATTCAAACATTTATTATTATATAGAGGTTTTACTTTATAAATTAAAGAGTTACAAAATTTGTGTAGTGAACGAAGATAAACAATTTTTTGGGTTATAAGATAGCCAGGTCGAAAGATAAATGAACAATGCTGTTACAGAGAACAATCTGCTTGGAATTTTATGTATATTGGCCATTGTATACGAGAGGGGATTGACTTGGGATTATCATTAAACAGAAGTTCTCATTGCTTTTTAATAGGCATATCCGCATATGTGTGATCGAGCAACCCAATTGGAATATGTATGTGATAACTTTTGCCTTTGCTCTCTAATTTGTCTGTCTTCTCCTTCATCTATCTCTATTTCTCAAGTCTCTAGATAAGAAATGAAATGAAAATGAACCAATTTCTTACAATTTTCAATACTTATTCATGTGCTAAGTTAATTTGTAATTTTAGTTGGTGTATAATATGCCTCACCTATTCTGTCTTTAATTGTTAATCTTGATTCTTGAAGGTGAAGTAGCCATGGTTAAAGTATGTTTGTTTCACCCGCATCATGTGGTTTCTTGTCAAAAAGAACAAAAAAAAATTCCAATTCTTTGGCAGATCTTTTTATATCTATCCCAAAGTACAAACTCATGACATAAAGATTCAATTTTAAAAACACTTTGCTTAGGAAATCATTTTCTTATAACTTAAGGCGAAGATCAATGCCCTGATCAGTAACTGAATCATATCTCTCGGATCTCAAGCTGAAGGATCGATCTTGGTCGGGAGTACACTGCTCATTCAAGGGCAAGAAGCTGTAGAATGGTTTTCTATTTACCGGAAAATTTGCACCGCTTCTTCGTGCAATGATTTCATGATTAGCCTGTTCTCTCTGTTCATTCTATACAAGAAAAAAGGAGATGAAAATGAAATTGAAACTGATCAACCAAACTCATAAAAAAAAATATGGAAATTAAATTACCTGTAAAAACCGCGGGAAATCGAGTGCAGCATTTGCGAAAATCGGTATAGGAGAAATCGTCGGAGAAGAAGAATCAATGGTAATTGGATTTCTATTTGTGGTTCCTGAATCTTGGATATGATTTTTCAATCTTAGGTCTAGTGATTTGAGTTGTTTAGCATCCCTGAAAGAAAGAAAATAAAAGGTCATATAAACAAACTTGAACGTTTTAAACTCAAGAAACTAGGTAATTAAACCTAAAAATTACAAACCTTGAGAAATTTATGGTCGGTCCAAGACTACAATTAGGGGCCTCTGCCATAAGATACCATGGCCTTTTCGCAGAAAGGATCTGTTAAATAAATCATCAAAATAGATTCGTAAGAATCAATAAAAATTGAATACTTTTGATTTTGTTTAAGGTTACAACACTACACTAAAAAATAAAAAAATAAAAAAAAAACAAAAAAACAATTGACCTTTTCTTCATCTAGATATTGATGAGTGACATTTTCATGACAAGATGTTTGGTTTGAAGTTGGATCTATAAACTGATAAAATCCTCCAGATCCTTGATTCGGTAGATTCATCTATAGCATACACACACACACACACAAAACAATATAAACACAAATCAGTATATATCACCAAAAAAATGTAAAATGATAAAACGTTTAATGATTATGTACCGGAGGGAGATAGTGAAGAGACGAATCATGCTGCCTGTGAAACACCGGAGCCGGAGGAATCAAATCACTAGGGAAAGATCCGGTCGAGAAATAAGACTGGAAAGGGTAAACCGGACCGGTTCTGTCGATGATGGCCGGAGATTTATCCAGCGGAGTAGTAGGAAGAGGAAGTTGTACGTTTCTAGAGATGTGTTGTTCCTCGAGACGGATCTTCTCAAGCTCAGCGACACCAGGCCCTCTTCTTGGGACTCTTCTTCTTCCTCCTCCACTGTTATTATGTTTCTGTTTCTTGGGACACAAGAGAGAGTACTCATCTTCATCTCTGTTACCATAACTCATCTTACTACACATGTTTTTGATGTGTTTTACTTCTCTCTAATACTTTAGTTTCTGATCTCTCTCTTGGTAGTGTAGTTTTTTTATTTTGTGATGTGGTTTATACAAAGAAGATAGAGAGCAAATTTATAGTGTTGGTGAAGAAGAAGAAGAAGGAAAAAAGAAAAAGGTGATGGGAGCAAAATATGTGGCAAAAGGAGAAAGAAATAAAAGTCATAAATTAAAAAAAGGAGAGATTGAAGGAAAGTAAATCTGAGAAAAAATAGGCTCTTCTTGCGTTGTGAGAAAAGTTCTGGGGATTTTTCGGAATTTTCAAAAACTCCTCTCCATGTTTTTAGCTATCTTAAGATTTCTCTGTTTTATTATTTGTTTTCATGATATATATGAACCACCTGAATATAGTGATTGAGTGAGTGTGAGAGATCATAATTTTTTTATTTTTTTCCGTGATTTTCTCGGAGAAAATTAATAATTTTTGAACTTTTTACTTATAAATTACATGATCATAATAAGCCCAAAGTTTATTTTATCTAATAATCATATCTAAAACGTTTGAATAAATAATTTTATAAGGGTATTATTTCCTTGATATATTTTATTTTTCCCATGTTTTTTTATTTTATTTTATTTTTCTTTCATAAAGTTGTATTTTATGTTGTATGGAGTAAGTAAAATATAAATTTTATTGCGTCAGCTGCTGTAAAAATGTATTTATTGTATTTACATTTATTGGCAAGTGATCAAGTTGTGATGATATTTGTGTTTGCTGTACTTATCATCATCATCACTTCTGTCTTTGTGAGTTGGTCTCCTTAATTGGTACAATATCTAAATTGAAGAATAAAATAGAAGAACATAAAAATTCGGTCAACGTAAGAATTTAGGAAAGTAATTATGTAATTTCTGTTTCTAAAGGTCTATGGAAAATGCAGTGAACAGAGAAATGTTGAATATAAAAAAAATAAAAAAAAAACTAATATGGGAAGTTTACATAGTCAAAAATATTATGTAGACTATAAAGGTTTACAAAAAAGAAACAAATCTTCCAACTTGTTAATTATTACCAATACATTGACCACATTTTTGAAGTAATTTGTCCATCAAATTACATGCTAATATCTTACGGGGAAGCTTAAAAAGATTACACATTAACTTAGCCAGCTTTTAAATTTTGGGCGTATCTATAAATTATAAACTAAGAGGAAGATCGAATATATAAGACAAAGATCTTATTTAAAATCGATTGAGAAAGTTAAAAAAATTACGAAAGATATATATAACGCAATTACTGTTAGATATGGTGGTGTTATATGATATAATCAGACCAAAATCACATCTTTAAGTCGTCGACATTAGTTAATTGCTAAAACGTGTTACTCCTTTGAATATATATCTTTCTTTTAATACCTTATTTTCTCTAAATCTTTTTGAGATTATATATATTATTAATTCAATTTTAAATTTTATGATTCAAACTAAAAAATCTTCACATTCATGTTTTATTTTATATACTATATAGATTTGATACATATCAAGTGTTTTATATTTCATAGATTTGAGAAGATCCAAAAAAAAAAAAAAAAAACTCGTAATGCTTAAAACGAAAGTTCACAAGTTGTCAGTTAATGTGAATATGGCAAGAAACTTAGCCGTATAATCATAAATTGGTCTAATTTATAAATAATAATTTTAAGAAGATTTTTGATATCAAGATTAACGACACAATAATTATTACTATGATATACGTGAAAATATGTTTATAATTTCATTGAATTATAACATAAAACTTTATATCCAAAATTTTTTTTTTTTTTTGGTAGAACTATATCCAAAATATAATTGATAAGATACTACATACACACTTGTAATTAATATAACATGCTGACATAAAAAAAGAAGGCATATAGAACGTTCTATATTGTCAAAAACATACAAGTACAACATCACATAATTTGGTTTATAGTACTGTATTGATTTCATATATATGAACAAAACACTACAAACATATATAACTCTGCAGTAACTAGACAATGCAACAAGCATTAGGGTTTTCATCACTGAACAATTGTGGAGCGTAGACGTAGTGGACGAAGTAAGGTATGTTTCCATCTTTATCTTTTTGACCCTCAACTTTTACTTTCTCTTTCCACTCCACAACTTGTGTAATCGTTTTGGTCACTTCTACTTTTACATCTTCTTTCTTCTTCTCACCTTCCTTCTTCTTCTTCTCCTCCTCTTCCTTCTTCTTCTTCTTCTCCTCTTCTTCCTTCTTTTTCTCTTCTTCGGTCTTTGAGCTTATGATCTCTGCATGTTTGTGAACTTTCTTCTTTATATAGGTCAAAAGCTTTGCAGAGTCTATTGTTCCTTGTACCGTTAGGGTTTGCGCCTTTGTATCCGTCTTTACCGTGTGAATAGCTACCAAAATAACCAAGTTAGAATCCAATCACTATACGAATGAATCAATATGCAAAACTAAAATGTATTTTGAAATTCATTTATATACGTTTTCCCCCTTCATTTCATATTATTTAAGTATTGATTCGATCATACCTTTGTGTTTCAAGAGTTTGTTCTGAAGATCTTTGTCACACTGTGCGCAATGAATGTGTACCTTTAGTACTGTCGTACGGATAACTTCCTGTGGATAAACCCATACTTAAAGAGTAAAGTCATCCAAAAACATATATAGGTACGGCATATATAATTAAACATATATATGATAATTGAATGCGATTAATTATGGAAGCAAAAAACTTACCTTTTTAACCTCGGTGGTCTTCTTCTTCTCTACCACAGAAGTGGTTGTTGTTGTTGTTGTGGTTTTTTTAACCTCGGAGGGTTTGGGAGAGATAAGCTCAACTTTTTTCTTGCTCCATTTCTCGATTTGCTTGTGAATCTTCACGACTTCAATTTTCCCTTTTACTTTGATCTCATTCTTTTCCAAATCAAACTCCACACCATGAACCCCTACAATATTATATTATTGACTAATCAAAATGTTACTACATCACTGTCAATCCTCCAAGTGATTGATTAACACCACGCTCGTGACTAAACCCAAATGTGATAACTATATATGATGATGTTCCACCTAATTTGTTTTTTTAAATCATTTTGCTGGTTGAGATTGATGGCATAGTTTGCCTAGTATTGTATCGGCCACTATAGCCTAAAAAAAAAGCCATGCGAAAATCTCTATGTATAAAAGTAATTTGGATAAAACTAAACTGAAAACATTAAGAAAAACTCTCGATATTTAGTATCCATCTCTTCTCTGAAATAGTGGAACTACTAGTTTCTATTTATAGGAAAACTTTGTAAACTTGGGGATCATCGTTTAGATGAACGAAGCCTAACCTTGGAATCGAAGGAGAGGCTTTTTGATGTCGCATGCACATTTCCGGCAGTGAAGGTGAACCTTGTAAACGGCCGTGATGATCTCCTCGCCTTTTTCTTTCTTCTCTTCTTTTTCTCCCATTTTGTTGCTCTCTACATTTCCATATTCTAGTTTTGTCAGATTATTCGATTATTACTATGTGTCTATGTTGTTGTGTTTTGTTTTTCCTTTGGTCTAAACAACTGCACGTAGAAAAACGCCAAGGAGATAAGGAAATTAGAAACTCAATCACGACAAGAAACAGTCTGATAGAAGTTATATATTAACTAACATAATGTCATTTGATAACTGACAAAAAATTGTTTGAGACAATAAATAAGTTTGGTTAGACTTTAAAGAATCAAGGACTGTTGCAGTCCTTTTACATGCATGGCTACTACTATAGATAAACATATATAGTTGTATATATTGTTTATGAGCCACGAACATGATATAGGACCGTGTGCTATGTAGTAATTTCTCAAAAAGTTGATCTCTATGATCATGCTTAATATATACTATAGAGAATACAAGAATAATTAATCTCAACTGTCTGGTTTAATATATGAAGAAAAAGTCCTTTTGATCGTGCCAACCCTTCAATTACTTGGTTGAATTTTGTAAAAGGTGGTTTACCAGTTCCAATTGTATTTTAGTTCAAATAAGCTAGCTAACAAATTGTTATGTGAAAAAATGATTGTCAATGTAGATTTTGCAATCTACCAAAGACTGGCTTAATTATAATTTTTTTTTATTTTTTTGGTCAAACTAATAATTAATAATTGTATACATATTGGTTGGAGCTCATGTATTTTTTCATCGGAACCATAGCCCTCACAAAAATAAACATATTTTGACAGTAATTATTCGATTCAAATTTGCGACAAGTAATATCATAATTGAGGTTTCAACAAGACTGAAGAGTGAAGAGTCTCATATTAAGCCTCACTTCTTTATAATCAGTAAAAAAAATGTTGTAACGAAAAAATATATAAAAAAATATATAACGAAAATTTATAAATCGCAACATTTCATTTTATTAAGTTGTTGTCACAAAAAGGGGAAATGTTTTTTTTTTTTCTCACAAGTCGCACACAATAAAGCTTCAACCTTTACACGAGCGAACGAGAAGACAAAAAAGAAGAGGAACAAGACGCGGAACACGTGTACTCACGAGGAGAGATGTGTCTGAATTTTGTCGAATCCAAATATGAAATAATGATTAGATTTGCCAAACACAGAATCCATTTCCTCAAATCGGATTGATGTTTTTGCTTTGCCGTAGGCTTCCCTCACTTGTACGCACAACAACCCATCTCTGCAAATCTATGGAGCCTGCGGTGACGGCGACTTCCTCTTTCGGTGGTGGGTCTTCTCGACTCGCTGCTTTGGCCCAGCAGCTCCGCCGTTACAAGCCGCCGCCCTCTTCTTCGTTTGATGACGCTGAGGAGACGCAGACAGATCAGGAGACCGCCGGGAAAGTGGTTTCTCAGGTTGGGTTTCAGGAATCTATTGCTCCGGTTTCAAAAGACCCTGAGAGGTTCAGACCCAAGAGAGCGGCTGTATTGATCTCTATCTTCGAAGGAGACGATGGTGATTTGCGTGTCATTCTCACTAAGAGATCTTCCCGATTGTCTACTCACTCAGGTTCGTTTTGGTTTTATTCGAGTAGAAGTGAGTAAAGGAGTGATTTTTTTTTTTGTGTGTGCTGGCCTTAATCATACAAGATCAGAGAGGGTTTTAATGTTTGTAACATAGATTCTTTAAAGAATTAAAGTTGATGCCTTGGAATTAGAAAAGTAGAGTGTGAATTGGTCTAAATTTGAGGTGTTTTTGGTTGCAGGAGAAGTTTCACTGCCAGGTGGTAAAACGGAGGAGGATGATAAAGATGATGGGATGACTGCAACCAGAGAGGCCGAGGAAGAGATTGGATTGGATCCTTCCCTTGTTGATGTTGTCACTTCACTCGAACCATTTCTGTCTAAGGTATTAAGAAAATGGTCCTAATTTTATTTGTCTTATTGGTTAACCATGTTCTTACTTAGTGAGATCATAATTTGGGATTGCCGAAGAAATAGATGTTACAGACTCTCTTGCTGATCCGTGCTTGAACGTCAGGGTCATAGAATGAGTTATCTGTGGCTCTATTTAGCTTTGATTCTTGAACTTCCATGTTAGCTGTATTACATCATAGTAGCATAGATCTGGTGGCTAAAGTTACCTTCTTGAATGCTATCTAGTGTTTGATCCTGAATGTTCTTTAAGTAGGAGTTGTGTATATTTTTTGATGTCTTTTAGTCTCTACGGCAAATGTTCTCTGCTGTATCTCAAGCTTTCTTAAAATTCTCCTTTTCTGATTGATGTTTTCCTAACATGTGAGTCATTTTTTTACAGCATCTCCTTAGAGTAATTCCTGTGATAGGAATCTTAAGGGACAAAACAAAATTCAATCCGATACCAAATCCTGGGGAAGTGGAAGCTGTTTTTGATGCACCGTTGGAAATGTTTCTTAAGGTTCTTTTGTTTTCTTATCAAGAAACTTAACTTGTAGTTGTTTCTTTTCGTCTGAAGCATCATTTCTTCAACATTTTTTGGTCCAGGATGAGAACCGAAGATCTGAGGAGAGAGAGTGGATGGGCGAAAAGTATTTGATCCACTACTTTGACTACAGAACAGGAGATAAGAATTATATGATATGGGGTTTAACTGCTGGGATTTTGATCAGAGCTGCATCTGTGACTTATCAAAGACCACCTGCTTTTATCGAACAGTCCCCAAAGTTTAAGTACCCTAAAATGGTAGAAAAGCATACTTGTATGCCTAAATGATCATAATTTTTTGATTGATGCTTTCCTAGATCCGTCTTCTTCCTCTAGAAGATCAACGAGAAGACAATAACATTCCGTACAACTGATTCTCCATACCAGTAAATGCAGCCCTAGCTACTTGTTAGGCATCTCATGAAAGGTTTGCAGAACGGTTTCCATAAATTTTCTGTTTTTTCAGGAGATTATTGGAGGGGTTTCTATCTCGTCATGATCTAGGTCAGTCTGTATTTTTGAATATGACATAATATCTTGTAACTTTTGATTCTCACGGGAAGGTCAATTGTGATTCAGATAACATCTGGCTGGTTATGATTCTAGGCAAGCATCATCCTCAACCGTCGATTTGGAGAACAACTCAGAATCGTCTTCAAAGGCTCATTTCCCATTGTAGAATTTGTGCTAAATATATTTGTATCCTGAACAAATTTGAATCCAAACTTTTCTTGTCAGCCTTATGATTTGTCATTGTTTTAGATTCAGGCATTCACAAAGCATTTAAATTGTCATCTCTGGGCTAGATTTGTTGTGTTTCAGTGGTATACTTAGTTAGGTTTACTTATTGCATTATAGGTTAATCCCAGGA